CATCTAATAAGGGACTCCTCAGCAAACTCTGATGTTCTATAGGCCACCCATGTTCCACAGAAACATGTGCTTTACTCGCTGGAGTGCCCTTTTATGAGCCACAAGGAGCTATGGAGTCGGTTTCATTTTCATTTAAATGCATGTTCGGCAACTGATTTCTAAAGGTCTGCTTTTTGAACTGAACGGTAGTGGCAGGAGCGTCAACTCCTACAGCAGGGGTCAGCAACCTAAGACCCATGGGCCACAAGCGGCCCACAGGGGTCGTTTAACTGGCCTACGAGCTGCCCCCGAACTGAGCCGCCCGCTCGGCCAGTCCCCGCCTGCTGCGCTAGACCGGTGCAACTTGGTGCAGAGACTCGCTTCCGCAGCACCGAAAATTGTCTGCACAGACGCCGGAAATCACAGGCGGGCAGGGCGGGTGAGTGCACACGCGCACTCAAGCGTGATCCGGCCCATGGAGGGATCTCTGCTGGAGTGAACTGGCCCAGGCAAGGTAAACCTTGCCGACCCCTGTCCTAGGGACTGAGGCAACTCCACCCCCCCCCAATGTAGTTGATGGAGCTGAGTCCCCACCCCCAAAGCTGAGCGCTGCTACTGTTGCGAAGTATGCCACCAATGGCTATGTACTTCCAGAAGCTGGTGCCAATAGTGCGATTCTGGAAGTACATTGCCAGCTTCTGGAAGTGTGGCTGCAGCGGCTCACAGTGGCTACTCCACCTGCTGCCTTAGCCCCTGACCCATGGAGGCAACAGGAGGAGGAGGAGCTGTCTCCGGGGCCACTGGCCATGGAAACGAAGCCGCCACAAGCCGCCTGAGCAGCATTCCAGCCCCATCTCCTATCTAAGTCAGCGTACTGTGCCTGGGTAGCGGAAGAGGCAATCAGTAATGGCTCTGCCCACAGGCTCACTCAGATGCAGAGAGAAATTGGAAAGGGCCTGATGGGAAGTTGCTGGGAGCAGGGTCAGTTTGAGCCCCTAGGCCAGAAGTTGCCTAATGTATGGTTTCCTGGGTATTGTGTGGGTTAACTGTTCCACTTCGCCAGACTTCAGTTTATATGACGTTCTCAACTGCTTTGGATCAGATTGTTCCACCTAACATCGTTAGGAGCAAAATCCCTGGCCTTGGAACGTTCCTTCGAGCAGTTCCCAGAACGGAATCGGCTTACAGCTTAGGAGACAGAATTCGGGTCACAACTGGTTCTGTGCCTCATCTTAGTGTCATGAGCTGGCAGGACACCGACGGGGAGGAGGGGTGTGGCCACGATTGGTTCATACCAGGGCAAGATGAAGATGGCAAAGGGGAGGTTGGGGACTTAGGACATACTCGTGGGACATCAGGGGATGTCAAGGAGGTAGCAAACAGTTCACAGAAGCCAGAGGAGGGAGACCCATCACCAGAACCAGAGGTACCCTGATCTCCGCAGACACATTGGGCTCTGAGGCATTGGGAACAGCAGGAAGTGCACTCCAGGGGACTGAGGCAGGCAAGCGCACACAGCCAGTTCACTAGTGGACCAGGTGGACATCATGGGGTTCCTTAGGTCTGGGAGGAGGTTTGTGGTTGCTGAGCTGGATTAGGCTCAGAGCAGGTGAGGATCACGTTTTGTCAAGTGGAGGAGGATAGCTGCTCAGCTGAAGCAAACTCAGGTGCATCAATCTGTGGCAGTCAGGTACAACATTTCCTGTTTGCCCAGAGTGGACACACAGAGGGATGTTACTCCAGCCAGGAGGACTTCCTGTCACACCTGTCTGGAGCATCCTCCCCCTGCGTGTGACCAGGTAGATGGGCATGACCAGGGAGATCCCGTAAAGGGGCTAGTCACACAGCCATCTTCCCTTCCCCTTCTTCTTGATTCTCCATCTTCCTGATGTTATTTTGCTGTGTGCTAGCTCTCAGCCAGGAGCACATGGGCTCAGTCCTCATATGGGAAAAATCCACATCTTTCTCTGTAACTGTAACTACAAGCTAAAGCCTGCCTTCAGGATCATACTGTGAACTGAATGTAAGTAAACTTCTTATTACCTTTAAAAGAAGACTGTTGTGTCATTATTGTTTTAAAGAGGGAATTAAAGGGGAATTTACCAGGAACAAATCCAATTTGGACAAGCCAGACTGGACTGCTTAACTCAAGAGATTCTTACGAATCTTCCAACTAGCTTACTGCAATGTACAGGGAATGTGCTCTGCTGCTAACTCATTAGCGTGAGTGAGGAAGGATAATATTGAATCAATATATCAATATATCCTCTCCTACTATCCACACCATTCCGACACAATCAAGATTGGGAAGGATAAAAGGGAAGCAAGGCTGAGATTCTGCATCTGCTCTGGAGGTGGGAACCTGACCTCACAGATTGTCTTCAGACCTTGCTCATTGTATTAGACCTGGACCAGTATTTGACTATTACGACTGACCTACCGCCAGGTACACTGGGGGTCGGGACATCTAGGTGGCCCTTTCCTGTGGGACTCTGCATCCCTTCCTCCAGTCCATACAGATCCCAAACACAAGTCTAGGACCTCCTTGGGCTGAACCTGGTTTGAAAACAGGAGCTATGGTTAAGCTGAGGTGTGTACGTTTGAGAACGCTGTTGTGCTTGCACAGACGACAACTTTATTGAATTGTTGTTTGAGGCAGGGGGTTTGTAGGTGCAGTGAAACTAACCAGGCAATGCACAACTAGTGAACACATCCCCTCTCCCTCTCTGGTGTGTCCAGCAACAGAAACATGCCACTTGAAACACGGTCGGTGGGACCGGCGATGACCTCACTGCATTTTAAGCTGCTAATTATTTGTGGCTAATGCAGACATGGTCATCACCTCTATAGCCCTGGGGGATATTGCTTCCTTGTAAGGCAAGCTCTTCCTGCTTCTTCTCTAGTTTCACTAAAAACTGTGGTACAAACAGGAAACATGAGGGGATCTGAGTCTGCAGCCTGCAGGGGGACAAGATATTACCTGGCGGCCATTTTAAATTTGAGAAAGATATTGGCAGGCACTAACTGTTATGTACTGAGTTGAATAGGATCCAAAGGCAGCAGTCTGATTGGTCCTAGAACAATAGTATTCAGAATGCAGCAGTCTGATTGGTCCACAGGAGCCACCCAATCCAGCTCCAGGTGGAAGTGAATCCACAACCTGATTGGCCTACAGGAGAATCCAATTAGCCAATCATGTGGGGCCCAGTGTGTAAATAATGTATATAAAGCAGTCATTCTGGGGGAACTTCCATTCCTCCTCACCACTATGAGCTGAATAAAGAGCATGAAATCCACTCTCGACTCCGAGTATATTTCACTAACAAAGCTTAGTGAATTGGGTGCGGGGGTGGATTTTGGGCTGCCAAAATTATAAGGACTTGATGAAGTAAATTGTGAAGCACTGCATTTCTGAAGGTGAGCCAATCAGAAGTCACGCTTTGGTTTCCGAACGTTTTGTAAGTCGAACGGACTTCCAGAACAGATTCCTTTCAATTTCCAATGTACGACTGTACTAAAGACCTTCCCCCATGAATGATACGCTCCCTGATGCCCACCCCCAGCATTATTCAGTGGCACCCAGTTAATAAATCAGATTGGGGGACATTTACTGTGCAACAAATTTGTGTGTGAATTTAAGTATACTATTGTGGCCGTTAAACATGAGCAGGGTCCTTGTATACCATCCCCAACCCCAACAACTTATTTCTTTCCCCCCTTCCCCCATAGTTTTGCATGCTTGTGATGAACATGTACACAACAGCCAACTTTTATTAGACTTCTTCAAAAAGCTGACTCTGGAGGGATAACAGAGACACTTCCAGGCTGTTGCCATTTTCAGGTGGGATTCAACCACATACAGGCAAGGAGAAGGGGACGACAGAGAATGAGATGGTTGGATGGTGTTCTTGAAGCTACCAGCATGAGTTTGATCAAACTGCGGGAGGCAGTGGAGGACAGAAGTGCCTGGCGTGCTCTGGTCCATGGGGTCACGAAGAGTCGGACACGACTAAACGACTAAACAACAACAACAACAGGCAAAATTCAAGTTGTGCAGCAAATCCGCTTTTCCAAAAGATTGGGCTCTTTGCAATAAGGAAAGTGATGGGGAAATGCACTGGTGGAAAGCACAAGGTAAGACTTGCTTTGACTCAATGGCTGCATACACATTGCACCTTTAAAGCACATTCAAATGACAGCTTTCTTCAGGGTTGATGGGAGCATAACTCTATAAACGGTAACCTACAGTGCCCAGAATTCTTTGAGGGGTAAATGTGCTTCGAATGTGCTTTGAAGGTATAGTGTGTATGCATCTCATCCAACCTCTCCACAAATAAAATGAATGAAACAACCAATGCTGTCTAACCTCCCTGCAAACAAATCAGGATGAATGCACAATAGACCAGTCATCTGGAAGTGCGCCAAATCTCTTCCACTCACCTCAAAGGCCAGTTACACCAGGGGTCAGCAACCTTTTTCAGCCGTGAGCCGGTCCACCGTCCCTCAGACCATGTGGGGGGCTGGACTATATTTGGGGAGTGGGGGATGATTGAATTCCTATGCCCCACAAATAACCCAGAGATGCATTTTAAATAAAAGGACACATTCTACTCATGTAAAAACATGCTGATTCCTGGACTGTCTGTAGGCCGGATTTAGAAGGAGATTGGACCAGATCCAGCTCCCGGGCCTTAGGTTGCCTACCCCTGAGTAACACAGTCATAAGCCGGTGCAGCCCAAACACAGGGGAAACTGAGGTATGTTGGACCGGGGAGACCATGAGATGGAAGAAGTGGTGCAACAAACAGGCTGGACACGGAGAAATCTAATTATAAAGCTAGCCGCTGTAATTCAATATAACATAGAATAAATAGCATCCCTCTCTGAATGTAAAGTAAGATGTCCTGCAGTGGAGACATAGCCTCATCTTTTCCTTCTACTGCTATCACCTCCTCCTTTCCATCTTTCTCAACCTCTCTGCTATTATGCAGTAAATTGAGACTCCTGCTGCTGCTGCCTCCGCTGTCTAAACTTTTCTTTCATCCCAGCCCCTTCACCTGGGCGGGGAGAGGCAGGGAGGGCCAAAGGAGCAGGACAAGTCGCCAGACTGATCTGGAAAGGAACCAGTTTAATCCCAACCATCAGGAACAAGGAGCTGCCAGCAAAGCAGGGGCCAGCCTCCGGAGATCAGGCAAGAAGAGATCTTTTTTTCTCTCTCTCTCTCTCCCTCTTCTGCAGCAGAGACAGCAGCTGCTGGGTGGAGCACCCCTCCAGGGAAAATGCAGCAGGACAGAAGCATCATCACCAAAGGCAACATGCAAGAGCCTGGTTTCCCTGCCATCTCTGATTCTGATTCTAATCAACAGGTAAAGCCTGGGGACTGTGAAGTTGTGGGCAGAGGAGACAAGTAGATAAGAAGGGGGGAAAGGACAAAATCACCTGTCTCCCACTGGAATTAACCAATTCTACCGTTATTCCAAATCTGTAACGTTGTAAGAAAAAACTGCTCCTTTTCCCTTATGGGGTACCCAAGAGCCCATATAGAGTCCTTTACTTTAGCAACAGTCAGAGATGCATACGTTTAGCAGGTGGAGTTTAATTTTTCCCATCACTTTTATCCCCACGTGGGAGAAAAACCTTGAGTTTTGGCATGTCAGGCAGCTCTTTAAAGGCACAGCAGGGCCCACAGCGGTGGGGGGGGGGGGAGAGATAACTGTACATGGATCTCTTTGTGGGGACAGCAGGACAGCCCTGTACTTTTAACACAGGATGAGAAAACAGGCACCTCCGCAAGCCACTTTATGACAGGCTCTGCGTTGTTGACGCAGGCAAGCTTTTCACAGCACCCACACACTATCGCCCACATCAAATTGCCGTCCCATATCTAACCCCACCCTCAGTTTAATCCAGATTTGCCATTTCCATGGTCTGGGGGTTTCTGTTTGTTTACTTACGGGTCTTCTGTATAAATGATAAATCGAAATGAAATGGAGAAATAATATGGGGTGGCATTTTGATGGGGGAGGCATTGTGTGGGCACAGCATAAAAACTGAATGTGTGAGGCGCATCGAGGCCACAATAACCTGCTTGGAGGAAGAGTTCTCCTGAGCCCACTTTTGGAGTTTGGTTTCCTTCGTCTTGTTTCCACTGTGATGCTGAAGCAGCAGACAGACAGCCGCCAAAGACTCGCCTTCCCTTGTCTTGCCTCTCTGCCGTGAAATGATGGAATGTAGCACACTAAAGTATATAATGTTTCTCTCAATCTCTCACACACAACTCAGTGTCACCTTTGTTTGCCCAGGCACTCCTGTTGGGCTTTACTCTTTGCCTTGGGTCTTCTCAGATTTTTTACCTCTAACAAGAGTTGCCGGAATAATGGTGGTGGTGGTGGTGGTGGTGTTTTGCAGTGCTCACCTCTCTGTGTTGAGGCTGCCATTTGTTGCAACCATTTTGCATGAGTGGCCTCGATTTGTTGTTGGAGTCTGACTGCACGGTTACATGCTTATTAAAACTCTAGCAGCAGATTCTTCAAGAGAAAAGCAGCATTGGGAGGGGGAGATTTGCAGCAGAGACAGCGTCAGAGAATGGTGCTTAAACCCCATTGCTTTCCTCGTCGCAATTCTCCTCACCTCCAAGCCCTTTCGCTCCTGCAGGTAGTGGTCTCTTTGCAAAGACCCAACAACATGTAATGGTGCAACCCCAGCATTACACAATCGCAGCTCTGGCTTGTTCATGTACCGTATTTTTCGCTCAGTTAGACGCACCGGACGATTGGACGCACCTAGTTTTTAGGGGAGGCTCCCCGCTCCCCTGCGGAGACTTCATCCCGTGGCTAAGCCAGAAGCTAGAACAGCCAGCGGGATCCCGCTCGCTGTCCTGACTGCTTTAGCCGCGCACAGCCTCTCCCGGGCAAGGGGAGCCTTCATTCCCTGCCCAGGATAGGCTGCGCGCGGCTAAGGCTCCCCCAAGAGCCGCGCTCCCTTTAAAGAGCGTGTGGAGTGTGCGTGCAGCTCTTGGGGGCTTTTCTCCAAGGAGGGAGAAGTGTAGCCCTTCTTCCCTCCTCGGGGAAAAGCCCCCAAGAGCTGCACACACGGTCCATGCAGCTCTTTAAAGGGAGCGCTGACAGAGCCTCCCGCCTGCATTCGCTGCATAAGATGCACACACATTTCCCCTTACTTTCTAAGAGGGGGAAAGTGCATCTTATAGAGCGAAAAATACAGTAACTACCCCTCTCCACACATCATTGTTACAAGCAGTCTTCTCCCAGACGGTCTCTTTTGAACCAAAAAGGCCCAAGTGGCTGAGGGGAGCTGAGCCCTCCCCCCATCTCTCTGCACTCCATCGTTGCAGACATTTTTATTACAGTCCATCTCATTTAATACCAAATGGGGTGAGTGGCCATTGTTGCAGGCACCTTTCTGCCAGCCTGTCTCTTTTACAGGAAGTGAGCTCCACTGGCAGGAAAGGTGTGTGAAGTGCAGAGCACTGTAAGGTAAGGAAGAACTGGGAGGTCAGAACCCTCCAGGTGTCCCTGTTTTCCAGGGACAGTCCAGGGTTTACAGAAGCCGTCCTGGTTTCTGATTTGATCCCAGAAAGCCCCACTTTTCCTTAGGACGTCCCCATTTTCATGGGTGAAATGTTGGAGGGTATGGAGTTATGCGACCACCCCAAAGCCAAGGAGATAAGTAACTAGACAACCTTTAGAAGACATCTGAAGGCACCCCTGTAAGGGATTTATTTATTTTTTAGTGTTTAATGTTTTATTATGTTTTTATATATGTTGGAAGCTGCCCAGAGTGGCTGGGGAAACCCAGTCAGATAGGCGGGGTATAAATAATAAAATTAATAGTAGTAGTAGTATTGAAAAGGGACTCAACTACATTAGTCAAGAAGCAGAGTTTTGAATGTGTTATAAACATGCAACACCAGATGGCACCAGAGAGCACAGAAAAAATTCTAAGCGATTCTCCATAGCGGTTTTTTTCTTTTGTTATAACAATTTAATTCCTGGTGTATTTATAGGTATTTATAGTGAGGGGGTGGTTTTCCTGTGTGTAGATCCACCCAAGAATATCCCTATTTTCATTGGCTAAATGTTGGAGGGTATGGACAGTACGCACACACACTTTTTCATGTTTAAATAAGGCAGGCAACACTTTTTTACATGACAGGCGCATGACTAAACATCATTTTGCTTAGCCCTTTAGAGATGCCTTTGACAACCTGCTGCTCTGCAAATGTTCTGGACTAAAACCCCTGGTGCCAGCCAGAAGGGCGCCAGTTTAGCAAAGGCTATTTTAGAGCATGCTATTTTATTAGAAGTCGCATATAATAGATATAGTGGTACCTCGGGTTACGTATGCTTCACGTTACAGACTCTGCTAACCCAGAAATAGTACCTCTGGTTAAGAACTTTGCTTCAGGATGAGAACAGAAATCGCGTGGCGGCAGCGCAGCAGCAGCGGGAGGCCCCATTAGCTAAAGTGGTGCTTCAGGTTAAGAAGAGTTTCAGGTTAAGAACAGACCTCCAGAACAAATTAAGTACTTAACCCGAGGTACCACTGTATTGTTCTTCAAAATTTGCTGACTTTAGCATCTTTATCATTCTGTAGTTTTGATGACCTTTTGATTCCCCCTCCACCCCTGTAAGGATGATGGAATTACTTACTTTAGGTGCAACCACCTTTCAAAATCACTTCCATTTTTATTTGGGTTCCATTCCCCAGCGCCCCGAGTGTTGTCAGCTGTGCGGATGTCATGCGTTTCAAGCACGTCCCCTTCTCCAAAGAATCCTGGGAACTCTAGTTTACTGCTCAAAGAGCTGCAATTCCTAGCACCCTCAACAAAAGAGTCCTTTGGGGAGGGGAATGTGCTTTAAATGTATGGTGTGCGTGCCGCCTAATGATTTGGGTAAGAAGACTAAGACATCTTATTGGGAATAGGCCTGTGCATTTGAAGAGCTGCTGTGCTGGGCAGGAATCTGTGAGGAAGAAGCAGAGGGATGGTAAATAAAGAAATAAAGAACTAGTTTGGGCCTTTATAAGTCCCATGGGAGTGCCGCTTATATTTCTCCCCTTAAATTCTGGCTGGATCATGCTCTCTGTGTCTTACCTACGTAAGCTACGCAACCATTAAGAACAAATTTTGACTATTAATTATATTTCAGAGTTCTATATTCCAGCTTTTCAGATAGAAGCAGTTTACAGGAATGCACCGGCCAAACATCAGTTTTCAAAAAAAATTGCCAAGCAGAAACTAAACCATGAGGTTAGACTAAAGAATTACAAATAAATGAATAAATACATGTCATCAATGTGAAGAAAGCGATCAAGCCAGCTCAGTTTCTGCTTCTGACCTTTATGCTTCATTAGGCAACCGTAAGCACTTCCTTGAGTAATCTGAAGTGGCACTCATTCTATCATGGCACAGAAAAAGATTGTCAAATATAATAGAATAGAACTTCATTTTTCACTTTGCTACGTATGGGCGCTGTGTTTTTTCTTGTGGTAGACTTTTTTAAAAAAATAAGTAAATAAATCCTTATTGAAATATTAGCCAGTATGGACATTTCCTGTTTAGTCTGCTGTTGCAAGGATCTGTTAATGAGTCGATTGATTACTCATTACTTTATGAGGGCAGAAGAAGCCAAACTAGATGTTACTTGGCAATATGAAGTTCTCATTGTCGTCATCGCCCCCCCACCCCGCCCTGCCATGCCAGCTATTTGTGAAATCAAAAACAGCTATGACACATGAAACTATTATTTATTGCATTTATATCCCACCTCCCCCCCCACCAGGGAGCTCAAGGTGGCGCACATGATTTTCTCCCCCTCCTCATTTAATCCCCACAACAACCCTGTGAGGTAGGCCAGGTTGAGAGGCAGTGACTAGCCCAAGGTCACCCCCAAGGAGCTTTGTGGCTGAACAAGGATGTGGGTGGCACTTGTGGGTTAAACCACAGAGCCTAGGACTTGCCGATCAGAAGGTCAGTGGTTCGAATCCCCGCGACGGGGTGAGCTCCCATTGCTCGCTCCCTGCTCCTGCCAACCTAGCAGTTCGAAAGCACTTCAAAGTGCAAGTAGATAAATAGGTACCACTCTGGCGGGAAAGTAAACGGCATTTCTGTGCGCTGCTCTGATTCGCCAGAAGCGGCTTAGTCATGCTGGCCACATGACCCGGAAGGTGTATGCCGGCTCCCTCGGCCAATAAAGCGAGATGAGCGCCACAACCCCAGAGTCAGCCACGACTGGATCTAATGGTCAGGGGTCCCTTTACCTTTACATTTTAAGGATTCGAAGCCAGATCTCCCAGGTCCTGGCATGACAGTCTAACCCAGGGGTCAGCAAACTTTTTCAGCGGGGGGCCGGTCCACTGTCCCTCAGACCTTGCGGGGGCCGGACTATATTTTGGTGGGGAATGAATGAATTCCTATGCCCCACAAATAACCCAGAGATGCATTTCAGATAAAAGCACACATGCTACTCATGTAAAAACAAGCTGATTCCCGGACCGTCCATGGGCTGGATTCAGAAGGCGATTGGGCCAGATCCCACCCCTGGGCCTTAGTTTGCCTACCATATTCTAACCACTACACAACACTGCGATAGGAGTGACGTCCAGTTCAGCTCAAACAGGAATGTACTCAAAAAAGACAGGTCTGTGTCCCTAAGCAGCTGACAGTCTAAATTTCTGCAGTGGGTGAGACAAAAGAAGAGAAGTGAGGGAATGGGAGAGGTTCAGCTAGTCAAGGGATGCATATGAGTGAATACAGTTACATTTACTTACGTTTTGTTTCAGATGGATATGAGGACCAAGGGCCTGAGCCAAAGACTTCGTGGAAAAGGTAGGCTTCTGGTCACCAAACATAAGGCACAAGGTACACTTCTGTGTGATTTTAAGAATGTAAGCAGTTCCCTGTCGGATCAGACCAAAGGGCCATCTTTTTTTTTATCATTTTTATTGATTTTCCAATAAAAAACATCCAGTTAATATATCCAATCATAATACTCCAATTAAAATAAAGAAGTCCAAATTATAATTATTAATTTTTCAGAGCTCCCTACAGTCTGGATCTCTCAAGCGTATCTCCACATCTCAGTCCTGACAGACCAAAGGGCGATCTAATCTCACAGTGACCAGTCAGATGCCTCTGGCAAGCTGGACGTGAGTGCAATAGCGGTCTCCCCAATTGTGTTTCCCCGGATCTGGCATACTGCTGCTTCTAACACTGGAGATACTTGTTGGTGCAAAAGGCACATCACACCCAAACCAAACAGTGTTACATTCCTGAGACTAATCTGTAAAGAGGCTCCGGGAATTGAGACACAGGGCTATGATTGAGCATAGCTGTCAACCGTCCCTTATTTGGCGGGAAACTCCCTTATCCCAGCGCCATTTCCCGCTGCTGTCCCGGATTGATAATGTCCCTTAAATTTCCCGGGTTTCTTGCTCGCCCGGCTCTGAGGGAAGCAGTGGCTCAGGGTCCTCCACCGCGAGAGAGAGCGCGCTGGCGCCGTCGTCCTGGTGCAAGGAGTTCCATCGGCCCTTCCCAGCCTGAGAGAGGGGAGGGAGAGAGACTCTCGCCCACACCGCCCGCGAGCCCAGAGGCAGCAGTGGTGGAGGCAGCTGAGGAGGCGGCCTAGGGAGGAGGAAGAGGAGGGGATGAGGAGGGACACAGAAGGGCGGCGCTTCAGCGGCTGCCACGGCACCGCAACCACCTCATGCCAGATTGACAGCATCTGTCAATCCTACCAATGTATGTAACTCTTTACAATAGCAAAATCCCTTATTTTGGCTGCTGATCCCTTATTTTCAAGGCTGCTGGTCCCTTATTTTCAAATCTGTAAGCTGACTGCTATGTGACTGAGACAAGGGAGATGGAAAGGAATATGCTTTGAGGACCAAGATCCTTTCTCAACCTAACAGGGAGCATTCAAGATGTCACAACGTACATTTGAAGCACCTCCAGAGCACCTTTGAAGCCCATGACTTCAACCCCGGAATTCTGGGAACTGCAGCTTTCCCCTCACATTACTACAATTCCCAGTTTCCTTAACAAGCTACAGTTCCCACGATTCTTTGCAGGAAAGCCTTGTATGTTGGATGTGCTTTAAATCTATAGTGTGGATCTGTAATAGTAAGGAGGCTAGGTTACAATACTATGAACCTGGGAATAAACCCAGTGAGCACAAACAGAAATTATGTGTGTAGGGTATCACTGACTATCACCAAGGCAAGCCTGACTGCTTGAGTAAGACCCTGAGGCAGTTTAGTGAACTAGCCGTCAACTCAAGGGCTGTACTCCATATGAATGAAATGTCATATTTCATATTTGCCAAGATCAAAGCTACCAAGAGATATGGGTGCATTTCTACGTACATTTTCTTTGAAGCCTCTCCCATTGTTACCTCTGTGTAAGCAAGCATTAAACCAGCTGCATGGCAGTCCAATTTCAAACATTTAAGTTAAACTTTCACATTCTAAGTGTGAATTTACATTTCGATTTCGAAATTTCCCTTTGAGAAATTGAATGGAGAAGTTGGAAGTGGTTGATTTTATACAGTGGTACCTTGGGTTACATACGCTTCAGGTTACAGACGCTTCAGGTTACAGACTCCGCTAACCCAGAAATAGTGCTTCAGGTTAAGAACTTTGCTTCAGGTTGAGAACAGAAATCGTGCACTGGTGGCGCGGCGGCAGCGGGAGGCTCCATTAGCTAAAGTGGTGCTTCAGGTTAAGAACAGTTTCAGGTTAAGTACGGACCTCCAGAACGAATTAAGTTCTTAACCCAAGGTACCACTGTATATATATTTATTTGTGACTGTTCTTTTCAGCTCGAATTGTAACCGTGAAGGCTGAAAACCAGCCTAGACGCAAGAGGGCTGAACAGCTCAAAATGGAGACAAAGCAGGAGAAAAAGGAGGAGAAAAAAGAAGAGAGTTCTGGTCTCATTGAATTCTTTAGTTCCTATCAGGAGCTTTTCCAGTTCTTTTGTAACAACACAACCATCCATGGGGCCATCCGACTGGTTTGTTCTAAGAAGAACAAGATGAAGACGGCCTTCTGGTCAGTCCTCTTCTTCCTCACCTTTGGCCTCATGTACTGGCAGTTTGGAATTATCTACAGAGAGTACTTCAGCTTTCCTGTCAACCTGAACTTGAACCTCAACTCTGATAGGCTGACCTTCCCTGCTGTCACACTGTGTACTCTCAATCCCTACAGGTAAGCCTGATGATGTGCAATATTGCCAGTTGGGGCTGACTTGAGCCTTGCGTGGTCTACTTCCCCTGCCCAGTGTTTTAGGTTGATAAAGGGTGAGTTAGCACTCAGTATCCACAAACAGTTAAGGCATGGCTAACCTGTGTAATAGGAAAGTGGGTAGCACTGTGGGTTAAACCACAGAGCCTAGGACTTGCCGATCAGAAGGTCGGCAGTTCGAATCCCCGCAACGGGGTGAGCTCCCGTTTGCTCGGTCCCAGCTCCTGCCAACCTAGCAGTTCGAAAGCACGTCAAAGTGCAAGTAGATAAATAGGTACCACTCCGGCGGGAAGGTAAACGGCGTTTCCGTGCACTGCTCTGGTTCGCCAGAAGCGGCTTAGTCATGCTGGCCACATGACCCGGAAGCTGTACGCCGGCTCCCTTGGCCAGTAAAGCGAGATGAGCGCCACAACCCCAGAGTCGGCCACGACTGGACCTAATGGTCAGGGGTCCCTTTACCTTTACCTTTAACCTGTGTAATATGATCCTGAGTATCTGATCTTGCACTGAAATATGTTCCATGCCCGATCAGATCAAGGGGTCGGTTCACCTGCAGCAGGCATCCATTTGTCTCAAGAGGCAACAAAGTGCACCACCGAGAGCGAAGGCACACTGCTGGGGAATCACGGCGCCTGCTGTGGCTGCAGAAACTGGCAGTTCATAACTGCTGCCTCCTGTGCTGTTTCTGCTGCATTAACAGCACCAAAGCGACCTCCCTGGAGCACAAGCTTGGGTAGTGTGTATGGAGGTCCTGGGCTGCCCAGATAACAAGACCCTTCTCTCAGCCTTGCTGATGTGGGCCAAATGAAAACAGAACAATATGTTTGGCACTAGCTTGGCTACAGGAGTTGCTGGAAGGAGGCCCAGTAGGCACCATCCAACTATCTTGTGTATTGTTTACTCCTTGGCCCTTTTCTCCTCCTGAAGAGGTCCTGGCAAGGCAGCAGGTATGGATTTTTCCTCAGGGTTTACTCCCAAAGCCTTTCTCACAAATGAGTATAGCCACAACACAGCGGAGGTTTAGGACCATGCAGAAACCACCTTCTTGACCATTGGACCCACTATTGACCTAGTCCACTCATTCCACCAGAGCTTGTCTTTGCACGTAGAGGAAGTCTCCAACTCACCGAGGGTTTGAAACCCATTGGTTGCCCTCGCCTGGTTTAGTTGATCCGTCGAGGCCATTCCCAGGGTGTGGCCGCTGTCACGTGTTGACAGCTTCTAGGAGCCACAGGTGAGAGCTGAGTACAGGGTGAGGCCCAAAGGTGGACAAAACAAGCCCAGAAGGACCATGGCGTGTCCCTCCCCTAACACCCCATGCACCCCTAACCGACCATCAAGTAGACCATACTACCTTCTGCCCACCTTTCATGTACTGGATCCCTTGAGGTAAGTGTAGAGAAATGGACCCCTTTAAGCCCCTTCTTCCATCTTTTAGGTACAGTGCGATTCAGGAGCAGCTGCAAGAGCTGGATCAAATCACCCAGCGGACACTGATGGAGCTCTACAAATACAACATGTCCATGGAGCAGAAGAACTGGCAGGCCCAATCCTTGCGGAAACGCAGCTCCAGGAGCCTGTACCGCCACATCCAACGCCACCCGCTCTATAGACACAAGCGTGAGACCAGCATGGAGGAGAACAATCCCCAAGTGGACAAGAGTGACTGGAAGATTGGTTTCATTCTGGTAAGGATGACTTCCTATTCATTTGGTGGCACCTCTCTGCTTCTTCCTGCTACCCTCCAACAGGTCTGCCCTACATGATTTACACACACACACACACACACACCAGTATTGTTTCAAAGTCCAATATCTCTGCTGGACTTCAAAAGCTGGAAAGGAAAGAGAACTACTTGAAAATGATTTATAGATGGTATTTAACTCTGAGTAGACTTGCTAAAATGTATAAATCCTAATCAGATAAGTGCTGGAGATGTAATGAAATGGAGGGTACGTTTTATCATATATGGTGGACTTGTAAAAGGGTAAAGGCGTATTGGGAAATAATATAGAATGAATTGAAAAAAATGTTTAAAAGTACCTTTCCAAAAAAAAAAAAAAAGATTCCTTTCTGTTGGGGATAATTCAAATGGAAATTCCCAAGTATCAAAAGAGGTTATTTATGTATGTTTGCTAGCCCCAAAATGAAAAACAAGCAAGGTCCCAACTAAAGAATGACAACTTAAACTGATGGAATACTTGGAGATTTAACATATACAATAAGAGAACAAGAAGAGCATACATTTAAAGAAGACTAGAAAATGTTTACTGAATATATGGGTGAAAACTGTGTACATTTAATAACACTGGTAGCATTAAGGTAAATTCAACAGTGTAAATAAGTTTTGATGGATGTAACAATGGAATACTGAATGGTTTAGTTTATGCAAAATATGCAGGGATGTCTGGTATGCAAATTGAGCTTTGGAAAAAGAAGGGAAGTCATTGATTTAAAGTTGTTTGGATATTTTGAAATGTAAATTAGAAAAAATAATAATTAAAAATTACACACACACACAAGCTGGAAAGGACAGTGACTGAATCTAACTCAGTGTCGCTCATCTTCTCAAATGGTGCAGGTTCAGATTACAGTGGTACCTCGGGTTAAGTACTTAATTCGTTCTGGAGGTCCATACTTAACCTGAAACTGTTCTTAACCTGAAGCACCACTTTAGCTAATGGGGCCTCCCGCTGCCGATTTCTGTTCTCATCCTGAAGCAAAGTTCTTAACCTGAAGCACTATTTCTGGGTTAGCGGAGTCTGTAACCTGAAGCGTATGTAACCTGAAGCGTATGTAACACGAGGTACCACTGTACCTGCAACATTTAAATCCCCAGTTCATCAAAGAAACAAACAATGCTTTTCATCAGTAAAGATAATCTCTTTTTACTTTGGACGACGGAATAAATGTTAAATTGATGTATCTGCATCACAGCTATCCTGAACAACCATATGTCTTATGACAATCTTGCTTGTGTGACAACCAAGATTTGAGCCTCTCTGCTTCCCCAACATTTCGTCCTCGTCAGGCATTTGGAACGACCCTCTTCCTCCATGTCCATTTGATCTTCCCAGGACCCACATTTCATCCTCTATGCCCTGGGGAAGAGGCCTAATGGGGTTGTTGACTTCCTTTTGCAGTGGAATGAAAACAAGACAGACTGCTTCCACCAAATGTACTCCTCGGGTGTGGATGCCGTGCGAGAGTGGTACAGCTTCCACTACATCAACATCCTGGCGAGCATCCCTGACGTCAAAGACCTTGACGAGTCCAACTTCACAAGCTTCATCTATTCCTGCCGTTTCAACGAGGAGACCTGCAACAAAGCGTGAGTCCCCAAATAACTGCTGCTTTATAAACCCACCTTCCCCACCTCGGTACCCGTTGCTGGCTGGGGCTGATGGGAGATATAGTCCAAAGCAGCTCGAGGGCAACAGGCTAGGAAAGGCTCTCAATGATTGACATGGGTCACTCACTGTTCATGGGTATTTTAATTTTGGCCTAGTTTTGGAAAACACATGTTTGGTTTTTAAAATAAAAAATAAAAAGGCCACCTTCCCATCACTGATTCAAAGTGCCTCAAAAATTCAATTTAAAAAAACTAAATAGCTGATGAAGTAGTGGATTTCCATGTGAAAGAAGGCAATTCACAACATGATCTGTGACCCTCTTTCCAAGAGAAGGGGAAGGAGCATGGAATTTTTACATAAATATCCCCCCCACACACACACACACCTGCCTGTTTACTTGCACCTACACTTCCATCCCCCAGGTAATCTGGATTTTTCCACCGCCAGACTCTGAAACCAGAAGCCATTCTAAGAGAAAAATTGTCTGAGGAGCATTTTTCTGAGGAGAATTGGTGGACATTAGCAATGAGGGTAAAGGGGGGGGGAGAGATTCAGTGCAGCTCACATTTAAAGCCAAATCTGCCTAATTCACACTTGCCAAAGCCATACAAGAAGCAAAACACAACCACCTTTCAAAATGCACATTTATTCAAATTTTGCAATGCAGTTCTCTAGGCAAACAATATGTACACACATTCGTGGAAATAACACATAAAAGAGCATTATTGAATTCATAAAAAATGGCTTGCAAAAATGTGTACATTAATCAGAACTGTCTACAAAAATGTGTTCTCATTAGGAGAAATACTAAAATGTTGACTATTTTTATGAGGATTTTTTTTTTTAATTGCAAATCGCTTCAGAAATGTGGAGCACTCGATTTAAGATTGGGGGGGAAATGTGAAACAGAGAGAACCAAACTGGTAGAACTTTCCATCCCCAGTGGGTGGAAAGTTTGAGGGCTTGTTCACACTTCAGTGCATGGGTTTGAGAGATTTTTCATTTGCCCCACCACTTTCCCCAGGAAACCCTGCTGTTTACCACTGAATCGTAGCAAACACTGATCGGGTTTTCTGCGGATTAACGTTTCTTCCAATTAAACAGTAACTGTGTTTCCCCAGGGAAAACAGTGGGACAAAAGAAAAACTTCTTTGACTCATGTCTAGAAAGCATGGAACAAGCAGAAGTTTGGACAAACCCTTCGGACCCTATATTCCCAGTATCTCTGTGTATTTGGGAACATGTTTTTGCCATGAAACCTTCTAAAAGGTAAAGGTAAAGGGACCCCTGACCATTAGGTCCAGTCGTGGCCAACTCTGGGGTTTCAGCGCTCATCTTGCTTTATTGGCTGAGGGAGCCGGCGTACAGCTTCCAGGTCATGTGGCCAGCATGACTAAGCCGCTTCTGGCAAACCAGAGCAGTGCACGGAAATGCCATTTACCTTTCCCACCAGAGCGGTACCTATTTATCTACTTGCACTTTGTGCTTTCGAACTGCTAGGTTGGCAGGAGCAGGGACCGAGCAACGGGAGCTCACCCCGTCACGGGGATTCGAACCGCCGACCTTCTGATCGGCAAGTCCTAGGCTCTGTGGTTTAACCCACAGCGCCACCCGCGTCCCTCTTAGTTCCACTCAAATATGACATCTGAATGAAAAGCAGTCCCACCTTTGCAAAATCCTGCCTGGCAGCTTGGCAACCCCAGTTAAGGACCACTACAAATTATGTCCAGGGGTGCCAACTTGAATAAAATATTGGGGGGTCCAGGTAGGCCCCACCCTGCATAATCAATCACAAGAAGCCGTACGCACACACCATTTGAATGGCAGTGCCCATCAACTTTGGGGAGGCCTGTCCCCTCAGGTATTTTAATGGAGGAGCCAAAGAGACCTCGGTCCCTAGTAGCTGGTTCCTACGGTTATGGCAGTGCAGCCACGCCAGCAAATATCCCCACTCTCCCGCCAAGAAGGAGGTTGACGTCACCCCATAGCTGTCAACCGTCCCTTATTTGGCGGGAAACTCCCTTATCCCAGCGCCGTTTCCCGCTGCTGTCACAGATTGATGATTTCCCATAAATTTCCCGGGTTTCAAATGAAGCAGCTCCTCTCCCTCCCTCCCTGCCAGCTAGGGAGGAGGGAGGCTCCAACTGTGTTGCTTGGCTGCGTTGCTCACCCAAAAGGAGTCTAAGAATGACTGGGGGGTGGAGCTTGCATGCCTTGTGCCGATCAAATCGGCCACGTTGCCTGGGGACTCGCCTTTGCTCAGCGCTTCCCAGCGGAGAGGTGACGGTGGTTTTCCTCGCTGCATCCCCTGTGCTGGGTTGCTGTGCTGTGGGAACCACCGCTTGAGGCTTTGTTTGGCTGCTGTTTGACTAAAATCCCTTATTTTGGCTGCTGATCCCTTATTTTCAAGGCTGCTGGTCCCTTATTTTCAAATCTGTAAGTTGACAGCTATGCGTCACCCAAATGTTGTGTGGAGTCGCTTCTTTCATTGGAAGGTGTCCACATGATTCATTTGACACCCCTTTCCATGTGATGCTGAGGGAGCCCTGCTCTGCCTGTTACCCACCAAGCCAAATACAGCCCACTGGCCACGTGTATACCCTCTCTCTGCTGCCAGGTTCTTGGCCACCAGCCCCCTTGCCCCTGTTTTTCCCAGTGCCCCTCAAGCAGCAAAACAAGGAAGTGTATCAATTTCCCAGTGGGCTGCATTTGGCTTAGTGATAAGGGCGTACATGAATCAGGCCTTCCGTGACCACAGAGGTTAGTTACACTGGTTAGATTCCCATCTCTGGAACAAAAATACCATTTTTCCAGTGCTGCCAAGCCTCGGTTGTTTGGGTCTAGCTGGCAGGCTGACAAACCACCATTAGTTCCAGCAATTGTTTGCAGTACTTTGTCAACTCACCTTACTCTGACCTTCCTTTCACAACTTGTGCACGCCGTTTCCACCCCCTTCCAAACCCTGAATCAGCGCTGAATGCCGTTTATTCTTGTTTAAATTTGCAATATGTTTAAGCCTTGCTGATTCGCCTCTGGTGCTGAAGACACTATTTATGGTGTCGACACAGCTTGCGCCTGGGTCATGCCCACAGCTTTCACACATCCGTTGTGCCTCTGAATTAGAAAGCGCTGGATCTTCTCTGAGAAGGCTGCTAAGTGCATCAAAGCTGCTCAGGGAAATTTTCAAATCCTGAAATTTGGGGTCCCCTTCAAACTGGTGCCAAAGTTTTGTAGGATTTTGTGGCACGAACCATGTTTAATTTTTTTGTTGTTAAGTACGAACCCCTGTTTGATGTCTCAATTAATCAGTGGGGGGTGGTTCTACAAAACAAGGGGTTCACACTACAAAACCCTACAAAACAACCACAAAACTTTGGCACCGGTTTAGAGGGAATCCGAAACTTTAGGGGTCGTAGTTAAGGAAGCTCTGCTGCAGGGTCATAATCACAGACACAATTTGGTCACCCCGCGACGGGGTGAGCTCCCGTTGCTCGGTCCCTGCGCCTGCCAACCTAGCAGTTTGAAAGCACGTCAGAGTGCAAGTAGATAAATAGGTACCACTCCGGCGGGAAGGTAAACGGTGTTTCCGTGCGCTGCTCTGGTTCGTCAGAAGCGGCTTAGTCCTGCTGGCCACATGACCCGGAAGCTGTACGCCGGTTCCCTCGGCCAGTAAAGAGAGATGAGCGCCGCAACCCCAGAGTCGTTCGCAACTGGACCTAATGGTCAGGGGTCCCTTTACCTTTACTAAGGCTAAGTAAAATGTTATGAGGCAACAAGCAAATCTTTGAATTCACTACAGCGCTTCTGCACACCACATCTTTGGGCAGAGGAAGAAAACAAAATATTGCTGGGCTTGGTTGAAGAGCTGAAGTCAGCAGAGAATAGAATCACAGAATTGTAGAAGTTGGAAGGGACCTCAAGCGTCATCTAATCCAACCCCCTGCAATGCAGGACTTTCAAGTAGCTCAAACATGACAGGTGGCCATTTGTAATAGCCTTCAGATGGGATGGAGCAGGTGTTAAGCGCTATTTGACTCTGCTGGTGCAAAAAAGAACTTTGGATGCAGCAAGGCAAACACTGCTTTCACCTAATTAGCCACCCCTTAAGTGATGTCAAATGTACCTCAGCAGCGCAGTGGGGAGGGTGAAGCAAGTGACTGGCGGCAGAGCTAGGGGGGTCAGGCCAGTGGGTGATGGGGCCCTTCTGAGCTCTGGTGCCCTCAGCAGCTGCCCAATCCTGCTGACCCCTGAGGGCACCAAGACAATGCCAAGGTGTCATCCCTGTGGTTGGCAGCACCTGGGTACAGCATGTAACCAATCTGCCAACCCAACTTGTTCAGTTGTGAAATGCGTTGACTAAGCCCAGGCTGCTCAAGTGGTGTGTTAAAATCGCAAGGCCCATTAGAGTTGTCGCAGATCATTCACAACTAATTATCTCTACACTGTTATACTTTTATACTTAACATTAGATGTATGTTAATGGCACAATACTTTGTTTTATGTTATGCTCCATGCACCGTCCCTGTACATTTGTGTACTGAACTAATTTGTGTACTAAATACTAACGTGCCACCATACAGTTTTACTGGCAAAAGAAAGTTATCAACAAAGGCATGTTAGATTGGCTTCATTGGCATGTAGGTAAAGGTAAAGGGACCCCTGACCATTAGGTCCAGTCGCGGACGACTCTGGGGTTGCAGCGCTCATCTCGCTTTATTGGCCGAGGCCGAGGGAGCCGGTGTACAGCTTCTGGGACATGTGGCCAGCATGACTAAGCCGCTTCTGGCGAACCAGAGCAGCACACGTAAACACCATTTTCCTTCCCGCCAGAGTGGTACCTGTTTATCTACTTGCACTTTGACGTGCTTTCGAACTGCTAGGTTGGCAGGAGCAGGGACCGAGCAACAGGATCCGAACTGCCGACCTTCTGATCGGCAAGCCCTAGGCTCTGTGGTTTAACCCACAGCACCACCCACGTCCCTCTCATTGGCATATGGTGGCATGCTTAATACCAACCGCAAGGTAGCTTGTTTGTATGGTTTTCTTGGGGTGTATTTGACCCCAAGATTGGACCAATAGACTTTTTTTTTCTATTGGCAGAATGTTAAATCAGCACAAAGCCTTCCATCTTAGGACAGACAAGCTGCAAGACTTGGGACTTCCACCATGACAGAAACTTCTTTTTCTCTCTTCCTCTATTCCATTTTTAAAGCAGGAGGTTGATACCTAGGCTGAGTTCTCATACACTATAGCCTGCTGGCTTCTTTTGCTATTGTGTTTACTTGGCCCCAGTACAGAAATTGTGCTACTGTTTATTTTTGCTCATTTCTAATGGGCCAACGCAGTGGCCTGCCTTTTTTCACTTTTGTTCAACTGAATTGTCTTTCTGGATAACTCAGCTGAATAGAGCGTGGTGCTGATAACGCCAAGGTTGCAGGTTCCATCCCTGCATGGGGCAGCTGCATATTCCTGCATTGCAGGGGGTTGGACTGCATGATCCTCAGGGTCCCTTCCAACTCTTCAATTCTATGATTCTTCATTGAGTTGACCTGGACACTTTGCATTTCTTCTTCTCAGGAACTACACTCATTTCCATCACCCTATTTATGGAAACTGCTACACGTTCAATGACAACAGCAGCACACTCTGGATGTCCTCCCTGCCTGGGATCAATAATGGTGAGCAGGGGCTTGGAAGGTGGTGATGGATGTCGGAAGAGGCTCCTTGAGCTATATCCTCATTCCCCTTTCTAATCTGGCACCACATTCATCTCTTTCCTGCAACATTGATTTTTCTTCCTAGCTGAGCTCACTCCTACAGCCACCTGCCTGTCTTCTTTTCTTCCTTTCTTTGCATTTTTGTGTTTCTTTTCTTTCTTTCTTTTTTGATAATAGTTTTTATTTGGTTTTACAAGTTAAAGTTTACATTCAAAGTCCTAAGTAATAAAAAGGTAAACAGACAAAAGATTCACCCAAATCTCTGGACTTCCCCCCCCCCCCTTCCATGGGTTCCATCTTTAGTCCTTTTCCGCTGCATATTTTAAGTTACTCCAATTTTTAAAGTATCCCATTTATTCCTAGTTCTTTTTGCAAAACAAGTGTTATTCAAATATTGCTAAAGAGTTCAATTGTTTACAGTGGTCTCCAACATAAATTATGAATTTCCTCTAGTCTTTGTTGAAATTCTGGTCTTCCTGGTTTCTGATTTTCCCAGTCATTTTCGCCATCTCTGCATAGTCCATCAGTTTGGTCTACCGTTCCTCTCTTGCGGGAACTTCATCTTCTTTCCATCTCTCTTTTGCTTTGTTTTCATCTCTGTGCATGACTGCCATTGGCCTTCCCTGCCCTCTGTCTCCACAGGTCTCTCTCTAGTTGTCCGCACAGAGCAGAACGACTTTATCCCACTTCTCTCCACTGTGACGGGAGCCCGAGTGATGGTGCACGGTCAGAAGGAACCGGCCTTCATGGATGACGGGGGCTTCAATGTGCGCCCCGGCGTTGAAACATCCATCAGTATGAGAAAGGTGAGGTCAGAAGTAGGATATGAGACCTGGCTTCAGTGCGCAGAATTGTGAGGGAATGAGAGGAAAGCACATGGCTACCGTAAGACCCATTGGATTCAGTCAGAGGTTACAAAAAGAAAATATAAAGAAATGTTGGTTAAAGGTAAAGGTAAAGGGACCCCTGACCATTAGGTCCAGTCGTGGCCGACTCTGGGGTTGCGGTGCTCATCTCGCTTTACTGGCCAAGGGAGCCGGCGTACAGCTTCTGGGTCATGTGGCCAGCATGACTAAGCCACTTCTGGTGAACCAGTGCAGTGCACAGAAACGCTGTTTACCTTCCCGCCGGAGCGGTACCTATTGATCTACTTGCACTTTGATGTGCTTTCGAACTGCTAGTTTGCAGGAGCTGGGACCGAGCAACGGGAGCTCACCCCGTCACGGGGGTTCGAACCGCCGACCTTCTGATCGGCAAGCCCTAGGCTCTGTGGTTTAACCCACAGCGCCACCCGTGTCCCTGAAATGTTGGTTACTTTCCCATAAAACTAGAGATAGAGAGAGAAGCTGATTTGGTGTGAGAAACAGCTGCAAATCAAAGGGAAGGAATGCAACTGTGCTGATCTGACATATTGTGAATTGTCAGGAAACAACAAACCGTCTTGGGGGCACTTACAGTGACTGCACAGAAAACGGCAGTGACGTGCCCGTGAAGATCCTCTACCAATCCCGTTATACTGAGCAGGTACCTACATTTGACTCACCCACTAATCCTTACCCTGTAATTGGCACCAGACTAACCCTGTTATGATTACGATCCTTATGAGAGCCAGTGTGGTGTAGTGGTTAAGAGCGGTAGTCTCCTAATCTGGGGAACTGGGTTCGAGTCTCCGTTCCGCCACATGCAGCTGCTGGGTGACCTTGGGCCATTCACACTTCTTTGAAGTCTCTCAGCCCCACTCACCTCACAGAGTGTTTGTTGTGGGGGAGGAAGGGAAAGGAGAATGTTAGCCGCTTTGAGACTCCTTAAAGGGAGTGAAAGGCGGGATATCAAATCCAAACTCTTCTTCTTCTTCTTCTTTTTATTTGCATTACATGCCTGTCCCCGTAGGCTTCCCAGGGCATTGCTAACACTGCCCTATGGTGACAATTCTCCTTTTACTTCACCTAGGTCTGCATTCGTTCCTGTTTTCAGAATAGCATGGTGGACCGGTGTGGCTGTGGCCATTTCTTCTACCCCTTGCCCACCGGAGCAGTTTACTGTGACTACAACAAGCATCCTGCCTGGGGTAAGTGGAGACAAAAGGCATGGGGGGGGGAGAAATCCACAATCTCACCTGTTTCCTATCCATGGTGCAAGGTGCTGGGGCTCCTGTCCTATGCACGCAGCTCACACAATTACTTTATCGACTGTCCCTCTGTCTCTGGACTAGGTTATTGCTATTACAAACTCCAGGCTGAATTCAAAACAGGCACGCTGGGCTGTTTCACCAAATGCCGGAAACCTTGCAAGTAAGTCAGCTTCAAAACCTGTGCAGTTGCATTCCTGGGCCTGGTCAAATTCCACAGAGCTTGCTGGGCAGTAAAAAATATTCAGTAAAATGGAGCGGAACAGGATTTTTGTTTGTTTTTTGTGGTTTTTTGTACCCAACTTATCATTCCATGCTGGTTTCCCAAACTCAGGCCTCCCAGCCCCAGGCTTTCTTCAGAAACCCGGTAACGAAGGGTTCTTCCATTGCCTCTTTTTTCCAGCTGATGTCTCACCTGATGTCAGTGGTGTAGCACAGTGGGGGACACCTGGTGCCGCCTCAATACAGCTGCACACTTCCATCGCTGGGCTCCATTGAAAACTGCTTCTCCATGCAAACCAACGGAACAACTCTTCTTTTCTTATCTCTGTGGCTGCAAACTCCTGGGTGATATGGATGCCGCTAGACCATTGAATTTCCATGCATACTCTATCCGTTTCCCTCCCTCCCACACAGCCCCAGGCACTGGCAACCCATGCTATGCCACTGCCTGATGTAGCAAACATATCTTGTGATTGGCAACTGCTCATATCTTGGAAGTTGATGGTGCCACAGGTGTCCTAGGTGTATGTCTTAGCTGAGACATGCAGGCTAGACCTGGTTCAGAATGGTACCAACAGAAGAGCAGCCTTATAAGAACTTGCACCCTTACAGCATACCCCTCAAGTACCCCAATTTTTCCAGGACAGTCTCAGAATTGGGGAAGCCATCACACTTTCTGACTTTGAATTGGCGCATCCCAATTTCAAGGCTTTGTCCCACCAGCAGCAGCCGCCATCACAATGCTGCCCCAAGGGGAAGAGGACTGGAGCCCAGCGCTAGGGTCCCACCCGGAAATGTGTGGTGTAATGAAGAGGTGGCACAAGCGCCTCTGAGGATGCATCGAGTATTTCCAATTCTGAGGAATGTTGGAAGGTTAGGTTACAATCCTTTGACACCCATGAACATCAGATGTAAATAAGGTCCCCTGGTAATGTGCCTCTAAGCTTATTGTATGCTTTTCTCTTTAGGGTGACAGAATACCAGTTGTCAGCTGGATATTCACGATGGCCTTCTGCTGTCTCTGAGGTAAGGAGATGATTTCCTGCTTCCATGAGTACACACATGCACACCTAAGAACTGTCACGGGGCAACTGCTCTATAGGACACATCGGACCATAGGAAGGGGAGAACGGGGGGGGATTTCTCCCCCTCTCTGCTCAGCGCCCGTTCAGCGAAGTGGCAGAAGAAACGGAGCCCCTTCCATTTCTCCTCCCACTTCGCTGAAGGGGCGCTGCGCAGAGAGGGAAAACTGTGCAGTGCCTCTCCAGCGAAGCGAAGCCTGGAGAGCAAGAGAGATTGGTGTGCACCGACCCCTCTCGCTCTCCAGGCTTCAGGCGGCTATCCGCAAGCCTTCGGAGCGCAGTGGGGACTCCTGCTGCGCTCTGAAGGCTTGCGGATAGCTGCCTGAAGGCCCCGGAGCGCAGCAGGAGTTCCCTGCGCTCCGGGGGCTTCAGGCGGCTTCAGCGAAAGCAACGGGAAGCCTCCGGAGCGCGGGGGGAGCGCTTCCTCTGCGCTTTGGAGGTTTCGCGTTGCTATCGCTGAAGCCAAGGAGCCTGCATTCGCTCCATAGGACGCACACACATTTTCCCTTCATTTTTGAAGGGGGGAAACTGCGTCCTATAGAGCGAAAAATACGGTACATGTTTTTCAGAAAAGCATATAGCAGAGCTGCAGAGCTTTTTAAAAAAGAAAAGAAAAGATAAACCATATCAGAAGGCTTTCTCTGCAGTATGGAGTCCAAAAGTACGTTTCTATCAAACTCACTTTTTGAGCATACTGGGGTAGGGGGTTGGCAGCCACTTGGGGCAAGCAAACAGAAACAGTGGAAACAGAAAACGAGAAACCAGGAAGAGAAGAACTTTAAGGAGGAATGGGATTACAATGTGTTTAAGAGAACACTGTAAACACCTAAAACCTTTGGCAGGATTTGAGTAACACTTGTAACGTATTAAAAAACTAAGGTAAAAATGGATTATTTAAGAAAAATAGAGAAAATAAGTGAAGCAGTTGAAAAAAGTTTGATAGTGGTAACCATGGAAAGGCGGAGGGGAATCGAAGAATTCAGGGAATCCTTAATGATGATGTTGATGTTTAATGTTTGAATTTAAATTGGCAAGGTAAAACTCAATAAAAAAGTTTTTTAGAAAAGAAAAGAAAAGAAGCAGAGTGGAAACAGTGGGGGGAAAGACTAAGTTTCCCCACACACACTGATTTGCTATAAATTCCACACACACACACAGACACACACACACACACAGACAGGTGGATTATTTTCTTGCTGGGGTCAGTTACATGCATTTGTGTGCTTCTGGGCTGCCTATAAAGCTTTTGTTTCCATTTTTTTAATTTTTTTATTTTGCAAATGTGCCGTTTCAGGCCTGGGTGTTCCACATGTTGTCACGGCAAAACAAGTACAACATCACATCCAAGAGGTAAGAGCTCCACCTACAGTCAGAATAGAAGGTTAGCATCGGAGACGTAACGATCGATGAAAAATAGGGAGAAACAGTGAGGATCACAGGGTGCTAAGCTATCTTGGGAGAGGAGAGTGTGATGAATTCTAGGATCAAGGAAGAAATTAATTAGGGATAGGGCTTAAGGTAGATTGCATGAATTAAATGCATGTTTTCTGAAACTATGGAGATTAATTGGACTGGGGACAATGTGTTGAGATTCCTGAACAGCAGAGGCGAGCTCCAGGGTCCGTTCCAACTCTACAATTATATGATTCTAGTGCAAGAAGCAGTGTAGTAATCCATTCCTCTACATAATGTTAGACACTCAATGTGGCTTACAGATACAGTAATAGCTGAAAACACACACACACACACTTTTAAAAATATACACTCCAACAAGTCCTGTTTATCAGCAACCACAAGTTGCTGACTGCCCTAGACCAGAGGTCAGCAAACTTTTTCAACAGGGGGCCGCTCCACTGTCCCTCAGACCTTGTGGGGGTCCGGACTATATTGGGGGGGGTGATGCAAGAGCACCACAAGCCCCTGTGGCTGCTTACCTGTGTCTTGCGAGTGGCAGGGGTTGGCAGCGGCGGCAGAACAATGAGCGGCGCGCAAAAGGGCTCCGGAGAGGGGCTGCTTAAAATGGTGGCCGCTCAACAAAGCCCAGCCCCCTTCCTCCTCTAGGCAGGGCAGGGAGAAGCCAGGAGGAGGGAGAAGCCAGGAGGCGCCGCCATGTGAGGGAGGGAGAGGGAAAGAATGTGCGTGCTGGCAATCCACGCAGTGATTCCCAGACCGTCCGTGGGCCAGATCCAGAAGGCAATTGGGCCTGATCTGGCCCGTGGGCCTTAGTTTGCCTACCCATGTCCTAGACAGATCGTTTGCAGGTTTCAGGAGGTGAAGTAGGAAATTATAGCTTCCGAACAGATGCTCACATTGTTTAAAAACATTTGGCATGTTATGGGGCAGCTTAATTTGAGTTTATGAGATAAAGTTCAGAGAAATGCCGTAGACCTGGGAATGGGGGGGTTGTGAATTTGGAAGGAGTGGGCGTTTTGGGAGAGATGTAGGTTATAATCCTATAGGCACTTACCTGGCAAAAAGCCCCATTGCACTGAATAGGATGAATACTCATTTGTAGGACTGAGCTGTAGGATATTGATTGAGCCAGAACTTTCCCTTTTGTATTGCCAGGAATGGAATTGCCAAAGTGAATATATTTTTTGAGGAGTGGAATTATAAAAGCAACGGGGAGTCTCCTGCTTTCACAGTATGTATTCCCTTCGTCGTCACGTATTCCCAACTGCTCCCCCTACCACCATCTGTGACACCAAAAAGCCATCATCCTTTAAGGCCTGTCCAGATAGTCAGTTCCTGGAAATAAAAATCTGCCCATTGTTGCTCATTGCATGGGAATCTAGCCTCCTTCTTTCAAATAAGTGCTTTTGTTTCAGGTACATTGCACTTCCCTATTTCTCGGGGGGGGGTGTCATTTTTGTTGTTGGGAAAATGTGGTTCTCTGCCCCAAGCAGCAACGTAACTGCATTCTGCAACACTTTTTGGAATGTACTCATTAGAATGTCATGGGAATATGCCAGAATAATGCCCACCCCTTGGCATCAATCAATTATTTTATTTGTTTGCTACCTTTACTACCGTGCTCAAGGCGGCTGTGTGGGACAGGTGGTGCTGTGGGTTAAACCACAGAGCCTAGGACCTGCAGATCAGAAGGTCGGCAGTTCGAATCCCCATGACGGGGTGAGCTCCCGTTGCTCGGTCCCAGCTCCTGCCAACCTAGCAGTTTGAAAGCACGTCAAACTGCAAGTAGATAAATAGGCGGGAAGGTAAACGGCGTTTCCGTGCGCTGCTCTGGTTCACCAGAAGTGGCTTAGTCATGCTGGCCACATGACCCGGAAGCTGTACGCTGGCTCCCTCGGCCAATAAAGCGAGATGAGCGCCGCAACCCCAGAGTCGGTCACGACTGGACCTAATGGTCAGGGGTCCCTTTACCTTTACTTTTACAAGGCAGCTTACAGCATGTGAAAAATTGTGTATCTACAAACATACCAAAAGTAATCATAAACAATAAATAAAACCTCAAAAAGAGCACAACCAAACTGAACAACTTCCACATAAATTGTAAGATCCAATATAAAGAGACAAACATTTACTGCAACAACCTCCCCTAAACAATACCCCAGTCCAAGATTCTGTTCAGCAGGCTCAGTTTTTTGTAGTTGGAGTCAGTCTGAGCCCCGCCCTCTCAGGCCAGGTGGGAGAAGGCCTGCAAGGCAGGGAGCAGGTCTTCCAGGACTCACAGCCAATATGCTGAGCGACACAATTCCCCTGCCCCCATGCCCGCTAACAGCAGCCCCTGCAAAGAGCTCTTCCTAAAGAAGCTTAAACTAGCTTGTCTCAAGACAAGTATCCTATTCCCCACATCTCTCTACCCAGCAAGAAGTCTTGAGATTGGTCACTTTCAGCATCTGAGAGAGTTCATTTTTAGTAGGCTAAGCACTGTGCACAGGAGCTAGAGTAAAAATGCATATACAATCCCCAATCTTTTGTGAACGTTTCGATAGTGAGCGTTCTCTAGGTTTGCAAAACTTCAGCAAGTAGTTGACAGTCACTGCCGGATTTTGCTGTAGCAGTCAATATTTGACAGCATGTGGTACCGTAGATGGTGTCAAAATTTCACACCAACATGACCTGCATCATAATTTAGTAATTTAGTATATGGACCTCAATTCAATACATCGAAATAGGTGACTGTAAAAGTTTAACAGCAATTTCGATTTTTGAAGCGCAAGTGTCAACATTTGGATCATATGTAGACATTAAAATATAAATGTTCTGGAGTACATCTCCAACCCCCAGGAGGCAGGAGCAACATAGCTACTCCTCATTGCAGTTAGACTGGATATTGTGATTTCTTCTGAAATGGAGTTCACAGAACAGGTGATCTAGGTGAGTACCAAGGGAAAAGATGGCAGCCTTTCCAATCTCTATCAGTGGCTAAGACGTTTGGGGAGCCAAATTTATTTCTTGAGCATGGTTTTTTTAAAAAATAAAAATTAAATATTCCCCCGTTTTGATCTTCATTCTGCAGGTGGTGACACTGCTTTCACAGCTGGGAAGCCAGTGGAGCCTGTGGTTTGGTTCCTCGGTCCTCTCCGTAGTAGAGATGGCTGAGTTGATTCTGGATTTTGTCGCCATCACCTGCATCCTGACTTTCCGCCGGCTGTACTTGCACAAATCTTCTGACCTCCATACACCCAACAGCCATGACACCAGCTCCCATGCTGCATCTGCTGCCCCACAGCATGCCTCTGAAGTTGCAGCGCTACCATCCTACAACAGCCTGGAGTCGCTATCCCTGTACAGAGTTTCCTTCAGGAGAACAGAGTGAGGGGCCCAGGCCAGAATGGCTTGCAGAAGCCCTTCTTGAAGCATGGAGGTGCACATTACCGCCAGCAGATCACTGTACTTCTCATACTTCCATGAGGAGGATTGGACCGAAACCTCTCCTGGGAAGTTACTGGCAGAAGGAAGTCATAGTACTTATATATATAGGGCCCAAGTGGCTTGGAATGCCCTCTCTGCCTGCTTTGCAACTTGTGGTGTAGTGGTTAGGAGCAGTAGACTTGTAATCTGGGGAACCGGGTTCGCGTCTCCGCTCCTCCACATGCAGCTGCTGGGTGACCTTGGGCCAGTCTCTCAGCCCTACTCTCAGCCCCACTCAGCTCACAGAGTGTTTGTTGTGGGGGAGGAAGGGAAAGGAGAATGTTAGCCGCTTTGAGACTCCTTAGGGTAGTGATAAGGCGGGATATCAAATCCAAACTCTTCTTCTTCTTTTTCAAATTGGGGTCCCCAATGTGGCACCCTCAGACACACACACACACAGAGTTGCCATCTGCCCATGCCTCCCAATTGTTTGTTTTGACCATGAGTGACATTTGGCCAGGTAGAAAACAAAGCTCATCATCCACCCACCCCTCCCTTCCCCCAGAATGTCTCTGGGCCCATGCAGAAATGTTTTGTTTGGGGTCCCCCCCCCTTCCCTTTGGTGTATTTTGTTTGTTTGTTTGTTTACTTTGCTTGGTTTTGGGGTGTTTGGATTGGCTCTTGTTGCTGTTTGGTTGTGGAGAACGTTCTGGCTACTGGGGGGGGGGGGACTTTTTGGGTCTGTGTTGTGTTTGTTTTGATGGAGAGCAGAAGAGTTCTGAGCATCACCGTTTTTCCCTTCTGTGAAATGGGTTGTTCCCAGGCCCCGAAAGGTGGGAGACCCCTGATCTAAAAGAACAAACCAGAAACAGGCTGTGCATCTGTTAGGTCTTTGTATGCATGATAAACAAGAGTCTAGCAGGAAAGAGAGCATGAAAAACAAGGAACCAACCCCTTCAGCTCACATACGATTAGCACAGTCTTCAAGGGAAAACCCTCTACCCATTTTGCCTTCATTGCTGCCATTTCCAACAGATTCCTTTGCACCTGGAGAGATGCAGGAGTCAGTTTAGCTGGAGTCTTGCCGCCTGTGCAATGTACGCATTTTTTCTGCCTAAAGACAGGAAATGGGCCTCGCTTCTGCAAGCTTGCTAGACAAAGGCTTCCTTGGCATCATCTTCCTCCATCCAACTAGGAGCCCGGGGATTCCTTTTATTGTGCAGCACAGTGTTGGGATGTGTAATATGAACTGAGAACAGAAATGCGGTAAACCCGAGAGCTCCCGGTATTAGAACTGTGGCAATACTGCGAGGCCCAGTGTGGGGGTCAAGGAAGGGGCTAAAATGGGAGCCTGTAAAAAACAAGTTCTCCATGTTGGAGGCATCCATCTATGTCCCTCAGAGCTGGGACACCTCGTGCAACACAGACAGACAGGGAGGCAGGCAAAGGTGACAACTGTAGCATCAGGAAAACAACTGGGAGGGAGGGAGGGAGAAGGTAAGGAAGGTACTGCTAGCCCCATTGCAGCTCAGGAGACTCCAAGGACCATCACATGACCTACCTTCCCAGCCCTGATTAGGCACACAACACTATTGAATGGTGTTATACCACAGCAGGAACACCAAGGAGCTGGTAAAAAAAGGTGTGAATTAAATATTTGAGTGTGAACAATGAAGTGTGCCTCCTCATTAATGGGAAACAACCTACCTTGTGGGATCAGATGTTTAGGGGGCTCTAGCTTCTTTCAGTTTCATCTCATACACGGGATGTTGTTCTGGTCCATTCAAAGGTAAATCTTCTAGACCAGGCTTCCTCAATCTTGGCCCTCCAGATGTTTTTGGCCTACAACTCCCATGATGCCTAGCTAGCAGGACCAGTGATCAGGGATGATGGGAATTGTAGTCTCAAAACATCTGGAGGGCCAAGGTTGAGGAAGCCTGTTCTAGAACATCAGTTGTTGGTACCCATCGGCCTTGAGAGATCATGGAGTGCGCCTCCAGGGGGGTAGTCCAACCAGTGTGTTAGCAGCACCGAAGAGACCTCCCTGGGGCGCAAGCCTGGGAAGTGTGTGTGGAGGTCCTGGGCTGCCCAGACCTCCTCTCGACCTCATTGGTGGGGTCCAAAGGAAAACACAGCACTGTATTTGGCACCAGGTTGGTTGGAGGGCTTGCCAGAAGGCAGCATACAAGGTGGCATCCAACTGACTTAGGGACCCGTCTCTGGATTTGTGTCGGGTTTACTCCTCAGCCTTTTCTTCTCCCAGAGATATCCCACAAGGCAGCAGAGGATTAGGGTCGGCGCTGTGGGTTAAACCCCAGAGCCTAGGACTTGTCGATCAGAAGGTTGGCGGTTCGAATCCACACGACGGGGTGAGCTCCCGTTCCTCGGTCCCTGCTCCTGCCAACCTAGCAGTTTGAAAGCACGTCAAAGTGCAAGTAGATTAATAGGTACTGCTCCGGTGGAAAGGTAAACAGCGTTTCCATGCGCTGCTCTGGTTCGCCAGAAGTGGCTTAGTCCTGCTGGCCACATGACCTGGAAGCTGTACGTTGGCTCCCTCGGCCAATAAAGCGAGATGAGCCCGCAACCCGAGTCGGCCACGACTGGACCTAATGGTCAGGGGTCCCTTTACCTTTACCTTTCTTTCTCCTAGATGGGCTACCTTCCCAGGTTGATGAGCCACAGTCCCTTTCTAAGAATATGAAGTGTCCAAAGTCTGGATTGCTTCAAACTGTGCTGCTTTTACCAAACTCTGCCCATTAATTTGTTAAGTCTCAATCCATTAAGCACATCCAAGGGTACCTTATGATGGGTGGCTAACCTGCAGCCCTCTGACTGTTGTTGGGACTCCATCAGTCCCAGCCAGCATGGCCGATGGTCAGGGATGTTGGGAGTTGTAGCCAAGCACCATCTAGAAGGCCAAAGGTTAGCTCCGAAGCTGCCAGAGCTCAAGCCAGCTGTGTTATCCCTTTCAGGGGCCTGCTTACATTCAGCCTCTTTGCAGACTGCCCCTGAGGATCTGGAGTTCAGCAAGAATCTGGGTCCTGCTTGAATCTTGGCCTCACCACTCTTCTAATGGGTGGGAGGTGCTTTTGCTCACAACATGCTTGTGTTCTGTGTTTTCCCAAACATGGGTCTCCAGCTGTTTGGGGACTACTAGCTAGCAAGTCAGGGATGATGGGAGTTGTGGTCCAAAATCAGCTGAAGACCCAGGTTTGGGAAACACTGATGTAAGTGCACAATGTAACTCCTAGAAGCCAGGAGGATGAACTTCAGCACCCTTTCCCCATTTCTAATAGTGTGATCCAAACAAAGAACAGAATGGGTGCAGAGGCATTAGGAAAACAGGTCTGCATTCAAGAGGTTGTGTGTGTGTGTGTGTGTGTGTGTACACACAAACATGAACATTAAGTGTACATAACGGTACAAGTCAGAGGTAAAGAACCTGCAACCCGTCAGCTGTTTGGTGGACCATGCAGGGAGCTGTTTTATACACTCAGACCACTGGATCTGTCTACTGACTGACAGTGACACTTCCCAGCCCTAGCAGGAAACGCTTGGAATTGAAACTGGAACAGCCTGCATTTCGGCTCTACAATTAAATTGCAGCCCCTTCCACTTACAGCCCTCATCAGTCCCAGCCAGCAATGTCCGTAGCCAGGGATGGCTGCAAGCCAAGAGCATCTGCAAGGCTCCCATGTTCCCCACAGTTGCAATAAAGGGAAGGTGAGCTTACATCCCCTCTGCTTGCGCTCTCACCAGTCCTGGTCTTGCCCCTGCATTTGTCCTGCAGAGCCAAGGAAGGCAAGGATCTTCTCAGACAGCCCCTCTGATTTTAAAAGTCTAGTGCTTCCTACCCACAGAAAACTGCACTGTCCAAGCAATGCAAGCTGCAGGAAGACGTAAGTTTCAGCGTTCTGCGTTATTTCTTTCCCCGTATTCGCAAGCAGGTGTCCTGCTCTTCCGCCAGGGCTCCCTCTGGCGTTGCAAAGTATTTACTGCCTCAAGGTATTTACTGCTTGCTTGCTGCTGTACTGACACAGCACCACAACAGATTGCAGGTAGACAACTTGGGACCCTGGCACACATACATTTGTTGCAAACTACCCACCCACCCCCGGTAGTTGAAAAGGATGTTTTAGAGATCCCTTTGGTGATCCTATACCTACTTCAGCTGCTCTTGAACAACTGCAGGAGCCAACACAGCACAAGGAACCCACTGAGCAGATTCCATTTCTCCTGTACTTTTTTTTATTATTAAAAAAACACCTGGTTTTTGTCAACCAACCCTAACGTATCTTGTTGGTGATGTATTCAGCATTTCAGCAGGAGGCTGCGTAGTTACAATGATCACAGGATTCCATGCACATAATCCAATTATGAGATAGCGATGGTGACTTACCAGGAAAAAAATTCAACTATTTGGGTATGCTAACATACTGCAAGTTGTCGTTTTCCCAGCCCTATCCTCCATCACTCCAGTATTTAAATAATTGCCCAACATCAGATGCTGCTTGGATTTGCTAAACATGCCCACACTAAGATGGAACCTGCCATTTCATACACTGCAGCTAGGGATCGTGACATCGAGCTGTTTAATATATTGTAGGACAGTTCTGCTTTTCCAGCGTCATCTGTAGCAAAACAAACACACTCCTTGCATTTAAATCAGGACAGATTGTAGAGAAAACGAATACATCCTACAGCAGAGACAGAAGATCCTTCAGCAACATGTGATAACGAGAGGAGGGGATTTAGGCAGCAATCCTTTGAGTAAGACCACGAACAATGCAAGTACGCAGGAAACAGTCCTATTTTCATAGGCCACAATATCTATGTGACAGGGACAAAGTACAGTCGTACCTTGGAAGACATTCCGGAAGTCTGCTCCACTTCCAAACATTCGGAAACCAAGGTGCAGCTTCCGATTGGCTGCAGGAAGCTCCTGCAGCCAATCGGAAGCCGCACCGGATGTTCGGGTTCCAAAGAACGTTCGCAAACTGGAACACTCACTTCCGGGGTTGCGGCATTCAGGATCCAAAACGTTTGACTCGCAAGGCGTTAGTCAACCATGGTACAACTGCATTGCCTAGATTTTTGTACCCTCAAATGTATACATTTATGTTACATGTCTGCTGTGTAGGACCTTCATGTGCGACTTCCATGTCATCAGCAGCACCAGCACCGGGGAAGCCTCCAAGTGTCATTTGACAACTCCTTTCAACCCCTACGCAGTAAGGCCCAATGGTCAAGGATGGTGGAAGCTAGATGTCTGCCAGACGTGGTCAACATACTACAAGGATGGCAATGGCATGAGTTGTGGCATATGGCATAACATCATTGAAGTGCTTTTCTCATTTCCTTCTGCAACAGCCTGGTTTTCTTCTTTGAACAGACATGGTACAAAAATTAAGTTACCAATTATGTAGTGCAAATGGAGCTTCTTCCACTACTTCGAGTTACACTTGTACCCAAGACTCTGCCCTGATAGCATAAACGTTGTGTTTAGGTCTCCTCTCGTCTCATGCAGGAGATGCGGTTTGGCTTCCTACGTGTCACTTCAGGGGAGAGCCTCATTTTTTACAGAGTGAGGGAACCACCGCTGATTCTCACCCGCCCCCCCCCTTCCAGCATCCACATAGTCTAGTCTGGGCTTTCCTGCTCAGACCTCTCAACTGCAGCATCCCAGGTGGTCGTTCTACAAGACTTGACTTCCACGGTGCCAGAAAGGGATCCCAATTAGGAAAATTACATGGCCAGGTGTTTGGTTTATCTTGACACACTTTATTCTGCTCATATTGATGGTTTCAGTGAATTTAGCTCGTTTATGCAAAGGAAACAGAAGGTGCATTATGCCAGTTAAGATAAGGGAAGGCAGGACAAGGAGGAACAAAGCACAGTATGGCTATCTGAGGTCCCAGTCAGGAGCTGCCCTAGCTTAGGCCATTTCTCACTATAGCAAGCCTTCCGGCCTCTGCTGGCTGCTCATAAGCCCTTCATGATGGAAGAGTCGACACCAGCTGTGGCCAACCTCTTGACAAACGTGCTCCACCCACAAGTGCAAAGCATGAGAGAGAACCACGCAAACACCAGCTAGGCTGCATATGCAGGTTCCTTCTACCAGGGTGCAGGTTTGACCGCAGTCTACTGAGCAAAGGATCTGCATGAGCACAGCATGGCTGCTGCTGCAGGCAGGCAGGGACGTGGACCTGGCTGTGTGTAAACTAGTCCTGCAAGATCTCCTGCTCCTGTCTAGGTGCTACATTCTTCACCTACGATCTACAGCGTTAAAGGTAGGGTACCTTTCCAGGGGGTGCTATGGCCTACGTTTTAAGTACAGTGGTACCTTGGTTCTTGAACTTAATCCGTTCCAGGAGTCCGTTTGACTCCGAAAACCAAGGTGCGGCTTCCTGCACTCACGAGAAAGCCGTGTCGGATGTTCGGCTTCCGGAAAACATTCACAAACCGGAACACTTACTTCCGGGTTTGCGGCATTTGGGAGCCAAGCCGTTCGAGAACCAAGGTACCACTGTACCTGGGTTCTTCTCCCTTCCCACTTTAAAAGCAGCAACCCCCTTCTCGCTAACACTCAAGACAGAGGACGCAGACTCGTTTTGGGTGGCAGAGGAGTGTTTGTTGGCGGAGATTAAAGAGTACATGAGCTGGTAAATCGACACATGCCAGAAGGAAAAAATATTACGGCTGTGTTCCTTACAAAGACAGAAACCACACGTGCGTGAGAAAGCGGCTGAAGTCCTCTGCATAGAGAAAGAAAGTCCCTTGCTTTAGGCACAGAGGGCCTAGGGGAGGGGGGTAAACTTTTTTGCCCATGCATAAAGAGATGGAGCAAGTGGAGAGGTAACAAGGGGGCGGGGGGGGGGAGAGAGAGAGAGGCAAAACATACAACATCCATGAGAACAGACAAGGAAAGCAAAAGAAAGCAGCCGGGAGGGCTTTCCTCTCAATACAGACGGCAGCAGATCAAAACCAAGATCTTGTCCGGAAGAGATCAAGAGGCCTCTTTAAACACCTTACTGTGTTTCCTCCCCAAAGCGACAGCAGCATCACAAAACACGGACCCCGGATCCTCTTCAGGTATGTTGCGCTTCCGCCAGCACAGCTCCGCTGAGACAGGAGAGGTTTATCCAAACCAGCAGAGAGCTTCGGCGTTCCTGTTCTCCTCTAAGCATCCCCCGAGGTGGGGGGAGGTGGGGGGAGATCAAGGAGATGGGCTCTGCAAATGAAATGCTGGTGCGTGGCAGTGGGCATGCAAAAAGAGTCAGCACCTTCACAGCATGCTATGGGGAGAGTATTCCTGGGTTAAAACATCGAAGGGCCCAGATCATATTGCTTTGTCCGAGGCCGCAATGGAGCCCTCAGTCGCTAGTTGACCATTCCTGTCCTAGAGCATTGCAGTCTCTATATCTCCTTCCACCCTTCCACACTGTTCTCTTTCTGGCCAAACTCTGATTGGAGCCATATTGGGACACCCAAACGCCTCTCTCTTTCCTACCCCTCTCTGTGATTGTGCTTCATAGCTATGCCACTTCCTGTGTCTTCGACTGGCAGGCATGGCTGAACCCACGCTAAAGCAGATTTAAAACCCATTTGCACTGGGCTTCTCTTCCAATCAGGATCAATACAGCACCTCCATAGCATGTCAGGTGGCAAAATAAGCATGAATTCATACACACATGCTCACCACTGGGAGCATCATTAAGTGATGGCCAAAAACAGGAGTGATGAAAGGCATGTATGTGAATCTGCATTCAAGCGGTCCCTGGAAACACTAGCATTCTGCGTAACCACCTCTGACCCAAGAAGCCTAAAAACTAGATAAGAATTGAGGCCTGTCATTGCACAGCAGGCCTGCTTTTTAGAAGGAAACCCTTCTACGACTCCCTAAGGGGCAAAGAAGGACATGCTGCTACTGTTTTGCAGCAGGACTTGGGATCCAGCTAAGCAGCAAGTAATCTGGGACTTGCTGTTTGAATAGCAAGCTCCATCTAAGTGCCGGAGTGTTCCAGCAAACCACATGGCCACAGAACTGCAAGATGCGCATATCTGACCCTACTTCTGACTATCCTGGGAATGCAAGCCTCCAGGAACGGTGCGCTTGCTCCCCGGAGCAGAGGAGACTGGATCAAACCAACATCTTTCCTGCTAGGGTTCATGAGGCCAAGTGTTGCTCGAGGATTGCAAAGAGATGTCCCGTCTTCATAGGACCAGAATTTCTGCAGACAGAGCAAACACCATGAGCTTATGCCTCACATTAAGGGAACACTTATCCTGGGGTCACAATATCCAAATCTTCTCCCTGGTGCTGGGGGGGGCTCGCCCCTCCTCTCTCCTCCCGCCACCCGTAGAGATGTAAGTAATGCTGTCCCAAAGCAAACACACGGCAAGAGAGGTCCAAGAGAAGCGGACACCTAGAGTAGGCCTCAAACCCGCGAGCGTCACTCAACCACCCCACACATTTCCTCCTCTCGTCCCGCTGCCACCTTCCAAGGCGAGGTGGCCTGCTCAGAGGCTGATGCAGCAGCAGCAGCTGTGAAGGGGGAATCAACTCAAATCTGGAAACAGTGCGTTAAAGTCTCGTATGGAAGGCAAACAGAACCAAAAGGAAAACTGATGACTAAGCCAGAATGAAGGGAGAAAGGAAAGGAAAGGAGGAGGAGGAGGGAGGAGGAACACCTGGGACTGGAAAGGGAGATGGGGAAAGGAGGCTGCAGACTGGGGAGGGAGGGGGGAAGGGACCACATTCTCAGGTAAAAAAGTAGACTGGGGACAGGAAGCAACAGAAGGAAGAGAGGGGAGAGAACAAGAGGGCATGTTACACCAAGCCTCCCACACTGAACACAGGCTGAACATCCAAGGAAAGAAAGGCCCACCCTTACTGTCCTGCCTCTGCCCTCATCCAGCAGGCAAAACAACCCCATTATCCTAGAAGGCACCAGGGTCACAGATCTGCTGGTCTTCAGCATCACTCAGAGGAGAGAGGTAGCAGGTAGAGTTTTTCACACCCACAGGCCGGTGCTGTTTATCCGGTGCTCAGGGAGGGGTCACAAGCCCAGTCCCCCCTGGCTCCCCCTTGGTACTTACGTGCAATTGCGATGACCACAATGGCACAGATCACTCCCAGCATGATCATCATCTGGGGAGAAGAGTCACCATGAGCTCACACATTCTTCACCAACACAGCACCCTCACTAAGGTGGGCATTTTAAAAAATGCCTCGTACCAAGTGAGACCGCACGTCCGCAAAGTCCAGTGCCTCTTACCACCAACCTGGTGCCCCCCTCCCCAGCACTGTAAGTACCCATCATCCCAAGCACTGGATCTGCTAGCTGGGGCTGAAGAGAGCTAGGAGCCCAGAACATCAGGGAGAACATCAGGTTGATTAAGGCTGGTCTATTATAGCTGACAGGGACGCGAGTGGCGCTGTGGGTTAAACCACAGAACCTAGGACTTGCCAATCAGAAGGTCGGCGGTTCGAATCCCTGCGACGGGGTAAGCTCCCGTTGCTCGGTCCCTGCTCCTGCCAACCTAGCAGTTCGAAAGCACGTCAAAGTGCAAGTAGATATATAGGTACCACTCAGGTGGGAAGGTAAACGGCATTTCCGTGCGCTGCTCTGGTTCGCCAGAAGCGGCTTAGTCATGCTGGCCACATGACCTGGAAGCTGTACGCCTGCTCCCTCGGCCAGTAAAGCGAGATGAGCGCCATAACCCCACAGTCAGTCACGACTGGACCTAATGGTCAGGGGTCCCTTTACCTTTTATTACAACTACCAGCAACTCTCTAGTGTCAGGCACAGATTTTTTTATTCCCCGGCCCTGCTACCCATACATATATTTTCCCTGGAAATTCTAGGCATTGAACCTGGAATCTCAGAGCATTCATTCTACTTCCAGTAGATGGGCCCTCCCCCTCCAGTTCAGGGAACAGCAGCACAATAGGACTGTGACTGTTGTCTCAATCTACCAGTGTAAAATTGCTGTGTGCTCCCACTCCCTCCAAAGCTCACCTTACAGTTCTTCCACCAATACTTTCTCTTGAGCGCTGCTGCACTGCTTTCGAATACTTGAGCACCAGCTTGGAGCGCATCTGCTCTTTCATCTAATTCCGATAGCTTCTGGTCTCGCTCCAAGACTTTGTCCACATTCACACGCATAATATCCACCACCTGAATGAGAGGGATGGAGGCGGGGGAGGGGGGGGAGAGAGAAGAAAAGGGACAGCTGAATTCACCTGGAAACGAAGAAAGCATGAAGACCCAACGAGAACAGCTCAGGAGGTTAAGCAACTTACTTCTTCCACCTGCGCTTGGGTCTGTTGCAGGCGGCGATTGCTGGTCAAATTTGGGGGTGCTCCAGGGGGGCCTCCAGCATTTTCTTCCCCTTCTTGCCCCGTCCCTGGTTGCTGAGCTGGATCAGACCTGTGGAGGCATATTAGGTGCAAGAAGTAGTCACACTAATATTAAAGATATGTAACCACTTGAAAGTAACAATTATGCCTAGGATTAAAATGGAATTAAATTTATAAATAAGGAAATGTACAATAAGGAAAGCTATGTAATATGATTAAGACTGTGATATGGTCTTTTGAAACACTGATATTGGAAACTGCTACATATAATTACTAAGAAATTCGGATGGAAGAGATTCGAGGAAGTCAAATACTATGTTTATGAAGATGGATGGTACTTAATTTTAATTAATTAAGTGGTAATATGCTGTATGTATCTTTTTTCTCTTTTCTCTTTTTCTTTTATTTATTGCTTGTCTTTATGTTAATCTTTTTTTCTATACTATGTTTATCTACTGAAAATAATAAATATTATTTGGGGGGGGGAGAGAAGTGGTCACACGTGTCTGGTGCTCGCCCCGAAGAGATGTCCCCAACCTTTGGGGGAATACGGGCACTTCTGGAGAGGCTAAATGACTGCTGTGGGCACCACAAAAGAAAAACTGCTGGTGCTCAGAACATTCCCATCGCCCCCAATCAAGCAAAAGATTAACACACCCCTCCCAACAGATAAGACGCAGACAGAAGAAAGCAGGAAACACCCCACAAAAGCAGGAAAGTCCCCCAAACAATACCCCCACCCAGGAAAAAAAAACATTAAAAATTTGGAAACTTGGAGAGGCAATGTGCCTTGGTGGGCGCCAAGGGCGTGGCTGAGGACATCCAGATACCCACATAGGGGCCCTCAGCCACAGAGATAAGCAACTAAACTGCAACTAGAAACGACAGCCCCAAATGTTGTATTCCTAGCAGAACAGAAGGCAGCCAAGGGCATTCTAAAGCTAGAAAAGACACAGAAGAGGGTAACCAAAAATGATCAAAGAGCTGGGCTACTTTCCCCATGAAGGAAAGTGAAGAGCACCCAACTGCTTTTCCTTAAGCCAAAAGAAAGACTCAAAACATGAGATGATTGCGCACAGAAGAGAGAAGCTTTTCTCTTCGTCCAGCCATGGAACTCAAGGTCACCCGAGAAGAACTTCAAGCAAAGGGTGGTACAAGACGCAGTGAAGACCACTAGTTTAGATGGCGTGGAGCACAGATGGGGAACCTGTGGTCCTCCAACAGTTGTAAGACTACAACTCCCATGATGCCTAACTACTGGCTATGCTGACTGAGATGGATCTACACGATTCGCTAATCTACATCTGGAAGACCACAGGTTCCCCATTTCTGGCTTAGAAGACAGATCTCCACATCCACATGCCATGACAGCCAAAGTAGACCTCTATGCTCATAGGAAACATCTCTCTCAAGACCAGCTTGCTAGGGGACAAACAGAGGCAGGAACCTTTGCCTCTATACCCTTCTTACAACTTCCCAGATGCATGTGGCTGGGTTACCGCTGGCCTGATCTAGTGTGGCTCGTCTAATGCTCTTAAGCTAGGAAATGCTACAGAGATTGCAACTGAAGCTAAACACGCCAAGTGAGATAGAAATCAAGAATACAAACAGCTGATAATAAGCAACAATGCTGTGAGATCTTACTGCTCCTCAACTGGTTTGTGACCTGCCAGGGACACCTGTCCATGAGGGATAAAATCAGGGCGACACAGCTAGTATCATGGGCAAGTATGAGCTATGAGCCCAGGACGAAACCTCAGCAACAGCCTAGGCAGTTGTAGGCAAGCCACTGTCCGCCTAAGCATCCTCAACCTGCAATATGGGAGGACTGGCCTCCCTTACAAGGCTGCTGTAAGGCTTCCTAGGATGTGGATGTGTGAAGTGCTCTGTAATACTGTGGCTGCGATTACACCGCCAGAGCAAACGTCGCAGCAAACAAGGTCAAACAGCTTCTTCAGCATCCAGGAAAACCCAGCAAGCTCCCAGGTCTGTTAAGGTGTGGGCAAACACAAAATAACTGCTGTGTCACAAGGCTGGACCGTTGTTTTTTGCCACGGGAGAATTTTGCTACCAATATCCTTGGGTTTTTGCTGCCATAATAATTCCTTCCTGCAGCGAGAGAGGAGAGGTCAGGGGAACTAGCAGCTAAGCCCCAGTTCTGAGAGAAAGGCTGGGTTTTTTGCATGGCAACTGTGGGCATGGAACGAAGGCACCAGGATATACTGGACCAATGACTAGTCTAGCACAATCTGCCACAAAGTGTTTGAGGCAGCACCACTGGGCAGCCATTGGTTGGCCCACAGATAAAAGGACATGGATGGAAGCATGCTTTCACTGGAGACGGCAAAGACTTCATAGTTGCAGAAGTCCAAAGGAAAGCAGAGACAAAACTGTGTGTTTCTACTCTAAGTCACCCTTCTATCTCAAAACCACAGGTCTCTCTTCTCTCCCATCCCTCAATATCTGCTACCCAGATCTCTAGGGTCAGCTTAATATAATTTTGCTGAGCTCTGACGGATTCCTTCACACACAAGCTCATGCAAAGGCGGTTTCCGCACTCCCTTCCCCCGCCCCTAGTGGCACATGCCAGGCAGAGCCGCCTCGGTCACACATGACACCAAACCCAAAGGTTTTGGCGACTTTCTGCTTTACCCCAACCGCAAAACCCGCATTGGCTTGACCACCGTCCTTTCGACCGTTCCCGCATATTTACATTCACACGTGCAGGCGCCGTCACGTGCGAAAAAGCCCCCCATAGCCATCCCCGCGCATCTATTCCCTTTTTCCTAGCCCACACACACAACGGAGCCGCCCTTAGCTTCGCTACGAGCAGCCAATGTTTCGAATGGGAAGCGATGCTGCGGGACACGGGAGACAGAGGGGAGAGAGCAGGGCAACTGCTGCAGGCAAAAAATAAAGGAGAAAAGCGCAGCTGGCCGGAGAGCCGCGGCCACCTGGGGCGGGATGCTGCGCCACCGGCGCCCCATCTGACTTCAGCCCCGGGCAGCCGGGAACGGACGGCGGGAAGGAGATCGGGGGCGGGGGCGGGAGCGGGTGCTGCAATGCGCAACTCGGCAGGTGCCGCAGCCGCGCAGGGGAAGGCGGCAGCGCAGCGCAGGACGGACCGCAGCAGGGCAGGGCGGGCTCCCTCACCCACCACCCAGCCCGGCTACTCACATGGCCGGCTTCGGCTCGGGGAGACCCCTTTCCTCCGGAGCGCTGGACGGAGCGTGCGGAGCGAGGATCGACGGCCCAGCCGGGGGAGCGTCCGCGTCAATGAGCCTCTCCCGCCGGCGCTCGGAGAACTACTGCTGCAGCAGGAGCCGCGCTGCTGCCCCGCGCGCTTTATAGGCGGCCGGAGGGGGCGGGCCCTCGGGCCCTGGCCACGCCCTCCATTGTTGCCGGCCCAGCTCGGCGAGCCAATAGACGCTCACGCCGGAGCTTCTCTTGGCCGCCGAAAGAGACACTCCCCCGCCCTGCAGCCAATCAGCGCCCTACTTCATCTGCATACTTCGACGGTGCTCTCCCAGACCTGCCTTAATTATTAGACGGGAGCATGAAATCTCAGCTTCCGTTTCTCTGATGCTTTGGGGGTTTTGTTTTGGCCCCCAGGGCGGAAGCGGGAGAGTTGCGTGTCGAGGTCACTGGAGAGAGCCAGGATTTGACCAGGGGCGAAAGGATGGAGTGATGTATGGAGGTGAGAGCTGGACCATCAAGAAGGCTGGTCGCCGAAGAATGGATGCTTTTGAATTCTGGTGCTGGAGGAGACTCTGGAGAGTCCCATGGACTTCAAGAAGATCAAACCTCTCCATTCTGAAGCCCTGAGTGCTCACTGGAAGGACAGATCCTGAAGCTGAGGCTCCAAGACTTTGGCCACCTCCTGAGAAGAGAAGACTCCCTGGAAAAGACCCTGATGTTGGGAAAGATGGAAGGCACAAGGAGAAGGGGATGACAGAGGACAAGATGGTTGGACAGTGTTCTCGAAGCTACCAGCATGAGTTTGACTAAACTGCGGGAGGCAGTGGAAGACAGGAGGGCCTGGCGTGCTCTGGTCCAGGGGGTCACGAAGAGTCGGACACGACTAAATGACTAAATAACAACAAAAGGAAGAACACTGCTCCATCTGGTCAGCAGTGAGTCTTCCGGGTTTCAGGCGGGAGTTTGTTATTGCATTCAGTTGAGCGCTGGATTTGGGCTGGAAAGAGGTAGACTAGATAAACGCGTCTTTTGCTGCAACCTGAAGAATCGTAGAGTTGGAAGGGCCCACAAGGGTCATCTAGTCCAGCCCCCTGCTGTGCAGGAGCCTTTTTGCCCAATGTGGGGCTTGAACTCACATTATGCTGCCATGCTGAGCGCTTGAATGGCTGGCAAAGCAGCAGATTCAGCAAGTCTTCTGGCTGTTTCTGCTTTTTAGCTTCTCAGACAGATCTGGCAAGCCAATCTGATGTGATCCAACAGAACCGGTCATCTGGCAGAGTTGGGAGTTCAAAGGGCAACAACTCTCTGCCAGTTCCAATTAGGTGGCTCATATGCGTGAATGAATGTCCCCAGTCTTGAAGAAGCCATTGTAGGTCAATTCCCACCCGTTAGGATGGCCGTAGTATTAGCACTGGCAGACAAGTAATTTTTAACACACTGATAAAAGATTATTCAACCTACCAAAGAAGCAGATACAACTACAGCACAACATTAGTGAATTATGTGTGTGTAATTGTAATATACAATATAAAATACTATAATATAGAAATAATAAAATATTTATATATACGTTACTGCAAATACTAGGCAAATGTTTTTAATTATTTTTATGCAATTTTAAAAGAATAATAAGACAAGTTTAAAATGACTGGAAATTCCTCAAAAATTAAAAAAAGTCGGTGTTTTTGATGTAGTTATTTACCGAGCAAAACTGAATTATATTAATTTAACCCAAATCTCTTTTGAATTCCCAAGTCACGTTGCAACTTTTTAGCATCCCTTATTTTGGGAATTTGAAAGGTAAAAAAAATTCAACACATCCTAGCAGGGCGTAGTCAAACTATGGGGTTCTCTCCCCAAGGTACGTAAAAAGGTAAAGGACCCCTGGACGGTTAAGTCCAGTTCAATTTGACTTTGAGGTTGTGGCACTCATCTTGCTTTCAGGCTGAAGGAGCCGGCATTTGTCCATAGACAGCTTTCCGGGTCATGTGGCCAGCATGACTAAACCGCTTCTGGTGCAATGGAACGGCAAGCCCAAGAGGCTCAGTGGCTTAGACCACAGAGCCACCCACATCACTTCTCCCCGAGGGGGCAGTGATGGCCCCCAACTTGGATGGCTTTCAAAGACAATTAGACAAATTCATGGAGAAGGCTATCAATGGCTACTAGCCATGATGGCTGTGCTCTGTCTCTAAAGCAATACTTCTGAATACCAGTGGCTGCAAACCATGGGAGATGAGAGTGCTCTTGCAAACCATGGGAGATGAGAGTGCTCGCTAGTTTCCCACAAGATTCTGGACGACCACCATGAGAACAGGATGGTGGTAGGTCTGGGCAACGTATCAATACATCGTCCAAAATCGGTTTGAAGTCTGCATCCCTCCCCCTTTCCTTTTTCCTTCTATGATGGAACTCCTAATTGGGGACTTCCCTGACTGTTTTTTTCTGGCCCACGTCGGACCAGTCTGGACAGTAGGCCTTGGTAAAAGATTTGACGTTTTCATCCCCAAAAAGTTTTTTGATTTGAGTTCTACTGAAATGAGGCTGCATTTTAATGTTGTATTTTAATCTTGTTTTTAAGTTGTATTTTAATCAATTGTTTCATACTTGGTGTTAGCCGCCCTGAGCCTTGACTCTCGGCTGGGGAGGGCGGGGTATAAATAGAATTTATTTTTTTATCATTATTATTATTATCATCATCATCGTGATAATGGTTTCATAATATTTGACATGGCGATAATATCAATATGTGTGTGTGCTATGTAAAAAACTGTGATATGGGAAAAACCGTGATGCCAGCCATCACTTCTCTCATGATTCCTGCTGCCCTGTTGCTCTGTACTATAAAATAGCAGGTGGAACAATACATTATACGTAAGTAAAAATGCATCAGTTTTGGACCCCTAAGTAGTAGCAGGACACTACCTCAGTCGCCTCTACATGCTTATTTCAGACATCATGATATATTGGTCTATCACAATGTTTAGGTAAAGGTAAAGGGACCCCTGACCATTAGGTCCAGTCGTGACCAATTCTGGCGTTGTGGCGCTCATCTCGCTTTACTGGCCGAGGGAGCTGGCGTACAGCTTCTGGGTCATGTGGCCAGCATGACTAAGCCGCTTCTGGAGAACCAGAGCAGCACACGGAAACGCCGTTTACCTTCCCGCTGGAGTGGTACCTATTTATCTACTTGCACTTAGACGTGCTTTCGAACTGCTAGGTTGGCAGGAGCTGGGACCGAGCAACGGGAGCTCACCCTGTCACGGGGATTCAAACCGCCGACCTTCTGATCGGCAAGTCCTAGGCTCTGTGGTTTAACCCACAGCGCCACCCGCGTCCCTTCATAATGTTTAGCTGGTGATATATCACGATGTTACGATACGATACTCTTTATTGTCATTGTCCCATACAGAACAACGAAATTGAAAATATCTACATCAGACATTCAAAAACCCACAAGCCTGCTATCCCAGCAATCCCAGCCTGGTAAGCCCCTAAAACTCTGATACCCCATAACTGAATACAATATACTCACATAAAGGCTACCTTACACTGCGTTTAAAACCAAAATTGCATTTGAATAGAAACTGTTTCTCAGGCGGCTAGTCCTAGTCTTTATAACCCTGTACCTTCTTCCAGAAGGCAGAAGCTGAAAGAGATCATTTCCGGGGTGTGCACTACCCTGCACTATCTCTGCAGCTTTCTTATGGCACCTGTAAGTATAGGTTTGATGCAAGGTGGGAAGAGTGCACCCAATTATTCTCTCCACAGTCTTTACAACCCTGGAAAGCTGTGTGGAATGCTCTCCCCACAGGGAAGCTTGCGTGATGGTGGATGCATGATGGGGACGAGGGTGGTACTGTGGTCTAAACCACTGAGCCTCTTGGGCTTGCCGATCAGCAGGTCAGCGGTTTGAATCCCCATGACAGAGTGAGATCCCGTTGATCTGTCCCAGCTCCTACCAACCTAGCAGTTCGAAAACACGCCAGTGCAAGTAGATAAATAGGTACCGCTGCGGTGGGAAGGTAAACGGCGTTTCCATGCGCTGTGGTTTCTGTCACGGTGTTCCGTTGTGCCAGAAGCGGTTTAGTAATGCTGGCCACATGACCCAAAATGCTGTCTGTGGACAAACACTGATTCCCTCAGCCTGAAAGCGAGATGAGCGCCGCAACCCCATAGTCGCCTTTGTCTGGGCTTAACCTTCCAGGGGTCCTTTACCTTTACCTTTTATGTTATTTCAACACCAGGAAAAGACCTTTTTATGTTCCCAAACTGTGTTACTCTCATGCTGTTTGGAGTTTGTTTTTATTTCTGCTGCTTTTATATGCTCTTTTATACTCTTTTATACAATTTTTGTTGTTGTCATTTTAGTTTCCTAAAACATGACTTTGGAACCTGTTGAAGGGTGCGTATGAAAATTGAAATACAGAAAAATAACTGTCGCCTTGCCCACATAGTTTGTAATGCCTTCTCCAAAATTCACAATAGCCAGAAAGCGAAAATATGCCTGTGAGCAGAGTTGAGCCCTCTTCCTGTTTTTTCTTAGGCATAGAACATCTACCAGACAGATGAGAGGCAGTCACAGGCTAGATTTAAAGAGAGGAGCAATTGCATAACAGCCTAAGATATTTTCAGGGCTTCCTCCATCTATAATTGCCTTCTCTATATGAACCTTCTTGAGTCAGTGTGCTCTCTGGCACACTGACCTCTGAAATATTGTTGACAAGGACAGGGCCTTCTCAGTAGTGGTGCTGTGGTTTTGGAATACATCTTGAGTCTGAACAGAGCTAAATCAGACATGATATTTTTATTCAGACAGACTAAATTTCATTTTTTTCTATAGCTGATGCTTCATTTCACCTAGTAATGTTATTGACTGTGCACTTAATTTTGTTACACTCAAAATAATGGTTAAAAATTGTGATTTTTTTTTAATGCAGAAAAGTGGCTTATAAAATATTAAATACATAAACTACCTGATCCCTTGATGACCAGTTTATTCTTTATATTATTTATTGTGTTACTAATATTGTATTATTCAAAAAATAATGGCTGGCTTCAGGTTTATTAGTATTATATTCAGGTGAGACCATTGATAGAAATATGTATTCTAATCTCAAACAAAAGACAAGGTTGACTTCTTTGGGAGGGCATTGTTTTTTGACACTGGTCTTCAGGACGCATTAGAACTTAATTCTGTTTCCCTCCTGAAGTGCTTTTAAGTAACGCGGCAGCCAGTGTTGCATCTGGAATGGTTCTGAACTACTTTACGCAGCCAAATTAGTTTGCCATTTTATGAATGCTCCCTGCATGTTTGAATTCCCTTCCCTGGTTCCCTGTGAAGACTGCTACTGCTCTGTATCACATTTTTGGGAATAGCCTTGCCTATTCCCAAGTCCATCTTAAGACTGATGACAGAAACCCTGACAGAAAAGTGTTTACAACACAATCACATCCTGTCAAACAGGGTGATATGCAAAGATTTCATGAAGCACTTTGATGTGATCAGTAATGCTATTATTACAACTTAGAAGCAATTTACACTTTATGTGACAGACATGTCCAGCATTCCTCTTAAAGACAATGACAATCTATTGTTATGAAAGGCGCTCACAAGAATGAAAAGTGGAAGAGGGATTTGCCTCATTCTGCCCCCCCCCCCCTTCCAGGACTTCAGCTGTGAATTAAATTGGCTGCTGTGGCACCACTGCTGATCACTCACATGGCTTTTACTGTGGCCCTAAACCCTCTCCTAGGGTGTATGGGGTGCTAAGGGAGGGGTAGTACCTCTGGTGGGGACACACTGTGCTCCTTCTGGGATAGTTTTCCACCTTTGGTCCCCACCTTGCACTCAGCTCTCACCTGTGGCTCCTATAAGCTGTCAGCATGCAACAGCGGCCACACCCCAGGAATGATGGGGTTGAGCCAGGCAAAAGCTACGGTCAGGCAAAGAATCATAGACACCGAGAGACAACAGGACTGCTCAAGGTGCCCTAACTATAAAATTGGAGAAATTGAGAGATATATAGCCGCACCGGCAGCATTTCTCTTCTTTCTCGTATCTAAAAATGCAAGAAGGGCCTTTACACTCGCCAGCAGCTCGGCTCTGCCCTCGCCGGTCCTGGAAGGAGCCTTTAAAAAAGTCCCATATGCTCAGAGACTTTGTGCCTGTTCTTTTGGAGAGATAGGAAGCCCAGAACACTTGTTCTTTAGATGTCCCTTTTATGAAGAGGCACATAGTAAGACCATTGATCCCCTACTGGTGAGGCTCGCTGACCTCCCGGAAATGCAAAAATTCAACCTTTTCCTGTTAGGCAAAGATCAGAAGACGACCTGGATGGTCGCCAGATTCTGTGTACAGATCTGTAGGTACAGACCATCTCCCAACTCAAACTAGTTCGTTATGAAAATCCCCAAACTCGGCTCCATGTGTGACTCTGGATCAACTCCCTGCGGTAGTTTATTGTTGTACATTGTTTTTAAATTTATTGTTGTACATTGTTTTAATTGTTTGTTTTTCTTCTGTGACTGTACCCCCAAGTGTGTTTTATAAGCTGGTCTCCGACTGTAATAAATTATCTATCTATCCCAGGAATGACTTAGACTGGCTGGCTAAACCAGGTGAGGGTAGCCGATGGGTCTCAAACCCTAAGTGAGTTATGGAGATCCCCTGCATGTGAAAACAGACTCTGGCGGATTGAGCGGACGAGACCAATAGTGGATCCAATGGTCAAGAAGGCAGTTTCTGCACATGCTGTTGTGGGAAGTGAGGGGCAGATGAGGCCTGTCAACCTGGGAAAGTAGCCCGTCCAGAAGGAAAACTCTGATCCTAAAACTCAGCTTCCTTGAAGGATATCTTCTAGAAAAGAAAGGGCTAAGGAGTAAACCCTATACAGATCCTTAGTGGAGTCCCTAAGGCAGTTGGATGGCGCCTTGTACACCTACTTCCAGCAAGTCCTGCAGCCAAAGGTATTCCTCTGCTTTCCTTTGGACAACATCAGCAAGTCCCAGGACCTCCATATACGCTGCCCAGGCTTGAGGTGCTAGTTTCACACACTAACCACTACAGTCATACCATACCTTGGAAGTCAAATGGAATCCGTTCCAGAAGTCCGCTCAACTTCCCAAATGTTCGGAAACCTTCCTGCAGCCAATCGGAAGCTGTGAAAGCCCCGTTGGACGTTCGGGTTCCAAAGAACGTTCGCAAACCAGAACACTCACTTCTGGGTTTGCGGCATTCGGGAGCTAAAACATCCAAGGCATTTGGGATCCAAGGTAATACTATACACCACATTGGCTTCCTAGAGTACTTCTGCTATGGGGCAGCTATATAAATTAAGTAGGTAAATAAATAGGAGGAAAGCAAGGCATCACTTAGAGAAGGATCTGAACTGTTTTCCTTGAAGCTTGAATTCGTTTTATTCTGGATTGTTCTATTTTATGTTCTAATGTGTTGTAAACTGCTTTGAGATGATTTTCTCCTTAATGGAATAAAATAATAATAATAATAATAATAATAATTCACGGGGGGGAAATGGCACCTAAGCATTCCATTGTGATGACCATAACCTAGGTTTAATGTGCCATTTGACAATCAGCTTATATATCTGAGTTTCTAATAAGGTCCTTCTCCATACCCTCCTCAACTACTTTGGCATGGATGATGGATGGGAGGAAATGTGTGTAGCAACCTCTGGTTTTTGCATGGTTGGAATGTAGCCTACATTACAAAGTGGCACCACCCATCACTAGCTTGTATGCCCCTTCCCAATATCTCTACTAGAACATGTAGCCCTTGGACTGAAAAAAAGTCACAGCAGTACACTCACAATGGGACATTAGTACATTGTACAGGAATATATTGGTAGATGAGGTGGCATACAATGGAAACATAATAAGCATAAGATCATTAGAACAACTTTCCACATCCATAGTTCTCTTTGGAGCCCTAAGAACATGAGCAAATATTTTGCACCGTGTTCTTCGGGACAGATGCTCGCGAACGCGGAGCTGCTCTCAGCGATGCTTCCCAGTGCGGTTATAACGCCTGTACAAATATCTAATCCTCTTGTTCAGGTTGTGGTACTCATCCACGAACATTCGGTCACCCACCATTTTCTTTTTGCGGATGCATCTCTGAAGTTCATTCCCCCGCCAGCCGCGTAACCATTTGGGGCCGATGATCAGGTCCCTGGGGTGGGCCTTAAAGTCCCCTAAAAAGAGAGAAAGAGAGACAACAGACATAAAAAAGAGGGAGGTCAGCCTTGGGGCTGTAGGCCAGACACTGTCCCCCTTCCTCTTTTGCACACACCTCCCAAGGCACCCATGCTGCCCTGCCAACCTCCTGAGCACGAAAGTAATAATAAAAATGCTGTCAGCGACTGGCAGGAGCTGGAGTCTGACACAGGGCAGAGGGGTCAGTGATTTTTGGGGAACTATATCGGCTAGGGGGCAAGAGTCGGAGGCAGGGGAAGCTTCGGAGCTGCAGGATGGAGCACAGGATGGGTTGAAAGAACAGGAGGAAGAGGCAGGTCAGGTAAGTGTAGGGCCCATGTGCTTCTCCACCCTCTCCTGCACCACTGTCTCCCACCACCAGGAGAGGACTGAAAAGGGAGGAGCAGAGGAAGTTGCCATGCAGGCAGTCTTGGGCTGTGACGGGGTAGGTACATAAAGTGGTAGAGAGGGAGTGTTAAGTATTATCCTTGACAATAAAGAGTTAACTATCCGCCATGTGCATTCCTTCAGTTGGGGAGCACTCCTAACAAATACCTATTAACAGATATACATGTCTTTCCCTTACTGCTTGTCACCAAATGCCAGCATATCTCCCCGAGAGTGAGGCTTTCATGTCAGCTCCCTTCCCCCTCCCTCAAAAAGCAATGGGTTGAGGGACCCCCAGAGCAGATTGGGGAACTGTGGAGGGCTGCAGGGGGGGCAGGAGAGGAAAAGAAAGCCTGTGTTTGCTGGCATAAAGTTGCACGCTACCCGATTTATCTGTTCAGTAACTCTGCATCCCCAATATTTACCCAGAATGCCAATATTGTCATAGACCCCAAATAGTGCTCGTTTCTCTGTCCATCGATCGACTGGTTTGGGGCGGGGGGGCTCCTTCACACGCATTTGGTTAGGGATTCCTGGAAGAGAAAAAGTGACCAGAAATGGTAGGTCTGTCATTGTAAAAACTCCACCCTTGGGATCTGTTCTTTAGGTACTCACCTTGGAAATTCTCACATTGCATATGTCCAAAAATACTACTTACTCAGATTTAGATGTGGGCAACTTGGGATCAAGGCCTACCCATGCTAATAAAATAATAATAATTTATTATTTATACCCCAGCCATCTGGCTGGGTTTCCCCAACCACTCTGGGCGGCTCCCAATCGAATATTAAAAACACAATACAGCATTAAACATTAAAAACTTCCCTAAACAGGGCTGCCTTCAGATGTCTTTTAAAAGTAGGACAGTTGCTTATTTCTTTGACATCTGATGGGATTGCGTTCCATGGGGCAGGCGCCACTATCAGTAAGTCCCTCTGCCTGGTTCCCTGTAACCTCACTTCTCACAGTGAGGGAACCGCCAGAAGGCCCTTGGAGCTGGACCTCAGTGAATGATGGGGATGGAGATGCTCCTTCAGGTATACTGGACCGAGGCCAGCATAACAGTTACAGCATAACGGTTACAGCCGAGGAGCAGAAATTTCAGAAGGTGTACAATATTGCAGCCAGAGTTCTCGGAGAAGGGCTTCTGCTGATAAGCTCATGGGACTTACGGAAAAAAGTGTTCCTTCAGGTACTGAAGTCTGAGGACCCATGTGGCACTTTATAGGAGGGGAAATTGGCACCTTAAACTGGGCCCAGAAACAAAGCAGAACATAGTTATGACCCCACTGGTATTAAACAGGGACACCCCACAAGCACCCCTCACGAGAAGGGTTGACTCCACTCCTCTGAAGGAGTGTTCCCCACTGAAGTCAAATCTACATGCGCCAGGCAGAGATGAACGCTACCTAGGAATTGTTTCTAGGGATTAAGTCACCAGGAAGCAAGCAGCATTAAAATCAACAGGATTTGCTTCTGATCTGAGTGAACAAGCTCACAGAAGCTAGCGTGACTCAAAAGTTGGGTCCCCAGATGCTGACATGAAAAATCCCAAACCAGCATCATCAAGTATTCCAAAAGGACTGGAGTAAATTTATATATTTGAAAGATTATTGTAATCAAGTAACATCACTAGCAGGGTTGTCTGAAGACTTGTAATGAGAAATTCTCTCCCTTTTTATATTTATTTAACTTTTGAGGTGTTTTGTAATGAGCATAATTAGAACTGGAAAACGTATAAAATGCAGTGATATAAAGGTTAATTTTGAAAGCCATGAGGCAGGAGGGAAGGAAGTCGAGGGGCTCTAAGGAGAGATAAAGTTGATAATAAGGATGTGATTGTATATTATTAAATGGAAAACTAATTTATATGTGTGTGTGTTTTCCATTTTTATATATATAGATACAGTGGTACCTCAGGTTAAGTACTTAATTCGTTCTGGAGGTCCGTACTTAACCTGAAACTGTTCTTAACCTGAAGCACCACTTTAGCTAATGGGGCCTCCTGCTGCTGCTGCCGCGCCGCCGGAGCACGATTTCTGTTGTCATCCTGAAGCAAAGTTCTTAACCCAAGGTACATTTCTGGGTTAGCGGAGTCTGTAACCTGAAGTGTATGTAACCTGAAGCGTATGTAACCCAAGGTACCACTGTATAGATACAGTGGTACCTCTAGAAGCGAACGGGATCCGTTCCGGAGCCCTGTTTGTATCTAGAAGCAAACGTAACCCATGTCTGCGCGTCTAAGCATGCGTGGGTCACGTTTCGGCGCTTCTGCGCATGACGTCATTTTGAGCGTCTGCGCAAGCGGCGAAACCCGGAAGCAATGCGCTCCGTTACTTCCGGGTTGCCGCAGAGTGCAACTTGAACGCGCTCATCCCGAAGCACATTCAGCCCGAGGTATGACTGTACAGTGGTACAGGTTACATACGCTTCGGGTTACAGACTCCGCTAACCCAGAAATAGTACCTCAGGTTAAGAACTTTGCTTCAGGATGAGAACAGAAATCTTGCTCCGGCGGCGCAGCGGCAGCGGGAGGCCCCATTAGCTAAAGTGGTGCTTCAGGTTAAGCACAGTTTCAGGTTAAGTACGGACCTCCGGAACGAATTAAGGTCTTAACCTGAGGTACTACTGTATAGATAGATAGTTTTCCATTTAATAATATACAATCACATCATTATTATCAACTTTACCTCCCTGGCTCCTTAGAGCCCATCGACTTCCTTCCCTGGAGACTGTAGTCCAACAGCAGCTGGAGACCCAAGTTTGAGTAACCCGGATGACACGATACACGAGATCGGCTTTCTAAGCATTCAAATACTGTAATGGGAACTACGGCGACATGACTCCGGTGACGTCATCGCCAGGCGACTGGGCCCCCACTTCTCCTCCGCGCAGACGGGCTGACTCACCCGTACTGAATGGCCGGCTTACTCCGGGAGCGAGGAAACTGCGGCCCAACAAGCCCCGCGAGGCTGACAAGAGCAGCGCCGCCGCCATCGAGATCCCGAGTTACTAAACCGCTTCCCTCACGAATCAAGTTCTGCCATCTTGGGACCTTCCCAGAATGCATCGCTTCCCCACAACTTCCGGTCAAGGATTTTCTTTTCTTTTTTTAATGGGAAGTGAATGAAATTACCATAGAGCTAGAAAGAGGGGGGAAATTGAAGACAATCTGGAATGCTTGGTTAGGGCTAAATAAAAGGGGCTGAAAAAAAAACCAAAGAAAGCACTCTTTAAATAAATTAATTGGGGGGGGTGAGCTGCTTAAAGAAATCAGTGAAGAAATTCGGGATTTTATCATGACTTCGAATGGATTACAGCATCTCCCTACCTAGAAGGAAAAGGTAGCAGAGAAAATCAGAGCTCATCCTTTTTTCAAACGTGCGTCGTATTTTGCGTGCTTAATTGCTTGTTGCTTACAAACATTCATTGAAATGTTATGATAATTCAACTGCGATCGGGGAGGGCCGTTTTAACTGACACTCTGGATATAGAAGGTTAAAAGGTGGGCTGATAATGAGACTATTTGGGACTCTTACGAACCAAAAACCCTCCAGGTACTCGTAACTGTCCCGTCCTTAATTTGCAATCCATCAGATCCAGGGTTTAGTTCTATGCAGAAACATTGAGCTTTACTGATTTGCACGGAGCCGTATTATACTTTTAAGATGTTTTAAAAACTCTTTTGTTAAAAATCCATGAGCTCTTGTTTAGCTTATTTTTTAAAAAATGTATTTCATTGATTTTAAATGGCAAATAGCAATACAGTGCAGAAAAAACTTAATAAATAATTGTCGAAGTGGAATGCAGAGCCTTAACAAAAAGAAGAAAGAAAATATTGACGAAAGAGTTGTGGTGACTTATATTCCAATGAAAGCTGTCAAATAAAAGTTTCGTTCCATAATGTTTCCATGCGGTGATGGTGGATGGAAAGAAACCATGTTCAGTCGATTTTGCAGAGTCTAAGCTGTAACATAGCTGTCAACTTTTTCCCTTTTCTTGCGAGGAATCCTATTCGGAATAAGGGAATTTCCCTTTTAAAAAAGGGAAACGTTGACATCTACGTGTACAGAAAGTATTGGGGGTCCATATAGGAACGATGCCCGTATTTGCGAGATCCAGCTTCGAAAATGTTTGCTCCCCAGAGATTTCCCGTATTTTGCTGCCACTAATTTAGCCAGTTGACGATAAGCGCGGAATGACACCTTTATAGGTTACATACCTCGATTCTGTGGGGCAAAGTAGGATCAACAAGGCGGGTTTCGTTCCTCATTTGAACGTGATCTATTTAATTGTGTCCAGTGCTTTTTTTTTCTTTTAAAATGTTTAGAGGTGCTCTCATTTTCCTACTGATATTGAAATATACTGCCCCCCAATGAGGCCAAACTTAGATTCACAAAATGTTTAGGGGTACCCGTCCCCCTGCGCCCCCCCCCGAGAAAAAAAGCACTGATTGTGTCACTTAATAAGGGAACCGGAGGAACGACTATATTTCAGTAGTCCTAAAAAGAAAAGGCAACTCTCCTCCGCTGAAGAAACTAACGCCAAAGGCAACCAAAAAGTTCCGTCTCGGAAGTATCGCGTACTTTCACATCTCTATACTTTTTGCCAAGCTCTAATTGTAAATTTGGGCCGTTAGAGAGGACCTCGCCCTCTGCACGTGATTGGGGCGGCCGGGCTCAGCGTCGTGATTGGGCGAGCGGGTGGCGTTCGAAGTGGCGGCGCGCATTTCGTCTTCTCTGTCTCTTATTGGGCGGCGGGCGCGCGCGCGCGCGCGCTGGGGGTGCTTCGTTCGGTGCTTCCCGCGCTTTCCCCCCATTCGCTGAGGCGCCGCCGGCGGGCCGGTTGGTCGTGTTCCGAGGTCTTCTCTGCGGGCCTCTCTCTCCTCCTGAGGGGATTCTTTTCCGAAGCGGCCATGGCCGACGCTCCTCCGCCCGCGGCCCCCTCGTGGGAGTTCAGCCTGCCCTTGTCGCCCGCCGACTTGCTCCGCGGCGCGGGGCCCTCGCAGTACGTGGTGCAGGAGGTGCTGCCCCCGAAACAGCTCCCGGGGCAGCTGGCAGGTGGGTAGGAGGCGGGCGCTGACGTCGCCGGGGCTCGGGGCAAGCCTACTCGGGAGTAAGGCTCCTTCCCGCCTTCATCTGAGCCGGGCTTACTCCCGAGTAACCGTGCAGCTTGAGAGGCGGTGGTATATGTGTGTGTGTCGAGGTCTGTTCCCAGATACAACAGGCGGACTGCACGAGAATCACAGAATTGTGAGTGTGATTAGAGTGTAATTAGAATAGGAAAACGTACAAAATGCAATGATATAAAGGTTAATTTTGTTTTTTTGTTTTTTTTTAAATGATTTTTATTAAGGTATCAATAAAAAGTTAGAAATAAAAACATAAAACTAAAAGTACACAAATACACAATACATAATCCAAAAAGAGAAGGAAAACACAGAAAACAAAATACAAAAAAAACCAGAACAATTAAAAACAATATCACTTTTCCATTTCCGTTTTTGAATTTACTTATTTTCTGGACTTCCTCATACCTCCCTCTTTTGTATTCCAGTCCAAATTGTTTGTCCAGCAATTTCTTTTCCACTTTTTTAATCCCAATCTTTAATCTTAATATAATATAACACTTAAACTTCTTTAATCCTAATCTTTAATCTTAATGTAATATAGCATTAAAATTTTACCTCTTAAGTACCAAATTTCCATTTCCTTAAACATCTTTAATCCTAATCTTTAATCTTAGTCTATCGATATAAAGGTTAATTTTGAAAGCCATGAGGCCGGAAGGAAGTTGATAGGCACTAAAGAGCCAGGACGGTAAAGTGGACATCGAGGATGTGAATGTATATAACTAAATGGAAAATAAATAAAAATTATATATATATATATATCGCAATTTTATAGTTCAAATCGGGAAAAATAAATACAGTAAATGAAGAGAAGTACAAAGATTCACAAAATGTTTAGGGGTATGCGTACTTATGCATCCCCCCAGAAAAAAAGCACTGATTACCTGACTGCGACCCCCTTGTCACATATAAAACAGCCTTGGAAAAAGCCACTAAAATTATTTGCCAGTCACATAAAAGACAGCATAGATTGTGCAGGGGAGTCATTAATTTGATTTATTGTAAATGGTTGCTTGTTTCTGGATCTTAATGGGTTTTATTGGGTTTGGTGCTTTTGTAACTGGATTTGTAATGCCTTTTAGTCAAATACAATAAATGACTGATTGATTGAAGAGAGAGAGAGAATCACAGAATTGTAGACAACCCCGACCAGACAAGAATGGGAAACTAAGTTGATGGACTGTGCTGAAATGGCAAAATTAACTGGGAAGCTCAGAAACCAAGAAGACATTTTTTGTCTGCCTCCCCACCCCCACGCAGAGCGTTTCCTATGAGAAGTGCCAGTACTACCACCACTAAATCAATAGGACACACACACACCATCCACTGTTCTGTAAAAACACCTTAATCCTGATTCTATTTTATTCTTTAGTAGATTTACAAAAAGAAAAACACACACCAATAAAGAAATTAGAAGGGGGCAATGTTAGATGTGGACGCACAAAGCATTTTTTAAAATAATAATAATAAAAAAACAAGACTCCTTGCGCTCCGCTCCCCTTTTATTCTTGCCCCTCAGAGCTGGCACATCACATGGGCCTGGGCCTTGCTAGTGGCAGCCTCTCCTCACCCGCTCTCCAGCAGCCGCTATGAGCTGCCTAGAGGAGGAAACTATCAGTGGCAGCCATGGAGAGGCAACAGGATGCTCCCTCGCAGCCACCGCTCTGGACTAGTGTTGGCTCATCATCCTCTCTGGGGTTTTTTTGCAAAAATTTTATTAGTTTTTACAATATCAACGACAAACAAAAACATAAAACAAACAAAACATAACAAACATAAATCCTAACCTTATTGAAAATAACAGTTATTTACTTTGTAAAATGACTTCCTCGTTTCCCCTTAGTTGAATTTCACTGCATATTCTTATAACGGTTTTCCAAATCCCAATTTTAATACTCTAGATTAAACGTTAACATCTTTAAATCTTTTCCTTCTTGTATTAAACATATTATTTTGTCAGTTAACATAAGTAAAATCCTAAGCCCATTGAGTATCTGGACGCTACTTCCAGTTATTTTAGCTTAACAAATTTAGCTAAATAATCATTAAATTTCTTCCATTCTTCATGGTGTTCCTCCTCCTTCTGGTCGCAGACTCTTCCGGTTAGATCGGCTAGCTCCATAAAATCCATCATCTTCATCTGCCATTCTTCTACTGTTGGTAATTCTTGAGTTTTCCACTTTTTAGCTAACAGAATACGAGCCGCAGTTGTGGCATACAAAAATAGATTAACATCTTTCTTGGGCAATTCCGAACGTATTATTCCAAGAAGAAAGGCCTCTGGTTTCTTTGTAAATGTATCTGTCAACATTTTTTCAATTCATTATAAATCTTTTCCCAGAAGTCTTTCACCTTGGGGCAGGTCCACCACATATGAAAGAATGTTCCTTCCTTTTCTTTGCATTTCCAACATGTATTATCACAGTTATGATACATCTTTGCTAATTTTACAGGAGTCAAATACCATCTATACATCATCTTCATAATATTTTCCTTTAACAAAGTACATGTGGTGAACTTCACCCCTTTCTTCCACAGTCTTTCCCAGTCCTCAAACATTATATTATGTCCTAAATCTCTTGCCCAATCTATCATCACCGATTTAACTTGTTCATCTTTCGTATGCCACTCCAGCAAAAGCTTGTACATTTTAGATAAGTTTTTACCTTCAGTATCTAACAACTCCATCTCCAACTTGGATTTTTCCAAGGCAAAACCATTTTTCTTATCCAGTTTATACAATTTGTTAATCTGGTGGTAATGTAACCAATTTAACTTATCTTTAATTTGCTCAAATGGTCTTAATTTATAACCTTCCTCTTCCTCTATTAATAAGTCATAATATCTCAACCATTTGGTATCCATATTTAATTTTTTCTGGGCCTTTGCCTCCATTGGTGAAAGCCATCTGGGCGTCTTTCTTTCTAAAAGGTCTTTGTATTTTATCCAAGCATTATACAACGATTTCCTAATTATATGATTTTTAAATGCTTTATGGGCTTTTACTTTATCATACCACAAATATGCATGCCAACCAAACACATTATCAAATCCTTCCAAATCTAGTAAATCTGTATCTTCTAATTTCATCCATTCTTTAATCCAACAAAGTGCAGCAGCTTCAAAATAGATTTTTAAATCTGGCAGAGAGAAACCCCCTCTTTCTTTAGAATCCGTAAGTACCGTATTTTTCGCCCCATAGGACGCACCGGCCCATAGGACGCACCAAGTTTTTTGGGGGGGAAATAAAGAAAAAAAAATTATTTCCCCCCCCCCAGGTGCTTGTGGGGCCGGTAGCGGGGAGAAGCGCTCTTCTCCCCGCAGCCCGCCTTCAGACCAGGTCCGGGGACAGCAGGAAGACGCGCTGCGCCTCCCAGCTTGCGGGGCTGGCGGCGGGGACTCCCCGCAGTCAGCCTGCAAACCACTTCGGGAGACAGCGGGATGGCGGCGTTCCGCCTCCCTCTGTCCCCCGACCTTGTGGGGCTGGCGCTGGGGCTCTCCTGAAGCCTGCATTCACCCCATAGGACGCACACACATTTCCCCTTCATTTTTGGAGGGGAAAAAGTGCGTCCTATAGGGCGAAAAATACGGTAATTTGTATTTAATTCTGGGTTTCCTCCCCTGCCAGATAAATCTAGAAAGAGCTTTTTGCCATTCTTTAAAACATTTTACATTGTCTATAACTGGGAGGGCTTGAAACAAAAAAAGCATCTTTGGCAAAAAAAGCTCATCATCCTCTCTGAGCTCAGTGGCAGCAGCTGACATCCATCTGTCTTGGGAGACAGTGGAGGAGTTTGCCTTTGGGGGTGAGGTCAAGCTATTGGAAAGTTGCACTGGCTGTGGAGACCAATACGGGAAAGACATGCTTTGTGGCAGGTGAAGGCATCCAGTTATTTTGCTGCAGATGCACCATGGTGTTTCTTATCACTGTGCTGCAGCACTGGCAGGGGAAATAGGGACATTCCAGGATCAAATCAAGCTGGGATGGCTGTCCCTGGAAAATTGGGACACCTGACGGGTATGCTTTGGTGGCTAATAGCTGTTAATAGATCTGTCTTACGTGAATGAGTCCAATCCCTTTTTAAAGCTATCAGAGCTAAAGCTGAACCAACTTTGCTCCGTTGTTTACTTTCAACATTATTCTGACGCTGAACAGCATTAAGGGCAGTAATTGGAAGTATACTGATTTAAGTCACAATGAGTCATAGCCTAGTCAGCTACAGTGGTGCCTCGCAAGACGAAATTAATCCGTTCCGCGAGTCTCTTCGTCTTGCGGTTTTTTCGTCTTGCGAAGCACGGCTCTTAGCAGCTATTAACGGCTTAGCGGCTTTAAGAAAAAGGAAACAAACTTGCAAGAACTCGCAAGACATTTCGTCTTGCGAAGCAAGCCCATAGGGAAAGTCGTCTTGCGGAACGACTCAAAAAACGCAAAACCCTTTCGTCTTGCGGGGCACCACTGTATATAAAATTTGGATCTCACGTGTGGTCTCTCTCTCTCTCTCTGCAGCATTTCGGACAGTTTTCCGTACACAAGGAGCTCTTGCTATCCTGCAGCATTTTGATACCGTGTACAGTATCCTACAGTGAGTTTGCATGCTCAAAAGCACTATTGCTATTATTTGAAAGAGTTCAGCCTTTTGGGGTTGAGAGTCCCTGGGGCCCTTTTCTTAATGGTAATGCAGCTCCTCAGTATACCAAGGAACAAAGTGGACTGCACAGCATAGGAGAGGGCTGTCAAGAGTGATCATGTCAATGGCCCTACAAGTCTCACCATTCCATCATAAGACTAGTGCCTCAGTAGGATCACCTGCTCTATCCGCTGGGGAGGAAACCTAGAGCAGTTAGGAATAAGATACCTTCAGTCTGCAGGGGTGGGCTATCCTAACTAGTCCCCCACCCTTGCAGGGGAGAATTGTCACTGTAAAGCCAAACCTCACCTTTAAGTGGACTGCCCATCGCAACAAGGTGATAACCGTTCCACCTATTTTCAGACTGCCACCCTCCCCAAAGTGCACAGATTAAATGGAAGGTGTGCTCTGCTCTGTGCTTTGGACCAATGACCATTTGAGAAAGACCATTGGAGGCTGTGAACTCCCAAGCTGGATCCTAAGTGAAGTCATCCAAAACCCCTGTTCTGGGTTTCTTCAGCATCACACCTGAGACGACCTCAGTCAGGGAAGCTGTAAAGCAGTAGCGTGGGTGGTACACCAATAGCATTCCTAACCTGTCTCTGACCCAACAGCAGATCCAGGCCTTGCATTACATAATGTACTTTAAAAGTATGTCTTAGGAGCTGGGGTCACTGAATGCAGTTCTGAACTGAACGTGGCTCTTGCTTTTCCCTTCTTTGAACTTCACATCTCTGCCCTGCAGCCACTTCAGAACTGTTGATGCTGCTCTTAAAGAAGATGCCCTAGAACTGATGATGAAAGGTGAGTGAGGCCCCTTGAGGCCATGGAAAGTGTGACTTCTTTTTTTGGCAGCTTTATGATGCTATCAAGGCAAATGTGACCTCATTGGCAGGCTGCTCCCTCAGCCCATTCCCCTAATAGAGGTCTGTAATCTTGGTGGTCAGTGCAAAGCTATGTGTGTCCGCTGTAAGGGCAGACCTACAGGATATCCCATTCCTTCTGGCTTCCTCTCTAGAGGAGGCATCCATCTCTTGCAAAGTGTTGCAAGGAGTGGTCAGGGGCATGGACACAAGACAAGCCTAGCGTGCCTGGGTTATGGGTTGCTGGGTGTTGCCAGAGTTATGGCTTTTGAGGCAACATGATCACAAGTCTTTGGTAATCTGAAAGCTGTAGTGGGTTTGTATTTCAGGCAAACATGTGCCAAGAGCATGCCTGGTGATCCATCTTCCCACTTCTCTCTACAGTTGTCGCCAGTCACTCCAGTGCCCTGACAGCCATCATGAACAATGCTGACCTAGCACCTTCACTTCGTGCTCTTCACCATAATGCTCTCAAGATGAACTGCTACCTACTAGCACGGCTGGTGGAGGCGTTTGAAATAGAGTGTGGCAAAAGCAACCTGGTGGGGCTGGATTCCAAGAAGAAGGTAGAAGGCTGAATCTGAAAACTTGCTGGGCTTAAGATGACCCTTTAGCGTCTCCACCTCCGTCGTTCTGCCCGGACACTGAGGTCCAGCGCCAAGGGCCTTCTGGTGGTTCCCTCGCTGCGAGAAGCCAAATTACAGGGAACCAGGCAGAGGGCCTTCTCGGTAGTGGCGCCCACCCTGTGGAACGCCCTCCCACCAGATGTCAAAGAGAACAACAACTACCAAACTTTTAGAAGACATCTAAAGGCAGCCCTGTTTAGGGAAGCTTTTAATGTATAATAGGTTATTGTATTTTAGTGTTTTGTTGGAAGCTGCCCAGAGTGGCTGGGGAAACCCAGCCAGATGGGCGGGGTATAAATAATAATTTATTATAATTAGTAGTAGTAGTAGTAGTAGTAGTAGTAGTAGTAGTACTATGATGATGACGTTGATGAAGACAGTTACCCCAAAGTCAAATTAAAATCAGTCTTTCAAGTTGTATGATAAAAATAATTGATACATAAAATGAAAGCTGAGAACTTAAATAAGGACACAGCTTTCCACTGCAAGCTCCACCCACTACCACCTTCATGTGTTGTGTGGAACATCTGAAGGGCGAAAGACACACACATGCAGCTGCCCAATGTGCATTGATCTTGGGAGTGCAGTTTGAACATGTGGAACCTAATTCGTGAAGGGGTGCTGTGTGTGCTCATTTTTCTCTTCCACTCATACCTGAAGTTGATGCCTTGCGTTTACATTAACAGGGTAAGAAGAGCCAGGCTAAAGGCTTTCTCTGGGAGGAGGAAAGGCAACACGTTGTGCAGCTACTCACGCAGTTACTTCAGCTGGACCTTCATCGCCTGTGGAACAGCTTTGTAGTGGAGGAAGAGTTTATCAGGTGTGAATGTTGGAGGGGTTGAACAGGAAGCTGTTTCTGGGCAAGGTCTCTGAAAGCATGCTTTCTTACATTGCGGAAGAGTGACAGGGATCAGTCCGTTTGCGGGGAGGAAGGATTGATTAGGGCAACAAGGTAAACTTGAACTAAGGAAAAATAATTCAGGGGTTTATTTATCACCAGTAATATGTGTGCCTTCGAGGCTTGCAGTGTTGTGAGTATCCCTCCTATTTCTCTGTTCTCCCTAATATAATCCATATCTGTTCTGATTCCTGTTTTGATTTTCCCTCCAGTTTAGTGACTGGCTGCTGCTACCGCATCCTGGAGAACCCTAGCATTGGCCACCAGAGACATCGGCCTACACGAAATGCAGTGATTCATCTGCTAGGTGTTGTTCTGCTTCGTTATGGCCATATGCTCAGTAAGTCTGCTGTTGCTGGTGCACCATAAACCCCTAACCTAAACTTCTCTACCTATCTTCTTATTGAAAATGAGTCTTCTCTTACCGCAGCTATCTTTGGTAGGTGCCACTCTGAAGGTCGTGCAGATGCTGCAGCACTTTGAACACGTAGCTCCCGTGTTTGTGGAGGCTGTGGGTGTGTGGATCAAGGAATATGGAATGAAGAGCATTGTGGGGGAGCTGCTAAGGTGAGAGAGGCTCTTGTCCTTGTTCCCACCCTGTTCTCAGCAGCTTCAGCCACTGACTCTTGGTTCATTGTTCAGGGAAATCGGACAGAAGTGCCCTCAGGAGCTGTCCCGAGATGCCTCAGGGGTGAAGGGCTATGCTGCCTTCCTTGTAGAACTGGCTGGACAAGCACCAGCCATAGTGCTGGCCAACATAAGTGTCCTCCTGCATCACCTGGACGGAGAGGTACTCAGTATGGGACCATGTGAAATGTTAAGACTGCACAACTCTCCTTTTGTTTGGCCTGAGATCTTGAACATATATGGGAGGACGGAGTTGTACTGGCTTATTTAAAGCAAAGAAAGTCACCACCCCCACCTGCCCAGCCAGCATCTTGCATCTGTCAAGGCTCTGTTATTTTGTCTGCATCTCTTTGTTTTGGTTGCACCTCAGTAGGTTCAGAACCAGTAGCTGGCATCTTTTCCTTTGCCCCCCCCCCCCGCCTCCCTTCGTATGCCTGCCTTATAACTACACTCAGGTTTCAGGCAAAACGTATTGAGCACCCAGACCAATCTTGTAATTCAGAACCTGCTTTAGAATGGATCGTCAGCTTTCCTGAGGCTGCAGACAAATCATAGAGAGCTGCCCAGAAGAGTTTGGTTCAAATACAAGAATCAGCTCTGTGGTTCTTAATTCGTGAAATCCTCTCTTCTGTGGCATCAGTCCTGCTCATGGTTACTTGGTAATGAGTGGTGTTGGACTCTTGAGACTTTCTTCGGAGAAAACCTTGTTTGGATCAATGTGCAAGTCAGCCACAACCCTGTGCTGCAGCTGGAACACTAGGGGCACACATGTGCCAGCCCAGAAATGTCTTTCCAGCTATACAAAATGGGATGTGTGTATGGCATCTTAATTCTGTATCTCTCTCGTTCTGACTCAACAATCATGTCCAAGTATTGCATCAGGATATTCTGGTTTTGGATTGCCTTTCCCTGCAGCTTCTAGCAGTCCATGACAAATAGGCTCAGGCTGGCACAGAGCTGCTGATGTAGCGGGCATCTGGCCTGCAAGTGCTGCAGAGATGATGCAATTCAACCTGCTTCATATTGGAAGTTTCCTTGGGACGTTTGCCTCCTCGACCCCTTGTTTGTGAGATTTTGAAAGCGCCAGGAGAAACGCCCTTCTAAACAATATTGTTGTCCTGCAGAGCTATGGGATGCGCAATGCCATTTTGACTGCTATGGCAGAGGTGCTGCTGCAGGTGCTGAATGGAGAGCAGCTGGAAGAAGCTTCCAGAAACACACGGGATCAATTCCTGGACACCCTGCAGGCGCACACATGTGATGTCAATAGCTTTGTGCGCAGTCGTGTGCTGCAACTCTTCACCCGAATTGTGCAACAAAAAGTGAGTTGTGAGGGAGTTGAGCATCCTTTATCAATTCCATACCTCAAAGGGTAGGAGGATAGTTTGCATTGGGAAGTGCCATCTCTCTTGACTTGGAGGTTTTTGGTAATTGTAGATTGCAGGGGCTTTGTTCTAGTTTTCCTGTCCTGCCAAGTTTAATTGGTTTGTTTAGGGTTAATTTTGCCTCCCCTCTGCACACCTGCGAGTAGGATTGTGTCTGCTGAGCATCTACTCCCCTCCAGCCTTTGGTTCACCGTATTTTGTCCATCCTCTGCAGTTGAAGAAAGCAGGAAATGGGCAGCCATGTATGCTAGCTGGACCTCCAGGTCCCCTCCTTATGGAAGAGGCTATGAGAATATCCACACCGTTTGTAAACACGGGCATCCCCCCACTTACGCACAATGGGCTTGCACATGACCACACATATGTGCGGTACCAGGAAAAAGATAAATAATTCAATTCAAACCTGGACATGGCGGGAGAGAGCTGGGGAGTTTTTCATGAGGAGACCCTCCTTGGACCCCGAAGAAGATGTCGGTGTGGGTGGAGGAAGCCCCGAGGATACTGAAGGCACAGTAGTGCTTTGTTTAGTCTGCTCAGCCTCCCCGCCTAACAGCTGATGCATGTGATAGCGCAGCAGCCACTTGTCCTACAGCCTCTTGCTGGCCCAAGAGCTTCAGTTCTAGTTGTGGATATTTATTGAGACAGGTTTTTGGTCTGGATTGGAGAGACAGTGGCAGAGAGGGCATTTAAAAGGTGCTTAGAGGGTCTCCCCACTTACACGATTTTCACCCAGAATGTAACCCCCACGTACTGAACACTGAAACAATACAAGATTGGTGGGGGTGGAAAGGTGAGAGACAGGGCAGTGGGCTTTTCTAGGTCGCCCTTCCCAGCCTGGTTTGTAGAGATTTGTCTCTTATCTGGACTTTGTCAGAAAATGCTACATGTGATGGCTGGAGAGAGCTATAGACCTTCAAGGGAACAGTGCAAGTAGGAACCAGTCTATATTTCAAGGGCAATTATAAACATCATACACATGTTTAGGACCAAAAGCAAAATACAGGTTTCTAGTACCGCTAGAAGGTAACATGGCATTGGTGCCACTTACTGTTTCTACAGTTGTACCTGTTTATAGCCTCTCGTCTCTTTCTTTCCTCCCTGCTTGTAGGCTTTGCCCTTAACTCAATTCCAGTCTGTAGCATGCTTAGCTGTGGGTCGCCTACAGGATAAATCTGTAAATGTGGTTAAGAATGCAATTCAGCTGCTGGCTGCCTTCCTTTCCAACAATCCTTTCTCCTGTAAGGTAAGCTCTTTATCTCACATTTTGCTTGGTACACTAACACCCTTTCCTGCCACTATAGACACCCCCTTACCCAAACTTTGTTCCTACTCATCCACAGTTGGATGGAAAAGAAGAGGTAACTTGGTAGATAAATCTTAAACTCACACTGCATGAAATGTAACATGTGCAAGATAGATTAGAGCATCAAGCGTTTGTCATTATGCTCCTCCTGATAACACACACACACACACACACATAAACCTTTTCTGATGGCTTATTCCCCGCCCCCAATTTCATAAAATACAGGGGGCCACACAGCAAGGGCAGTAACTCTTCATTAGTTACTTTGGAAGGACTCTTCCTCTGAGTAGCTTATGGGAGCTGACTATTTTTTAAAAACTATTATATGTTACTTATATCGGCATTTGCTCAGATAACTTGAACACAATCTAACTTTTGGATCACATTCCCTTAGATCTCACAAGATTGGGAAGAAGGGGGTTTGGTGGGAGGAGCATGAAATTAGCTGCATTAACAAGAATTCTTATGTTCACAGTTAAGCTGCACAGACTTAACTGAGCTGCTTGAGAAAGAGAAGCAGAAACTTCAGGAAATGAAGAGCAAAGGCAGAACCAAAACTGGTAATGTACTTTCCCCTGTGCCGCAGCTCAACATTTGAGGTGCCCCTGGCTGGGGAGGTGTGGGGAAAGGCAGAAATGGAAAAGGAAAAGGCATGGAGAATAGAAAGGCTAAGTTTGAGACCCGTGGTGAGAGTGGAACACAGGAGAAGTCTCCTGGAGACTCAAACATAATTCAAAATTGTACCTTCAGTTCCAACAAAGCCTGTATGAGGGGATGTCTTAGAGAACACACCTTAAGACATTTGCAATTGGTACATAGTTGTGTGTTGTCTCCCTTATTAAGGAGACTTAAGCCCAATTCATAAGTCCATGGCTGCTTTGGATTCAGGAATGTTTCCCATTTCAAACAGTTTTCTATGGCAGGGTGAAAACCAGTTAATCAGCTGGAAAAGATCTACCCCAAATCCCAACCCAGCACTCTTAACCACTACACCACTGGCTCTGTACAGAAGTAACATCTCCATTCATTGGTCCACCCACTTTTGCCTCTAGCCCCGTACATCACTGTCATGTAGCTCTTGAAAGGTTGCCTAGAAGGAATGCAGCGCTTGGGCTGAAAAGGGTTCCCCCACCCCTTGCTCCATAGAGCACTAACTTCCCATTAACTGCTGTTCATCTTGATGGTGATGAAGGCTTAATCTGACTCTTCCACCTCGCAGCTGTGGTGATCCCTCCAGAGGAGGAGTGGGAAGCCATGCAGCCAGAGCTTCAAGCAACCTTGAAGAGTTGCCTTTGCTCAATAAGGCAGGAAGAAGAGGTGGGTGAGCTTGAGACGGAGGATCCAGCACAATTATTTGAGAGCATTGTCCAGCTGTTAAGGAAATCCAATTACAAGTGAGTAAACCCAGAAAGGATTTGTGTGCTTCTCATCGCAGTAGGATGGGGTTTTGTCTTGGGAGCTACGTGTCCCAAATATTCCCCCGCAAGTAATTCTAAGGGGACGCTGCATCTCTCAGATGAGCTGGATGAATGTGCGAAGGGCAGCTGGATCACATATTTTGCCACACGTGCTTTCAATGCAGGGGTGCCATTCATCTGACACAACAAGGTATGCGCCAGTTCCAGGCAGTGGAGCCCTTCAGCGGACCAAGAACAAAGGGTGATGAGGAAGACTTTATCCTGAGCGTGTTGAGAACGCTTTACATAGGTTTGTCATTGAAATTCTACTCAATATTGATCCAGCACACCAGAAGGAAAAAAGATAGAAAGAGAAAGTGAAGCACAGGCTCCTACTGGCCTTATTTTTATAGTCAGCATGACCTTGACAGAGATAAGAGAACCAGTTTAAGCCAGCTGTACTCAGGTTCTCTGAAGGAATAACCCAAACATCATGAACCTTTTGCTTGTTTCTTTCACACAGAGAAGCTTCCAGAACCTTCTTGAATTAATTAGAATAGGAAAGATCACATCAGATCAATACTTTCTGCAAACTGACACTGTTGGTGCTCCACCTCACTTTGCTGCTTCGTTGGCTCCAGTACCCCCTCTTTACAAACATGGATGCCACTATTGCATCTAACTGTATCTTTTCTCACATGAAGTAAGTAGTGGAAGGTACCAAAATCAAAAAGGGTTTGTGGATGTGGAAGCTAAACTCGTTCTTCTTCACCATACCTCTCAGCAGTCAGGCACCCAAACATGACCCCATCAAGCACCCTTGACCCCATCGCACTCCCAATCTTGAAGCAGGATCTAAGAAAAGCACACAAAGCAATCAAGCACAGTGGGAGGGGAGAATGTGATGGATTCAGTTCTCCCACCCATGTTTAATGAAGTTTAGTCTACCCATCCACTCCCATCATAGTGGCTGCAACTATTGTTAGATTGACACTGGTTCCCTTCCACACTAGACATTTGTCTGGAAAAATGGAGAACACTGTTATCTTTCATCAGACTCGGCATGTGGTGATAAATTCACCATTGCAATTTAGGTCTCTGCAATTGTATTTAGACCTCCCCTATGATAGTGTGTTGGAGCTGCATGGATCTTCTTTCTGTGTTTCAGGGTCCCAGGCTGAAGGTGGTGCCCAAGAAGCTACAGATGGGGAGGAGGAACAAGCCCAGGAAATGGAGCAGCCTCCAGAAGAGTTAGTAAAGCAGGAGATGCTGGTGCAGTACTTACAGGATGCCTACAGCTTCTCTGCAAAAATCACTGAAGCCTTGAGCTTGGTCTCCAGACTAATGTATGAAAGCTCTGTCTCTGGTAGGTGTAATCTCCTACTCCTGGTTTATCTTTTCCGGATAATGCTAGTTTTATATAATGTTGTTGTTTTTTAGTTTGTGAAGCCCAAGGATGCGGACAGAATTTTTGGTGAAGTAATGCCTTTTGCAGGATAGTTCATCGTTTGCCCTTCTTTGCTTATAAAAGCCCTACCAGAAGAGGGGACTGGTTGAGTGGGTAAGGGTCATTGTCTCTGAGACAGAGCTGTTTCCATCAGGCTCAAAAGAGGCACGGTTAAGATCTTTGTTTAAAAAGTAAAACCCTCCATGAATCGCATCTTGTTGAAGAATTGCCAGACAGTCTCCAGTATTCCATTTTTTGGGGGGTGGGGGAGAGGTTTAAGGATGTTATGGCATCTCAACTCTGCAATTTCAGTCCAGTTTCAGCCTTGGTTCTGGGACAGAGACAACTCTAGTCACCTTAGGTGATCTACAGCAGGAACTAGGCTAGGGAAGAGCACCCCAATTGGTTCTGAGCCGCTTTCAATACCATGGTACCCTGGGTCATTGGACTGGGTGGAACTGTTTTGTGGTGGTTCCAGTCTTTCCTGGAAGGGGTTTCAGAAGATGGTTGTGGGCCCTATACAACACCTTGGGCTCTATCCTATGGGGTCCGACTATCCCCTATCTTGTTGAACATCTACTGTGACGTGTTCCACATGGGGCTGCCTTTGAAGACTGCTTAGTTGCTAACTTAGGTGCCTATAAAGCCCCAAACAACTTTGGTCCAATATGTGGAGGAAGGGTGGAGCACTCAATCCCTCCTCTGTGTCTAGCATTGAAACCAGGTCTACTGCCACAGGACGAAAGCACCATCCTCTCCTTAGGATAGAGATGCAGCAGGCAGGATGGAGCCCTCGGTCCTTCTGCCACCCTTCAGGAGGCCAATAACATGTTTTGGCTAGTAACTTTTCTTGTGGCTCATTTACAAGGCTGCCTAACAGAAATGCAACATGAACATTGCAGCGTTTAAGGCATGGGGGGGTTAAAGATGCAGTAGAAAACCAAGTGCCCTCACCATCCTTTTCTCTTCTTTCCCCCCCAGTTATGCAGGAAGCTATTGAATTCTTTGTGATAGTCTCTCAGTTTGGTGTCCCTCAGGCTGTTCTTGGAGTACGTCGAATGCTTCCTCTTGTATGGTCCAAAGAGCCAGGAATCAGAGATGCTGTGTTGGATGCTTACAGGACGCTCTACCTGAATCCTAGTGGAGACTCTGAAAGGTTTGGCTGACGCCCTTCCACCTGCCATGACAGAGTAGATTGTGCTTTATCTTAACTGGGAGTTCCGGGGAGGGGTGGAGAAGATGCAGCTACAATCAAGTACAGTGGTACCTCGGGTTACATACGCTTCAGGTTACAGACGCCGCTAACCCAGAAATATTACCTCGGGTTAAGAACTTTGCTTCAGAATGAGAACAGAAATTGTGCAGTGGCGGCACAGCAGCAGCAGGAGGCCCCATTAGCTAAAGTGGTGCTTCAGGTTAAGAACGGACCTCCAGAACGTATTAAGTACGTAACCAGAGGTACCACTGTATACTATTTCTATGTGGCCAGTCCTGAGGTCTGATTTACACCTTCAGATTGAAATCCAGTGTCCTCCTTGGGTGCACTCTTTGGGTTTCACATAACAAGGAATGCATCTCTCAAACTGCCTTTTCCCTCTAAATGAATACACTGGTTATGGACTCTGTCAAGTTACTTCTTTTGGTGTAGTCGCTATTCACCTTTTTAATCTAGGTTTGCAATCATGGCAGCTGTTAAGTAGAATCTCTAGATCCTTTATCTTTGTCTTTTAATTCTCTTCCTGCTTCTCTCCAATACACAGGGCTCGAGCCCAGCACTTGGTGAAGTCTCTCTCCCTCCTCCTGGTGGATGCGTCACTGGGGACCACTCAGTGTCTCGGAGAAATTGTGAGTGTGCTTTCCCCTGTAACAGACCACCTCTCACAAACCCAGTCACACTTGACTCAGAGTATAAGCCTGTTTTGAAAGTTTTTTTCTTGTGTTCTTTGAACTCTTGAGGAACTTACTAATACAGTGGTACCTCAGGTTACATACGCTTCAGGTTGCAGACTCCACTAACCCAGAAATAGTACCTTGGGTTAAGAACTTGGCTTCAGGATGAGAACAGAAATTGTGCTCTGGCGGCGCTACAGCTTCTTTAGTTTAGGAAAGGACACAACTGCCGGGGGGGGGGGAGGTTTCTTGAGAATGGAATATTATTGGGCATATGAAGATAGAACTTTTTCCTCCACAGTACTGGCTGTTGGGGTCATTCAAGTTTGAAGGACAGTAGATTTAGAAGAAAAGAGTACTTCCCTGGACACATAATTTGTAGAATTTGCTATGCTGGTGACCACCTGCTTAGATCCCATTTCAAAAGGAGGATAAGACAAATTTGCAGATCAAATTATACCTTTGTTCAGAGGCTGTGGTCCTCTGAATCCTGGCTATTGGGGGGCAAGTGCTAGGAGGAGGGTTGTTGCTTCCGTTCCCTGCTTATGGGCTGTTTAGAAGCATCATGCTGGATATTGTTGGGAAGAGAAAGATGGACTATTAGTCTGTTGCTATTGGGATCTTGTGTAGTGTAATGTGTTTTTAGTCCTTGTTTAATTATTGTGTTAGGGTGGAAAAGTGAAATTGGTCAACCAGATGATAGTCTCTTAACCCACACTCCCGACAGTAGGTTTGAAAAGTTGGAATGGGCATTTAACACACACTCTCTCTCTCGTGTGTGCTGTGCTCGTGTCGCTCTCTCTCTCTCTCACACACACACACACACGTATAACTCACCCAAATTTCTGCAGCATAAAAGCACTCCTCTGCTCCAAGTTGCAGCTTCTTTATTCCAGCCACTTAATCTGCACAGAATTGACCTCACTTGCTTTTGGGGGGGAGGGGAATAACTTACATGCTTTTTATTTAAAATTTTAAAAATTAACAATTGATTGCTTTTTCTTCCCTGATAATCTTTGTGGTTCCCTAGATCTCTGAGTTTGTGCAAAAAGATGAAATAAAACCTGCTGTGGTCCAGCTGCTCTGGGAACAGTTTACAGAGAAATTGCAGTGTTCAGCATTGGAGCGCCATGCTGCCATCATGCTTCTTGGGATGATGGCACGGTGAGTCTTTAATTTAGCCTCCTGTGTCCTGTCTCTTTCAAAGCAACAGATTCCCCCCCCCCCAGCTCTTGCTCTTTTCTACCCTCACTCTCTTGGTTAGGTAGGTGAGGGGAAGCCCAAGTAATCTTGAAATTTGGTTGGTTTGGCTGTATTGCCCTTTTTGCCATAGGTATGTGGTCCTCACCAGAGTTCAAAGGTGTTGCATTTTGTGTGGGCCAATGAGTTTCAGAAGTCAGATATCATCCACCGGTGTTCTTACTGTTGTGGTACCCCAGTGAAATCATTTCTCTCGTCTCCCACTAGCTGAGGCTTAATGCATAACTAAGCATGGGGAATGATCTCTTAGGTTGTTTTGCTTCTGTGGTATATTTGGATTTTAGTGGCTTGAGTCCTTCAGAGTCACTCTCATGTGGTTCTAACAAAATGTGTTTTTGCCTTCACCAGAGGGAAGCCTGAGATTGTGGGGAGCAACCTGGATGTTCTGGTAACAGTGGGGCTGGATGAGAGAGTGCATGGAGATTATCGCCTTGCCCGAGAAGTGTGCAATGCCATCTCCAAAATTGCCAGCAGCCAGAAGGTCAGAATCTGCCTGTGATGGGTGTAAAGTTATTTTCTTGTGTTATCTGCCACAACAGGTGGCAGCCAACTTCGATAAGTCTGGGTCTTGGAGTTTTATCAGTAATGAATATTGCATGTATTCTTTGCCCCCAGACTGTAATAATATTCAGTGTAACTATACACCTTCACCTTGCATCATTACAACAGCCCTACTGTGCCTAGTGTTCTAAGTTTTAATTGGCATTTGGAAGCCACTTTCAGCTATGGGGCAATTCATGCTCTTCTAGTCACTTCACAATATTGCACTACTGGTCTGCAGCTGGTGAGCTGGGGCCTTCTAGCACAGGCATCCCCAAACTTGGCCCTCCGGATGTTTTGGGACTACAGTTCCCATCATCCCTGACCACTGGTCCTGTTAGCTAGGGATGATGGGAGTTGTAGTCCCAAAACATCTGGAGGGCCGAGTTCGGGGATGTCTGTGCTAGTGGGTTGTGGCTTGAGCCAAAATGGATTGCAACAGGATAAGTACCACTATGCAAATATATATGGTAAAAGATTAAGAAATGGGTATGTTTGGGCTAAACGTGGGCCCTGCATCTGCCAAGGTTGAATATACCTGCTCTAGATCAGGTGTGAGGAACCTTTGACCCTCCCGATGTTGCTGAACTACAGCTCACGTTATCCCTGGTCATTGGCTATGCTTGCTGTAGCTGATGGGACTTGTAGTTCAACAGCATCTGGAGGGCGAAAGTTTCCCCTTTCCAGTTCCAAATCATTGTCCAAAAGCCAGGGCTCTCCCGTGCCCTTTAAGTGCCACAGCCCAATCTGACCAAGCATGTGTCATTTAACCGTTGTTGTGAATAGAGGACAGAGTTCTGATGCGAAAATCTCAAGCTGCTGTGCTTGGCCAAACTCACGGAGCAGTTGCGAGGGTAGCTTTAAATTAGAACTGTTTATTTTTGCTACATTTAATCAGTTTATTGCTGAAAGGCAAACAGGGCAAGGTTTTGATGGACAAAACCTGATGCGCTCTCTTTCTACTTACAGCCTGGCCTTGAGAAAAGGAGTCATCCCTTCCGGCTTCCTCAGTCACATCAGCTCTTTGAACGCCTGCGCGAAGTGATAACTGTGGGTGAGTTACTGAAACTGCAATACGATGGGTGAGTCTGTATGCAAGCTGGTTGCCTTACCTAATATAAGTAGTCCTTCTGTTCTTCTTTAGGCTTTGCTAGATCAAGTGCATACTGGATCCCTTTCACAGAGACAGCAATTGCCCTCATCTATCAGCTGGCAGAAGGGCCTGAGGAAATATGTGCTCAGATCTTGCAGTGCTGTAGCCAGCAGGCCCTGGAGAAGTTGGAGTCTGAGGGGGCTGAGGCAGGTGAGTTGGAAATGGGAAATGCCCCCATTCCTTTTGGTTTACTCTTATGTGGCTGTGAGGAGAAAGGGTGAAATGGAAAAGAGATGACCAAGAACCCAGTAGATGAGCAGGTTAGGTACAGGGCAACAAGGACTCTGGGTAGTAAATGTGCAGCGCTGAAAAATAAGGGCAGACTGCAAATGCGTCATGGAACAGTTTTTATTTGCTTCCAGAGCCTGGGCCACCTTCTCCCAACAAGGTTGCTGACGAGCTTAGCACTATTGACACCATGGTGTTGACACATCTGATCTCTCTGGCTGGGGACGTGGCGTTGCAGCAGCTTGTACATCTGGAGTTGTCAGTGAGCGCAGAGCTACGCAGGCGCCGAGTCCTTGGGGAAGAACGGGAAGCGAAAGAAAAGGCTGCAAGCAAAACGAAGGGGCAGAATAACAAGGTGAGGGGGCTGGATTTCTATCACTTCTGCTTCATTGGTCTCCTGGCACTTTTGACACCGTAGCAGGAACTGATCTCTATTTCTCATCTGGCCATAAAATTCTGCAGGGCCCTCTGCTGTTCAGGAGCGCTCTCTCTCTCTCTCTCTTTAAAAACAGCCAAACCTTTCTGAGCAAATCCTTCTGTGTAAGTCCCTTGCTAGGTGTGCTTGCTTGTCACTACTTCATCTGGAAAAGTGAGGAGAAGCAGAGTGTTACTAGGGCCTTAGATATTTATACAAGTTGATCATACCTGGTTTGACACTGTTTTTACAAAGGTAATGCTTTGTTATCTCATTAGGAGTAGTGAGACCCTTTCCCTTGACATCTCATGCTGCAAACATGCTACTTGCTAGAATTGTTTGGTATTCAAAATCTTTCAGTTTGTTTGTAAACCATTGACCTCTGCTCTGCTCCTATAAAAACAAATGAATCTGATCTGCAGAGTAGATCCCCAATACTTGAGTTAGAGACAGAGCCCCAATTTTCTGGAAGTGCTTCCTCAGTTGGAATTAGGGGTGCAGGGAATACTGCCTGACGAGTTATCTGTGTCCTGCCTTTCTTTGCACTTAACTCTCTCCTGCTTTTAAGCTGGGCAGTCTGTCCTGGAGGGGAAGAGTTTAGAAAGTGCTAACTTCTGGTGGCTTCTTTCTCTCTGCTCAGAGTACTGGGAATGATACCACCATGGAGGAGGACCTTGGCTTGGTTGGGGCTTCTGCTGACGACACAGAAGCAGAGCTCATCCGCACCATTACTGAAGCAGAGCTGCTGGATGGTGAGTGTTGCTGTTTGAGTAGGAATGCAGGCTGTAGGCTACTTTGCTTAGTTTGTGAGAAACCATTGCACAAATGAAGCCCAGTTGTAGGCTTCTATTTTGGACTGATCTGCTGCAACCTCTCTACCGCCTCTTTCTGTATAGGAAAACAGCTGCTTTCAACCTTTATTCCCCTGGTACTCAAGATTTGCAACAACCCAGGACTCTACAGTGATCCAGCACTCTCAGCTGCTGCCACATTGGCCCTTGGGAAATTTTGCATGGTCAGGTATTTATCTTTTTGTGTTCTTCCCCTTCCTGCTCCTCTGGAACCCCTCTTGCATGGTTCTGTATTCCATTCCAAACTGTATTCCATTCAACAACTTGGAGCCACCACTCTGACATACTTGACACTGATTCCCTTTCCGTTCGCATTCAGTTCAGAGTTTTGTGACTCTCAGTTGCGGCTCTTCTTCACCATGATGGAAAAATCCGCCCTCCCTAGCGTGCGCGCCAACCTCATGATTGCAGCCGGAGACCTGGCCATTCGCTTCCCCAACTTGGTGGAGCCTTGGACACCCCACCTCTATGCTAGGTAAATCTTTGGTAAGGAAGATTGGGAGGGGTGTAGGGCTTGAATCTGGGCGATGGAGGGCTGTAATAGCATGCAACAGTGCTTGGAGCAGGAGCAGGACTTCTCCAGACGGGGGAAGCCTGCAGGACTCCAATGGAAGCATCAGGTTATAATGGCCTGGCTGCTTACTGCTGTTGTTTGGGGGGGGGCGTGCTTTGCTCCTCAGGCTGCGGGACCCTTGTCGGAGCGTGAGGCAGACAGCTGCTTTGGTTATGACTCACCTGATCCTCAAGGACATGGTGAAAGTGAAGGGGCAGGTGAGCGAAATGGCAGCTCTTCTCATCGACCCAGAGGAGGACATAGTGGGACTCGCTCGGAACTTCTTCACAGAACTCTCTGGCAAGGTGAGGCGAAAGGGCGTGGTGCAAATCTTCTGGAGTGCAAAGCATCAATCTTGCTCACTTTACTGTGCTTTTAACATGTTATATGAAGCAGGTCAGCAAAGAATAGTTGCCATATAAAAGCTTCAGTTCCTTTTTTTAAAAAAGCAGCACAGGACAATTCAAAACGGAAATGGGCTTAAGCACTTTGGTTTGGGACGTGCCTGTTCAGGACAGGGGAAGATGCAAACTGAATTTCACCTCAAAGTTAACCTGTAAATCTGAAACTCCCCTTTATGTTGAAACCTCCTAGGGATTTGTGATGGTGACACTCTCATTCACTGTTGGCCAATGCCTATATTTCCCAAGGTTTCACTTCCTCCACTAGGACTTACATAAGCTTGAAGTTCAATTCCTATTTCATCACAGGAATGCAAAATGAGGAGGACAGCAGCACACCCGGCAGAGGCAGCAGGAAGGACAGTGCAGATCAGGGTCAAAATCAAGCTATGATGCTGTTCTATGTTGGTAGGCACTAGACAATCTGGCAGCACCGTTTTGTAACCAGTTGAAGTCTCCAAATATTTTATGTGTGCATCCTATATAGAGAGAAGTTTACAGTAGTCAAGTCTAGAGGTTCCCAGGCCTTGAATGTCCATCGCCAAGTCTGACTTCTTTGGAACAGACACAGTTGATATACTAGCCAGAGCTAGTGGAAAGCACTCGGTTCGAATCCACATGACGGAGTGAGCTCCCGTTGCTCTGTCCCAGCTCCTGCCAATCTAGCAGCTCAAAAGCACGCCAGTGCAAGTAGATAAATAGGTATTGCTGCGACAGAAAGGTAAACGGCGTTTCCGTGCGCTCTAGCTTCCGTCACGGTGTCCCGTTGTGCCAGAAGCGGTTTAGTCATGCTGGCCACATGACCCAGAAAGCTGTCTGTAGACAAATGCTGGTTCCCTTGGCCTGAAAGAAGGATGAGCGCCGCAACCCCATAGTCACCTTTGACTGGACTTAACTGTCTAGGGGTCCTTTACCTTTACTCCTAGTGATCTCTTGTGTCTGACAAAGGAGCACACCCCAATCTACACAACTAATATTTTTCAGGGGGACTGCAACCCCAGCCAAAGCAGGGCTGTACACCTAATTATCAGTCAGGCAACACCACCCAACAATATCCCAATCTCAACTGGATTAAGTTTCAAACAGTTCTTGGATTCTACTGCCTTCCTCAGATCTGTTGAGAGTGAGAGCTGGGTGTTGCCCAAATCTCTGGACAACTGTAGCTTCATATAGATGTTGAAAAACATGAGTGATGAGATGGGACCTCATCTGGTCAGAAAGTAAAGCATTAATCCCTCAAAACCTTCTCAGACCTGGAGCACATCTTTTACCACAGTGCTTACCCAAACACTTCTGAAAGCCTACCCAGAAGGATAGCATGATTGATTACGGAGAAGCCCCAGCGAATGAAGCATAATAACATATCCCTGCCCATCTCCTGCCACAACTCATCCACTAGCAAAGGGCTGCAGAACCCTTTCCGCCAGGGGGTGCATTCCCTTCTGAGGGTTATGTGTCAGTGGTAGGCAGGGCAGAGGCAAACATGGATGAGCAGCAAATGCAAACATTACCTTTGTGCCGAAGACGAGTTTCTGCACACACTTACGCACTCTTCTGTCCTCCATCCAGACACACGAGGCATTATCAGAGTTCAAGGACACATTCCAGCCAGGCAAAGACACTCAACGAGGGTGTGAAACAGGGCCACTTACGAGTGGCCTGGGGGGCTGCAAATGGCCCTTGGGCCTGAGCTTCCCGACCCCTGCATTAGGACAGCCAATGCAGTTTCAGTTGCAAAACCCAATCAAAAGGCCAGTTGGGAGGGATCCAGGCAACCAAGGTCAGCCAAACTTTGTGAGTCCCTGTTCAGTGGTCACCAGAACTAAATGTTCTTAATCGTGAACTGTTAGAACATTTTCTGGTGTGTTGCTTTGATTGTATATTTAAATGTTCCAAAGCAGATCAAATTGCTACTTTCTCCACCAAGAAGCCAAAACAAAACTATTTTGCTTGATATTCTGATGTTAGACAGTATCCTCCTCCTTTTCTCACATTCTCTGAAAATATCCTTCTGTTGTTGTTGTTTAGTCGTGTCCGCCTCTTCATGACCCCATGGACCAGAGCACGCCAGGCACTCCTGTCTTCCACTGCCTCCCGCAGTTTGGTCAGACTCATGTTTGTAGCTTGGAGAACACTGTCCAACCATCTCATCCTCCCCTTCTCCTTGTGCCCTCCACCATTCCCACCCCCAGGCTCATTTCCAGGGAGTCTTCTCTTCTCATGAGGTGGCCAAAGTCTTGGAGCCTCAGCTTCAGGATCTGTCCTTCCAGTGAGCGCTCAGGGCTGATTTCCTTCAGAATGGATAGGTTTGATCTTCTTGCAGTCCATGGGACTCTCAAGAGTCTCTTCCAGCACCAGAATTCAAAAGCATCCATTCTTTGGCGATCAGCCTTCTTTATGATCCAGCTCTCACTTCCATTCATCACTACATTCATCACTCTTCTGTACTTCATGCTAAAAGTGGCACCTGCTTATCCCAAGGAGAGAAAGAGTCCTTATGCTCTTTCTAGGCTTGTTTGCAGGTGGCTGTGCTTGCACTCGGTCAAAAATGCTTCTCTCTGTATCCCTAGCTACAAAGCAAAAAGGCAGTCTCTGGGTCAAACTCCTGTCTTGGTTTTAGTGTGTATCTTAACCAAGAATCCCCCAAAATCCAGGGGCCCATCTTCAGGGCACAAATAGTGGACTGGGGCAACGGTTCGACAGCTTCTGCTCCTTTCCATGCAGGATAACGCTGTGTACAACTTGCTCCCGGACATCATCAGTCGTCTCTCAGATCCAGACTCTGGCATAGAGGAGCAGCCTTTCCGCATCGTTATGAGGTAGCCTTGTTTTGTGTTTCCCTCCCACCCCACCTTTGAGGCACAGAACTTCCTGTGTGCCCAGACTGACAGAAGGGTGCAGCTATGGTACCAGGCCAAATTTGCAAATGGCTGTCCTGAAACGCTTGCTAAATATAAAACGGAAAACAGAACAGTGTGTCAGGTTGGGGAGGGACTGGGTAAATTGAATCTCCTGGTTCAGAGATGCCAGTTTCTGGGAGGCAAATCGGTGAAGGCATGTTGCTTCCTTCACACCTTGCTTGTGGGTTTCCCAGAAATATTTGGCTGGTCGCTGTTTGGATCCTTGGTCTTATCCAGGTAAGCTGTATTAAGGGGTCACAATGGGAGCCAAACTTTCCCTAAGCGCCTGTCCTGTTTTAAGACTCCTGCAGGATGCAGCAACGTTTTGGAATCCCAAGTCTATTCAAGTTTGCAGAAAGGGCTTGTGAGACTCTTACACCTTTGTTTAGAGGAGGTCTGAGTCTCTTCTCATCATACGGGTCCCTGTAAGGCTCAGTGATACACTTTTACTTTCAATATTGTATGTTAACATTCCTGATTCCCTCCACTGTTAAAGACTGTTTTCAGAGAGGGAAGCTGCCATTCTTGGTAACAATGCTCTTGTATAGTCAACTAGCATTGTAAATTCCGGCGTCGGATGTTTGGATAGGCTTCTCTCCTTTTGGTTCCTTCCGACTCTTTGTAGCTCCTGCTGATATAGGGAAGCTGCAATAGGAGAGTCTGTGTGAAACTATGGAACCCTGGGGGCCAACAACAACTGCCTCCTTCATTCCTCTTTTTACTCTCCTCCACAGGCAGCTCTTCTCTTATATCACAAAGGAGAAGCAGACAGAGAGCTTGGTGGAAAAGCTTTGTCAGCGGTTCCGGACTTCTCGGTGAGTGAGGAATTGCTAGGGAAATGTGCTATCTGGGAACAACCTATCTCAGTATGCTAGATCCTGAAATTTGAAGCCGTAGGCTCTGGAATGAGGAACTTCGTGGGTGAGAATTGGATGGAAAGGGTGTGCTTGCTTCACTGAAGTATGGTAACGAGTCATGGAGAGCAAAAGCTCACTGTTACTACTGTCTTACGAAGTTACAAATGGATGATGAATAGCACTTGGCCTGCCTGTGAGACAGTTCAGTGGGCAAGACTGTCTGGGCTCATCCGTTGACCAGTGGACCAATAGCTATAGAAGCCTGGGTGCGGAGGGATTGATCCTGCCAGACTGTATTCTCTCCCTGGCAGGGAGAAAGTCCGTCAGAACTGCACCCTGTCTCTCTGAAGTCGCTGCAAAGTGTCCTTGCAGGAATTATTAGGGGCAGGCCAAAAAAAGAAAAAAACAGAACTAGTCGTCATTTCCTTATTTGCCATACTGGCAACGTTGCTAGGGTGAAGTATATATATATTTTGTTTTGAAGCTAGTGAAGGCACGCTTTCCTGAGGGGTTTTTTCCTGAAATTAAAAAGGGTGTTTTCCTAGTTTTAAGGGGAGAGGCAATGACTAGAGCATAGAAATCCTTTACAGTGCTATAAAAGAGGTGTGCCTAAATGGCAGTGTCTGCGGCCTTTTTTTTCTTTTTTTTCTTCTAGGTTGTGTGCTGATTATTTAGAAAGAAGCTCTTTGTCCAGTTTGAATACTTGCCAGAAACTGAGGCGGCAGCTACAGCCAGCCAAGATTTTCTGCAATGCTTCAACAAAGCGAATTAGCAACCCAAGCATAGCATTAGTAAAATCTTGTGTTCAGTGTGCTTTGCTGCACTACTGGATAATGTTTCCTTTAGTTGTTTCTGTGTTTAAAATCTCTTATTTCGCCTTCCACGAATGGCCCCAAATCCTTGTACTACCAATTTCCAACTACTCTTGCACAGGCTGTCATGGAAAATTGTATGAAATGCTCGTGCAAGTTGGTACTTTGTCCCGTGTGTCTGATTAGCTCTCCGCTTCCTGATTTCTGCATACAACAGGCAGGCCTAGTTCTGGGTGAAGTGGTAAACCTTTGTCTGGGCTGGGCTGCAGGGGCTTACAGGATGTCAAGCACTCCTCAGGACATTCCACAGCAAAGTCGTTTTTCTGGAGCTCCTGCTTTGTTCACTGTCACTTGAAAGCTTATCTGCCAAAGCAGCCCTAGTTACAGGTAAAGAAGCAATGTCAGTGGTGATGGTGCTTGCAATCAGAAAAGGTCCAGCCCGGGCACAAATTTCTCAGCTCTTATCAGAGCTAGGCATTAGTATCTCCTTAGTGTTGTAAACCTTGAACCAGGGTTTGATAGCCTTCCTCACCATGGCAAGGGAAAGGCAAGGCTCAGGGGAGCGAGATGAGCTTTGGCGCAACAAAGGAGAATGGATGAAACCCAACCCTCCCCAACCCTCATTTTCAGTCTGGGATCTGTTTGGGCTCTGTGCTTTGCAGGCTTCTAGCCCAGGGCAAACCAGGGCACTTCCACCTAGAGCAGAATCCCCTGGCCACTGTGGCAAAGACAAGACACCCTCCCTTGTTTCAACTGGTTTGCAATCCCTGAAGCTGAAGGCAGGTTGCTTTTTTGCCTCTCCTGCAGAACGGAGCGTCAGCATCATGATCTGGCGTACTGCCTCACCTTGCTTCCTCTCACAGAACGAGGTCTTCGCAAGATGCAAGACAACTTTGATTGCTTTGCTGACAAGCTTCAGGATGCAGCTGTCTACAACTGCTTCCTGGCTGTCTTGGGCCGGCTTCGCAGGATGTCCACGAAGCCTGAGATGAAGGTGAGGGCCGTTGTTGTGTTTTGTGCCCCCCCCCCCCAGTAGGGCAGGGAAGAGGTTGCCATTTTTCTCCCGAAACAAAGAAAAGTGAAAGCTTCTTCAACTGCTGGCATCCAGACACGCCATATTTTCCTTGCTTTCTGATATGTGTTGATTTCTGCTTTTGCATGGGGTGTCATTTATCAGGCTCTTGCTGAAGAATTCGAGCAGAAGCTCCGCACGTGCCACAACAGGGGCCTGGAGTCTCTCGCTGAAGATCCTCCTGGGGAGTCAGTAGACCCCAAAGTCAGAAATACTCCTGCGCCCCGGACGACAAAGAAAGCAGCAGCAAGTATGTCCACAGTTTAAGAGTTTGCACTAACACCTTTCAGCAGCATGAACGCTCAGGGTTGCCTACTAAAGCGAAGTGCCAAATCTTCACCAGCTTAATGTTTTTTTAAAAACACCTTGAATATTTTCTAAACTCTTGAGGGGTTAGGAAGAACTGAACTCAAGGCCGCTATGGCACAATAGGTGCAAAGAGGGTGCAGCAAGAGACACTGGGAATTATGCACAATGAATAGGACTTCCATCCGTCACCCATTGTATTATCTGTCTGCTGCTTTTCCACAGAAAAATCATGCTCAAAGCGGCTTACAGTAAAGAGAAATGCATTTCAAAATCAAATACTGCAAAACAGTTTAATAATAACGTAATAAAATAGCAATAGCAAATTTGACAATATGAAACAACAATTCAAATCTAACAAAATTACATTAGGTAAAGGGAGCCCTGACCATTAGGTCCAGTCGTGGCCAACTCTGGGGTTGCGGCGCTCATCTCGCTTTATTGGCCAAGGGAGCCGGCGTACAGCTTCCGGGTCATGTGGGCAGCATGACTAAGCCGCTTCTGGCGAACCAGAGCAGCGCACAGAAACGCCGTTTACCTTCCCGCCGGAGCGGTCCCTATTTATCTACTTGCACTTTGAGGTGCTTTCGAGCTGCTAGGTTGGCAGGAGCTGGGACCGAGGAACGGGAGCTCACCCCGTCGTGGGGATTTGAACCGCCGACCTTCTGATCAGCAAGTCCTAGGCTCTGTGGTTTAACCCACAGCACCACCCGCATCCCTTAAAATTACATTAACAGCATCCAAAAGCAAAAATAGCAAGGAAGCTTGACAGTTTCACCTCAGTTGTAGACACACCTCTGCCATGATATTCACAGTCTCTCTCTTGTAGCAGCAGCTTATAAGGCTTGTAAAGGCAAGTCCTGGGGTAGCTTATCACAGTTGATTAAAGAATGCCTGTCCTTATTCCATGATTTTTGTAGACCTGTTGTAGAAAAACATTCGTGTTTTCTTTGAAACGGGGAAAACTTGACCTGCAGCCTTTTTTTCTTTTAACAAAAGCACACAAAAAACTCAGGATACTGGGGGGGGGAACTTTCAGCGATTTAGCAGTATAACTTAACTTGCAGATTTCTATTAGCCTCCAGAGCTTGTACCTTCCATCTCAGCTGTGGGGCGGCACACTTAGAGATGGTATGTAAAGCGCCTTGCACCGGAATTGTCCCTTGTAGAAGCAGGCTTGGGAAAACTTTAGGAATAAAAATTGTAAAAATGGGAGGGGACCCTGAGGGTCATCTAGTCCAACCCCTGCAATGCAGGAATCTCAACTGAAACATCAATGACAGGCTAGGAAAAGGTATGTGTGGTTTTGGGTGTGGTTTTTTAACATGCCCAATAATAGAACCTTTAAAAAGTGTCCCACTTTGGCTTTATGAAGAATGTAGTATCTACTTAATCATTTGCACGTTCAGTCTGTGTTCTTGTAGCTTCTTCAAACTCCCACTTCTTACGCAGGCTCCCGACGACGTCCTTTGCGTGCAGCCAACAGAGAGGCAGACTCGTCCTTCACCACTCCAGAGCCCCGTGTTTCCAAACCACGCAGAAAGACTTCAAGGGTCAAAATTTCTGTTGTCTTCTCTAGTGATGAGGAAAATGCCCCAGAGGAAGGTGAGATTATGTTCTGTATGTGCCTGAACATTGAGATAGAGGGGTCTCATTTTGGAATGGTCTTTCTTTCCCCCCCACCCATGGAGACATGAACACATAAAGCCACCTCTTGTGCGTTTCCCTCGTTTCCTATTTGATCCGTTAGCCACCCTGGAAATGTTTTTATATTGAAAAGTGGGTTAGAATTTCATTAAACGGGAGATTGTTGCTTGAAGCTTGCTGCAGCTGTCACCCAGTGCACAGGCCATTTGCCTCCAAAGCCAGCTGTTGCTTTCTTCTCTTTCAGAACTCTCTGCCGAACTGACGGATGCGGAGACACCAAGCAAAACTACTCCCATTTTACGTGCTTCATCCCGCCGCGCTCAACGATGAAGACACCCTGCATAGACTCTCTCCTGGTTAATTTGGGAGTAAAGCTCTCTGGGTTTTGGAAGTATTGCTTCTCCAAGTTTTTGTATATGCTAAAGCAACGCAGAATGCAAGCTTGGACTTTGAGTTCTTGCATCACAACATGGAGATTGCGCAGCCTCTCTGCCCCATGGGTTTTCAAAGGAGGTGAAGGTGCCGGTACACACAGGCAAAAAAGATATTTAAAAAGGCAGCGTAGGCCTTGAGAAAATATGTGCCATTCGCTCGTAAGAACTATCCTTGCATTTTAGATGGGTCCCGGATTTTCAAAATTGGTCTTTAAAAGCCACTAATGTGTATCACTTTTTAAAATGTAAAAAATGTAATCACAATAAATGCAATTAATACAAACATGCTCCTGTCCAAAGTTATGTGACCACAGTGCCTATTCCAGCATTGAATAAAGTCTGTTCACTTGTCAGCTGAACCATCCATTGCATACCCATTTGTGTGTGTGTTATATCAATCATCTCTGCCAAATTTAAACATTGAGTATCTTGGGGTCTCTACGTTGTCTAGACCAGGGTTTGTCAACCTGGTCCCTACCGCCCACTAGTGGGCGTTTCAGGATTCTAGGTGGGCGCTAGGGGGTTCTTCGGCACAAGCTGAATCCTCCTTCCATCCAGCACTGGTGGGCGGTAAGGAAATTTTACCATCAAGAAAGATACATTAGTGGGCGGTAGGTATAAAAAGATTGACTATCCTTGGTCAACCATGCAATTAACAAATCTAGACCTACGTGCATAACATTAAATACAGCTAACAAGGATCTAAAGCAAATATGGACCCTGTAAAAGTATTGGATGCAGATCATATGAGTTGACAGTTCCACCACATATGAAAAAAAGACCTGCTTATAGTAGTAATAATAATAATTTATTATTTATACCCCGCCCATCTGGCTGGGTTTCCCCAGCCACTCTGGGCGGCTTCCAACAGAATATTAAAATACAATAGTCTATTAAACATTAAAAGCTTCCCTAAACAAGGCTGCCTTCAGATGTCTTCTAAAAGTCTGGTAGTTGTTTTTCTCTTTGACATCTGGTATAGAGCCTTATCTCTCCAGTATTTGAAACCTGGTGACAAAACGCTTTATTAAATCAACCTTAGTGTTAAATACCGTTACAGCATCAATTCATACTGGCTCTTGCTTACAGGCATAGAAAATTACTTAGCAGAGCAACCATGTATCTAAAGCATATAACAAAATGGCTTAGAGAGGGGGAAACAGTTGCTAATTATAGGGGAGTTACAGAAAATATGTGAGATGGGGTTGCAAGCTATTGCCAGCAGATGGCAGCACAACCCCCAGTATCTCAGCGACAGCATTTCTCAGGAAGCTCCAAGTTAATCTTAAGTCTCATTTTCCAAGCTGTGGTCAGAAGGCAGGGAAGGGTGTCAGAAATGTTTTTGGCCTTTGAAAAGCTCTAATGCCAAAGTGTTCCTTACAGCTGCCACCGCTGCATTTAAGGATAATGGGCCTGGTCTAGGCTGGCTGACCGTGCTGCAACGATGGATATTCTCTCGCATAACCTCATGGAAAGAGAAGCTCTTTATTGCAGCTTTTGTCAGACTTGAACAAATCTCCAAAGTCATAGATGCATGTGTGTGTGGCTCCATCTGCAATGCACTTTTAAAGCAGTATCCTACCACTTTAAACAGCTGAGCCTTCCCACTGCCAGGATCCCACCAGATATTTTTTTTCATTAGTCAGCACTTGAAGTTGAGGAGGTGGCATGAGCTTTTTATTGCATTTGTGCTTGTGGGGTTTTTTTAATTTTATTTTTTATTTAACAATTGTTGCCAAATATAAGCAAAATATTGCAAATACATACATATATATTTCAAATAAGCACATATATATTTAAAAAGAACAACAGAGGGGGAAAAGGAAAAAATAAAAAGAACAAAAGTTGGAAGAATTTCTTCCAAGTTCATTTTACAAATATCTCAATATGAAAATAATAAGATTTCAATGATTGACTTCCATTGCTTACAATGCACTTCCTATATACATTTTAAGCAAGATTGTATCTGTTATTCCATATTTTCCCCATACAATCTCACACAAATATTCTGATCAATAAGTTTTCTAAATCTTATAAATCTATTCTAAACAAACACAACCAATACCTTACATTTAATCCTTGTCTACATAAATAATCATTTAAGCATTTCCATTGTTTCAGGATTATATTTTTTGGTTTTTGTCTTATCAAATCAGTCAACTTATGCTAATTCCAAGTATTTGCATAATTTATTCAACCATTCTTTGGTTGGAATGTAATTTCCTTTTTAATTATTGGCATTTGTGCATGTTGAGGTATTGCCTCTTGAATATTTTTTCACATTAAGAGGCAGAAATTGTAAAAGCTTTTCCTAGCATGGCAAACATGCTATAAAATATTGCTGCAACTGACAAGGTGCTGCAAGATTGTGGGGTGCTATGAAAGAGGCCGCTCCATTGAGAGAAAATGCTCAAAGATAAAGTGTAGCATATGGCGCTCTTCCTATGGCAGAGACACAGCTCTCACTGCTGTGCCTTGTCAATCTCGCCTTTCAACTTTATCCACTTGCTGCCGTGTTTCTTCCCCACTCACCCTGGCTTCAAGTCCTAAAATATACCACAGGGGTCAACTATGAGCCATAACTAAACGAGTGAGAGTTTAGTGGTTGGGAAACAGGCATAGCTCAATGACAGAGGACGTGTTTTGTATGCAAAAGGTCCCAGGTCCAGCCCTCAGCCTCCCCAGGTGTTGCTGAGAAAGACTCTGCCTACAAGGCTGATGCCAGTCTGACTCAGTGTAAGGCAACTTCCTATGTTCCTAATAAATGGGTGTTTTCCCAGCTGGCACCTCCCACCACAAAGTACTAGGGTGTTCTGGTGATAGTACAAACTTCAGGCGAACGTTAGCATTTGATGTGCCTGTGTCATTTGTCCTCTGGCCCCTGCAAGCAGAGTCCTTGCTGGCAATTGTTTGCTCATCAAACAGAACATTCGGATTGTGCAAATGCTTCGAGACTCTTTAAACCACTTTCCTTCATAGTAGTCCAGAGCATGTTGCCATCAAAGTCTCAATGCTACAATTCTACTACAGTGGTACCTCGGGTTACATATGCTTCAGGTTACAGACTCTGCTGACCCAGAAATAGCGCCTTGGGTTAAGAACTTTGCTTCAGGATGAGAACAGAAATCGTGCATCGGCAGCAGGAGGCCCCATTAGCTAAAGTGGTGCTTCAGGTTAAGAACGGACCTCCGGAACGAATTAAGTACTTAACCCGAGGTACCACTGTACCCCAACCTCCCGGGCGGCAAGTGAAATAAGGGGTGCACCTGCATACCTTGGGTTTGGTATAGCTGGATATGGTGATGCATTTTTGCTGTATTTAGGATATAGGGCTTTCTTTACACACATATTCAAGCCATAGCTCTGGATTCAATACAGAGAGAGCAAGTAGATAATGTGTCTCTTTCTAGCTCAATTTATTACATTGGCCCCAGGACTTCCTTTTCTTTTCTTTGTCACTCACAGATGGTGTCTCCTCCAGTCAGGGGAGTAGGGAGAAGGCCTCACCATTTAGCTCACTTCTCAAAAGCAGCTGCAGCTAGTAGTAGTTTACGTGGCCCACCAGCTACATGTACTCTTTACTCTTGCAAAAGAGGCAAGACTTGGCAGATGGCTTCAACCATTTTAGAAGCCTCTCTGCGGAAATAAATATACAAAAATGCAGGCTTTGAGGGGACCCCAAAGATGAGACCCAGCACACCATCCCTAATCCTATGACAGTCTTGTGCCTTCTCAGAGCCTCTGTGCACCTGCTCCTTTTGCTGCCTGCCGGAGGATTGGTGGAGATTAAAGGCCACAATCCACACTCAGCCTGGTGCCTCACCGTTTCTGCTGGCTTGCCACATTGTAGCCCATATCCAATAGAGGGATTTATCATCCTAGGGCAGACCGTGGCAACGGGGTCTTTCCTGCCTTCCTTGGCATGCTTTTAGTATCAAGTTATAAACCATCCCCCTGGCCTTTCGTTAAAGGTCATAACCTCAGCCAGGGCTAAACTTAGTGCCTTGGTCCTCCAGTAGTATTGGGAACAGCAGCTGGGTGATGAGAATCGGGTTACCTCCTGAGCCAAATGAACTTTCTCCAGCGTCTCTTGAAGACGGCACCTCCCACCATCTCTTCAGCCTTTTTTTTTGTCCTGTTTTGCAGAGCCACACAGGTCAAGGAACAAGTCAAGAGTTCCACTGCAAACGCTACAAAATTTCAGTGGCAGGTTTTTTTAAAAAAAGAAAAGATTGATCTTTCGATCCGTGGTTCTGCTCAGAATCCCAAGAGAGTGCAACCTTGATTTTCTAAACCAGCATTTGGTGTGTGTGCATGCAAGGGTTTGTGCGCAGCTGGGGGGCTAGTTAAGAACTTATGGGCACTAATCACAGAGGACCTCATCTCCCAGGTGTCTTTACATAGCTGCAGGAGCTGTGCACCAATATGTTAAATCCTGGTGGTGTTGAGACTGTTTTGGTTCTCCTATCTCTAGCTTAGGACTTTGGATTTCCTGGAATTCAGTGCTAGGGAGAACAATAATGATGATGCAATTGTTGTCAGTTGGATTCATTCATCCATTAAAAGCAGAGTCTTTTTGTCCATCATAATTGCGCGGGTGGTGCAAGGGATGTGGGTGGCGCTGTGGGTTAAACCACAGAGCCTAGGGCTTGCCAATCAGAAGGTCGGCGGTTCGAATCCCCGCGACAGGGTGAGCTCCCGTTGCTCGGTCCCTGCTCCTGCCCACCTAGCAGTTCGAAAGCACGTCAAAGTGCAAGTAGATAAATAGGTACCGCTCCAGCGGGAAGGTAAACAGTGTTTCCGTGCGCTGCTCTGGTTCACCAGAAGTGGCTTAGTCATGCTGGCCACATGACCCGGAAGCTGTACGCCGGCTCCCTCGGCCAGTAAAGCGAGATGAGCGCCACAACCCCAGAGTCGGTCACGACTGGACCTAATGGTCAGGGGTCCCTTTACCTTTACTAATTGCAAAATCTCACTATTGCTGAGACTCCTGGTTCAGCTATCTGAGTGTTGTCTGCACTGGCTAGAAGTGTCTCTTCAGGGAGTGAGACAGAACATTCCCAACCCCACCTGGAAATCCCAGGGATTGGACCTGAGGCCTTCTGCATGCAGAAGAGATGCTCTACCGCTGAAAGTCTTTCCTACACAAATAGTAAGAGTGACATCTCTGCCTCTCAGAGGCCACAAGTCTGGAACACACTGTTTCAGATTCTGCCAGTGTTCCCTGGCCCCTATCAGCATCAAATGTCCTAATCTGCATTCAGTTAAGAGGCCATTGGATATTATCTGCAGACATTTTACTCTGGTGCTCATGGTGCAAGGTTGGTAAGAAGTCCCATTGGAAGATATATTTTGCCTTATAGTCTTTTAATTAATGCTTTTGAATTATGGTGCTGGAGGAGACTCTTGAGAGTCCCATGGACTGCAAGAAGATCAAACCTATCCATTCTTAAGGAAATCAGCCCTGAGTACTCACTGGAAGGACAGATCCTGAAGCTGAGACTCCAATAAGTTTGGCCACCTCATGCAAAGACAAGACTCCTTGGAAAAGACCGTGATGTTGGGAAAGATGGAGAGCACAAGGAGAAGGGGATGACAGAGGACAAGATGGTTGGACAGTGTTCTCGAAGCTACGAACATGAGTTTGACCAAACTGTGGGAGGCAGTGGAAGACAGGAGTGCCTGGCGTGCTCTCATCCATGGGGTCACGAAGAGTCGGACACGCCCAAACGACTAAACAACAACAACTTTTAATTCAGCAGGGCAACCATTTTAAAATGAAAAGTATTATCGGCCAGATCACATGTAGGCTTCTCAGGACTATGTCAAGTGACACATTTTAATTCATCATCTGAATTCATCACAGTGCCCTATGGCAAACTGCAACTCGGCTAAATGTCAACTCTCTCATGTTTTCCACACCATGTCTTTGATGCCAGATGTTTCTGCACTCCATGCCACTTTGAAGAAGGAGGAAGTTACATCAGCAGGTGCCAGGTGGGCCCACTGGAAATTAGGCAGTGGTCTCTCCAATAAACCATAGCCTACCTCAGCGGTGGAAGGGTCGCGGGTGGCGCTGTGAGTTAAACCACAGAGCCTAGGACTTGCCGATCAGAAGATCGGTGGTTCGAATCCCAGCGACGGGGTGAGCTCCCGTTGCTCGGTCCCTGTTCCTGCCAACCTAGCAGCTCGAAAGCACGTCAAAGTGCAAGTAGATAAATAGGTACCGCTCTTGCGGGAAGGTAAACGCCGTTTCCGTGTGCTGCTCTGGTTCGCCAGAAGCGGCTTAATAATGCTGGCCACATGACTCGGAAGTTGTATGTCAGCTCCCTCAGTCAATAAAGTGAGATGAGTGCCACAACCCCAGAGTCGGCCACGACTGGACCTAATGGTCATGGGTCCCTTTACCTTTACTCTTCAATAAACCATAGCCTACCTCAGCAGTGGGGAACCCTTTTCAGCCCAACGGTTGCATTCCCTTCCGAGTAACTTTGAGGGAGGGGGCACAAGCTAGTGGGGGTGGGGCCAGAGGCAAAAGTGAGATTAGAAATAAATGTACATTTTACCTTTGTACCCTAGGCTAGTTTCTGCACACACACATACCCCTCTGTAGTGTTGTAAATAGCCTCCATCCAGACAAGCAAATGACAACAGAGGTCAAGGCCACATTCTAGCTGGGTATATGCACTTGGGGTGCAAAGCAAGGCTAGCGAGCTGTGCAGCCTGGGGAAGAGTTTTGAAGGCCAGAGACAGTATGGCCTGGAAGGTCACCTTGGGCCCTTAGTCTGTCCAACTCTGGCCTAGATGGTGCCTTTCCCCTGCACATCCCTTTGTCACACATCCTCTTTCCTCTAGATATGGTGCACTTTGCACTTTGAAGCTCTTTTGTTGCTTGCCTTCTTGCTGCTGTACTCAGCTAGTAATTTGCTTTTTGGAGAGAGTCCGTTTACGTTTTGCACATTTCACTACGGTGGTGGTAGTAGTGGTGCTGCTGTGCCACCCCTGGGAAGCTGCTGCTTCGGCCTAGATCCATTGCCTAGGTTTGAGACGTTTCCTTCCCAGCACGTTGCCCAGTCTTGCAGTAAGTAGGCGGGCGCTGCCCGTTCCACCGCTGCAACCTCACCGCGCTCAGCCTCCAGGCACGCTTGCGCCCAAACACTACCTGCATGCTCCCTCCCTGCTTCTCGGGCTAGCGCCTTCCGGGAGCTGCTCAGGGGAAAGTGCTTCTTCTCGGACCTTCCTTCCAAACCCGCTGCCCCTCTCGCGCCTGTTGCATCCAGCGACGACTGGCAGGGCGCCCTTGGCTCCTGTTTGCGCATGCAACCCCAAACTGCAAAGGGGAAGGCGGGATTTCCGCTGTCACGTCCCTCGGGTAGAGCCCTGGGGGAGACTTCCCCTCGCCTGGCCTTATTAGAGATGCGGGTCACGCTGCTGCCGCTGCTGCTGTTACGGGGAAGAAGCGGGTCGGCGGGGGTTGCTGGGTCAATGAGCAATCGCAGCGCGGCCGCAGCAGAGCCAACAAAGAGCCCCAATCGGGGGCGAGGGAAATGGGGGGAGCAGCCCTTGTAGGGAGAGGGAGCGTTTTGCAAAAGTTGGCCCATTGTATTTGGAACTTTCTGCCCTGATTCACACAGGGAATGGGTAAAGCGCGGATCTACACGGATCCTCCACTTTTTAAAAAATAACTCCAACAAATCCAGTGTCATCCCCAAACCGACCCAACTATTCCCCATGATATGAGGGCTGCGTCTAAGAGTTTGCAGACTTGTTTAAATTGAATTTAAGGTCTGCAGAAATTAACGGGACTTCCTCCTCGGTAAACGCGGATAAGACTCGATTGCAACGGCTAGACGTTTCCCAGACATGCATATTTGGGAGCCCAGCTGGTGCAATCTAGTCCTCTTCCTACCCAGGCTTGTTCATCGGTATGTCTCATCGATTTCAACATAATTCCAATTAACGATGCGTAACCTCTTAGATTATTTAACTGTATTATTTAAGGCTAGGGAGTCTAGCTTCGCGAGAGTTAAGAAAGGTGTGTCCTTCATCCTTTTGGCGCAGCCTAATTTGTTCTAACTTTCAGGGTTTTTACCATGTTCTGCGTTACTCAGTATAGCTATAGCGTTACGGTTTGCTGCATTTTGTAAAGGTTTGTGTTAAAATTTCCATTAAATCTTCAGTTACAAAAAGGACACACACTTTTTTTCCTGGCCGCCAAGAAATCACAGTGCTGGCCTTCCTCATATGCATCTGGGGCGTTGAATCCGAAGCAAGAAAACTCAGTCACTAGGCAGGATGGAACACCATGTTATAAGAGAATATAACACTTTTCACACAAAAAACGGAGCGGGGGGGGGAGCGGGGGTTGGCCCTCTTGTAAAATTAAATCAGGAAAGCAATGTTCGTTGGTTTTAGCCCAGGATAGAAGCGACCTCGCTGCCGCCGGAGTTTGGCGTGCCGGATACAAATGTAGCGCAAAAGGCAAGCGATACATTGCATCGCAATGTCTTCCTCTTTTTTCTTTTTTTGCAATAATGTTTATTAGGTTTCTTATAAATATAGATACATACTGTAAAAACAAATGAAACAGAGAATGAAAAAAAAGAAGAAAAAAAGAAAACATAAAACAAGTACAGCAAATAACAACAAATAAAAAATATACATAACAACTAACACATAAACAATAGAAATTGATTGAATAGTTACAACGTCATAAACATGTTGCTTGACTTCCTCCGGTCCCTTCCATCTGAATTTCCCTTGTAACTAAATGTAGCAGTTTTCCAGTACCATTATTTCTTCCTCTTTTTACGCAGTTACGCGCGACTTGGTCCCTCCGAACTTAGCGGGACACAGATGAGCTTTAAGAGTTCTGAAAGATCCATGCTAACCCTATTCCAAGCACATTTCCCCTGAACTGGTGTCTGCACGTTGCTCTCTCTTATTGATTTTATTTCCCATCCTGGAAGGTGGGGTGAGATGTAAAATCAATAAAAGGTTACAATATGTGCAAGACTGGGAAATAACAAATCTAAGGGAAACATTTCCAAAAAAAGGGGGGGGGGAGCACGTCTGTTGTTGCTTGGGAAACGAGCTGTTAATTATTCGGGGGGGGGGATGGGAGAGGCTGGAAGGAAACCTCTTTCTCCCAACCCCCATGCATGCCTGCGTTGGAAGGCTGGGTTTCGCTTTGCGCCCTCTTACCGTATTAACTGTGATATATGCGTTCCTTAATAGCCGCCGAGGACGAGATGGCTGGACAGTGTTCTCGAAGCTACCAGCATGAGTTTGACCAAACTGCGGGAGGCAGTGGAAGAAAGGAGTGCCTGGCATGCTCTGGTCCAGGGGGTCACAAAGAGTCGGACACGACTAAACGACTAAACAACAACAAAATAGCCACCGAGGTGGGGAGAGGAATGAAGGAACTGGGCAGTAGCCAAGGCTTTGCTGCAGGTTCTGCTGAGAGTCTTGGCCCAAGTGGCACTTCTCCAGGGATGACTTTGAGTGGCTCCTTAAACGGCATAATCCGTTTCAGGGGCTGATGCTCTTCACTCAGCCCATGATAAAACTCTGCACTCCTCCATTCAGTTCAGGCATCTAGCTGCTAGCCAGTGAAATGCATAGTAATTCTAGTGGTGTGCTTGTTGCTGTTTAGTCGTTTAGTCGTGTCCGACTCTTCATGACCCCCTGGACCAGAGCACGCCAGGCACTCCTGTCTTCCACTGCCTCCCGCAGTTTGGTCAAACTCATGCTGGTCTCTTCGACAACACTGTCCCACCATCTCGTCCTCTGTCGTCCCCTTCTCCTTGCGCCCTCCATCTTTCCCAACATCAGGGTCTTTTCCAGGGAGTCTTCTCTTCTCATGAGGTGGCCAAAGTATTGGAGCCTCAGCTTCAGGATCTGTCCTTCCAGTGAGCACTCAGGGCTGATTTCCTTCAGAATGGAGAGGTTTGATCTTCTTGCAGTCCATGGGACTCTCAAGAGTCTCCTCCAGTGCCAGAATTCAAAAGCATCCATTCTTCGGCGATCAGCCTTCTTTATGGTCCAGCTCTCACTTCCATACATCACTACTGGGAAAACCAGAGCTTTAACTATACAGACCTTTGTTGGCAAGGTGATGTCTCTGCTAGAGGAACACAATGATGGGGTGTCTGCGAACCAGATCTGAGTCCTCTGCATCTTGCTTACAAAGGCCTAATGCCCATGTGTCATCCACCTGCATTCTTCGTTCCTGTCCTTCCAGGGCCGGCCCACCCCCATGAGTTAAGGTGAGGCAACTGCCTAAGGCTTTACAGGAGCACTGTATTGACCTTTCCTCCCCCTCTTGTTCCCTGTAGATCTTCACTCAAACCTTCTTCCCTGGTGGGGAGGTGGGGTGCCATTTTGTGGTTTGATTCAGGGGCTGGCCCTGTGTCCCTTCCCCCATTGTATCCTCTGCTTCACATCCCCTCCTGAACTTCCTTGGGGCTCACCAAATGGGAATTTTCCCCAGGGAATCAGATACCCTCCTTCCAGCATCTCTCTGCTAAAGGTAAAGGTAAAGGGACCCCTAACCGTTAGGTCCAGTCGTGGCCGACTCTGGGGTTGTAGCGCTCATCTCACTTTATTGGCCGAGGGAGCCGACGTACAGCTTCCGGGTCATGTGGCCAGCATGACTAAGCCGCTTCTGGTGAACCAGAGCAGTGCACGGAAACGCCATTTACCTTCCCGCTGGAGCGGTACCTATTTATCTACTTGCACTTTGAAGTGCTTTTGAACTGCTAGGTTGGCAGGAGCAGTGACTGAGCAACAGGAGCTCACCCCGTCGCGGGGATTCGAACCTCCGACCTTCTGATCGGCAAGTCCTAGGCTCTGTGGTTTAACCCACAGCACCACCCGTGTCCCAAAACCGCGTCTCTCTGCTAAAACACAGCAAATCCGCAATGTTTGCAGCTCACATCTCTCCGCCCACCCCCATCAGCCCCAATGATGGCTGATCATCTTGCTGGCATCCTGCTAAGGAGAAATGCTGCCTCGGGGTCCCTTTACTGCTGATCTGTGGCAGCAGCAGCGTGGAGCTGGTCAGCTAGGACACATGCACAAAACATCTTAGGGATGCAAAATAAAGCAGTTCTTTAAAAAAACCAAAAAGGGTTCTTTGGCGTGATGAGGGTTTTTGTTTTTTCAAAGAACCATTTTGGATGAAAGGACAAGCACTACCATATTCTGCAGAAAGAAGCGGCTGTGGACCTTAGGGCCACTCTGTCTTCCAAAGCCAGCTCTCCAGAACTGCCTTCTGTTTCCAGCAGTGGAAGGTAGACTGCCTCCAGCATGGAGGTTCCATGCCACCTTTATGGCTAATGTGGGCCCCAAAAAATCCCTGACCAATGGCCCGCATTTAGGTGGCTAGGCAGGTATCTCCAGGAATCCATGAAGGCCTATCCAGCTTCTGAGCTTTGAAAATCGCAGCAAGCTGTAATGGCAGGTTCAGGGCCTCAGTTCAGCACCAAAAAACCCCCCATTTTGTTGGAATGGTGCTATTCTGCACAGGTGCTATTAACCTAAGTAAGAAGGAAGGGCGCATTCCAGACGTGAAGGTTGGAAAAGGGAAGGGAATTTATTCCACCAGGAAGGCCTGACTTGCTGGTGCTTGTTCATCCCTTCCTGGACGGGGGAAAGCGCTTATAGTAGCGAATCCACTCCGTGGCCTTCGCTTTAGCTCGGTCGAGTAATGGGTAAGTAACGAAACTTCGGCCTCGTGCCCCCTTCGCCGACCTCTGAGGTGCCTGCTTTTGGGTGGTATCCCTCCGCCCCAAAACAAAAGGTTGGTGGTGAGGCGATTTGGCGGGAAGGAGCCAGGGCTATTTCCATCTGAATCGGGGCAGGAAGCGAGGGCCGGCAGCCTCCCCTCGCGCCACACGTCGCCTCCCCTCGGGCTGTGATTCGGCGCCTGCGCTCGGGGCCGGGCCGGGCCATTACCATACGGGGAGCTATAAAGGGCCGGGCGCCGGGGCCCTTCCTTCTCACCTCCTCACTGCACGGCGGAGCTGAGTTAGGTCAGGGACCCCTCGGGTAAGAAGAGGCGGAGGGGCGCGCCGAGCGAAGGCGGCAGGGGTCGCCCTTTCGGGGAAGGCGGAGGAGGGGAGACGGCGCTGCTGCTTTGGAAAAGTTTCTTTGGGGCCGGGGAGGGAGGAAGGGCGGCCGCGGGGCTGGTTGAGGGGCAAAGAGCCCCCCGCCAAAGAGTCGCCGCGTCTCCTCAGCGAAGGGGCTTTGGCGAGGCGGCCGGCGCTTGTTTGTGAAGAAGTCCCATAGAACTCACTTGGGGGGGCGGACTTTACTTCCGAGTCGGCGCGCCGTGGGGTGGAGGGGGGCTCGCTCTGGGAAGCGGGGAGCTTTTCTCCTCTCCGCCCCCCCCCCACGCCCAGTCCTCGGGGGCTCGGCGCCCTCCAGCCCTCGGGCTGCGACGGTGACAAAGTTTCCCCGGCCGACTTCCGTGAGGGGGGAGCCTCGCTGGAAAGGCGGCCGCGGAAGCGTCTTCTTATCGTGGGGCGAAGTTGGGGGGGGGAGAGAGAGGTTGGCGGAAGGAAATGTAGCCTGGCAGCGTGTCTTTAGTACAATGATCCCCCCCCCAAAAAAAAGATTAGAAGCAACTTTGGTTGCCTCTTGGATCCTGAGCTTCGCTTCCCCCCGCTCTGCCGGGTGTGGGGGGCGTCCCTCTCTCTCCCCGCCTAAGGGGGCATTATCCTGATGGGGGGCTGAGGGCAGAGACAAGGACCCCTTTGAGCCTGGGGGTTCCTCTGGCATGAATCGGGGTGGGGTTACTGGAGTGGCGGGGCTGGGGAGCCCTCCTTGAGTTTTGGCGCAAGATAAGCAACCTTCTAATTTCTGGATATATATTTATATTTTTCTCCCAGGATCACAGTTTCCAGAGACGAAAATGGTGAAAATCGGAGTTAACGGGTGAGTTTTCGGAGGGGGCGGACGTGCGGCGAGGCTGCCTTAGCATGGCAGGGAGGGAGGGGCGTGTAAAGTGGGGAGGAGGAGGAGGAGGAGATCTGGTTGCTGGGAGAAGCAGGGGGTGGCTGCCCCCTGGGAGAACTTGGAGAACTTTCCAGCCAATGGGAGAGCGTTGGCGCCTGGCTGCCTGTTGCTGTCTCTTGTGGCAGTTCTTGGGGGGATCCGGCTCGCATTCCTGTCCTTTGCAAGGACATCTGAAGGTCACTCCGGCTCCTCTGCCTCCTCCCAGCAGCTGCTCCTCTCGAAAAAGGATCTTCTTGTGTCCTTGTCAGCCCAGCTGCCCCATTAAAACAGGTGGCACCCAAAAGGGTTTTCTCCCCATCTTTGAGCTCCGCGTGCAGCAGCGAAAGCACATGGGGCAAGCCAGGGGCCAGGATGTGCCTAGACAGGAGAGGAGTGGTGGTGGTGTGACTCACTTCCTTGAGCATTGAACTGCTGAATCACTTGCGGCAGGAAGCAGCAGCAGTGGGGCTCCCTGGTCCTCCTCGCCCCACTTCTCTTTTATTCCCATCTTTTGCAACTCTGGCTGCTTTCTCCCCGCCCTGCAAATCAAAGTGAAACTCTGTGCCTTTTGGTCTGAAGGGCCCACAAAGAATGTGACCTTCTGCACTACACCCCGTGGAGGCAGAAAACTGTAACCAGATAACTTGCAGCTTGGTGCTGGAGGGTGGGGGGAGCTGGCGCTAAAGTTAGTGCCTGACCTTTCTGCAGCGGCGGGATGGTGCTGTAGAGGAAGGGGAGAGGTGTCTGGATGCAACATGAGAGAGGGAGCCTGTCTAAGCAATACCTTTCCCATCTCAAGGCTGCTAATGAAATAGTAGCAGTGTCCTGCAAGAATTCCCATAGAGCTGAGTGGCAGACTGCATGCTTTGCATTCAGAGAGCTTCGGACTCAGATAAGGGGAAGCTGCTTATTGGTTTATTCCCACAAGTTGGTTGGGAATAAACCATGTGAGCCAAGTGGAATTCACCAGAGCAGCTTCACAGGGAGGGTAGGACTTGCATTTCTGCATGGTGGTTTAATATCTTATCTAACAGCCTCGCAGTAGCCATGAGCAGTGAATCTCTGCAAATCAGGCAGTAACTTTTCAAGCACATGCACTTGCTGAGCAGTGATTTGAGGTTCTTGATGAAAGTGGAGAGATCAGAGCCTCCTCTGTCCACGTCTTTCTTGCCCCTTAGATTAGCTGGCTGCCGGTTCCAAGCATTTTAGAGCTAATAAAATGATGGCTTGGCCTCTCATGCAAAAGATGCCCTTTGTCTCAAACACAAAGCCTTCATCACGTGACCCAAAAAAGCTGCTGCAGTTGTAGGGCTCTGGAAGGTTTGCAGAGGTGAAGTTGCATGCCCTCAGCTGGTGTCCTTGCTGCAGTTGTTCTACTTACCCTGCATTTCTCTCACTGGTCCTTGACTTGCAGCCACAGGAGAAACTGAGAAAGGCCAGAGCTCACCAGAGCAGATGATGGCTCTGTGTTGGGAGATGCCCCGAACTTAAGGCAATATCATGCAGCTCTCTTGGGCATCAGACCCTGGCTTTCTGGTTGAGGGTGCCAGAATAGGATTTGAACAGGTCTAGGATGTGGGGCACAGTCTACTTGGAAGGCTTTGGCAATAAGCCTAATTTGAAACTAACTGGGATTGTGCATTTTAGTGAGGCTTGCACAGGGTATTTAGATAACAGAAAGATGTTGGCTACATTTCTTGTGTGCCTAAGGCAGAAAATATTTATAGAATAAGCCTGATTTTATCTTAATATGGTTAGGTTCAGGTCTAAGCCCTTGTCTAGTTAGTGCCCTCCAGCTGATTGCCAAGTTATCACAAGCTGCAATGTGATGTGCCTCATCACTGCTGCTTCTCCCCCTGTCCCAATTACTTGATTTTTAATACTTTCTCAAAGTACTATTCTCTGTTTTGGGGTTTTTGGTTTGTTTTTTGCTTTTAGAACAATTAGATAGAGAGAATTCTGTTTTTGCTTCCTTGTGACGGTTGCTCTTCTCTTTCTCTAGATTTGGCCGCATTGGCCGTCTGGTCTGCAGAGCTTCATTTAACTCTGGAAAAGTTGAGGTTGTGGCCATCAACGACCCTTTCATTGATCTGAACTACATGGTGAGAATCCAGTATTCTTTCTAAAGTCAAAAAGCAGGCTATGGCCTTACCTTGTGAACATGTATTTGTGCCACTAAACAGTATTCTTGGTATTTTTTCCAGAGATCTGGCAAATGGTAGCAGTTTCTTTGGGGGAAGACAGTCTATAAGCTGAAAGCAGCATTGGGTGGTTAGGGAGCAAGTTCCTCTTGAGATTTTAGAATAAAGCCCACCCCCCAGCTGAAGACTACATAGTATGAGCCAAATTGGCACATAACCCATAATAATCACATTGTCCCTAGTGAGATGCTGAAAGTCCAAATGCAACTTTCAATGGACCAGGTGCAGAGAGGTGTTCAAGGTTCTGAAGAGAAAATATTGCATGAAGCGGCACATAAGAGTTTTGTGGTCTTGTGTGACCACAGCAGTACTTAGCATTCTCCCCACGACCATAACACACAAACAGCAACAGCAACAAACCCGCCTTTCTACTTTCAGTTCACACAGCCCTTTTCCCATGGAGTTGTGTATTTGAGAGCAGCTTGGGATGGGGGGAAATTGCTTTGGGGATAAAGAGGCAGTATGAGGGATTAATGTGGAACCAGACTACAAAACTCATGTTTTGAATGTCTCACTCTTAGGTCTACATGTTCAAGTATGACTCCACTCATGGCCGTTTCCGTGGTGATGTAAAGGCCGAAAATGGGAAACTTGTGATCAATGGACATGCCATCACTGTCTTCCAGGAGTGAGTAATATCTCTCACTCTTCTCTTTCCTTGCTGGTTGGGCAGGATCTGGCTCTGTCAGAAACTTGCAGAGTCTAAAACTGTGATTCCTTTTCTCCTCAACAGGCGTGACCCTGCCAACATAAAGTGGGGCGATGCTGGTGCACAATACGTTGTTGAATCCACTGGTGTTTTCACCACCCTAGAAAAGGCCGGCGTAAGTATCTTCTGTGCAGATGAGCAAAGGGAACCATGCATCTCTCCCGGGCAGAAGGAGAGGTGTCACAAATTGGTGCAGGAGTTTTCTGTTTCCCACTCCCGTTTCTTCCCCTAGCTGAGCAATGATAAAAGTCAGAAGGATAACATAGTTTGCCTCATCCACATGGCTGTAGCCTTCCTTAGCAACAAGATTCTTGTTCATAGTTCTTAAATAACACATGCTTTGTCAGTCTTGGAACAGATTGCTACAGTTCTTGCTTCCTTTCCCCTTTCAGGCTCACTTGAAGGGCGGTGCCAAGCGTGTTGTAATCTCTGCCCCATCAGCAGATGCTCCCATGTTTGTGATGGGTGTCAATCATGAGAAGTATGACAACTCTCTGAAAATCGTCAGGTGAATATGCAAGCGAAACTGTGGTACTGTAATAGTAACCGGAGCAGTGTTGCTCGCTGGCCTATTAACATTGGACCACAATATGGATTGGGTTAAGAGTTGTGATGCTCAATATAAATACCCTCATTTCCTTCCAGCAATGCTTCTTGCACCACCAACTGCCTGGCACCCCTGGCCAAGGTCATCAATGACAACTACGGCATTGTGGAAGGCCTTATGGTAAGTGAATTGCATGCTCCTAATGATGTGCCCTCCTCATTACCAAGGTCCTTTACTGTGGAGGGGGAGGCCTAGCCCCCCCCCAACAGATACCCCAAGTCCCTCCACATATTGTTGGGCTCCAGCCCCCATTGGCCAGCATGGTCAGTGATCAAGGATGATGGAAGCTGCTGTCCAGCAACAAATTTATTCATCCTTAGTGTAGCCAAATTTGCAGCTCTTCAGAATGTGCCAATCCTTCCCCTTGTGGGGTGTACAAGGGGAAAAGTGCATAGAGTATTCTATCCAATTACTTGCAAAGATTTTGACTCTTTCCATTATTGTGTCATACTTTTAAACCCTTTCTGCTTCACTGCAACCATTTCTCCTCCTACTGAAATGATGTTCAAAGCTTAACCTCAATGATCAAAGGCAGTCTAGGATAAAAGTTGGCTGAGAGGAACTATACAGTTCAGAGCCCTTCCTCTCAGTAGTGTACATGGAGGGGACACACATCTTGTGCTTGGGGGTGAATATTGATCTCTCTTGCCCCTTCTCTACCCCAGACCACAGTCCATGCCATTACAGCCACACAGAAGACTGTGGATGGTCCCTCTGGGAAACTGTGGCGAGATGGCAGAGGAGCTGCTCAGAACATCATCCCAGCTTCCACAGGTGCAGCAAAGGCTGTTGGCAAGGTGATCCCTGAGCTGAATGGGTAAGTCCTCTTGTCTCTCTGGGTGGTGTCTGAGGGAAGGGTATGAAAGTGAGGAATGCTTTGCACCCTAACCCGAGTGATCTTCTACACCCTCAGAAAACTCACAGGGATGGCTTTCCGCGTCCCAACTCCCAATGTTTCTGTCGTGGACTTAACATGCCGCTTGGAGAAACCAGTGAGTATTTCGGAACTTGCAGCGCCTTCCCCTCTGGCCTCGTGCAGAAACTCACCTTTGTAGCTCTCGGTAATATTTTGTAATGCTTGCCTGTACGGAAACCACAAAAGGGGGTTGCACCACCTCACAATGCGCCATGAGCTGTGCATTTATGTCTAAACAAGCACAGCTAGGGCTGGACTTCTCGTATGAAGCCCAGTCCCCTCTCTATGACCCCCCCCCCCGAAAAAAGTGGCAGATGATGGTGGCAGAAGCCAACATCAATACCTGAATCTTGCCCATTGTGGTTGGCACTGGTCACTTTAGTCCTTCCTTCCTCATGCTTAAAAATATATACTTTGGGACAATCCTAATTTTATTTTTGCTTTAAAAATAAATTATTTTTTTCTACAAGTAAATGTGTTTAGCACCAGGGTAGCAGACGTGAACTCCCATTTTATTCCTACAGCCATGATAGTGAGGGTTTTTTTGCGCGCGCGCGTGCACACACACACACACACACACACACACACACACACAGAGGTTTGGTTTGTTCTACTATATAAGGAATGTAGAAATAGTTGCAAATCACAGTCTGGTGGATGGAGTGGGGGGAGGGGAATAGAAATTTTAACTGGGTCCACATGGCCATCTAGAGCCCAGTCTCCTCATCAAGACCACTTGAACCCAGGCTCTAAATTTATATAACTGCCTCTCCTTTCCCCAGCCTTCTCTGGCCTGTGTCTTAAGTAATTTCCATAAGCTCCTGCACAGCTCTGGCAGGTAGGACCATTTTAACCTTTCCCATCCTTTTTCACACAGGCCAAGTATGATGACATTAAGAAGGTTGTGAAGGCAGCCTCCGAAGGCCCTATGAAGGGTATCCTGGGATACACCGAGGACCAGGTAAGCCACCGTGGCTGCTTCAGCAGACTGTCAAATCTGGATCTTCTCTTCATGTATACACACAATTTGTATGGAGAAAGCACATCGGTACATTTTGTAGCAATTTCTGCTACCGTGATGGTGGCAGTAAAGATAATTTTGGACATTGAATGTATCTAAATGATACATTTTCTTTCCTCCGTCTTCTTCCTTGCCCTACGTGACTGGCAGCATGTGGTTTCATCCTGCATTTCTTCCATACTGGAACCCAAGGTGTATATGTTTCACCCAGGCAGTGACCTGGGTGCTTAACTTCAACAAGGTGGTGGCCCCATGCACCTTTAGACCATACCGGTTTTGCTTCAAGTTTATACACCATGTTGCCCTCTGTTGGATAAAATGTGAGATCATGTTTCGTTGCCTAGTATTTTGAGCTTCTCTTCTTCTCTCAAAGGTTGTCTCCTGTGACTTCAATGGTGATACCCACTCCTCCATCTTTGATGCTGCTGCTGGCATTGCTCTCAACGACCACTTTGTGAAGCTGGTCTCCTGGTAAGAGATCAAGCTTAGATAAGATCTGGACTTGTGTAGGATCAAGGAACTTCTTGCTGTTTGAATTGCTATGGTAATCCAGTGGCCTTCTGAAATTTGGGAAGGGGGACATAGTGTGTGCACACATGTGTGTAGCAGCAAAGACTTCCTGCTCTCTTCCTACCACTTGTCAAATAGAGGAAGGCTATTTTATGATGAGAGGATACTGTAGGTAACCCTACTATTCCCCTGCCTTCTTTTCCAGGTACGACAATGAATATGGATACAGCAACCGCGTGGTAGACTTGTTGGTTCACATGGCATCAAAGGAGTAAAGGCAGAGTTCCATTTCTTAATTTTCTTACAACTCGGCTCTGTATCTTGCAGTAAGAGGCCTTCTCTTGTTCCACCTGCCTCTGAGGAAGTGGAGAGGCTGGAAGAAACTTGACTGTTTCCGTAACATCTCCCCTCTCAATAAAGTCATCACTGTCTCAAATCCTTGTTCTCTTCCTTCTTGTTGCTGTTGTGGGGGGGAAGTGAGGGTGTGAGCACAAAGGCTGTGCTTTCCTCCCAAAAGAGCTGGGCTGCCTTGAAAGTTGATAAGCTCACAGGACAGAGTTTCTGCATGAAAATTCCCCACTTGGTGGCTACATTGCTGAACAGCAGTTGTATGCTGTATGGACCAGCAGGCATGGTGGTGGAGGCTGCTTGGCTTGGAGTTTTGAGGGTTCAGAATGCCTGTAGCTGAGGGGTTTAAGCTGAATGTGCTGCTGCTTAAAGAATGAGCAACCAAGATAACCAAGAGCAGTTGCAGCTTCATGGGGGTGGGGGCACACAGACCTTGACTTGCTGGTAATATAAAACAATGTGATGGTGCTTAGCCAAGGGACCCATCAGGCTTGTCTTCATTTTTCCTGTAAAGCTGACACAATTGCACTCCACCTGGCTCCATCTGCTGCTGAATGCTGGAAACCAAAACCAGGGCAGCATCACCCAGATCTTCACTAGATCACCACCTAGGTAGCTAAATTGTTCCATTGTGTCAGAATGGCTGTTGCTAGCAAGAAGTTTTGACATCTGTACTCCTCGAAACTGAAGCCCATGTAAAATCCAGTGTCCAGAAGGGGACACAGCATGCCAGCAGCTTTAGTTAGTACAGAGTAGAGTGGAACTATTCCTTAAGGCTGCTGGAAAATAATAAGTTCTGTTAATGCAGCTTAAAAATTGCATGATTTTTCTTTTCCGGCAGCGTCACATTGCTAACTCAAGTTCAGCTTGTGATTGTCCACAGTCCTGAGGCTGTTTTGCCTACACGGAGAACTTCACATTTGTCTCTGTCGTCTTAGAATGGAAAACTGCTGACACTACACTACTGAGGCAATTTTAAATAAGTACTCCTGAGGTGTTTGCTATCCCTGCCAAGTTTCTTACCAATGATTTACCTCTACCCCGTTTCTCCAAGTTGTTGATAAAATGTTGAAGGAATATAGGCTCTGCATCACTTCACTCAATTTCCTCAGTTTCCAGTCTTTTAAAACTTTTGCCGACCTGCTGCAATGCTGGTTAAGGCAAGGAGCCACAAATCTCTCGGGGAGGGGAACGCAACCAGGAAGAAAACAAAACACAGCATGAGAATGTTCAATAGTTGGCAGCTATATTAGTAATTTGCCTCCTTTAATAAGGAACTGAAAACTTGGAATCTATTTAATAAAGCATGTACTTCGTTCTCTTCCATTATATGATGTATAAGAATTAACCAGCTGTACAATGGCAGTGAAGTAGATTAATAGTTTGGAGTTCCACAATTGGAGAGTAGCCATGACTCGCAGTGCCAGCTGCTGGCAGAAACATACAGGCTATTTAGCTTAAGGAGAGCACACTCACCCTTAGTTTTCTCTGATAGGCAGCTGTGGAATTCACAGAATGGTAGAATTGGGTTGGAAGGGACCCTGAGGGTCATCTAGTCCAACCCCCTGCAATGCAAGAATCTCAACGTAAGCATCCATGACAGATAGCCATCCAACCTCTGTTTTACAACCGACAATGAAACAGTCCACCATCTTTCAGTGGCACCTGTCAAACCGCTTACAATTTGCTGAGATCTTCCCTGCTCGCTCTGCTTTGTGTGTGAACAGGCTGTGTTTTACTCCTCTTAGACTCAAACTCTTGGCTTGAGCCTAAATCCTCTGCCTTCAGCTGAGTCAGACTTTGAGGATGTGTGGGGAACAGCTGGTTTATTTATTCTGCTTCGGGTTCTGCCTCCTTATGGCACACGCACAAGGCTGAAGGATGCATTTCTGTCCCTCATGAACAGGTGTCACATTTAGCATCACACAATTACCAGCCGCAGAAGCCGCAACAGCTCGGACTCTGTGCGACTGGATTTTGCAAGGCCGCTTCCTGGAGCGTCCCCATCTCAAGTTAATGGGAAGTGACAGCCGTTTGGATTTTAGGCCTCGGATACTGTGAAGTATTTGGGGTGGGCAGGAGCTATTTTAGAGGTGCCAAATTCCTTGCCGAAGGAAACCTTTTTTGAATGGGGAAGAGGGGGCGATCCATGATTATTTCTTTTGCTGAACTGTGTACAAGAACTATATGAGACAGTCAAATGCACTTAAGGATAAAGACTGCCACATGTTCCCAGTCCTTCCCTTGCAGGCGATGAGTAATTAAGACAGATGATGTAGGATTGAAGAACCTATCCTGCAGAGGGCACTGCAGCCATGCTTTGTGGTTATTCATGGCACTTTCCTTTCTCCCTGTCTCTGTTGGCAGAATGAGTCCACAGGCCTAGAGCAACACAAACTAATTTTTAAGCTGAGAAATTCTGAGATTGGTTGGGCAGTTTAAGTAACATTAGCAGGCTTTCCGCCCCAGGCAAAATCAAGGTTTAAAGTCCTATTTTGCTTTGGTTTTCATTCATAGCTCTGCAGCATGGAGTTCTCCCCAAGCAGAAACAAAAACTGCCCTCATCCAGCCCCCAAATCTGCCAACTTTGACAGATCAAAGTATCGTCCTTGCTAGAAAAGCCTGGGCCTCACTGAAGCTCTCCATTTCTATTTGAGAGCTGGCGGTGTTGTATGGTTAGAATGCTGGACTAGGACCCGGGAGACCAGAGTTCAAATCCCCGTTCAGGCCAGGAAGCTTCCTGGGTGACCTTGGGCCAGTTTGCTGCCTCTCAGCCTAATCTACCTCTCAGGTTGTTGTGAGGATAAAATGGGGAGGAGGAGAACCATGTATTCCCCTTGGGCAACTTGTAGAAAAGGTGGGATGAACGTAATAAATAATAAAATAATAACCATATTTCTAACCCAAAGGATCTTGGTGCCAGAGGGCAGAAATTCTAGGCTTCGTCTGCCAGCGCTTGGTGCATAACCTATGTTTCGGCAGAACAAGTTGGAAATCTAATTCATTGTTTCCCACACCTCTGACTGTAGAGGTGCACCCTCCCACATCGCCTTTATAAAATAGGGGGACGTGGGTGGCACTGTGGTCTAAACCACTGAGCCTCTTGGGCTTGCCAATCAGAAGGTTGGCAGTTCAAATCCCTGTGACGCGGTGAGCTCCTGTTGCTCTGTCCCAGCTCCTGACAGCCTAGTAGTTCAAATAGCATGCCAGTGCAAGTAGATAAATAGGTACTGCTCTGGCGGGAAGGCAAACAGCGTTTCTGTGCGCTCTGGTTTCCGTCACGGTGTTCTGTTGCGCCAGAAGCTGTTTAGTCATGCTGGCCACATGACCCAGAAAGCTGTCTGCGGACAAACGGCAGCTCCCTCGGCCTAAAAGTGAGATGAGTGCTGCAACCCCATAGTGGCTTTTGACTGGACTTAACTGTCCAAGGGTCCTTTACCATAAATAATATGAGGTCCAGGCACTTTACTTGTCTACCTTGAAATGTTTTGCATCTCTAGACTCTAGAACAGTAAGTATTCCCATGTGGGTAAGTGATATGCATGCAGCAAAACGAGAGACAACTTAGCTCCTGGAGAGACAACTTGCTGTCATTTCTCCAAACAGGCAATATCTTTTACCTGCCTGATTCCAGGAAGACAGCATGATCTTGCTTCACGGATTTGAGATGTCTTGCCACTTCATTCCAAAGATGAGATGAAACTACACTGGGATTGCACATCCTTCGAGGAGCAATAAAACTTTTTAAAAAAGAGGTTGTGATCTATCTTTCTGTTACGAGTTTTAAACAAGCCCCTTGTGTGAAACTAACTAACCTAGAAGTTTCCACTTTTAAAGAGCGAGCAACAAAAGGGGAGGGTTGTAACTCTGGGGGAAAAAAACTAAGTAGAACAAAGTTATAAAGTAGGTCACAAAATAGTGGAGCCGTGGTGTGTTTGCGCAAGTAACTGTTCCGTTTCGGCATACGTCAAGACAAAAGCAACATCAAACAGGACCTCGTGACGTATCTCTAACCAAATTCCACTTAGCAGTGATTATGGGTGTGTTACCAAGAGGAAGAATAACATCATCCTTATAACTCAGCCACCAAAGTGGGGCACAGTGCGTGGGCTGTGCAGCAAAAGTGAGAGAACTGCTGTGCATTCCTTGAGCTACTAAAAATGGTATTAAAAAGAGACTTCTGGTTGAACACCAGTGTGCCAGCCGCTGGGGAGGAGGCGAGCCCTGCTGGATGTCCTCAGGAGAAAGATCATCCTGGTAATCTAAAATGCACATACAGCAAACGCAAATATTTCTGCTGTGTCTGGAGGCTCCAAACAACACTCAACCTGTCCGAGAGGAAGTTCTGCTAGTCCCCGCTCCCCATGCACACAAAACAAGTTCTATTTACTCTATCGTTAAAGAAGAAGAAATCCTGATGTTGCAAACAGTGCGTTGCTCTGCATAGCACCCAAACAAGATGCCCCTCTAACCGCTAGGCAGCACTATCCAATTTGGTTTCTGTCACCACAGAGACTATTGGGAAACCTGATGTTTCCCACTTATCTCTCTTTTGTGGGAGGGTTCTGCTTGTGTACTTTTTTTTTGAAATCATTTTCATTTGATTTTACAAATATAATTTTATAACAGCCCAAATGCATATCCATATATAGAGAATACTCTGAATCTTGAGACTTCCCCTCACCCCCTTCATGGGTCGTATTGTCAACATATAAAACTGCATATTATTCCATAGTCTGTATTATCAATCCATATTATCCGTAAAGTTTGTTACATTACAAGTGAGATTAAAATGCTGCTAATATTTTCATCTGCTTGCAGTTGTCTCCTAAACAGATTATAATTTTTTCCCATTCTTTTAAAAAGTTTTTGTCTTCTTGGTTTCTGAGCTTTCCGGTCAGCTTTGCCGTTTCTGCGTAGTCCATCAGCTTAGTTTGCCCTTCCTCTCTGGTAGGGACTTCCTTCTTTCCATCTCCTGGCTAGTAGCATCCGAGTGGCTGTTGTTCCGAACATAAAAAGCCTTTCCTGCTCCTTTGGGATGTCGGTACCCCACTTATCTCTTTAAAGTTATGTCCTCAGGAGGAAGAGGGTGATTTCTTTCCCTAAAGATAAACCAGGTACTTTCCTGGAATAATAGATAATATTATTTCTGTGAATAATAGAATCATAGAACTGTAGAGTTGGAAGAGACCACAAGGGTCATCTAGTCCAACCCCCTGAAATGCAGGAATCTTTTGCCCAATAGGGACTCGAATCCACAACCCTGAGATTAAGAGACATGCTCTACTGACAGAGCTGTCCTAACAGCATGTGTATACCCAAGAATACAGATCTGAACCAGGCTAAATTAAGCAAAGCTTTTCTTATTATTATTGCAAGAAACAAATAAAAATAGCGATACAAAATTATTGGGGTGTGTGGCAGCCTTAATTTCTAATATCATTAATATTCCACTCCATTCATAGCTCTAAGCAAAGAGAGCTAAGAGGTCCTCATTGCTATATATACGGCGTCAGAAACTACCTCTTCCATGCTTAAGGAAGTGAGCAGTGGGATACAGCTGTATATGTAAAGGTGCTGAGCCCAAAAAGCACAGGTTTCTCACTGAGGCAACAGAAATCCTTTCAGTCCTGTGGTCTGAATCCAACATTATGTCCTTGGAAGAGTAGGGTGGAACTCAGATAGTCGGATCATCCAAATTTGCCAAATTGCTATGTTTTCTGCCTAAACCCAGCCCTAAATTCACGTGAAAAGAGGGGTTTGGGGTGTGCGGTGATTATGTCCTGGGAGCATATACTTGCTGACGCTTTGTGAAACCGACTGGGTCTACTGTTTTAAACAATGGGCTACCCTGCCAAGCGTAAGGGAAGTTTGCCAAGGAGGTAAGACAACAGCTGCTATCCTGTACTGAATATTATTTGGGGAGCTGCCTGATTAATTTGAGGTCTGTTGCAAAAGATGCCTACTTCCATGTCACACTAAGCGAGTGGAACACACAATGGCTTATAAAGTGTGTGTGTGGGGGGGGTTTGTTATAGTCCCGGGTACCTTTGATGCTTGAAAAATCTTCACCTTTACATGAAACTCATGCTTGGCTGCAATAGACACACACCTGAATGTTTGTTTTGCTTCTGTACCTAGTACGCTACCTAAATTTAATCTGCAGCTCTGCTGTAATAGGTCTCCATCTCTGCCTTCCAGGTGACTTCTGATTCCCAATGCGTTTTTTATATATATATATAGCTCCTATTGGGTGGTTAAGATATTTCTGCCTACCTAGTTGAGATTTTTAAAAGGCGTATTTCTGCTGACTCAGCTCTAGCGATTTAACTACCTGCCTCTTTTAATTCTTAGCGGGTTTGGTTTTTGCCCTTGATTTTATTATTGCTGTTGGTTTTTGGTCTACTTGGATTGTTTTATTTTTACGCACGCCTCCTTGGTTGCCTTGAGCTCTATATTTTAAATGCAAAGGTGGGATAAGAGCATTAGAATAGCCTGCTGGGTTGAGACAATGGCCCTTTCAGTCCTGCATCCTCACAAGGCAGGATGAGCTCTTTCCCCTCCTGTGGTTTCCTGCAACTGGTATTCAGAAGCTGTGGAGGCAGCGCATAGCCATTAGGCCAATAGTCATTGATGGCTCTCTTCCCCCATGGATTTTTCTAATCCTCTTTTAAACTCATTTAGATTGACAACCATCACTGCTTCCTGCATCAGAAGCGTTTTCTTTTATCTTTCCCGAATCTTCCACCCAGCATACAGGGGTGTAGCCACGATTTAATTGGGGGGGGGGGGCAAGACACCCAACTTTCATCCTCCTCTGTCTGTCTCTGTCTCGCAGATTCAGAATGAAATGTCTCAACAACAGTTGCTTTAAATTACTTTCCTTTGACCCCCCCCAAGTGCTGAGAAAATCCTGTCAACATCTTTGTACAAATTATTTTTGTTTTTATTTATTTACTTGATGGGGGGCAGCTGCTCCCCTGGCTACTCCCATGGCAGCATATTTTTCTAGGAAGGTAAAAGCTAAAGGTAAAGGACCCCTGGACAGTTAGGTCCACTCAAAGGTGACTATGGGGTTGTGGCGCTCATCTCGCTTTCAGGCCGAGGGAGCTGGTGTTTGTCCACAGGCAGTTTTCCGGGTCATGTGGCCAGCAGGACTAAACTGCTTCTGCTGCAAAAGGGACACCGTGATGAGTGCCAGAATGCACAGAAAAGCCGTTTACCTTCTCGCCACAGCGGTACCTATTTATCTACTTGCACTGGCGTGCTTTCGAACTGCTAGGGTGACAGGAGCGGAGCTCACTCCATCGCGGGGATTTGAACCGTCGACCTTCTGATCGGCAAGCCCAAGAGGCTCAGTGGTTTAGACCACAGCGCCACCCGCTGAGCTCAAGACACGGTTTACATCCATGTAACACCTCCTTGCTCCTGTTTCCGGCTGCCACAGCACAGAGTGCAGATTTTCGCTTCCGATAATGCCCAGCAAAAAGCTGTATGTTTCCTTTTTTTAATGTATTTTTATTAAAGATTTATTGGTTTACAAAAGTATGTGCAATGTCTCTTTTTTCAAGTTACATTTTCTACAGATCAGTTTCATTTGTTGAGACATTAGTGTTACATTAGGAAGAAAAGGGGGAAAGAGGAGGAGGGGGAAAGAGGTTGTCAGGTGGCAATGCTTCTATTTTACTTAATGTATGTGTGGGGTTTTGTGTCAGCGTCGCTTGTGCATGTTCTCTTTACTATTCGCTTGTGTTCCTTTGGTGGTGAGAGAGGTTGGGGTTGGCTTAGGGTGTGTGTTTGTGATTGGCTGTGGTGAACTTTGTTTTCATGTGTGAGTGGGGTGGGTGGATGTTTTGTATCAGGTTAGCCATATTGATTTGTATGCTGCTGGTGGATTCTTGTTGCTGTCTTGTTGGGCTGTGTATGTGATACAGTCATACCTCATGTTACGTTTGCTTCAGGTTGAGCGTTTTCAGGTTGCATCCCGTGGCGACCCAGAAGTACTGGAAAGGGTTATTTCCGGGTTTCACTGCTTGCGCATGCGCAGACGTGCAAAATGACACCACACGGATGTGCAGAAGCATCGAATCGCAACCCGTACACGCACAGACGCGGGTTGCGTTCTGCTCATGTTGCAAACTGGCCTCCGGAACGGATCCCGTTCGCAACCAGAGGTACCACTGTATAGGGGAGCCTTGTTGGGGTGAAGGCTTCTTCTTCTATTTGTCCCCGTGTCAGTTTCAGTTTATTGGTTAATTTTTCTAACAAAGCTGTTTCCCATACTATTTGATACCATTGATCCATGCTTACTCCGGACAGGTCTCTCCAGTGTCTGGTTACAATATTTCTGGCTGCTGAGAGTAGGTGGGTTATGAGCTCTTTATGATGTGAGTGGGAAACAGCTGTATGTTTCCTACCCCCAACACCTGTGGAATATTGACAGAAATGGAGTAAGAGAAACCGCTGGACATGACGGGACGAAAACACGTACCCACAAATACTTACGATTGCTGGCTGACCTTTGCTAGCAAACAACCCCTTATCAACAGCTTGGTGCTTAGCAACTGGAAGTCTTGCCAGCCCCACCTGCCCCTCTGTGCAGGCATCCGCTTCCATGAATTCTCTATCAGGAATTCTAGCAAGTGCCGCTGGACCTGTTTCATGACATGAACCCGAGAGCAGCTTCTAATTTAAACAGAGCCAAAAAACTTTGCGCAGATGCCACACGGGACAAGTGCCACATAAGACTATGGCGGCCTCTTCAAAACCACAGGCTCTACTATTTCCTGAATGCTTTCCTATGAGGTGGGTGTGAAAATGCAACCAGTTGAAAAGCTGTAAATTGGCCACGGGTGGGAGAAGTCCAGCCCAGAGGTGGAAGATGGAGTCGAGCATTGGGCGTAACCATGATTTATGTTGGGGGAGGGCAGGACACCCACCTGCCGCCATCCTCTGTCTGGCTCTCTCTAGCAGATTTGGAATGAAATGTCTCAAAGACAAATTGCTTCCTTTTGACCCCCCAAGCACTCGGAAAAGTATGTCAAAATCTTCAGTCGTTTGAAAGCTAAATAAAAAATTAACACCTGGGAGTTCCTTTCATGCACCGAATATTTTGCAAAATTACCTTTTTATCTTAGTTTAAAAAAATCTAAACTAAAACAAGTTTTATTGCATATGTGTGTGTGTGTGTCCAGTAGCACCTTAGAGTCCAACTAAGTTTGTTCCTGGTATAAGCTTTCGTGTGCATGTACACTTACTCAGAAGTGTGCATGCACACGAAAGCTTATACCAAGAACAAACTTAGTTGGTCTCTAAGGTGCTACTGGACATTTTTATTTATTTTTCAATATATATTTCTACTTCGTCAGACCAACACGGCTACCTACCTGAATCTAGAAGTTTTATTGGATTTTCTGAAAACCTTTTCAGCACTTCCTTCTCAAATTCCTCCTTTTTCCCAATGCTGATTTTCTGTGCGCGCTCAGTAAGCCAAACCCATTAGCCAGGTCTTTACCCTCTGCAAGCTACTGAATGACTGCTCTATGGTACAAAAGGTGCATGGCTGAGCAAGAGAGATGAGCAGTGCCTTTTTTTGTGGTCGGGTAAAAGATTTTCCTCTGTTCATGTAAGCCACTCCTATCGCTCAGTTGGGCTGCCAGTTGCATCACTAGAACGTGCCACAACATCATCCAAGCGACCTCAGCGAACTTTTCAGTTTCACATATTCCGATTATTTCTACTTTTGGTTAAGTATTTTTATTTATTTATTTCATGGGAAGGGGAACTGGGATCCCAAAGCCCGTGGTGGTGTAGTACTTTGGGTGCTGGCCTAAGACCTGAGAGACCAGGGTTCAAATCCCCACTCAGCTGCAAAGCTCACTGGGTGACTGTGGGCCAGTCGTTCACCCACTGCTTGGAGGAATGGTGGGGTAGAAATGTGAAGAGAAGAAAATAAACAAAAAATATGCACAGCTGTTGTGTGGAGGGAGGCAATGTTTCAGAACTTCCAAGTGTGGGCCTTCCATTAACCCACACACCTGCTATACGATTGGAAATGACAACTTCCGGGGTGGCGCCATCGGCAATGGCGGACTCCCTCTGATCTGGAGGGACTAGCTCCACGCGAAACGGGTCTTTTCCGCTACGGCGAAGCGGGGACCCTTTCAAAAATCACAGGCGGATGAAGCCTGTGACCATGGGACTCGGCGGGCACCTTTAGTGCCCCCCCAACCCGCAAAGGAATCCACTAAAGGGCTCCGGAGCGAAGAGGGGGAAGTGGCGCGGTGCTGAGAGTCAACTGCTTCTTCCGTGGAGCGAAGCCGCACAGCCGTTGCCAGAGAGCGCTGCCTTTTTCCTGGGACAATTTGGCTTCTAAAATAATCACCCGTGAGTACTTAAATTTCGGACAATTGGATTTTAAATAAGGACTTGCGAGCAGAAAGGAAAATTGGACTTAAAAGTTTACCTCAATTTGGCACTGAAACGGGAAGGTCTAAACAGGAAGTCAGCCTTCCGTTTCTTTGTAGATAGATTAAAGCAAAGACATCACAAACTAGAGCTCAGAAAATCGCTTGTAAAAGATTAACTTTCATCATTTAAAATTGTTGAACCCCCTTCAGAAGCAGGAAAAGAGGGGGGATTTTTTCGGACTGTTTAAACCTGCAGAAGTGAGTGTAAAGTAACTTTCCACCGTCCTGATCCTGGAGCGGGGTGTCAGGACTGACGTTTTTTGAAGCTCATTGACCAGAGACAAACGTTTTTGACAGATAGCTATAAGAAGAGAAACATTGATTCCATTGTTCCCCTTTGCATTTTAAAGGAACAAATATTGACAAAAGATCTGAAAAAGGAAACTTTGTTGTTAGATTTGTCTTTAAAAGAAAGAACAAATAGAAGTTTTCCCCCTAGAGGGAGACTGTGAAACTGTAACCAACTCTGGGGAGCTTGCAGCTGTTACAGATTACAATCGTGGGAATAGATTTCTGACCTTGCAGGACAATGTATTCAGAAGCTCTGTTGCGTGCTTTCTGTAAAACAAATGCCCTACTGGAACAGCTACATGAGAAGACGGACTTGATGACTGATGCGATCAGAAATTTTGAACAGGCAGTGTGAAATTATATGGAGCCCACCCAGGAATTAAATCAGGAGTGTGCCCTGACAGAACAGATGAGGGAAGAGGATGTTGCTGAATCTTGGGCGCCAGAGATGGAGGGAGCTGTGGCCCAGCAGGAACATGAGCTTTTGGATTTGACAAATGAACTTGGAAAAAGCCAGATTTGGAAAGATAAAGTTTGGTTTGGTTTGGAAATGGGGGTTGGATAGACCCCCCTATGCAGGGATGTTTGGACTTTTCAAGTCTGGCAATGGGCCGTGAGATGTTTGGGGTTGTGGGGGCTCTTAATTTTGGAGGGATTTTGAAACATGTTCTTAAATACCACATGGAGTTTAGTGTGGACTATGGAAAAGGGGCTGATTTGTCGAGAAGGGTCAAAAACATTGTTAAGCTGGAGTTCCCACGAGTGAAAGGAGCAGGAGACAAAGGAAAATACAGCTATAAATATGAAGAAGAGCCGCGGAAGGGACATGGAAGGGACTTAAGGGCCTCGGATACAAGGTTACCAGGTTAATGTGCTAGATCGATGGGATAATAAGGACTGACAAAACCCGGGACCAGGAGGAAGGGACGCTGGATGAAGATTGGATTGTTTTTATTTCTTTTTTTTTTACTACTAGGATTGTTTTATAAAATTGATGAATGTTAGAAAAATGTTGGAACAAAATTACTTGGCTTTAGCAAAAATGTTTAAAGAATTATGTAAGAATATTATGGTTATGAGAAGTTGGTAAAAATAAGATTTAAGTTTTAAGCTTTAAGGCTCTTTATAGTAAGATAAGATTAAAATAGATTAAGGTAATGTAATGACAGAATATTATGAAATATGGATACAAAAAAAGGGAGGAGGAGGTCAAAGAAAGAAGGTAATGACGGTTGAGGATTTGAGAATGATGGATTTGTTTTTGAGTGTTTGTGGTGTACTTTTGTTTTTCGAATTTGTATTGTTTGATGTGGTTTGTTTTTTCTTTGTTTTTTCTTTCTCTTTTTCTGCTTTGTTCTCTTTTGTAATTCTAAAAAATTTTCAATAAATATCATAAAAAAAAAAAAGGAAATGACAACTTCCTTCCTCTCTCTTTTTTTAGGACTGCAGGGACACCCTCCCTGCAACATATAGATCAGGGGTTGGCAAACTAAGGCCCGGGGGCCAGATCCGGCCCAATCGCTTTCTAAATCCAGCCCGCAGACAGTCCGGGAATCAGCGTGTTTTTACATGACTAGAATGTGTCCTTTTATTTAAAACGCATCTCTGGGTTGTTTGTGGGGCACAGGAATTCGTTCATTTTTTTTCCCTCTTCAAAATATAGTCCGGTCCCCCCACAAGGTCTGAGGGACAGTGGACCGGCCCCCTGCTGAAAAAGTTAGCTGACCCCTGATATAGATATTAGATGCTCAGCCCTGGGGCTACCGGGCAGCCGTCTTGCAGTATCTAGCACAGCTGGAGGAAGTGTGGTGGCTTCTGAAACTACCGCACAAAAATTGGAATGAAGGAATATTTAAGGACTTATCAAAAATTGGAGTTATAAAGGAGATGTGGGGGGGAAATGATAACATAAGGATCCACAAAAGGGGGAGGGAGGGAAATCAAAGGGGATATGTGTATTGCTTTTTTGTTTTTATTTGATGTATGTAAAACTGAATAATTCAAAAATGAAATTCTATATAAAGAAACTACCACCCCACCCCGCTCAAGGCTTAAAATGCTCCCGCTGCAACCTGACCTAAATGCACATAGCGCTCCCCATAAATTCAGATCATTGAGCAGCAACAAACATACATTATTTTATACATTATTTTAGGGCAGATTTGAGGGTAAACCATACACAGCGCGGGTCTGCCCCTGTGGCTCGTTGGAGGTTGAGACTGCTTCACACGTACTGTTACGTTGTCGTCTTTATGAGGATATACGTTTGACTTTTATTGCACCTGTTTTGCGGAAGTCCAGGAAAGAGTCGGAACACCATGATTTGGAACCACTGCTAGAGGACAAGAATCCCAAGACTACATTAAATGTAGCCAAATTCTGTGCGGCTGCAATTAGTCGCAGGAAGCAAGTGGTATCCCATGGTGACCAAACCCTCAAATGTTAATTGCAGGGGGCATGCTAATAATTAATTTTAATTTTTTTATATTTAAATGCTTGTTATACTCATATTGTCCTCTGTATTTTTGATATATATTTTTTTATGATCTGTGATGTTGTGTGTGTTGGCGCTGGTCTGTGACCGTATTAATAAATTCATTCATTCATTATTTTAATATGAGAGGTCTTACACAAAGCTGTTTTTAAGAGGAGCAAATGGGGGCGGGGTGTGTGGCAGTAGAGACGACCCCCTCAAATGACACCACACATGTAAAAAACATGTTTCCAATGGGCTCATCCACACTTGCCCTGTGCCTGAGTCCAAGCAGTTTCCTACATGTCCTAGGCTTCCTAAGCACAGCTCCAAGAGGTTTAGCTTTTGTCCTGCTGTTTTTGCCTGGAAAATGCACTCTTTAGCTCTAAACGGGAACAAACAGCCATCTGCGGAAAACTTGATGGCTCTTTGTTCAGAGCTAAACCATGGGTTTCCCCCAAGGAAAACAGTGGGGCAAACAAAGATGTGGGCAATCCCTTAGTTACACTGATCTGCAGTTACCATTTTTTTGCCTATTCACCCAGGGAGGAGCAATCCTTCAGGAGCGCTCCAAATCCCTCTTTGATTTTCGCCACTGAATAAATTTGGGGTGCTCTGAAAACTTGGCCATTCACTTAGCAGATGGGAGAAAGCTGCACACCATCTACAGCTGGGAGTTATTCTGGAGTACTTATGCCAAATATTGGAAATAACTGTATTCTATACAATTGGACGATGGAAGAGTGGAAGTACCTCGCTCTCTTTCTTTCTTATTTAGTTTTGGATCATTCTTTATTAATATTAAAATTACTTATGAATATATGAAGATACATACAGAGAAAAGATGGCTAGAAAACTATGTGAGAGACAGCATAGTGGTTTTTCTCAGAGCCTGAGAAAGATGGGAGCTGCCCCAGGTGGGAACTGGGAAGATGTGGATCACTGCTTGTGAATTGAAGATTAGGAGAGAAAATTGATAGAATATAAAAATTTGTGTTTGTGTAGGTTTCTTTCTTTTTTTCTTTCTTTCCCCCCTCTCTTTTCTTTTCCTCTTTATTATTATTTAGCTTTCTCTAGATATTAACTTTGTTATGTTTTTATTGCATTATATGCTGAAAACCTTTAATAAAATTGTTTGTTTTTTTAAAAGAACAGCTCGTGGCTTCCCATAATACCTGCACCAAGAGCTCCCGCGTCCGCAGCACCCGCCGCGCGGCTCACAAAATCTCACGCGCACAACAGCCCGTAGAAAAGGACGTCAAATCCATTTAATGTTCCTCGTTTCCAGACATAGCACATCGCAGACATTGTTTGCGCCGCGGAAGCGCGACTAAGCAGAACGCAAGGGCGGAGAGGTGGGGGCGAAGGAGACCGCGGCTCGTTCTTCATCCGCGCACGAGGAGAGGCTCTTGCTGTCGGGGGGCAACGTGGCCTTGGGGGGGGCGCGCTGCCCAAATGCACTTCTGCCTGTTCAGAGAACAGAGTCCAGCCTTTAAGCCCACTTGGCACCGAGATGAGGTTCAAGTTTTGCAGAGAGGAACGGATCCAGTTCGGCTTGTGTGTGTGTATGTGTAGCATGGGGAGGCAAATCACATATACTAGGTGGCGAAGTGGGGTGGGGGGGGCCCTTCCTGAGGCAGAACCCAGGAGTAGAGGTTGCAATAAGGCGGGTGCTGCCCCACTAAAGCCCACATAAGTACAGAGGGGCAGAAGAGGAGAGGAGGAGGAGGAGGAAGGAACAGGCTCCCGATGGCCGACTTATCTAGCTGCACCTCCAGATTGCGGAGGCAGGATTGTGTGGCAGGACTCTAGCGGGGTGGGGCTCCTGGTTCCCTTCCGTCCGGCACAGCCACAGCGAGGGCATGGCTTTCCCCCACCCCCCCAACGGCACGCTCACAACTCCTGGGCCAGGAGAGAGATGCAGAGGGGGCAGATTCCCCCCTCATTATCTTATGGAGGCATCGCTTGGGAGGTCACGATCGGACTCCTCCTTTTCCTCGCTTGGAGCCGATTCACTTTTCGAGACCGGAGTGAAAGCAGGAGATTTTCTGAAAGAAAAAAAGGGCGGGGGTCACATGCGCACTAGGGCTGGGGGGGGGGGACACACACGGCGGGAGGGTCCAGTGGGCGCCTGTAACAAAGGCTCGCGGCGGGCAGAGAAGGAAGCACAGGAGAGCGCTCTGGAACGGAGAGGGAGGCAGTTTCTGGCTACAGTGGATGCAATTGCAGGGCACAGAGAGAGGAGGGAATGGGGCGCACAGGGGGGCATGAGGGAGCTTCCTTAGGAATCTTGCCAAGCCCAGGGTTGAGAAGGAATGGGGGCACAGCACGGACATCCTCCCCAAGCCCAGTGCTGCACTGAATTTATTGTCCCATGAACCAGTGCCAAAAAAGCCCAGCACGTCGGCGATGCTTCTCTTTGTCCGGCCGAAGCTCTCTTTCGACGGCGACTGCGCCTGTCGGAACTGCGTCACCTTCTAGAGACACATGGCACGAAACACAACTCCTGTAAGTCTGCAAGGGGGGGTTACAGCCAATCACTCAGAATCCAGCCCAAATTTGCCTCCGCCTCCCCCTCGCCCCCCACGGACACACACACACTCCCCTCCCCTCCCACAACAGGGAAGACAATCGACAAGGCCCTGCAGACGCCCCCCCTCCCACCGGTGTACCCTTCCCACAGCAAGGACTAGGGCCTGGTCTAGATCCCCACTAGAGGAGCTCACCTGTCTCCCGACTGGGTGATGAGGCGGCGGCAAGTCTCCATTTGCACGTCCAGGCCTCGCTTCATGCTACACATCTCCATGTACTCGTGCAGGTGCCGGTTCATGTCGTTCTTTGCTGTGGCCAACTCCAGCTGAGGAAGAGAGGAGTTTCAGGGGCACTCATCCTGCCAAGAGCAATCCAGATCCACCCCATCTCAAAAAACAAAACAAAAACCCTTTCCCATGTCTGCTGGATGCAACTCTTAACTTTATGTGATAGGTAAAAGGTAAAGGTAAACATAAGGGTGGCGCTGTGGGTTAAACCACTGAGCCTAGGACTTGCCGATCAGAAGGTCGGCGGTTCGAATCCTCGTGACAGGGTGAGCTCCCATTGCTCGGTCCCTGCTCCTGCCAACCTAGCAGTTCAAAAGCACGTCAAAGTGGAAGTAGATAAATAGGTACTGCTCCGGCGGGAAGGTAAACGGCGTTTCCGTGCGCTGCTCTGGTTCACCAGAAGTGGCTTAGTCATGCTGGCCACATGACCTGGAAGCTGTACGCCGGCTCCCTCGGCCAATAAAGCGAGATAAGCGCTGCAACCCCAGAGTCGGTCATGACTGGACCTAATGGTCAGGGGTCCCTTTACCTTTTTAAAGGTAAACATAGCTGTCAACTTTTCCCTTTTCTTGCGAGGAATCCTATTCGGAATAAGGGAATTTCCATTTAAAAAGGAAAATGTTGACAGCTATGAAGGTAAAGGACCCCTGGACTGTTAAGTCCAGTAGAAGGTGACTATGGGGTTGCAGCGCTCATCTTGTTTTCAGGCCGAGGGAGCCAGCGTTTGCCCACAGACAGCTTTTCAGGTCATGAGGCCAGCAAGACTAAACCACTTCTGGCGCAACTGCAGCGGTACCTATTTATCTACTTGCACTGCCGTGCTTTGAACTGCTAGATTGGCAGGAGCTGGGAAGGAGCAACGGGAGCTCACCCCATCGCAGACTTGAACTGCCGACCTTCTTATTGGCAAGAACAAAACAATTCCAAACTACAATTTAGAGCTGAATTGAGAAGCAGGAAGCCTTTTGGGAGGGAGACCTGTCTGCTCCTCACTGTATAATCCCTGAGATATAGAAGCCCTTTCTTCCATTCTGTACTATCAAATGCAGTGAGGAGAAGGGGTGTTAAATGGGAAAAACATTTAAAGACCTGAGTAGATACACAGAACAAAGCTGCCCCTTTCCCTGGACTCTATTATTCACCCAAGAACTTGTGAGGGAGGCAATGGGATTCCCTCTGCCCAATGATCTTTGCAATTTGCCAGATGTTGGGACGGGCTTTGGTATAATATTTCACAATATAGCCCCCTGTGTGAGGCCAAAATTTGGCTCCCCCAAATGGATCTTTTCAATTGCGAATCTTCTCAATTTTGTACACCTTCGGCTTGGTGCCGTGAGGGTGAACCACCCTAAATTCGGTGCTGCAATATGCCACTGATGCCCCACCTGACGTGCCCCCCTGAGCTGAGCCAGCCCCCACCAAGCCATGTGACCATCTAACCCTGATCCCCATGGGTTTCCTTCCTTTTCTGGTGGTGGCAGGGAGCTATTAGCTCATCTCCAGCATTTATTTCCTTGCACACTCTTCTTTCCCCCACCTCAATTTGGTCGATGGTTTCCTGATATTCCTTCTCCCTGCTTTTGAAGAGCGATTCCGTGTCCTTGATCACTTTCTCCAAACTGTCGTCCGGCTGCTGGCAAGGAAGGTGGCAGTGACCCCAAAAAGAAAGAAAGAAAGAGCAGTTGCCGTCCATCAGTGACACAGGTTGCAAAACATGGCGTCCATCACCACAGAAGGAGGACAGGCTACAGAGCGCATGATGTTCACAGCCTCATTTACAGTGTGTTGACAGAGTTCAACGCTCCACCTGAGAGTCATGGGGGCCATCTGGGAGGGGGGCCAAGGGGCCTCGTCCCCCCTCCAAAATGTTCAAGGAGGGGGCGGGCCCCCTCAATATCCCGCAGTGACATGCGCACACCACACAACATGCTCACATCATGCGTGCATGCTGCGCAGTGCGTGTGCATGGCGTGAGCACATCTCATGGCGCAGCCCCCTCCATTGTGGAGGCAAGCCGGCGCATCTGCTGAGAGCACATAGTGGCACAGAGGGCAGGAGCCATACAACCCATGGTATTAGCTGAAGGAAGGGTGTCAGGGAATGGTTGGAACAGGAGGAGTGGGAAGGCTATCCTCAGCCAGATCAGCTTCTCTCAGAGGAGGAGGTAGAAGTGAACGATTTGCCCCCCTTCTCCCCAGCAGTTTCAGTAGGAGAGCCTCCCCAGGAGTTGCCGAACTACGAGATAGTGGAAGAAGAGGGGGAAAGGAGGGAACAGCCAGCAGAGACTTCCCTAGGGAGTCTGGACCATCCCTGCTCCTCTCTGGCTCGCAGGTCCAGCCGTATTAGAGAACAGAGAATGCAGAGGGGTGGAACTTCTCGTTGGCGCCTGGGATGTTGCTGGGGACGCAAGGGGAAGGGCTCAGAGTAGCCAACACCTCTATTTGTGGAGAGACATGGCTTCTTGCTTTGCAACCAGATGACTGAATTCAAAGGACTATAAAATACAAACGGCTTGTGATTCTTGCCTATGAAGCTACCGGGGAGGAGAGAACTCTCCATGCCTGACACTGGGTTTCTTTTAATCTGGAGGGAATTGCTCCCAATCCAGATCAGGGACATTTCTGGGGAGAGAAATTGCGAGAAGTGAGGTTACCGGGAACCAGACAGAGGGCCTTCTCGGTAGTGGCGCCCGCCCTGTGGAACACTCTCCCATCAGATGTCAAGGAAATAAGCAACTATCCTACTTTTAAAAGACATCTGAAGGCAGCCCAGTTTAGGGAAGTTTTTAATACTTAATGCTGTATTGTTTTTAACACTTTATTGGGAGCTGCCCAGAGTGGCTGGGGAAACTCAGCCAGATGGGCGGGGTTTAAATAATAAATTATTCTTATTATTCTTATTCTTATTACACATCCACACAGGCAAATCCCACGCCTGCGGTTTGCAGTGGAAGAAAAAGAGGTCCAATAGGCCTTTTTTTTGCAACGGGCCCAAATTGGATCAGGGTTTTTGACCCTCTCCTCTACTGTGGTCCTGATCCAGAAAGCGTTTCCTGTGCTTGCAACTTGCATTGCAAAACAGGCCTCTTTGCTTTAATGGGAACTTTTCCTAATGCAAGTTGCCCGTGAAATGGGCTTGGTCTGGATCTGGACCATAGTTTGAAGCAAAGAGATAACCTCCTCCCCCTATCTTTCATGGTAAGGTCTTCAGCCTTAGTGGGTCAGATTTCGACAGCACCCGCTTCAAGATCTGTGGGCAAAACCTCTAAACGCAAGGCTTCGCCCTGTGGCCAGGCCTCACACCCTGCTTAGCTCATTGTTTAGGGAAGCTTTTAATGTTTAATAGAGTCTTGTATTTTAATATTCTGTTGGAAGCCGCCCAGAGTGGCTGGGGAAACCCAGCCAGATGGGCGGGGTATAAATAATAAATAATAATTATTGTTATGTACTGAAGTTCTCACCCTGGGCCAGCAGGGGGATACTGTAGATAGTTATGCAAATAAGGGATCGAGACATTCAGTGATTGGATAGTTTTAGAAAATCGTAACAGTTACGTTGTACTGGAGCTCTATATAAGCAGGCTGACTGAACCCTTCAGTTCACTTCTGTTCTGGCCTCTGAATAAACAAGAGATGTTTGAAGAATCGCTGTGTTGTCTGATATGTTCACCCACAACTTAACAATTATAATTATTATTATTATTACTGCCCCTTCCTTAAGAAGCAAAACAAGGACACCTTCTTCTGCAAACCAAGGAAACCTATGAGTCCCTTGGCCAAGAATTCTGACTGGTTTGGGTTTGGTTTTGTGCCCAACCTTCAAGCACGACTCAAAGCACCCACTCAACAACAATGGAGAAAGTCTTGCGCGGAAATGTACACTGACAAGAGGAGGAGCTCCAAAGAGGCCACTCGCTTACCTCCCCCTGTGCTTCAGCTGCAGCGATAGCATAGCCAGAGAAATCCTCCCACAGCAGCAGCGTTTCCTCAGTCTCCTCCCAGGTGAGGCTGTCGCAGTCATCTTCAAAGTCATACTCCCTCCTGGGGACAAAGGAACCGCATTATCAGCAAAGAGACGGTGGGCAGGCAGGCCCAGAAGCAAGAGGAGGAGAGACTTCGCTATGTTGCTGTACTGGGACTGGCATGCGAGGGACCATCCCAGCAACTTCAGTTCTGGGAGCGGCCGTCTTAGATGTCCTCGATCGGATCTCCAAGAAAGATGTTAAATTTTTGTATGCCACAACTGCTGCTCGTATTTTGTTAGCTAAAAAGTGGAAAACCCAAGAATTACCAATGATAGAAGAATGACAGATGAAGATGATGGATTTTTCGGAGCTAGCCGACCTAACCGGAAGAGTCTGTGACCAGAAGGAGGAGCAGTATCAGGAAGAGTGGAATAAATTTAATGATTACTTAGTTAAATATGTTAAATTAAATTAACTGAAAATAGCTTGCAGATACTTGGCTTAGGATTTTATTTATGTTAAGTTATGAATTAATATGTTTAATTCCATAATGTGGAGATCTAAGGATGTTAATGTTTAAGTTAAATTTCATAAGAATTGGGATTTGGAAAACCGTTAAAAGGACATGCAATGAAATTCAACTAAGGGGAAGCAAGGAGGTCACTTAACAAAGTTAATAAGTGTAATTTTCAATAAGGCTATGATTTATGTTTGTTTGTCTTGTGTGTTTGTTTGTTTGTTTGTTTGTTTGTTTATAATACTGTGAAAACTAATAAAAAAATTTTTTTGGGTGGGGGGGAAAGATGTTCTCGATCGGATGCTAGGTCCAGCAGCCAGGACAGCTGCACCACCACCCATCCTCCTTCAGGCAGTCCTTCATGCGAGAAAGCTGGCTTCATCTAGCAAATGAAGGCTTCATAGATGTGGCATTTGGATGGCATTTAGTCACTAATTTAGGGCAGGTGTCCCAAGAATGATTGTGACGATAAGGCAGACTGCAAGGAAGTCCTTTGCCTTTTTTGAAAGCACATGAGACAGCTAAATAATAATAATAATAATAATAATAATAATAATTTATACCCTGCCCATCTGGGTGGGTTTCCCGAGCCACTCTGGGTGGCTCCCAACAGAATATTAAAAACACAATAAAACATCAAACGCTAAAAACTTCCCTAAACAGGGCTGCCTTCAGATGTCTTCTAAAAGTCAGACAGTTTATTTCCTTGACGTCTGATGGGAGTACGTTCCACATAGGGTTGCCAATACCAAGAAGGCCCTCTGCCTGGTTCCCTGTAACCTCACTTCCTGCAGTGAGGGAACTGCCAAAAGGCCCTCGGAGCTGGACCTCAGTGTCCGGGCTGAACGATGGGGGTGGAGACGCTCCTTCAGGTATACTGGGCTGAGGCCATTTAGGGTTTTAAAGGTCAGCACCAACACTTTGAATTGTGCTTGGAAACGTACTGGGAGACAATGTAGGTCTTTCAGGACCGGTGTAATATGGTCTCAGTGGCCACTCCGAGTCACCAGTCTAGCTGCCGCATTCTGGAGTTTCCGGGTCACCTTCAATGGTAGCCCCACGTAATGCTCTTATAAGACCTATCCCCAGGATTAATCCTCCTTTAAATTAAAGAAAGGGAGCAAAATGTAACCACAAGGGTAGCACAATGTGGTGATGTTGAGATGTTGTCGGACTCCCAACTCCCATCAGCCACGGACAGGCCTGATGGGAGTTGTGGTCTGGCAATCTCAGCATATAGCCACAGAGGATCACGGAATGGCTGCTGTGGGTTCCCACAACCACAGAGCCGGGTTAGCGACCCTAACCAGTATCAGAAGGTCCGTGCGGTTAAGCTGTAGTTTCCCAGTCGATGATGGAAGTGAGCTGGACCATAACTCGGTCCCTGCTCCTGCCAAGCCTGGATGCTTTGAGTTCTGAAGGAGCACGTCTCGAAGTGCATAGACTAGATAAGATCAGGTACCGCTCCGGTCGGGAGGTAAGTGGCAGTCCTGAGTGCTGCTCTGGAAGGTCAGATCCTGAAGCTGAGGCTCTACTCATGCTGGCCACACGACCCAAGAGCTGTACGACGGCTCCTGGCAAGACCTAATGTTAGGCGAGATGGAGCGCACAAGGCGAAGGGCCACAGAGGTCGAGCCATGACTGGACCTAGTGGTCAGGGGTCCAGCATGAGCTTTGATCAATCTGCGGAGCCAGTGGAGGATGTCTGGCGTGCTCTGGTCCATGGGGTCACGAAGAGTCGGACACGGCTAAATGACTAAACAACAACAAACCAGTAACTTGGCCCTACTAGAAGGTAACTCCAGAAGCAAGGGATAAACTCACAGCTGGTTCAGCATCCTCTGCATCTCCTCATTAATGCTCATGGCGGTGGTCTCATCCTCTTCCTCCTCCTCGAGTTTTTTTGAAGTCTCGCTCTCGGAGAGGGAGGTGTCCTCGTCGCTGACCAGCTTCCTCTCCCGCTTCCGCCCCATCGTGGCTGGGACCTTAATGGGAGACAAGTGCAGAGACTACAGAACGAGGTTGGGTTGGAGGTTGGAGGTGGGTGGGTGGAAAGAGATGGGAGAGGGAATGGGGTGGTGTAGGGTGATGTGGAGAAAGAGAGAGAGAAAGAAGGAAGGAAGAGAGCAAAAGAGAGAAACGGAGATATCGAGAGAGAGGAGAGAGAGAGAGACGGGCTTATTATGACCAGGTTAAAGATGGTGCGATGGCTAAAATGCAATTTTTAGAAACCTTTATTTTTTTAAAATTAAAAACTAAGCAATGGAAAGATGGAATCTGATGAGGGTTCACAGTAAAGGGAACTCCAATCACACCCCAAAGATGGCGTTGGGAAGACAAGATTAAGACAGAGGTGTCCAGAAGGAAAAAGAGGAAAATGCCGGGAATTACAGTTAAATTTTTAATTATTTTTTTTTACAGAAAAGCTTCTAACTCGCATAGTTTTCCAGCTCAATGAAGAAAAGAAACAAACAACAACTAACCAACTGATTCTATAGGGGAAGCAAGAGAAAGAAGAGTGAGTGAGTGAATAAGACAAAGAAAGAGAGAGAGAAAGGGGGCGGGGAGGAGAGGGGAGAGACGGTGTTAGAGAGACGCACACACAAACACTTCCACCATGTCTCCCTCTCCGGCTGCTTCCCTGACGGAGCCTGCCAAGAGACTGAGGTGGGGGGCCCTGAAGAGATGATGACAGGGACCAGGGGTGGGGTGGGGGTACAGGGTTCCTACCGCACATCCTCACAGAGGGTCTCGTGAAGGCTAGCCTCAAACTGCCTGCCGGTTTTCCCCCGGGGACTGAGGTGAATACATGGAATGAGGTTTGGGTGGCAGGGGGGTTCCGTTCCCCCTGGGAAAGGTGTGGGGGGGCGCTGTGGCCCTTCCCCACAGGTGGGAAGTGGGGCCGGTGCCTCTCACCTGAAACATTTTGATCATGTCCTCGCAGTTGCGCTGCTGGGCAACGTCACACAGTTTAGCCGTGATGTCGATGCGCCGGCAAATGTCCATGTCCACTTTCATGGCTTTCTCTTGGATTTTGGTATCAAGCTCGGTAAGATTCTGGCTCAGCGCACAAGAAAAAGAGGAGGGGGGGGGGAGAAAGGAAAGTTAGGGATCGTTACGTAAGGTCCTCTGTACCCTTATGAACGGACTGCTTGCAGATGGAGGCTTTGCTTGGATCAACGTGACAATACAGTGGACTCTCTGGATACGAATTAAATTGATTCTGGGGGTCTGTCCGCAACCCGAAAAGTCCGTAGGCAGAGGCACACCACATGTGCGTGGTGTAATTGAGCGCTTCTGCGCATGCGTGCATGGCGAAACCCAGAAGTATACATTTCCGGGTTTGCCGCGAACATAACCCAAAAGTTACGTATCCACAGAGGTACGTAACTAGAGGGTCCACTGTATTTGGAATGAGTTTATACAAAAAGTAGTAGGCTATTAATATTTGCATATATATTAGGATAATAATATCACATTCATAAAAGAATGTGTGAAGGTAAAGGTATCCCTGACCATTAGGTCCAGTCGCGGACGACTCTGGGGTTGTGGCGCTCATCTCGCTCTATAGGCTGAGGGAGCCGGCGTTTGTCTGCAGACAGCTTCTGGGTCATGGAAACGCTGTTTACCTTCCCGCCGGAGCGGTAACTATTTATCTACTTGCACTTTGATGTGCTTTCGAACTGCTAGGTTGGTAGGAGCAGGAACCGAACAACGGGAGCTCACCCCGTTGCGGGGATTCGAACTGCCAACCTTCTGATCAGCAAGCCCTGAGCTCTGTGGTTTAGACCACAGCGTCACCCGCGTCCCTCCAAAAAGAATGTGTGGGTCAGGGTATTTTTCCCCGTGTACATTCATATTTTTTTCCTACACATATTGGTGCCTTTTCATTTTTCTTTTCTTTTTCTCCTTTTCTCACTAGAGATAAAGGAAATAAGACTGAAACCTTTTCTTAATTAAAGGAGAAAAGGAAAAGGAAAAGTGTGTGTGGGGGGGAGATGGGGATTGCTCAGTATGGTCCTCTGAAGCTTCTGGTGTGAATGATGTTACCTCACGAACTCTCACATTAAGCATGGAGTGGTTGGGCAGCATATTGTATAGACAAGTAGCACAGAAGGTGTGGGAATGTTGTGGGTCTCCAGGACCCCAAATCCCATCCATTCCAGTAGGCACGGCCAATGGTCAGGGAGAAGATGGAAGTTTCATTCACTCAGCCTTTATTGTCGTAATAGAGGGGAGTTTTGGACCGACAACAACTGGAAGGCCATAGGGACCCCACTCCATCCCAGCAACAGAGTATTCTCTGTGGACCAGGGTGGATTTTATATATATATATATATATATATATATATATATATATATATATATATGATTTTTAAAATTTAAATCGGATTTTTTTTTAAACTGGTGTTTGTTAACTGATGTGGTTAAACAATTAAAAAAAAACTTTGAGTTTTAGCACACATTAAAAACTTAAAACAAATCCTTATTTATATATATAGCCTTTGGACTATAATGTAACTATAATGTAACTTTAAGAGAAAACTATCTTTCGAAGGATTTTTCCTCCAAAAGCATTTTATTTTAAAAATCCGATTTAACTCAAAAAAATCCAATTTAAATATTTTTTTTAAATCCGATTTATTTATTTTTAAAAAGCATTGATTTTTATCCACTCTGTCTGGTTCTCAATATTAAGATGATACCAGCAAAAATGAGTCTTTCTGTAAAAAAAATAAAAAATGATTTAAATCGAATTGATTTAAATCAAATCCACCCTGCTGTGGACTATGCCAGTTTACATGTCTTCACTTGCCAGCCGTCTGTGGTCCAAAATAAACCAGGGTGCACATTTGGGGATGCAGTACGTAGACTCACATTGCTCATCAGCCCCTTGAAAACGACCAGCTCTGCTTTAAGCTGCTCCACCTTCATCGCCAGCTCTTCCTGACACGCTTCTGCTTCCTGGGCCTCCTAGGGGAGAGGTAGACATATAGACAGGTCAGCGCTTAGAGAGACCCCGGCCCAGGATTCAGGGAGTCGGAGGGGAAGGGGTGATCCTCACCTCGTGCAGCTCAGTCACTCGGTCTTGCAGTTGAACGCGCAACGTATACTCCTCTTCCCACCTGGCGAGACAAACAGACCAAAGACATGGCAATTTGTTTTTGCATCAGGCTCTGCTGGGAGGAGGGATGCGGGTGGCGCTGTGGGTTAAACCACAGAGCCTAGGACTTGCCGATCGGAAGGTCGGCGGTTCGAATCCCTGCGACGGGGTGAACTCCCGTTGCTCGGTCCCTGCTCCTACCAACCTAGCAGTTCGAAAGCACATCAAAGTGCAAGTAGATAAATAGTTACCGCTCCGGCGGGAAGGTAAACAGCGTTTCCATGCGCTGCTCTGGTTCGCCAGAAGCAGCTTAGTCATGCTGGCCACATGACCCGGAAGCTGTACGCCGGCTCCCTCGGCCAATAAAGCGAGATGAGCGCTGCAACCCCAGAGTCGGCCACGACTGGACCTAATGGTCAGGGGTCCCTTTACCTTTAGTATTCCTACACTGGGGACGTGGGCGGCGCTGTGGGTTAAACCACAGAGCCTAGAACTTGCCGATCAGAAGGTCGGTGGTTCAAATCCCAGCGACAGGGGCCCCATTGCTCGGCCCCTGCTCCTGCCAACCTAGCAGTTCGAAAGCACGTCAAAGTGCAAGTAGATAAATAGGTACCACTCCAGTGGGAAGGTAAGCGGTGTTTCCGTGCGCTGCTCTGGACCCAACGATCAGGGGTCCCTTTACCTTTACTGCTGGGAGGACAGGTGCAACCCTCCCTCTGGCGAAACCGGTGCTGGCACAGGAAGTTTTGCACGGGCTTTGTGCTACGCGGGAGGGACTGGCACGGAAGCAGAGGCACCCCCTGGAATGTGCCGCAGTGACAGCTGGCAGGCTTTGCCACACAGGCTTTTAACCCTGCTGCTCTGAATTCACATCCCACCGGCCGAAAACCGAAGAGAGCGACCACAAACTATGTTTAGCAACTGCAAGAGACTCGCTACCCCAGAATAAACCACATCGACAGATGAGCCCTGCCTCTCCTTCCTTTGCTCTGCAGGATCAGGCCGCTGGGTATGTCTAACCTCATCAGTTTTTGGGCAGCCCAAGGCTTGCATTCCCTCATCCTTCCTTCACAACTATAGCTGGCACTCAGCTGTCCCCCGGACTACCGAGTGGCATTTTACTGCTGCCAGATAGCTATGCATGGACGTGCGCTACACAGGGATTCATATAGCTATGGGGATATATTTGAACAGGTAATGACAGAAGATACATGGAAAAACAAATGTCAAAAGATTTTGAATAAATGGACAAGTTATAGGAATTGGATAGCACGGGGGGAAGCCAACCCAAGCATCCAAATTAGAATGAATACCGTATTTTTCACTCTATAAGACGCACCGGACCACAAGACGTACCTAGTTTTCGGAGGAGGAAAACAAGAAAAAAAATATTCTGAATCTCAGAAGCCAGAACAGCAAGAGGGATCGCTGCGCAGTGAAAGCAGCAATCCCTCTTGCTGTTCCTGGCTTCTGTGATAGATGCGCAGCCTGCATTCGCTCCATAAGACGCACACACATTTCCCCTTACTTTTTAGGAGGGAAAAAGTGAGTCTTATAGAGCAAAAAATACTGTAATCTGTGCACATGGTTAAAGATCTGAAGAGAGAATAAGTTTTGGGGAAAGGGGTTAAAGGGGAGGGAGGAAGGGGAAGAAAAAAATTAGGATAAATGAGTAGGGACAAAAGTATATACTGTTATTTATAACTAATAGGAGGATGATTTTGATGCATGCTATTGTTACGATTTTCGACTGAATGATATTTTTTTTGCTAAGTTATTCAACATCCCTGGATGAAAGTGTGATCATAAAGAATGGTGAGAGGGATAAATAAATAAATAAATAATACATAGCTATGGGTTCAAGTTCTAGGCCGCCCAAGACTCAACCAACTTGGGCAGCAGCGGGGGTGGGAGGTGGGAATCCAACTAACACGCAGTCCTACTGGGAGAAAAGCCCAGCGCCCTGTTGGTGATGCAAACTGTCCTCCGCAGTCACAATATCAAACATTTGAGGAGCAAAGAGGGTGTGTGTTTGTGTGTGTACTGGTAACTCCCTGATCAGCGCATCCGCATGGATCAGCTGTGGGAAGTGTGTGTCTGCAAGCATATTTGAAAGAGAGGATGTATGTGGGCTGGGCGATATATCGTCCAAAACCGGTTTGAAGTCCGTACCTGTCATTTAAATTTGACTCAGTATTGATCCAAAGTAGATTCCAATGTATAGTTAGCGGAGTAAAGACTTAAACACATTGCGGGATTTCCCCCAAAATAGACCAGATAAATAAATGTATAAAGGTGGTATCTTTGCATTGCAAGTAACAGAACCTTGCTTTTCTTGTTGCAGAATGTGGCTTACCTGGGCCAAAATTTTAAGAAAACAGGAGCTTGGATGCTGTTGCAATATTTTGAAAATAAAATTGGGGCGGCGATGGGATGGAGAGAAATTAACATCAAACATATTTCTATAGTAAAAATGAATCATTTCAGCATAAAATGGCCCAGTTTGCACAAAATGCCAAACCAAACTATGGCTTAGCACAAATGAAACAGGTTCCAAAAATATTGCTGTTGCTTTGCTAGTCCAGCTGCTGCCGCATTACTGTTTCTTAAGCTATTGTTATTATTATTATTATTATTATTATTATTATTATTACTATTACTATTAGCATTGCACCCAAACTGAGCTCATGACTTATCTCATTCCAGATAAATCAAGAGCTGTAGCCCAGGTTTGTTCTATGGCTTACTGGGAACATAAACCAGGAATTTGGGTTGACACAAAGCAGTGCAACAGCAGGACAAGAGAAGGAGCAACGTGGCCACAATCCTCCCTCCAGAGGCCCATATCTCATGTGCAACAAGAAAGAGCAGTAGAAGTATTACATTTCTGGATCATTTCGTTTGAGGGAAGTAGGTTGGTTTAAAAGCAGGAGGAACACAAAATGTTAAGATTTCCACAAAAACATTCTGGTTGTAAATCTTTGGCTGCTGCTATAGAAACCATCTGTCCACAGCTGCACTGGCCTGGACCGCTCTAGCAAGCCTACTGAGGTTTATCATTGCAAGAGGTTTTGCAATATTGCAGTTGAGTGGGACAGCTCACGTTGCTGTCATGCTAAAGAGCCGCTCTGGGGTTTCACTGCAAACTGAACTGCAGGGCATACCTTAAATAAACACCCTTATGCTTTGCTAACTCGAGCCGCTCCGGCAAAGATATGCTAGTTCATTCTATGCCCTTCAGATCTACTCAGCCACTGATGCTCAACATGTTGCATGCGGTTGGTGAAAAGAAGGTTGCACTTAGGGCATGGATAGCTCAGTTGGTTAGAGCGTGGTGCTGATAATGCCAAGGTTGCAGGTTCGATCCTTGTGTGGGACAGCTGCATATTCCTGCCTTGCCGGGGGTTGGACTAGATGACCCTCAGGTCCCTTTCCAACTCTACACTTCCATGATCCCTTATGAACAATACCACAAAATATCTGTGAGGAAGCAACTGAATCGTCAAGTGCAGAGTGGGAAAGAAAGCAATAGGTCATCTAGACTGAGATGCCTTAGAAGCACAGAACAGGATTGTCAACATTTTTTCTTCAAACAGCAGGCACAGCTACACCCAGTGCCCTCTATCACAAACCACTTTTGGAATTCCTTGGTTCTTTGTATCGAAAGCATACCTGGCCAGTGTCTTATGGTCTAGGCAAGCAGCTTAAAGGTCTAGCTCAGGGGTCAGCAAACTTTTTCAGCAAGGGGCCGGTCCACTGTCCCTCGGACCTTGTGGGGGGCCAGACTATATTTTGAAAAAATAAAATAAAATGAACGAATTCCTATGCTCCACAAATCACCCAGCGATGCATTTTAAATACAGTAGTACCTCGGCTTACAGACGCTTCAGGTTACAGACGCTTCAGGTTACAGACTCCGCTAACCCAGAAATAGTACCCTGGGTTAAGAACTTTGCTTCAGGATGAGAACAGAAATTGTACGGCGGTGGCGGCATGGTGGCAGCGGGAGGCCCCATTAGCTAAAGTGGTACCTCAGGTTAAGAACAGTTTTAGGTTAAGAACAGACCTCCAGAACGAATTAAGTTCTTAACCCGAGGTACCACTGTAAAAGCATACATTCTACTCATGTAAAAACACCAGACAGGCCCCACAAATAACCCAGAGATGCATTTTAAATAAAAGGACACATTCTACTCGTGTAAAAACACGCTGATTCCCGGACCGTTCGCGGGCTGGATTGGTGAAGGCGATTGGGCCTGATCTGGCCCCTGGGTCTTAGTTTGCCTACCGATGGTCTAGCTGATATGAAGGGAATTTCTTGATAAAGGTTTGCAGATGTGGAATTGACTCCAGTAGCTTTGCATTTTACTAAGGGGTGAGCTAAAAATATTTAAAATAATAATAATTCCTTCCTCCAGCCCATTAATAAATGGTTTCAGAGGCAAAGGTTTTCCTGCCTTCCAAATCAGCTTTTCTCTTGCAAGATTCCCATATAAAAGCAGGTTATTACACACACACAGCCAGGGGAGGTACAAATGCATCTCATATATCTCATAACTAGATCAGCATCTGTGTTGTAATGCTTTGTGGTGCCCCACTAAACTGGCTGGAGAGATAGTCTTCTATCTGTGGAAACTGGGAGGAGAAAGAATCTGCTCAGATGTCGATTTGATCTTTATCTCCAGGGGCTTTCGTGAAAGCTTGTTCTTCCCCTCTCCCAGAAACCTTTTAGTACTTCCCAGAACCAGCTTGAAAAGTCTCCTTCCTTCCAGAAGCAACAGCCTGCGCTGGCATTTCTCATTGCCTAAAATAAGTGGAATTCTTTTCTGGCAAACCTCTAGCCAAATGCTTCATATGCCATAAGAGTTTGCCTGCTCACCCACCCATTTAGGACAAAAACAAACAGGCGATTACTCATGGTTTGGGGAGGAACACAGAAAATGAGGCAGAATATGAGAAAGGAAGGGTGACTCAGCGAGGCGAAATGTGGAAGAAGAGACAGGCAGAGAGCTTGCGTCTCCAGAGAAGAAAACATGTCGTTTCTGCAAAATTTGTTTAAGGATACTTCATTCTCCTGTCCTAGGAAAAATAAACCTGAATCCATGGCCTGCTATCTATAGCATGCTATCAAAAGAAATGGCAGCGCAAAAGGTATCTAGGTACAGGCTGCCTTTCTATGTTTAAAAAAGCATGAGAGATCTGCTTTTTGAGATTATGTGTTATAAATAAAGCTTAATAATAACTATAGCACATGCTTGTTATTAGAGGGTGGGGACTAGTAATCTTGAGATATTCCAATTCAGGTTGCAATCCTGCTTTCAGACATGTGGCTCCTATCACCTAATAATCATTGCTATTTGGCCGTAAGCTATAATTGACCATCCACATTATCAGGAGTATTGCATTTTTTTCTGCTTGCACATCTTGCTATGTTCCATCCATGTGGTGAGTACAACATAGCTGCCATAGGTAGAGGAAGATCCAGGCCCATACCCTCCAATATTTCTCCAATGAAAATAGGGATGTCCTAAATAATAATAATAATAATAATAATAATAATAATAATAATAACAACTATTATTATACCCCACACATCTGACTGGGTTGCCCCTGCCACTTTGGGCAGCTTCCAACATATGCAGAAACATAATATAACATTAAAAAAATAAAAAACCTTTCCTATACAGGACTGTCTTCAGATGTCTTCTAAAGGTTGCATCTCCTTGGCTTGGAGGGTTGCATAACTCCATACCCTCCAACATTTCTCTGATGAAAATAGGGATGTCCTAAAGGACATTCTGGGATCAAATCCGACACCGGAGCGGCTTCTGTAAATCTGGGACTGTCCCTGGAAAATAGGGGCACTTGGGAGTCTATACTCTTGTCCTCCCTCTTGATATTATGTTTTTATATATGTTGGAAGCCCCCCCCCCGGGTGGCAGGGACAACCCAGTCCAATGGGCGGGGTATTATTATTACCATCGTTAGTATCATGGAATAGAATGCCCCTATTTCATCAGATAAACATTGGAGGATATGAGCAACCCAGAATGTGCTGCTTTACTCCCCCACTTCCTCTTTAAAAAGGGGTCTAGCAGTCATTTGTACAGTCAAAACACTCAAAAAGTAGACATAGTCAGAGATACCAGCAGAGTCTGTACCCATTTCCTGCCCACAAAGAGCAACACCGGCCTTTGAGAGTGGAGTCTCTCTCCACATCCTGAGTTCTGTTGGTTGGCCCCAGCACTGAGCAGCAGAATGCTAGGAATTGGTTTCAGTATTGAAAACTATTATTTCAGTTCTTTTATCTCAGCTATTTCCACCCTGGCCCTTCTGAAATGATCTCCTGTTCGCTCTCTACTGGTTCTTCGGATCTGGGACGAGAGGACACACTTCCTGTCCTGCCTTAACCCAACGTTAGGAATGGTACCTTAAGCTTCCTTTGCTGAAAATGGGAGTAAACGCTTCCTAGGTAGCAACACTGATCTGAGAGTGGCCCACTGGAATCAGAAGGCGACTCTTAAGCCTCCTTCACATCCGGCCTCGTCTCCTGATCCCCATCCCGCACCGCCCGCCTCCACCTCCCCATTCGCACTCTCATCTGCAATGCACCATTTCCTAATAATAGTCTCGACTGCAACGTTCCCTCCTCCCCCCTCAGCCCAGCCCAGGCGAAGCAGAGCAGCCCAGGAAAGCAGACGTTTCCTTGAGTGACCCCACAGCTCCTCCTTCCCAGGAAGATGCTTTTGAAGCTGCAAGACGAAAGGGAGGGGTGCAAGAGGTGCAGGGAACCGGTCCCCAAAGAGACCAAGCCGCTGAAACAACAGGAGGCCTTTCTGCCAACGAACCTTCATTCCCTCAAGACATGATCAACTCAGAGCAACAAGGGAAAGGATGGAACAGGAACCCTAATAGAAAACAGCTGACTCCAGTCCGGGGCGTTGAGTCTGAACAGCGTTCAGCTCTTAGCTAGCTCCAGATTTAGAGTTTATCTACTCAGAATCATAGAATTGGAAGGGGCAACGAGGGTTGTCTAGTCCAACGCCCTGCAATGCAGGATTCTTTTTGCCCAACGTGGGGCTCATGATCCTGAGATTAAGAGTCTCGTCTCCCATGAGCTATCCTATGGGTGAAGGATGCAAGGTACTTGTAATGTAACTCTGGGAGCAGCAAACTGCAGAGAGCTAGTTTGGAGGCAACAACAGCTATCATGTAATATGTCTACAGGGACACGGGTGGCGCTGTGGGTTAAACCACAGAGCCTAGGACTTGCCGATCAGAAGGTTGGCGGTTCGAATCCCCACGACGGGGTGAGCTCCCATTGCTCAGTCCCAGCTCCTGCCAACCTAGCAGTTTGAAAGCATGTCAAAGTGCAAGTAGATAAATAGGTACCACTCCAGTGGGAAGGTAAATGGTGTTTCTGTGCGCTGCTCTGGTTCGCCAGAAGCGGCTTAGTCATGCTGGCCACATGACCCAGAAGCTGTACACCGGCTCCCTTGGCCAATAAAGTGAGATGAGCGCCGCAACCCCAGAGTCGGCCACGACTGGACCTAATGGTCAGGGGTCCCTTCACCTTTAAGATGTCTACAGGGCAGCTTAAAGTCTCCTATAAAGCTTTCATCTGGGGCGTTTCCCAGATACCTCTGATGTTCCTCACTCACATGCCTGTGGTAGACTATAAGAATCCCCCTGGTGCATCATATTCGGGGCCACTTCTCTGTTTCCAGCCGTGGCTGGTGGCTCAGAGAAGCTCACCAGCAAACCATGGAAGTATCAGCTCTTTGTCTCCAGTCCCTGGTATTTCCGATGCACACACAGATCTACAAGTGGGTGGGTGGGGCAACAGATCTCCCTAGGGACTCCTGAGAATACTATTACTATGAGAGGCAGGGGCTGTTAAAGATCTCCCACAGATTTTCAGTGAATACTAAAGCTGCAATTATGGTGCAATTTTGAATTATGGTGCTGGAGGAGACTCTGGAGAGTCCCATGGACTGCAAGAAGATCAAACCTATCCATTCTGAAGGAAATCAGCCCTGAGTGCTCACTGGAAGGACAGATCCTGAAGCTGAGGCTCCAATACTTTGGCCACCTCATGAGAAGAGAAGACTTCCTGGAAAAGACCCTGATGTTGGGAAAGATGGAGGGCACAAGGAGAAGGGGACGACAGAGGACAAGATGGTGGGACAGTGTTCTGGAAGCTACCAGCATGAGTTTGACTAAACTGCGGGAGGCAGTGGAAGACAGGAGTGCCTGGCCTGCTCTGGTCCAGGGGGTCACGAAGAGGCAGACACAACTAAACGACTAAACAACAACAAACAACAAAGCTGCAGTTCTCAGGATCCTCTGGAAGAATCTGTGGTAGTTAAAAATTGTATAAATCAATACAAGTTAGTGGTTCAGAGGTGTCCTCCTTTCTGTCAAAAAAAGGCGGCGGGGGGGTAACTGCTCCTCTTCACCATTGCTATTCTCAGGCTGAATGAAATACAAAGGAATTAAGTTACAAAAGAGTGGTCAAGTTTAAGGGAGGGGGTAATCACACATCTAATAAGTCTTAATTTTGTAATGAACTTTAATGAAGTTAGGGAGACTGAGCAGATGGCCTTTTAAAATCCCTCCCTGTTCCAAAAATGTTTATTCTGCTGGCATCGATGGTGCTCAGCCATTCTGCACAGTCATCTCGGTTCTCTGCATTGGACCCTTTGCCAGCTTTGCAGCTTTGCAAATTCCAACGCACACACAGAGAGAAATCTCCAAACACCAAGGCATTTAGTGAATTCAGTTTTCCTTTAGGATATCACAAGTGAGGGGAAGGAAGGGAAGGAGGGAGTAGTTCAATTATTAGGCCGCTCTTTCAGTAACTGGTTGGCTCCTGGATGATGCCGCATGTCAGCATATTTTCCTAGTGTTTATTTAGTGCTTTCCCTAATTGCACAAAGCTCTTTGCAATTATCATCTCGCTATGAGAGACGTGAGCATCGTACAGCTCCGCACAAACATTCTCTCTCATGTGCACAGCCCATGTGTCCGAATTCCCCATGTACCCAGTGCAGTTCAGTGTTTCCAGCTGCTGTTCTCACTGGTCCTTCCCCTCTGTTTTTAACAACAGCATGGCTGAGATCGTTTAAGCAGGTGAACGGTTTGCCATCACTTCCTCTCTGTTACCAGGACAGCTGCCCTCAGCAGATCACCTTGCGTCAGGCTGCCGCTAAGGACACAGGAAATGGGCAGAATATGTGCGTGCAGAGATATTGCAACCCTCTCTGTAGCTCCTCCTCTCTGGAGCAGAAAAAGACATCCTGGTAAATGGTACTGTGCATTAGTTAATGGAAAGAAGATGCCGTTTTGGTTTTCTGCATCAGGCCCGTGTGTCGTAGGCTGGGCCTGTCGTCTCCAGGAATTTACCCCCAAAGCATCACAGGCACCTAGGCTAAGTACACATCACAGACTCACAGAAGAGTTGGAAGGGACCACGAGGGTCATCTAGTCCAACCCCATGCAATGCAGGAATCTTTTGCCTAACGTGGGGCTCGAACCCACAATCCTTGTATTAAGAGTCTCGTGCTCTACGAACATGAACATATGAAACACAAACTTGACATGAGCCAACAGTGTGATGCGGCAGCTAAAAAAGCCAATGCAATTCTGGGCTGCATCAATAGGAGTATAGCATCTAGATCAAGGGAAGTAACAGTGCCACTGTATTCTGCTCTGGTCAGACCTCACCTGGAGTACTGTGTCCAGTTCTGGGCACCACAGTTCAAGAAGGACACTGACAAACTGGAACGTGTCCAGAGGAGGGCAACCAAAATGGTCAAAGGCCTGGAAACGATGCCTTATGAGGAACGGCTAAGGGAGCTGGGCATGTTTAGCCTGGAGAAGAGGAGGTTAAGGGCTGATATGATAGCCAGGTTCAAATATATAAAAGGATGTCACACAGAGGAGGGAGAAAGGTTGTTTTCTGCTGCTCCAGAGAAGCGGACACGGAGCAATGGATCCAAACTACAAGAAAGAAGATTCCACCTAAACATTAGGAAGAACTTCCTGACAGTAAGAGCTGTTCGACAGTGGAATTTGCTGCCAAGGAGTGTGGTGGAGTCTCCTTCTTTGGAGGTCTTTAAGCAGAGGCTTGACAACCATATGTCAGGAGTGCTCTGATGGTGTTTCCTGCTTGGCAGGGGGTTGGACTCAATGGCCCTTGTGGTCTCTTCCAACTCTATGATTCTATGATTCTATGAAATGAGTGGGGAATCTGTAATGGAAGCATGGCCACGATGCTTTCCTCTTCTCACCTGCCACATTCACACACATAAACAGAACAGGATCCCAAACAATACGTTTGCAAGGGTGAACGTGCATTTGGAGCAGAGAAGGAGACGAGGAAATGGCTAAGGACCAGAATCTGCTGCTTCTGAAATGGCCCGTCCCAAAGCTGTTTTTTTCTTAACACATGTACGCATATTTAACTCCTGCCTTTCCACCAGAAACAGCTCTCAAAGGTTGGTCATGTAAATCCTAACAAGGATGACCTTCGGAAAAGCGATCCGGGCTTTATGTGGGGGGAAATATGGGGGTGAGGGAAGCTCAGTGAGCGGCAATTGGCTCCATCTCATCAAAGCACTCGCTTCTGATCCAGCTATGCCAGAATTATCATCAGCTTGCCTCTAATCTTGTCTGGATAAGAAAGGAGGCCGTGCAAGGAGTTTCACAGCCTTTCCGGCAAGAGAGGCAAACTATATATTGCAAGGAGTAATGTCCAGTTCTGGGAAGGAAGAAGATGAATCAGAGCCTGGCCAAAGGTGGGCATGAACAACGCTGATGAGCGCAGAGATGGAGTCCTTTGCGGAGAGGATGCCTGGGCCTGGCAAAGAGTTGATTGAGCAGTGCCATGACAGCCAACTATCTGAAGGGCTGTAGCACAAGCATTGGAGCTAACTTGTTTTCTGTTGCTCCAGAGGGTCAGGACCCGGACCAATGCATTCAATTGTCAAGACAATGGATTTGGACAAAATGCTAGGAAGAACTTGCTGGTGGTGCAAGCTGCTTGATAACAGAATGGACTGCCTCAAAAGGAGGTGGACTCTTTTTTAAAAAGTACGGCCAGGATGGGCACCTATCAGGGCTATTGTAGTCTGAAGTAGCTTTCCTGTATTGGACAGGAAGGTTAGCCTATATGATCTCTGAGATGCCTTCCAACTTGATGATTCTGTGATTATGCAGCTGTAACAATTAGGCACAGGGATTGTTAAATAGCAACACTATCAATGAAGAACAGGCAGGGATATTTCACAAGAAAGGCTCTCATTTAGCACTATGTATGCTCAGCACTTTAAAAATAATAATAATTACAAAACCTGTCCTAAACTGACTTCTGCAATGAGGAGGAGAAGAATAATTCCTCTGTTAACTTTCTCTACACTATTCATAACTCTTCTTTGCTCTCCCTCCCCAAACACAGTAAACAAAAAAGGTATGATATGGGAGCTTCAAGGCTGAACTATTTAAAAGAAAAAGTGGGACAGGAAGAGAAGGGCGTTACTTGACCCTTTCTGCCCTTGTTATTTATCCAAATGAATGTGATGCGGGTGGTGCTGTGGTCTAAACCACTGAGCCTCTTGGGCTTGCTGATCAGAGGGTTGGCGGTTTGAATCCCCGTGACGGGGTGAACTCCCGTTGCTCTGTCCCAGCTCCTGCCAACCTAGCAATTCGAAAGCACACCAGTGCAAGTAGATAAACAGGTACCGCTGCGGCGGGAAGGTAAACAGTGTTTCTGTGCGCTCTGGTTTCCATCCAAAAGCAGTTTAGTCATGCTGGCCACATGACCCGGAAAGCTGTCTGTGGACAAACACCAGCTCCCTCAGTCTGAAAGCGAGATGAGCGCCGCAACCCCACAGTCGCCTTCGACTGGACTTAACCATCCAGGGGTCCTTGACCTTCACCTTATTTATCCAAGTTAAATCATCCTCTGCATCCTGTCAAAGCTGCATTTAGTCCCATTGGGGGAGTGGGCAAAGGTTTTTCCCCCTCCTAAGTTTAAAAGCCACAAGGCAAGGGATGATTTCAGCTGCAAATGTAGCACAATGAAAAGAGTTAAAACACCCCTTCCTCTCGTGATTTAACATTTTTTCCCCATGTTCTCCCATGGATTAGCTACTACAGTTTAGGAGCAAAGGTTGCATCCTGCAAAGAAGTGGAGATGGTAGAAACGTGCACGACTTGTGCATCTTCCGCCTCACACTTCTTGTGAAACGTGCGAAGAGGGACCTGACACTTTTCCCTTACAGCAGCATGTGGGAGCATCGCCACATCCACAGGGAAATTCCACTACTGGTCACAATACGGAGATATTAGGCAGATGCACAAATACTTACTGGCCAATTATAAAAGATACCATCCTGGTATCTTTCATGCTTAAAGCCAACAAAAGTAGCAGTAGCCCCACTGAAAGAAAGAAAAATACTGTTTCTGAGCAGCTGCTCCTATGTTGTCCCTCTTACTCTTCTAAAGGATGCTTTGACAGGGATCCCTCTATCTCTCCCATGATCACAGAAATTCACCTGCCTCTGTAGGATGTACCTTCCCTAGTGTACAAAAGTGCATTGCAATTCATCGGTCCTCTTCCCGGCAACCCAATTGCCTGAAAAACTGCTGCAGGCACAGATTTTTAACCTGGTTCCCCGCACTGAAGCCCAGCTAGAGGCACCTGCAGTTCTGGCATGTTTAAACATCCTGGAACTTAGCCAACCCTGCAAATCTTTCTACCTCTTCAAAGGTACCTATGTTTTCTTTAAGCATCCAATGCTCTGCTTTACTAGCTCAAAGGACTCTCAAGGCAGCTTACAAGTTTGTTTGTTTTTTTAAAAAGGGGTTTAATAAATAAAATGGAACAGAATATACCATCACTACAGCACAAAACAGAAATGTCGTATCGGAAAGAGTCTTCTTAGCAGGCTGGGCAAAATAAGGAGGTCTTCTTCGCCTGGTGCCAAAGGGGCAACAGAGTTGGCCCCAGGCAAGCCTCCCTTGGGAGTGAGCATTCAATGGCTGGGCACCGTGAGATCCTTGATTCTGGTCACTGATGGTGGCCTTCCTTGGAGAGTGTCTGAGAATGATCTTAGTAGCTGGCAGGTTTGAGTGAGACAAGCTTAACTCAAAACTCCCCACATTTACGAAAAGAGAAGTTGCTTACCTCTTGCTTGTGTGTCTGAGCGCACGCGCACACACACACACACACACACACACATGCTCAAAACATCACAACTCAGGAAAAAGTTATGGGTACCTGCCAGAAGCTGGGAGAGCAGGGTTCGAATCCCCACTCAGCCATGAAGCTCACTGGGTGACCTTGGGCCAGCCACCATCTATTAGCCTTGCCTAGCTGAGACTCCAATACTTTGGCCACCTCATGAGAAGAGAAGACTCCCTGGAAAAGACCCTGATGTTGGGAAAGATGGAGGGTGCAAGGAGAAGGGGACGACAGAGGACAAGATGGTTGGATAGTGTTCTTGAAGCTATCAGCATGAGTTTGACCAGACTGCAGGAGGCAGTGGAAGACAGGAGTGCCTGGCGTGCTCTGGTCCATGGGGTCACGAAGAGTCGGACACAACTAAACGACTAAACAACAACAACCTCACAGGGTTGTTGTGGGGATGAAAAGGGGAAGAGGAGAACCATGCGCACCATCTTGAGATCCTTGGAAGATAAAGGTGGCATATAAATGTGGTAAATAAACAATAAATAAATAAGAAAAGTGCTGAGGGTTGAGCAAACTTTTCGGCATTTACGGAAGACATTCCTCTTTCTCAATGAGCCTTTTCAAGTTGTGTGCTCTTTCCCAATCTGCACCTGCACTGGAATAGTTTTAAATGTGTTTGTATGGTTTTTCCCTTGTTATTTGCCGCCCTGGGTACCTTTGGGAGGAGCAGCAGGAGGAGAAGAGAGAAATAAAACCTCTCTGATCCATTTGCCATAGCTTTCTCTGCCTTGGATGCTGCTCTCAGCAAAAGGGGATAAAGTTTTCAGAGAAAGGATATACCGGCATGTCGTGTGTAGCTTGGGCCCTTCAGTCTTCGCCACCAAGCAAAATGAAGCATCAGGACGTATAAAAATGCATTTGTTCACATCCATCCCTTGTCACTCCCAGCCAGCGTCTAAATGCAGACCGCAAGTTCCTCCGGCCACGAAGCCGACATCTGCCGTTTACATTTGCAGAGTGCTATGTGCACTGATGGCACTATATAAATAATATGTGGCTACTGCAAATAATAATAATAATTCTGCACACACAGAAGATCTTTAAAGGCTTGGGTTTCTGTGCCTTCTCTCCGCAGCAAGTCAGCTGAGTGAGCATCTGCGACACAGAACTCGCCCAACATTGGCTTTCTATACAAGATGGGGATGTTTAGGTACCAACTGGTAAAAAGGGGGTGGTGAGCTTTGAAGGGTTAGACTGGCGTCACACCTTAGTTATAGAAATCTGAAGTAGACGGGACTCACAAAATGCTTCCGTGTGGCAGGGAAGAGTTGGGCATAGCTCTTGGCTTAACTTCACTTTTCGCTCCCTTATTCTAAAAAGGAAAAAAGAAGAGCAGCAGCAACCGGGACAGATCATTTAACTGCTTTATAACTCTGTCCTGCCACACACAGGAACCAATTGCTGGGGGCCGAGGTCCTTTCTGCCCACCCCCCTAAAATATTTGAGGGGGCTGCTGGGCCCCCCTAAAGTTGATGGGCATTGCCATTCCAATGGTGTGCATGCAAATTTGAAAGAAAGAAAGATGTTAAGTGATTAAGTTAATTTTATAAGAATATTGGTTTGGGAAAACTGTTCGCATGATATACATGGAAATTCAACCGGGGGATACGAGGAAGTCACTTAACAATGTTACTAAGATTGGTTCAAATAAGGTTGAGATTTTTGTTTGTTTGTCTAAATTTTTTTTTTAATTCATTTTAAAAATTGGGGGGGGGGGGAATCAAATGGTGTGCCTGCTCTGCAACGTGTGATGGATTATGTGGGGTGGAGCTTACCTCTCCCCCCCCCCCACCAATATTTTATTCAAGTTGGCATGTTTGCTGACATGTGTGGAAAAAGTGGATCACGATGACTTGCACTGCATCACAATGTCGGGAAGTGAGGAATTGGGCAAAACTGAAAAGGAGAAGGAAGTCGTCCAACAAAAGCTGGCCTGGCCCGGAACAAAAACAAAAACAGTGGCAAAATAAGAGGCTCCTGCGACGGCAGCCCTCCTTCGTCGCCTCTTTTCCTAGTGCTCCCACCAGCCCGTCTCTCTCCCCCTCCCTGGCACTGGCCTCCTTGCCGGCTGGCGCCCACCCACCGCGACGATGCCTTTGCCCGCCCCGTCGAGCCCCTCACCTGCGCTTGTACTCATCGCGTTCCCTCTTCACCTTGGCCAGGACGTTGTAGAGCGCCCGGATCTCGGGGGTGATGGTGTCGATCTGCACCCCGACGCCGTCAGGGTGCACCCAGGAGACGCCGGGCCCCTGCACCAAGGTGGTCTCCAGGCCGGGCCCCAGCCGTCGAGCCTGCGAGAAGGACCAGATGGTGCCCGGCAAGAAGCGAGAGGAGGACGAGAAGGTGCCGCCCGGCAGCGAGGGCGACTGCGAGGAGGTGGGCGTGAGCGGGGCCCCCGGGTGGTGGCAGCTGGGCGAGCTCAGCACCCTCGACGGCGTGCCCAGCCCCACCGAGCGGGGGCTGCTGCAGCTGCTGCTGCCGCCGCCGCCGCCGCTTCCGACGCCCCCGGCCAGCGGGAGCCCCAGCGGGCGGATGGGGCCCACGAAGCCCGTCTGCACGGCTTGGTCCCGGCGCTGCAGGCTGCCCCGACGGGCGCCGCCTTCCTCGAGGGCCTGCTGCAGCTGCTTCTCCAGCTGCCGGTTGCGGCGCTCCAGCTCGTGCACCTTGGCCAGGAAGCATCGGAAGCGCAGGTTGAGGGTCTTGAGGACGTGGATGTTGGAGCCCAGGTCGTTGCGGAGCGCCATGGCGGCCGGCGGGGCCGGGAAGGCAGAGCCGGCGGCGAGGGAGTCCGGCGGGGCCAGCTCCCCGTCGAAGAAGTCCCGCGGGGGCTCGCCGGGAAGGAAGAAAAGCTCCGGGAACGGATGCTGCTGTTCGGGCTCCGACGCCGCCAAGCCCTGCTGCTCTTGCTGCAGGAGGAAGAGGTTGGGGCCGAATAACGGGTTCATGGCTGCGGCGGCCGTCCAGGGGGCTGCGGCGGCGCCGGGGGAAGCGCGGGCTGGGCGGGCACACGCGCCCGCCACGGCCAATCGCGGCCGGAGGCGCCCGCCGGGCTGGCACAGAAGGGGCGGGATCCGGCCGCCCGCCCGCCTCCCGCCGCTGCAGAAGGGAGGCGCCTGGACGGGGAGGGAGGGAAGGAGGGAGGGATGGTGCAGCGCGGCGATGCGGCGCCCTCCAGACGGGCCGGGGGATGGAGGCGCGCCGCACGTCCAGGGGGGAGCTGAGGACGCACAGCCGCGCGCCTGGCTGCGCCCCCGACGCCGGGAGACCGCGGCGCGCAGGAGGAGCGAGGCGCTCCTTTGCCAAACGGAGCTGCGTTCGTCTGCTGGCCGGAAACGGCCCTTTGCCTGCCAGCGGCGATGCAGATCAGAACAAGACTGGATGTTGGACAAGCTGCCTGTGTGTGCCATTAGAACCACAGAATTGTAGAGTTGGAAGGGACCACGAGGATCATCTATTCCAACCCCCTGCAGTGCCCAGTGTGGGGCTCAAACCCACAACCCTGAGATTATAAGGGCTTCATGCTCTACCAAGTTTCCCCAGCCTTCCAAAAGTAGGGGTGCAAGACCTTTAACATAGCTGTAGCACTGTGTGTGTGTGTGTGTGTGTGTGTGTGTGTGTGTTTTGCAGGCAGACTTTGGTAATCTGGCGCAAAGGACAAAATTGGGTGCCCCATTATTATTTTCCACAATAATTTCTTTTGGTACAGTTGCCTTTTAATGGCTCTTCTCAGTAAAGGTAAAGGGACCCCTGACCATCAGGTCCAGTCATGGCTGACTCTGGGGTTGCGGCGCTCATCTCGCTTTACAGCCAAGGGTCATGTGGCCAGCAGGACTAAGCCGCTTCTGGCGAACCAGAGCAGCGCACGGAAACACCGTTTACCTTCCCGCCAGAGCGGTACCTATTTATCTACTTGCACTTGACGTGCTTTCGAACTGCTAGGCTGGCAGGAGCAGGGACCGAGCAACGGGAGCTCACCCTGTCGTCGGAATTCGAACTGCCAACCTTCTGATCGGCAAGTCCTAGGCTCTGTGGTGTAGACCACAGCGCCACCCGGATCTTCTCAGTAGATGTCCATATAAATACAGCTTTTATTATAGTTATCATTTTGCACCTCCTCAGGAGTAAACCCTACAAAAATCTGGAGTGGAGTCCCTAAGACGGTTGGATGGTGCCTTGTCCGCCTCCTTCCAGCAACTCCTGCAGCCAAACTGGTGCGAAACACATTGCTCTGCTTTCCTTTGGACCCCATCAGCAAGGGGTCTTGTCGTTTGAGCAGCCCACAACTTCGATACACACTCTGCAGCTAGCAGTGGTTTGACTTCACCCCCCACCCCGCAGAGTCACCTACCATCATCTCGCTGAGACAGACGGATGCCAACAAGAAGTGTCAGCTGATCTAAATCAGAATTTGTGCTTCTTGATGATGTGCTGCCCATCCATTTTCATTCTAAGAATTTCCATTTGTGTCCCACTGAACTAACTTATCTGGGAATTCTTGTTCCCAAGGATACTGGTAGCACTGGACCACTGGACCCTTACACATATTATCAAGAAAACGCAGTCCAACCTGGAACAGTGGACACTCCTCCGAGTCCGTGGGGCAAGGTTCATGTGATGAAAATGAATGGGCTACCCAGATTGAGCTAGGTGGTATGGGGTGCCCCCCTCTACACCACCCATCTCTACTTCCAAGCAAGCCCCTCTGGAACCCAGTGCGGGAGGACCTGATGGCCTTGGTGAACTATACAAAACCCACCCTCTACAAGACCCCATTGGGCAATGGCAAATCTCAAGTGAATGACCCATGGGAGGTCTAGATCAGAGAGCTGGACCTCCCTATATACTTGAAGCAATGGCAAACTGCTTTGGCCTCTGTAAGGTTTGGCTCGGATCTTCAATTACGGAGCTACTTAGTGACGGACAAGTGGGGGGCAGACTGAAAATTCTCAGGTGCTCCATTACAACACAACTCTGTGAGCCTTGAAGAAGGGGCAATGTACCGTATTTTTTGCTCTAAAAGACTCACTTTTTCCCTCCTAAAAAGTAAGGGGAAATGTGTGTGCGTCTTATGGAGCGAATGCAGGCTGAGCAGCTATCCCAGAAGCCAGAACAGCAAGAGGGATTGCTGCTTTCACTGCGCAGCGATCCCTCTTGCTGTTCTGGCTTCTGAGATTCAGAATATTTTTTTTCTTGTTTTCCTCCTCCAAAAACTAGGTGCGTCTTGTGGTCTGGTGCGTCTTTTAGAGCGAAAAATACGTAACTGGACTTTTGTTTGCCCTATTGGTCAAAAGACAGGTGTTGCAACACTGGAAGGGAGTATCCCTCCCCATAACAGCTCAGTAGTTAGACGACGTGCCTATTCTTACAACATACGAAAAGGCTACCTTCACCAGGAAGCACAAAAAGAACAAGCACTCCGAGATTTGGGATCCGTGCTTGTTTGCATGAAGTACATGCCCAGTGGGCTCTGCCAGAGCCTATTCCTTGCCACTCTCTGTTTCTCCCCACTGTCTCCTTCCCCCACCAAATTCCCTTCCCCCTTTTAGTTTAGATCCAACTGTATTTACTTTCAGCTGTGGAAAAAAAATGAAAATAAAAACCATACTGAGACTTGAAATAAAATCCTACACCCGACATGCCACACGGCCAGGTAGAAAATCTTTTAATGACTGACAAATTCAGACAGTTTCTGCCCTTCTAAGAGGGCTAAAAGAAAATTAAATATTTTACGTCAGCCCCAGTGTGCAGAGGAGAGTGCCCGAATGCCAACCAGGCACAGGTCTTGCCAGGGCAAAGTGCCTTGGGGAGGATCTCCCGCCAGTCTTACTAGCGTTGTCTGGCAGCTGTCAGAAAAGCACCAAGCAATGCAATTTCCTCCCTATTGATGGTTTCGGTGCACCTTGCGCTTCTTGCTGGGGGTTGGCCGAGCTTTCGCACCTCCCGGAGAGGGCCGAGCAGCCTTCAAGGGCCTGGACCGCTTCTGGAAGGAGCCTTGCCGTGAGACCAAAAGCTTCTTCTTCTGCTCATCCCCTTTCAACTCTCCTTTTGCAGGCTGCGCCTTGGCAGAAAGTCCCTGTTTTGCAGGCTGCTTCTTAACGGCCTTCGACTCGATGCGTTTCCCCGCTTTAGCCGGCGGCTCAGCTGGTGCTACAACAGATCCCTCTTTTGCTGTCTGCGCGGTTGGCTCCCCGCTTGGCTCTTCGTCTGGAAACAGAAGCAAGCGTTAGACCAGAACAATGGCAGCAACACTGGAGCAAGCAGGGAAAGAGAGAACAGGGCGGGAACAAGCCAAGGACCACAAAGAAAAGGGAGAGCACTGTGTTGAACCCAGGGTTCTGGAAGCTCCGCAAATGCCATCTTGGTAGGCAAGATAACCCCCCAATTGATTGTTAGGAGTTGTAGCAATGAGCTCATCATGTTTATATTCACTTCCTTTGCTATAAGCTAATAGGCTTGCTTTGACATTATCCTTATCTGTGGGCTTGGGGTAATGGGCTCTGAGCCCAGAAAGGGGAACTATCTGTAAGATCTGGGTGTTTGCCACTTATGCCCTCATCGGTCCTGTATACCTGAAGGAGTGTCTCCAATGCCATCGTTCTGGCCCAGACACGGAGGTCCAGCTCCGAGGGCCTTCTGGTGGTTCCCTCACTGCGAGAAGTGAGGTTACAGGGCATCAGGCGGAGGGCCTTCTCGGTGGTGGCGCCTGCCCTGTGGAACGCCCTCCCATCAGATGTCAAGGCAATAAGCAACTATCTTACGTTTAAAAGACACCTGAAAGCAGCCCTGTTTAGGGAAGTTTTTAATGTTTAATGCTGTATTGTGTTTTTAATATTCGGTTGGGAGCTGCCTAGAGTGGCTAGGGAAACCCAACCAGATGGACGGGGTATAAGTAATAAATGATGATAATGATGATCTGGTCAGGTGAAGCAATGGGAAGTTCTAGCCCAAGTGACGTATGCTGCTTGGTGTATACAAAATGTATCAGGGCTGGGCAATATCGGGTTCTCAACATTGTGATATATCAGCAGCTAAATACTGCAAAACGCTGATAGAGCACAAAGTCTGGAATGTATTTTGGCTCTTCCTTGCTTCCTTCCTGAGAAACAAGCCTACGATACCAAACTAAAACACATAAAAAACCATTATTAACTAAAAATGCTCATCCTGCAATAACCTAAAAAAGGATACATCCTACCCAACCAAAAGACGCAGACCAATTAAGAGCAAAAACAGGCTGCTGGGAAAATAAGAACGTCTTCCGCAAGCACCATCACTCACTGTTCACATTTTTTTCTCTCTGTTCCAGGTTATATTTAAAGCAGAACCAAAAACCTAAAAATATATGCTAGATGCCACAACCCCACCGCTTCAAAACAAAAGTATTACCGCTTGACTAAAGCTCAACAGGATCAGAGTGTTGCAGTGAACAGTTCAGCAAAATTCCATAACTGGCAGCCAAGAAACTGTTTCCAGGAAACAGAATTGTGGGATAGAATAATAACAATAACAATAACAATAATAATTTAAAAAAATTATTTATACCCTGCCCTCCCCAGCCAAGACCGGGCTCAGGGTGGCTAACACCAGATATAAAACAATTGATTAAAATACAACTTAAAAACATGATTAAAATACAACATTAAAATGCAGCCGCATTTCAGTAGAAACTCAAATAAAAAACTTTTTGGGGATGAAAACGTCAAATCTTCACTAAGGCCAACTATCCAGACTGGTCCTACGTGGGCCAGAAAAAAAAGCCAGGGAAGTCCCCAAATAGGGGTTCCATCATAGAAGGAGAAAGGAAAAAGGAGAGAGGGGGAGGGGATCAAGTTGATTCCAAGCCGAAGCGTTTGTTTGGCAAGAAAACGAAGGTTGCTGATGAGGCAAACCCTCCAGCGCGTTACCTTTTGGAGGCTTGGGAATGGCATTGGAGAACTTCTTCAGCTTGGCGACAAAGAAGCCGTCCATGTTGTGGGTGTGAGGGTAGAAGCGGCGAGTGGATTTCAAGGTAGGGTGGAAACGGCGCTCCCTAAACCTGAGTGTCAAGGGGAACACAAAGATTGCACGTTGTGAGTTGCCGAGAGCAATGAGAATCATGAGCTGCTCTTGCATTCCAGCTTTAGGATTAGAGAGACACACCTGGTAAATCCTTCCTTGCCAAAGTCCAGGCCTGTCGGCACCAGGCGGACATTGCGTTTCTTCAGGGCATAATCAACCACCCACTCGTTTTCCTCCACCTGTCAAACACAGACAATGGACGGTCAGATTCCTTAAAAACGTAAAGGACCCCTGGACAGTTAAGTCCAGTCAAAGGCAACTATGGGGTTGCGGCGCTCATCTCGCTTTCAGGTTGAGGGAGCTGGCATTTGTCCACAGACAGCTTTCCGGGTCATGTGGCCAGCATGACTAAACTGCTTCTGGCACAACAGGACACCGTGACAGAAACCAGTGTGCACAGAAACGCCATTTACCTTCCCGCCAAAGTGGTACCTATTTATCTACTTGCACTGGCGTGCTTTTGAACTGCTAGGCTGGCAGGAGCTGGGACAGAGAAACGGGAGCTCAGTTGCGGGGATTCGAACATTCAACTTTCTGATTAGCAAGCCCAAGAGGCTCAGGGGTTTAGGCGACAGCGCCACCCGCGTCCTTAAAGCTTCCTATTGGGAAGGGGTGCTCCACTGCCTGGGGCAGCGAAGACTAAACAGGGGGAAGAAGACTCACCATGACTGAACACGTACAATACACGATGTAGCCCCCTGTTTCTGAGGCGGCATTAACCGAGTCAATAGCGCTGAGCAGCAGTTCCTTCTGCAGGTGGGCACAGCGCAAAATGTCCTTCTCATCCTGAAAGAGCAAGGCAGACACACATTGGTAATAGTGAGATGAAATGTTCGTGTAGCAGCACATTGTTTATACCAGGGATGGGGCACCTGAGGCTCTGCAGATGGTGCTGAACTCGGAGATTCCCATCAGTCCCAATTGTCAAGGTGGGAACTGGACTCTCCAATGCACCTAGAGGGACACCCACTTCCCACCATTGGTTTACATTTCCCAACAGCCCTTGAAGAAACCTCCTACCGCTGTGATTCCCATTTGTAGGTGGCGCTGAGGTGCTAAGGATGAGACACGACTTGCTGAATGCAACCCAGCAAATTCATGGCAGAGGTGAGATTAGACGGCACTTTCTGTCACTCCTTAATCCAGAGTTTGGGGAGGAGCCTCAAGTGCCAGAACTCTTGCTTGGCATGCAGAATGCTTCAGAGGGTTCAGGCGCTAGAAGAATCTTAGTCAGCAGGCCTCAGGCCTAGGAGAGCCTTTGGCAAAGACCACACCAACGCTGTGATTGGGTATAAGCGCCTTCTTGTGTCATTACGATGTACATCTTGAGTTCTTTCAAAAACTATTAGGTTTAAGCCACCTGGATCCTGGCAATTGGTTAAGTTTTAAGAATATGCCCATTAGCCCTAAAACTGCATTCTGTTTGACTTCTTTCTTCAGGTTCCCTCCCCACAAAACTGGTTCAGGTGTGGCAACTGACAAGCATCTTTTGAAGTGTAGGCAGGCAGAAATAAACAATTCAGCTTCTCTGTAAGCTCCCTCATCTCGTGCTATAATCCTTTCTAATCTAATTAATTAATTTAATTGCATTAGCGTACAGCCATAGCAAAGTAAGACAATACAAAAAATATTGGAGACAAGCAACCAAGTAAAATTCAGAGCGATATTGCTGGCGTAATGACATTTAAAATACCCTAAGACAATAATACAGAGATTTAATTGCCAGCGCCAAAAAAAAAAAAAAAAAAAAAACTAGTATGCGGATATAAATAAAGCATAAAATGGCCCCAAAATAGGCTCAGCACATTAAGTTAAAAGGTAATAAAAATTAAACAGGTCCAGGACTAGGGCACACTACCCTGTCAGAGTAGCCCTGAGTTTCAGAGCCTGCACTGTGAAGATTGCCACCCCACGTGAAATTTGGGGATTTGCGTCCACAAGAAGTGCTTTCAAACAGTCTTCCTTAGATGAAATGGAGGACGGGATCAAGAGGAGGAGCTTAGGTCTTATTGGGTCATAAATAGGGCAGTAGAAATGTATGAAGTCCTCTACTTCATTCATTGTGCATGGACATAGACGCTGAGTAATAGGGGTCTTAGAGTAGGTCCCCTGCAGGAAGGCCGTGGGTATAGAATGAAAGCGGGCCATTGTAAACGCTCTTCTCAAATTGGGCTCCGTCAGGTCTATCAAGTAGTTGGCAAGTGATCTTACCACTTTCACTTTAGGGAGCCACATGGAGAGGCGAGCTGAGGTGGACTGTGCCCGGTCCATGGCCTCATCTCTTGTAAGAATCCAGGCCCGGATTTTATGTTGGTCCCAAGATGACAACGTGTCGAAATCTGGGAGGGAGTAGCGTACAGTAATAGTCTCCATGGCCTTGGACCATTTGTTGGAGTGAGAACAAGTTAAAAAGGCTTGCCTGGCTAGTAGGGAACCTGGGGCATTGATTAATTTGCAATAAAAACTAATAATTCTAATGTGGGCTCTCGCAACAATGGAGGGAGGCCCAGTTCTGTTCTTAACTGTGCAGCAACCGAGCCCTTGGGGAGACCCAGTATCTTTCGTGCAAAAGAGTTTTGTGAATCTCCAGCCGTTGTGGTGTTTTTAAATTCCACCCCAGATTTCAACCCCATACAGTAACATCGGGAGGACTTTGCTGATAAATGCTTTTCTGATTGGTGGAACCAACTGGCCGCCTTTTGCATAGAAGAATTTCTCCAAGGCTTTGATGGTTCTACGGGCAGCCAGGATGGTCATATTTAGGTGAGCTGACCAGCTAAGCCCATGCTGAAAAGTGATTCCCAAATACTTGAATGCTGAGCAATATTCAATAGAGTGGCCCTCAAAATTCCAGAATGACTTCCGAGTTTTCGTGCCAAAAGTAAGAATTTTGGTTTTGGCGAAATTGATTTTGAGGGAATTGGTATCACAATATGTCATGAGCCCTCTGAGCATGTTGTTTAAGCCCTGCTTGGTTAAAGACAGTATCACCATGTCGTCCGCATAGAGTAATATGGGGATCTTAAGCTGTTGTAAAGAGGGGGCAGATTGATTTAGGGCCTGCATAGTTGTAACGATGTCGTTGATATAGAAATTGAATAGAAAAGGGGCCAAGAGGCAGCCCTGTTTGACCCCTTTATTCAGAGAGAAAGAATCAGAAAGAGCTCCCAGAGGGCCGAATTTTACTCTGGCCGATATGTCATTATGAATTTCCATGAGAAGGAGGAGGAGTCTCTTATCTATGTTGGTGGAACTAAGCTTCTGCCATAGCCTATCTCTGGGAATGGAGTCAAAAGCGGAGGTCAGGTCCACAAAAGCCGCGTGTAGTTTACAGTTGAACCTGTTTAGGTATTTATCAATCAGGGTAAATAGAACAAGACATTGGCCAGATGTGCTGTGACCTTTACGGAAGCCAGCCTGTTCCGGGTGGAATAGCTTTGTTTCTTCTGCCCACTCGACTAATTTCTCTAGCAAAAATCTAGAGTAAACCTTGTATGATATGTCTAGCAGGCTGATAGGTCGATAGTTACGCGGATCTTGTGGGTCCCCCTTTTATGTATTGGGATGACTATGCTCTGTTTCCAATTAGGCGGGATCTTAAGAGTGGCATTAATAGTGGTAAAGAGAGATGCAAAAATAGGGGCCCACCACATCTGGTTCAATAAGAATACCTCGGGTGGAATCATATCCGCCCCGGGATTTATCCCCTGATAGCATGCTAATTAGTTGTACACATCTCTCTGGGGAGACTGGCTCCCAGTTGGGCAAGGCAGATGCAGGAAGAGTGGAAACTGCGTTTACGTCGGAATCTGGGGCGGAATACAGCTGAGCAAAGTGAGAGTGCCAACTGGCTGCTGTGATGTTATTAACGATGAATGAGGGGGGTCTTAAACCTGCATTAATTAAATTCCAGAATTTCTTGTCGTCACGGGTTTTAATGGCCACTGACAATGCCGTCCAGCGTTCTTGCGCAAAGATCAATTTCTTATGTTGGAGCAACTTCTTGTAGTAAGAACGGAATTGGGCTAACTCCCTGATTTTGCTCTGGGTGCTGTCTGAATTCATATCAGACTGAAGAAATCTAAGCCTACTTCTGCACTGTTTGCATTCTTGGTCGAACCAAGTTTGATTCTTCCAGGTTAGACTCGCACGAGAGGGTTTCGTAAGTGTTGGGAGCAAGTAGGCTAGAATTTGTTGGAAACTTGAGAAATGATTCACATTCATTGTTACCAGCTGAGCTTTCAGGGCTAGGATCTCAGGGGAATTTAGGAGGACTTTTATGTCTTGCTCCAGATAGATATCCCACTTCTGACGACCGGGGCTAAGGTCAGTGAATCCTGGAGGTGGAGTGAGCTGGGAAGCCCCAGCTGTGTATGGTGGAAAGAGATGGCAATAGGGAGGTGGTCACTTTCGGTTCTGTTGAACACATTGAAACAATATGCCTTATCATTAAGTGCCGAGGAGGACCAGATATAATCTATAACGCTTGCCCCTCTAGATCCTAGAAAAGTATAGCATCCCCGGACCAGTCTTTGGGTGTACCATGCAAGCTGTGCAGCCCGCAGTTAATGGTAAACTCCAGCAGTATGATGCCAGCCCTATTAATGGTCTTGTCATGAGAATTCCACGTAGGAAACCACTCCTCTTCTATGAATAGTTGCGACTTATCGGTGAATGAGCTTATATCTGCTCCGATTCTGGCATTAAAGTCCCCCATTATGAGGATCTCTGACTTTGGGAATTCAGCCACAGATTTATCAAGGATAAATCTTAGATCCTCCCAAAACCGATTTGTATGGGAAGAGGAGTAGGTAGATGGATTGTACAAGTTAACACATATGAAGTCCCCAACCGGGCTGTTAGTGATGTGCAAAGTTTGAATACAATTACTCTCTAACCAAAAGAGAGGAGAGATATTTAGATGAAGCTCCTGCGAAACAAATGTTACCAGGCCTCCACTAGGGCGCCCATACAAATGTGTTTTGGTCGCAGGAATCACAAAGGCGTCATAGCCCAATAGGGAAGGGGGTGACGATTCTAAGCACCAGGTCTCTTGTATACCCATAATCTGGAATTTCGCTAAAAACTCTATCATGTCCCCGCCATCCTGTTTGGACGTCCATCCCGCCACATTCCAGGATAGCACATTGAAGCAGTTTGAGGAGGGACTATGTGCTAGTCAGATACTCTGGTTGCTGGTGGAAGAAGCCTTGCCAAGGGTCTGAGACCGCGCCAGGCGTAATACAGCCGAAGGTATCGAAGGGATGGTAATTTGATTGATGTGGCCAGCAGGGTCTTCAATAAAGCCTGAGCTGTCTCTTTGCACAGTGACTTCCTTAACGTTTATATATTGACTTGAAGAGGTTGCGGATACATGAGGTTCTACCAAACGAGGTTGACTGGCAAAGGACGAGGATATACAGTCATCTGCCTGGACCGCACTGAATGAGGACTCCAGGTCAGGCATAGAAGAATAGGACATTGACAGGTTACCAGGATGCGTGGTGTTTGGCATATTGCTCTTTAAGGCGAGGGACGAGGTAGTTGATTGCAAATCTATTAGTAGAGGTGAAGGGGGTCTGCGTTGCGACGATGTATGAGGAGCTTCCGCCAGGCAGACTGCCATATCATCCATCATTGGAGTCCCAGTGATTGGCAGGGGTTTCTGGGGTGTTAGCCCCTTCATGACTGCATTCCTTTGATTTAATAGGTTACTATGACCAGGTTTTAAGGAGATTTTCTCTTGAAGTACATGTGTAAGTTGCTGCTTGAGTGTATCAAGCCTGTTTATAACTTCCTGCTGTTCTACTAATGGCAACTCGCCATAGGATGAAATAAGGTCCCTCTCCTCTGAGGGAGCCAGATAACTGGGTCCGCTTTGGTCATGCTTCTCTGTTGCTGGAGTAGATAAACCAGGAAGCTTGGGCTGAGAGGGAGGGTGAGGTTCCTGGGTGGACAGCTTGAGTTTCAAAACTATGTCGCGCCTGTCTGGCGAGCGGATACCTTTTTGTACGATGCTGCGGAAAAGAGGTTTAATCCTGGTGTCATTAAAGACTCTCGTTGGGAAGATGCCCCAGGTGGCCAATAACGCTTTGCGCCTAACCAGTATGGAGGGAATTTTTGGAGACTGGAAGGAGAGCAGTACTTTTGGAACCGATGGTGGTAGTATAGAAGTTTCACTGTACTGAGATCTATTAGCGGAGGCCTAATCTGAAGGAGTTGCCTTAGATGATCTTTGACCTCTCTCGGGTTGTTCCACCTTGGGGACCTGGGGTCACTGCTGCGTATAGTTAGACATATTTTGTTTGGTTGTAAGATCAGAGATTGAAAGTCCAGTTGAGATTTTAGGAGGTGGACACCAGTACCACTTTCATGTCTAACAGGGAGGTACACCACTGTCCCTTTAAATCCCTCGGAGGCAGAGTGAGGTTGTGCTGCAGCTCCAGCAAATGGGCCTCAAGCTTTTGGTGGAGGTTATTCACCTGCGTGGAGATCCCATTTATGCTCTTAAAGATGCAGCGCAGGGTCCTGGTTATTAATTGGAAATGCTCGAGTCCCAAACCATCGCCCAGGGCCAGCTCGGACTCCCCTTCGAGGTGACTCTCACTTCTTTGTCATTATCATTAGCATTATTCGTTGCCTTCGAGTTCACCCCCTCCACTTCTATATCGGGTACGAGGTCAATTAAAGGATTAAAACGATTGTGAGTTTCAACCGTGTAGCTGTCTTCCTTGTTATTTCTGCTACAGTTAGGAAAGAAAGAATCAATCTTAGACTGTTTGGGCCTCGGGGGAGGCATTGCCTCATCCAGGTCCCTTGGCCGCTTGCCATGGCCCATAGTGGAGATTAGGAGAAATATCCGCAATAATTGGAATTGTCTTACTGCACCTTAGAGAGTATTGCAGGAGGCAGGGGAGTGGTGAGCGAAGAAAGAATAAGATAAAGTTCGTTGCTTACTTACAATTCTCAGTCAATTGTCCACAAGTACCTGAAGATACAATGATGGAAAGAACCCATACTGTGTGATAATATTATGAATAGCTTTTAGGTCTCATAAATAAGACATTCCAGCTATTTTAGTGAGTAGACACAAGGAGTAATTACTTTCCATTTCTTCTGCCTCCCCTCTGCCTGGTGATTCAACTATAGCTGCCACGGCACTTTCCCCTCCAATTATGGGTCTCTTCCCCAATCCTCAGAGAGGGAGGCCTGCCCCAACAGAATATCAAATAGCAGTCTAATTCCAGCAGTCTGTGGGTTGGTTTTCTGCTGAGTGGGAGCAGAACAAAACCAGCTTTGTGATGGGTTGTTTTTATGTTTCTCCAAGGAGCTGTTGGAAGTCTAAATTATAGTTTTTCTGATGGCTATTTGAGAAAGGGCAGCTAAAATGGAGCTATAATCCTTTCACTTAGCTATACAATGGTCAAACTCTTCGCTGCCTGCCTGGTTGTCGCCATAACATTTGTTTTGCCAGAGCTTGTGCTTAATTTCATTCTCGTTTGGGCGACACTGCCACCCTTTTAAAAATGAAGGCCTTCTTGCCTCGTTTTTCCTTCCTTGACGTTATTCACCAAGCACGCTGGCATCCTCTTGCACTTCTTGTACCTTTAGTAATCTGTGGTATAATTGTTGCCATCAACACACCTCTCTCACTTCCCCCCAAATATCCTCAAAGAGGTTTTGGTAAGAAATAAAATGAAGCAGCTCCAAGTCCCTCTTTTTCTGCACACAGATGAAGACCCTGTTAGAATTCCTGCTCCATGATTGCAGTCATGGGATTGTTGTCTATCACATGACGGTGTATGTTTTGACTCCACAGAGTGGGAAGTGACGGGGACAGGATGTTTGTGTTACTGTGTGCTGTGAAGTGGGACTATTGTCCTTTGTCCTTTCTTTGCTGTCTGATGCTAGAGAGAGAGGGAGCCATGTTGCAGTGCTCCGTGTGCGTTGATATGTAAATAATGTAGATTAGCCAAAATGCTGAGTTGCTGAGGTCTGTCACGCAAGCTGCAAGGACTCTGCGGATCCCAAAGTGTGCCGATGTCGGTTGGCATCGGTCGCTGTGATGTTCGGGCAGAAGGCTTTTGAAGCTCCCAAATGATCGACCAGGAGGGAGGGAACGTGCCAGTCGGGCATGTGTCTCTGCCAGGGTCCTATTCGAGTGTACGACGAGCTCCTGACAGACCCCTCCCAATGCCCCACTGCAGCAATTAAGGCCCAACTCACCTTATTGGTTTTAACCGTGGGGTCTTTTGCAATAACACCCGTTCCACTGCATGGAGCATCAAGCAGGACCCTGTCAAAGCCACCTAGTACCTTGGGAAAGAAAAATGCATTCAGGAGAATGTTTCTGCCTCAGTTCTACACGGTCTCTCCCTCTCTTGGGCTGGCCGCCTGGAGACCAAGTGGGTATCTTAAAACCTTCCAGGTCAGCAGAAGAAACAACAGCGGCAACTGTCCCTGCCCATCCCCATCACTCGGGGATTCCTTCTCTGCCCAGCACAGAAAGGAGGTGGCAGACAACTCAACTTGAGGGACTGTCACTCTTGCTTTGTCTCTGTCTGCACCGGTGGAATCCTGCCCCAAGACAGCATCTGTACCCGCTTCCTCACAAAGTGGACCCTCCCCGCCAGGGATCCACTGGGTCAAGAAAGGTCAGAGCCATCAAAAAAACAAAACAAATCCCAATGCCCTCAACCCACCTCCTGCGCAACCAGATATACCTTGGGGAACTGGCGCCCGTCACAGTTGCTCACAACAGCGTTTGTGACGCCCAAGCGGTGAAGATTGCCGACCACACTGCGCAGACGCTCGGCATTGCTGTCATTGGCCAGGATCACACCCGTGTTCTTCATCAGCTGGGCTGCCAAAGCAGAACGCAAATGGGTTAGCGCTTGCAAAGAAATAACAGGTCTCCCTTCAGCCCAGATCATTAGAGACTTAAAATTTCTCCCATACATCTTGTCCTTGAGCCCCTCTCGCCTTAGGCAGCTCTGTACCTATCAAAGTTTGGGCTTACATGTGGATTTTCTGGGCGCCCCTCCACTAGGAGGAGAGACAAGGTCTTTGGAGAATGACTCCCTTGAGCACTAAGAATGGGAGGCAATTTCCACGCCCTCCCTTATTTCAATCTCTTACCCTAAGCTAGATGGCCAGCTGAAAAAGGAATATGAATTGCACCCCACAAGCAGCTAAATTCCCAAATCGACAACTCAGGAAAACAAGAAGCAGGGCAAATTGCGGGCCCCTGTAGAAGAGTCCACAGATAAGCTCAAAATCCTCAAATGAGCCATACTTGTCAGCTCCCAGTGACCCAAAAACACAGCAAAGGTGAGCAGGTGGGATTAGTTTCTCCAAAAACACAGGTCAGCTTGCAGCAGGTTTCTCTTGGGACACAGCCATGGCATCAGACATCAGCACAAGAAGAAGGAGAGTTTGGATTTGATATCCTGCTTTATCACTACCCTAAGGAGTCTCAAAGCGGCTAACATTCTCCTTTCCTTCCCTCCCCCACAACAAACACTGTGTGAGGTGAGTGAGGCTGAGAGACTACAGAGAAGTGTGACTGGCCCAAGGTCACCCAGCAGCTGCATGTGGAGGAGCGGAGATGCGAACCCGGTTCACCAGATTACGAGTCTACCGCTCTTAACTACTACACCACACTGGCTCTCTTAGGACTTAGTATTTATTTATTTATTTATTAAATTTGTATACCGCCCCTCTTTCATAGAGCTCAAGGTGGTTCACAACAACAAAAATACAATACAAAAAAGACAAAAATATGCAATAAAAAATAAGAACAAAACCAAAACCAATAGTCCCCCCTTTCCACAACACATTTAAAAGGACATCGGATGCCAGTCAGCCCAAGGCCTGGTTGAAAAGGAACGTTTTTGCCCGGTGCCTAAAGATGTATGAAGGCACCAGGCGAGACTTCCTGGGGAAAGCATGTCACAGATGGGAGCACTGCTGAAAAGGCCCATCCTTGTGTTGCCACCATCAGGACCTCTCGTGGAGGAAGCAAATGAAGAAGAGTCTCAGAGGATGATCTCAGGGTCAGATTTAGCCCTGGTGCATCTAAGCAGAAATAGATTACCTCTCCCCTCAGTGGAAAAATGTGGGTGAGGGGCTCCCAAAGAGCCCAGTTGAGGTTCTGCTGTGTTGTGGCCTAGTTTCCCCCAAGCCCAGGCTCCAGCTGAAGTTTCCTTCAGCGAGACGGCCTCTTAGCCGGCAGAGAAGAGCAGTGCTCTTGTGCTTTGTGGTCCACTGGGAGGCAATAAGATGGCAGAACAGACCCCTCTTTCCCCCCACCCCGTCCGGTCCCAATCCTCCACCAGTACCTATATAGCTGGTCTTGCCTCCTGGGGCACAGCACATGTCCAAGACGCGCTCGTTCTCCTGGGGGGCCAGAGCCATGACGGGGAGAAGGCTGCATGCTCCTTGCAGCATGTACTGGCCGGCCAAGTATTCTGGGGTGGCGCCTGGGAGAGAAGGGAGAAGAAGCAAAGCCATGAGAAACCAGCTGCTGAGAAATGTGGCGGTGTTACTGTTTTTTTGGAGGGGTGTGTGTGTGTGAAGAGAAAGGTAACCCAGCCTTCTACTCACCTATAGGCACAGAGGAGTCGTACACAACAAGTCCAGTTTTGGACCACTTTCCTAAGGGGTCAAGATTCACCCCACGGTTTATCAGAGCCTGTGGGATGAAGGGGAAAGAAGCAAAGTGAGGTTTTGTCAACCAGGGTTCACCTGAGGGTGGGGAGCTCTCCGCCAGCTACACACCTGAGCCAGGTCACGTCGTCGTGTCTTCAGCGTGTTGGTGCGAAGGGTCACGGGCCGAGGAACCTCGTTGGACTCCAAGAAATCAACCAGCTGAATGTGGGGGGGGGGTGAAGAGAGAAAGACCAAAATAAGGCATGAGAGCCACCTATGAGCAGTCGTATTCTGAGAGTGGCTAACCAGGGGCCTGCGAGAAAAATCACACAAGCAGGACAGGCGTGAAACACCATTCTCTCCGCCGTGCTCCCCAGTGATTGGTACTGCTGCCACTGGCTTTGGAAGTTCTATCAAACCATTGTGACTAGCAGCCACCAATAATAATTATAATACTTTTTATTTATACCCCGCCCTCCCCAGCCAAGGCCAGGCTCAGGGCAGCTAATAAGCAATAATAAAAACAAGTTGAATGAATACAACTTAAAAACAAGATTAAAATACAACATTAAAATATTGAAAGATTAAAATACTAAAATGCAGCCTCATCACAGGAGGAGAAAGAAAATAGACTTATTTATTCTCCATAAATCGGTATTAAAAAAGAAAGTTAAGAGAGTGGCTGTCACCACATCTTTAGGCAATGAATGCCATAGAGTTGTGTGTGGGAAAATAGTTCTTTTTTAAAAAATAATAATTTTTATTTCTTTGCTCTGTCTTACATCACCTGCCAACTAAGCCCTATTGCCTGAGAAGGCAGGTCAATAAAAGTGAAAAGATGTACAGTGTTCTGTTTTAGTGGTCAGGGTGTTGGAGACCAGGGTTCAAATCTCTTACTTAGCCATGAAGCTCATGAAGCTCACTGGGTGATTTGGGACTAGTCACTGCATCTCGGCCCGACCTTCTCCTCGCAGGTCTGTTGTGAGGATGAAATGGGATGAACCTTGAGCTCCTTCGAGGGAAGGTAGGCTATACAGTGGTACCTCTGGTTACAAACTTAATTCGTTCCGAAGGTCTGTCCTTAAACTGAAACTGTTCTTAACCTGAGGTACCACTTTAGGTAATAGGGCCTCCCGCTGCCGGTGTCGCGCAATTTCTGTTCTCATCCTGGGGCAAAGTTCTTAACCCGAGGTCCTATTTGCGGGTTAGCAGAGTCTGTAACCCGAAGTGTTTGTAACCTGAGGTACCACTGTAAATGTAACAGCACCACCTCATTCTCAAACATATTGTTCCAAGGGCTCAAATAAAGCTTCTGAAAATTTTTGGCCCACCAGTAGCAAAACGATGGTGCAAGAACACAAGATGATGGCTGCTGAAGAGAGTGTTTGGCATAATCACTTGGCAGTTACTGACATAATTTTCTAATCCATCTTTGGAAATGGCTGAATTATTTGTCACAGCTTTTCCCTTGAGGTAATGAGTTCTACAGCTCATCTTTTTTCAAGCTACAGCGGTACCTCTGGTTAAGTACTTAATTTGTTTCAGAGGTCTGTTCTTAACCTGAAACTGTTCTTAACCCAAGGTACCACTTTAGCTAATGGGGCCTCCTGCTGCCGCTGCGCCGCCGCTGCATGATTTGTGTTCTTAACCTGAAGCACTATTTCTGGGTTAGCGGAGTTTGTAACCTGAAGCATCTGTAACCTGAAGTGTATGTAACCCGAGGTACCACTGTACATTATTTACTCTAGAGGTATTGTGATTCAGCCTCCCCCCTCCCCACTTTCAGGCAAATCCTGATGCCTCTAAGTGAAGGGGGCTTTTACTTTTATATTTGCTCCTCCCCATTCCCACAGGCCTCTCAAAAGTTGTTTTAGCCATCTCCTGTAGTTTCTTCTCCTTTCACGCTCTCAAAATTATTTTTACTCATCTCCTGTAGTTTCTTCTCCCATTCTCCTTTCACACTCAACTTGTACCTTATTCGCCTACCCACAAACTGCCAGTCAGTGGACCTTGGAGGTTTTAGTTAGTTAGTTTGGGGGTGGGGAGGGAAAGATCCCGCAAGCTTTAAGTCTTCTCAGCAGTGAATACAGCCTTCAGACAGTGGAACAGCCATGAGAATGTTTCGAAGCTACTTGCCTAAACAATTCAGCCTTGCCATCAAGGATCAAATTCAGGTGTTGTGCTAATTAACCACAGTTCAGTGCAACCTACTCTGACCATTGGACCATGCTGCCTTGGGTCTGGAAGAAGCTGGAACCCAACAACATGTGGGCTCCAAAACTGGGTTACCCCCAGAAAGAAATTAAAGGTAAAGGTAAAGGGACCCCTGACCATTAGGTCCAGTCGTGACCGACTCTGGGGTTGCAGCGCTCATCTCGCTTTATTGGCTGAAGGAGCCGGCGTACAGCTTCCGGGTCATGTGGCCAGCATGACTAAGCCGCTTCTGGCGAACCAGAGCAGCGCACGGAAACGCCGTTTACCTTCCCGCCAGAGTGGTACCTATTTATCTACTTGAACTTTGACGTGCTTTTGAACTGCTAGGTTGGCAGGAGCAGGGACCGGGCAACGGGAGCTCACCCGGTTGCAGGGATTCGAACTGCCAACCTTCTGATCGGCAAGTCCTAGGCTCAGTGGTTTAACCCACAGCAGCGCCACCCGCATCCCTAGAAAGAAATTATCCAGGCAGAAAACTGGTTAGGATAACGATAACGGAAAAGTACCTCAGAGAGTGGGAAAAGCTCCATCAATTTCTCGATCAGGAAGTCGCTGTAAGAGTAGTAAGCAGCAAGGTCCCGGCGCAGAAGGGCAAGATATTCCTGCCGCGAGTGCCCCTCCTCTCGCTTCGCACCGAAATCCTGAAGCACCTCTATGTTGTCCTTGATGCGCTGATGAATGAGCTGCAGGTCAGGGGGCTGCGCAGGTGATCAGGGTGTTAAGGAGCAACGGCAGAGGCTGGGATTGAGGCCTGATCCCACGTCAGACCACCCTGGGGGCCCACCTGACTTTTGATTTGATGATTTAATTTCTAGATTGCTTAATATATTAAAAACATCTCCAAGCAGTGTACCATAAAGAAGCAGAAACAGACAACTTAAGCCAAGATATTACAAAAACAAGCTGTTACATACAGAAATGCTACATTTATACAGTACTGATCCCATACTGTCTACTCTGGAGTGTAAAAGTGGATCCTCGCAACACTTTGGAGCAGCTAAGAATTCAAGGACCTGGACACATGCTGGCATTCCTTGAAACAGCCCTGTAAAAGCAAGCTGGAATTACCATATTTTTTGCTCTATGACTCACTTTTTCCCTCCTAAAAAGTAAGGGGAAATGTGTGTGCGTCTCATGGAGCGAATGCAGGCTGCGCAGCTATCCCAGAAGCCAGAACAGCAAGAGGGATTGCTGCTTTCACTGCGCAGCGATCCCTCTTGCTGTTCTGGCTTCTGAGATTCAGAATATGTTTTTTCTTGTTTTCCTCCTCCAAAAACTAGGTGCGTCTTGTGGTCTGGTGCATCTTCTAGAGTGAAAAATACGGTACCACTCCGTTACTGCGAACGAAAAGTTTCAAACCAAAGGGAAGGCGCTAGATATCTGAACCAGGAGATCCCTCAGACACTCACAGACACTCATTCCCATTACAATGTGGGTGCTTAGCTTGCATGTGGGGCCCGTCATTTTAAAACCCCCCAAAAACTTGCTACTCTCAAAGGTTTCCTGCTGTGATACCAAATGGTTTTCTGGGGGGCTGTTCTCCAAGCCTCCCACCATTCTTAATTGATCACAAAAATAAGGATTTTTTTCTTTTACTGACTTCTCCTCACTGTGAGATTTTGATGCCATTTTTAAAATTATTATATAGTTTGTGGTTTTATATTTTGATGTTGTTCTGCGAACCGCCCTGAGACCTCTGGGAATAGGGCGGTATATAAATTCAATAATAATAATAATAATAATAATAATAATAATAATAATAATTTAGGATGCCAAGGCCCCCCACAATTTCTCCGTTTAAAAAAATGTAAGCGTGTTTTAATTGAGCACTCCCAAAGGGCTCCTGCTGTGGTGCCAAAAGATTTTTGCGACACAACCCTACAAGACCCCCAAAATCTGTCCTTATTTTTTAAAAAAAGATTGGCCATGCCCACTTTGACATGTGACAACCGCTGGGCCAACGTGGTCTTTGGCCTGAGAAAGGTAAGCTCCCGTGCCACATCGCAACCACACGCTGCCATGCCAAGAGGCCCAAGGGGTCACAGAGGAAAAGGCGTGCAAGGAAACCTAAGGCGGCCGGCCCAGGGCAACACGGCACATCTCCCCCCTCGCCCGAAAGACATGTAGGCGCCCCCATCTCCAACCAAGAGGAAGGATATCTTCTTTCTCTATCTCCTGCCCGCTGGGAAGCACAAAGTTCTCCTCTGTGTCCACGTTGAGCTGCAGGTCTGTGTCCTTGCTTTGATCCTGCGCTGCCTCCCGTTTCCGTGGCGACGTCTCATCCTCACTGCCACTGTCATCGTCGCTGAAGGCCGGGCTGCATCCAAGAAAGGGAAGCATTTCAGCAGGAGATATTTACCGCTCGTCAGAGTGCATTCCCCTATACAGGGGTGGCCAATGTTGTTCAGTCTTTTATTTTACACCCCACATTTCCGCAAAGGATCTCCCCCTCCTCATTTAATCCCCACAACAACCCTGTGAGGTAGATTAGGCTGAGAGGCACTGAGAATATTCCGAGTGGGGATTTGTACCCTGGCCTGCCAGACCCTAGTCCGACACTTTCACCCAGGGGTCGGCAACCTAAGGCCCATGGGCCACAAGTGGCCCAAAGGGGTCGTTTTACCGGCCGCCACGCTGCCCCCAAAGCGAGCCGCCCGCTTGGTGAGTCCCTGCGCTGTGCTAAACCAGTGCAGCATGGCGACTCACTTCCGTGGCGCTGTAAATCGTGCCTGCGCAGGTGAACCGGCCCAGGCAAGGTAGGCCTTGCCAACTCCTGCTCTAACCACTACCAGTGTTGAAAATTAGCCAGGCGCCAGTCCAATTGCGACCACGTGGAGATCTCTGGATCCCGTGCTGGTGACTGACATCTCCATCCAAGCTGGTCCCTTTCTTAAGCAAGTATGCAGAAGAGGTTACTTATTGCACTTATATCCCACTGTCTTCTCCAAGGAGTACATGGTTCTCCCCGCTCCTCAGTTAATCTCTACAACGACCCTGTCAGGTAGGTTAAGAGGCTGTGACTGGCTCCAAGGTCACCCAACCAAAGCACGTCAAAGTGCAAGTAGATAAATAGGTACCACTCTGGTGGGAAGGTAAACGGCATTTCCGTGCGCTGCTCTGGTTCGCCAGAAGTGGCTTAGTCATGCTGGCCACATGACCCGGAAGCTGTACATCGGCTCCCTCGGCCAGTAAAGCGAGATGAGCGCCGCAACCCCAGAGTCGGCCATGACTGGACCTAATGATCAGGGGTCCCTTTACCTTTTACCTAATGTGTTGTAAACGGTTTTGAGATTTGTTTTTGAAAATATAAAGCGATATAAAAATGGAATGAATCATCATCGTAAGTCCAATGGGGTGTGTGGGGGTGTGTGTGGGAACGGTGCCTAGACATTCCATTGTGGTGACTGCAGCCTAGGTTTAAGGTGCCAATTGGCATTTATAGATTATACATCTGAGTTTCTAACACTGACCACTGCACCATACTGGCCTCCATTTTGTGCCTTCCAGATATTGCTAGACCATACCTCCCATCGCCCCTGAGAATTAGTCACATTGGCTGAGGGCTGATGTGAGTCCAATGACATGCTGGCAAATTCCTGCTCTAAAAGGGTGAAGGGTTCGTCGGCCCACAAAATCTAAATCTCTTGGTTTACTCACCCCTCCAGCTTCTCTTTCTGGGCAGCTTGTTCTATAGGCAAGAGCTGAATTTAAATTTAAAAAAAAGACACACACACGAGAAGGAGAGAGAGAGAGAGAGAGAGAGAGAGAGAGAGAGAGAGAGAGAGAAGCAGCTTAATCAGATGTCAGATATACACCTCACACATCAATAACACAGATCCACAACAGGAATTGCAGAGTGGAGAAGTCGACACTGTTCATTTTAAGTAGACACACGGATTGTTATCTTCCAGATTCACACATCTGTTTATGCTGGTTTGTATTCATATTTCATTTCCAATTATTTTTATTGATATTCCATCATTTTAAACAAATTGCCACCAAATTAACACAAATTTAAAAGTGGACTTCCCACCCACCCCAGGTGTCCCCTCTATTTTCCTCCCTCATTTTGCTGCTCCCAAATAAACAACTTTTCCAACTATCCTTTTGAAATACATTTACCCCTTCTCCCTACACATCACCTGTTCAATTACCAATTTCAAGATGGTTTTTATACATTGTTATAACCTGTCTTCAAAACAGCCGAGTAGAGTAAATCCTTTTCTACCTATCGATAATTGTCCTTCATTGGTTTTCAAACATTTCCTTCTGGTACCTCTTGAGTAACACTTTGCCTGAGAAAAGCAGATCTTGCTTCCTCCCAGGCAAGATACACACATTCCTCCTTAACATGGCCTTGAACATTGCTGCCTGACATCTGGCCCCAGGAATCAACAACTCAGCCTCACTGGTGCAATGTGCAGAGGGTGAAAATGAAACGCCTAGAATTTTTTTATATATAAATATATAGCATTTGTATAAATATTTTAAGAACGATGAAGTACTGAAGATTTTCGGAGGAGTATGCTAACAAGAGATTTTCATAAGCAGAAAGGTTTTCCACTGCCTGCACTGGCAATTCTTTTCAGTCCATTATTTTACAGAAGGTAACCTTGTCTGAATTCTAGGGGGTGGGAAACACATTCACTGGCAGAGCCAGAAGCATCAACAGCTGCAGGCGATGCAAAACTATTTGCAGCAGAGAAGCAGCAGGTTAAGAGCCAAATGATTCATTCACCTACTCGCAATACCACAAACATCCCTGTAGTTGCAAGGGTGAGGGAAGTGGCACAATATGCACACTTCTTACTGAAATATTTCCCCCCCTTTTTTAAAGACATTCTCTCTCTCAATTTCTGTTTTACAATTTAGAATATTCACTTATGCAACCTTAAAGTATCAATGACTTTCCTCCTCCTCTTTCCGTGGTTCATTTTACATATCATAAATCCCTGCCTATTTTATATAAACCATTCAGCACTCCATTATTACTTCCATCAAAACTTATTTACACTGTTGAATTTGTCTTAATGCTGCCAATGTTTCCAAGTGTACACAATTCCCCCCATATATTCAGTAAACATTTTCCAGTCTTCTTTAAAGAAATGTTCTTCTCGTTCTCTTATTCTATATGTTAGATCTGCAAGCTGCGCATATTCCATGAGTTTAAGTTACTTACCATTTATTTTTAATACCTCACGGTAGACTGAAGATTCAGGTGGAAGATTTACCAAGTCACAGCTGAGTTATACAACGCAAACTCTTTCCCACCCAACAGTAAGAATTATTTTCACCCATTTATAATGGAAGGTCGAGGAATCCTTACCTCCTCTTCGTCGTCAGAAGACAGATCTCCATAGTCGTCCACCATCTCCTCCTCGCTTCCATCATCTCCGTCGCTCTCATCAAGTGCTTCACTGTCCTCTTCATCGCTCTCTTCGGGTCTCGGTCTCTTTTTTCCTGAGGCCGAAGGAGTCAGCCAAGAAGCGTTGCCATCGCTGAAGCCACGCTGCCGGCCATCTTGTGCGGCTGCTCGTCCATTTGCGTCCTTCAACAAAGGCGTCTCTGCAAAGCAGGACCAGAAGGAACTATTTAGAACAAGTCTTGAAGAAGAAATGTTCTGAAGCAGCGGTAGTTGTACCTGTTCTAAAGAGTGCTTCGTACTTCGGTTTCCCGAGAAAAATCCAAGTATTCAAGGCATCTAGCTCAAACCAAGTATGGAGGCACTTTAGAGGAAGGCCATCAGGTATTGGAAAATATGAAATGCAAGGTTAAAACGGCGAAGAATCAAAGACATGTGAGAACCCAAAGTCCTTAGAAATAATAATAATAATAATTTATTATTTATACCCCACCCATCTGGCTGGGTTTCCTCAGCCACTCTGGGCGGCTTTCAACAAAACACTAAAATACAATAACCTATTAAACATTAAAAGCTTCCCTAAACAGGGCTGCCTTTAGATGTCTTCTAAAAGTTTGGTAGTTATTTTTCTCTGACATCTGGTGGGAGGGGGTTCCACAGGGTGAGTGCCACTACCGAGAAGGCCCTCTGCCTGGTTCCCTGTAACCTCACTTCTCGCAGTGAGGGAACCGCCAGAAGGCCCTCGGCGCTGGATCTCAGCGTCCGGGCAGAACGATGGGGGTGGAGACGCTCCTTCAGGTATACTGGGCCGAGACTGTTTAGGGCTTTATTATTATTTTTTTGCAGAATAATTTTTATTAATTTTTAGTAAACATACATACATTCATATATTACACATATAAGTTACATATTTAAACTAGGCTCTGCCGAACCTCAGACTTCCCCCCATTCCTTTGGTAAGTATCAAATAAATTCTAGAATCTCATATTTTACATATCAGAGGCTGTTTAGGGCTTTAAAGGTCAGCACCAACACTTTGAATTGTGCTCGGAAACGTACTGGGAGCACAAAAATATGGCGCCATGTCTTTAAAGGAATTAAAAAAAACCCAATGTTTACAAAAACAACATTTTTGCAGAATAATAATAATAATTTATTATTTGTACCTCGCCCATCTGGCTGTGTTTCCCCAGCCACTCCGGGTGGCTTCCAAGAAAGATTAAAAATACATTAAAATGTCACACATTAAAAACGAATGGAAGCGAAAGACGATGTGGGCAGGTCGGTCGTATGCCGCAGCCAGCAATCCTGCCACAAGAATAAACAGCTGAGCTCAAAGATCAGGTCCACCTCCCAGAGCACAAGTTGCCATCGATCTGGTGTAAGTACTTTAAATTTGTACTTCTATCAACTAGGACTTTTGTCAGTTAATAGATGGGAGGAAGAGCAAGCGTCAACCTGTGGTTGAGAGTTTAGGGCATAAGTGCTTCTTTTTTGGGTTGAAAACAGAGCAAGATACATAAATAATTTTTTTTGGGGGGGGGAAGAGGTGCATAATTGTGAAGGGGTTTTGTTTGTAATCTCCTGACTGTTACAGCATGTGGAATCAAGAAGGAATCCTGTCTTCTTCCTTCCTTTGAGACATCAGAAGCAGACATAAAGACAGGAGGCTGCCCTGAACTCAAAATCTTCTAGCATCTGACGAACGTTTGCTATTATCTATGACAGCTCGTGACACAATACATCTGCTGATTTTTAAGGTGCCTGAATTCTAGGGTTACTGCCAAATACGGACCAACACTGTTACCTTTTTGGATTATAAGAGAGAGCATCCCCAAATCCCAGCAGAGGCAGAACAGATGAAGATGGAGTCTATTGCACACCTTGGAAAGTTGTTCCTGAGGCTGAAGAGACCACCCATAAAAGAACAGGGTGTGGGGAGGCAGCACAGCTGGAGGTTGTGGGGAGTACAGAAATCCTGCTGGAATCGACACCAATGTCTGCAGGGAATCACCCCCGCCGGTTTTCACAAGGAAGGAACACTCAAGCACCAACCTGTAGCTCAGGCTCCCTCAACCTCGGCCCTCCAGATGTTTTTGGCCCACAACTCCCATGATCCCTAGCTAGCAGGACCAGTGGTCAGGGATGATGGGAATTGTAGTCTCAAAACATCTGGAGGGCCGAGGTTGAGGAAGCCTGCTGTAGCTCCTCTTTATATCCATCTGCACTAGGCACTGAAGAGCAACAACAGCCTCTTCAAAGTGATGAACAAAAATGAATTTGATGCCTCCTCACCTGTCTGGAGATCAGGGCCTTCTGCATCTGCCTGGGGCTTTGTGGATTTGATTCGTCTCTTTGCAGCTCTAAAATAAGACGAGAATGAGCTAAAAGCAAGCATGGCTAAGAGACCAAAATAAATCAATGTACACTAAGGAAAGTTTTAGCCAAGAATTCAGTAAGAGGACACATTTACTTTTTTCAGAATTTAAGGACAAATTTATTTTTTTCAAGTCATTTTGGTATCATGTTTTCTAGAGGAAAAGAAAAATATATACGATAAGATGAATGTGCCTATATTTTAAAAAATGGCAGCAAGTATAATTTAGAAGATATATATTTTTTAATCCTGTTGCAATAGCAGGACTCTGTGCTGGTTCCTGCTAGCACAACTATTTAGTTCCTAAGAATATCAAATATAAAAGTAGAGTTAACCATAGCCAGACGCACTACAATCAACATTAAAACACAAGGCTTGGCAATCTGTTGCCAATTATGTTTCTCCATTTCTAATTCTAATCTGGACTGCTTGAGTATAAGAATCAAATCCTTAGGATTCAACCCACATAGCCTTGTGGAAGCAAATCTACCATGAGAGCCATGCCTAAAACAAACCACACAATTACTGGCAAATCTCAAAGATGGCTTAGTAATGAGTGGCAAGCACACTAGTTTACAAAGTGCATTCTAACATCATTTTCTTCAGAAAGCAGATAACATTAATAAAATCCAGGTCGATAGATATTGTTCATGCAATCAGTTAACACCAGATGTCATTAATGAATCAATTAACACAGGAAAAAACAAAGAATTAAAGTCTCTCTCCTTGGTGGGCAGTCATTAAACTGGGGAATATTTTTTTTTCCCATTTTCTGTTGCATGAGATTTTTCAACTGTTCTTATATGTTCTTTCAATGCTGATTTCAAATCTGAAATCGATTTTTGTGTACATGCTATAGTTATCTTGCCATTTCCGACTTTTGCCGATATGTCATATTTACACTGAGGATAAGTGGACACTGACACGTTGATCTACCCTAACCACATGGTAATTATTGTTTTGCAAACTTAATTTTTATAGTTTTGTAACCTAAGTATTTATATTTTTCAGATCGGACCATGGCTTCTTCAAGTAGACAAAAATGTGTAAATAAGTCGGAAATTGAAAGATAACTATAGCATGTACATGAAAATCGATTTCAGATTTTAAATCAGCATTGAAAGAACATATAAGAACAGTGGAAAAAATCTCATGCAAAATGAAAAAAAATTCTTCCCCATTTTTTTGCGTACCTCCAACTGTACATAGATATACATGTCATGTTCAATGCTATATAAGTCACTTACATTTATACTCATATTGTACTACTTTGGCTATGTGTTTAATAAAATATTGAATTCTTGCATTGTAAAAACAAAGATTATGGTGAAAAGTGAAAAACATGAATTGCAAAAAAACTAGAGCTTACAGAACAAAACCAACTTCAGATATGAAATCAGCATGTCGAAATTGGGTTAGAACAACTGCAGGTGTCAATGCAGCAAAAATTTTGTTCTCCTGAGTTGTTTAAAAATAAGAGCAAAGCATCATTCTGAATAAAACCGCTTTCACTACCAACCTTCGTCGAGCATGACTGGAAAGCTTCTTTGCACTGTCAGAGGAATCTGGAGGTTGCGCAGGAGAAAAAGAACAATTAAAATTATTAGAAGGCTGATATAGCAAGCAAGACCAAGAAACCATCAAGGCCTCCCGACTCCATTTCAAATAGGACAAAATCTCAACCGGGAAGGCAGAGCTGCTGGGCCGCAATGCCATTACCCCCAGGGAGAGATCTCTGCCTGTTGAGAGTTTTGAAACTGCCACCAACATCCAGAGAAAAGAGAAGGGGACAGGAATCTCAAAGGGCAAAGGAAGAGTCAAAGCTGCTTTTCTGCACTGATCCTCTCTCTTTAGCCATTTCTCCTTGGGACAGGGCAAGAAAGGACAGCTAGCTGCTACGGTTTTCCCAGATGCAATGCCAATCCAGATTCGTGAAATAAGCTCTCAAACGGGGATGTCTGGTAACCCTAGATCTTTCCATAATACCCAAACCATGGTTTGGGACAGCCTTGTATGTAAGCCCTTGCCTGGTAGCCATGGATGACAAGGAATTGTGTGCAGCTGAGTGGGTGAACTGATGGAGAACTGCTGTGCCCCAGTGCAGAAACGTGTCAGGCAGCTGTTGTAGGAGAGATGGAGCCCTCTGTCCCTCTCCCACCAATCCCTAGCTGGCTACTAAAAATACGTGCGGTCTGCAAATCGGGTTGCAAACCAGGGTTTGATTCTGCTTGGTAAGCAAATGTAAACTATGGTTCATCTGTCTGAACAAAATAGGGAATGGTGGTTTGCTGCAAACCCTGGTTTGCAACCCACATTTGCAGACAAATGCAAACCATGGTTTGCCTGTGTGAACAAAACGAGAAGGAAATAGTGGACAACGCACAAGGGGAAGAGAGCAAGGGAGCCAAGGCTCGTTCTCAGAAGACCAAACCATCGTTTGGCACAAGCAGGAATAAAGAAGGGTTGGAGAAATGTCAGCCAGTATGTAAAGTATGTGTGTCAGTGGCTAGCTATGGAAGCTGTAGTCCAACCACATACAGAGGGACCACATTGGCTACCCAGCCCTATAACACGATGTCAGAAAAGCCATGGAGGGAACATTTCAACAGAAGAGGCAAGATGAATCCAGCCATCCCCCAACAAGTCGTCTTGTGAACAAAGCCTACACAAAGTCCTTTTCCAGAAGCAAAACAGGTTATAGGCTTATACATACTAAAAACAAGAGCTGCAGCTCAGAAGACACTGAACTCAACATGAAACACCAGTTTCAATGCAAGAGTGCAAAGACCCACGGAATACCCCACAGAAACCATGCAAGTTTCAAAAATTAAAAGCATGCCTCTTATGCTACCTTTGCCTCTTACCCTGGCCTCTGACATCTGAGACACGTGTTTTCAGGACCCACCTTATCCCTGTGAACTGGTTTAGCTGACTTTAATTCTGAATTTTACATCGCTGGGCCCTGTTTGTGAAGGGCAGGTAGCAATAACAAGAACACCTTCAGATCCCTAACAACAACCCTGTTAAGTAAAACTACTATCATCCCTACTGCAGATGCGGGGATGGAGGCAGAGCGGATTGCCAGTGGCCACCAGTGATCTTGTGAGAAAGAAGAGTGTTGAACTAGCACGTGTGGAGCAATCCTAAACACTGCAACTAAGAGGCAAATTCAGAGCAAATCCAACAGGACTTGCTTGTTTTTTGGTTAAGCATACATAGGGCTGCACCTTTAGCACACTAGAGGTGGGCAGAAAACAGACTACAGTGGACACTCAGGTTGCAAACATGATCCGTGCAGGAGGCACGTTTGCAACCCGCGTGTCTGTGCATGCGCGGGTCGTGATTCGCCGCTTCTGCGCATGCACAAAGTGCAATTTAGTGCTTCTGCGCCGAAACCCGGAAGTAGCCCATTCCGGTACTTCCAGCTTCAGCGCAGTGCGCAACCCAAAATCACACAACCCAAAGGGTCTGTAACCCGCTGCAGCAGCAAACGGAATTCCATTGCAGTGCCTTAAGGGACGTCCTCATGCGCTTAAGCAATGATGATGATGATGATGATAATAATAATAATAATAATTTATTATTTATACCCCGCCCATCTGACTGAGTCTCCCCAGCCACTCTGGGCGGCTCCTAATAATAATAATAATAATAATAATAATAATAATAATAATTTATTATTTATACCCCGCCCATCTGACTGAGTCTCCCCAGCCACTCTGGGCGGCTCCCAATCAAGTGTTAAAAACAATACAGCGTTAAATATTAAAAACTTCCCTGAACAGGGCTGCCTTCAGATGTCTTTTAAAGATAGGATAGCTGCTTATTCCTTCACATCTGCTGGGAGGGCGTTCCACAGGGCAGGCGCCACTACCGAGAAGGCCCTCTGTCTGGTTCCCTGTAACCTCACGTCTCACAATGAGGGAACCGCCAGAAGGCCCCCGGCGCTGGACCTCAATGTCTGGGCTGAACGATGGGGATGGAGACACTCCTTTAGGTATACAGGACTGAGGCCGTTTAGCGCTTTAAAGCAAGGCAGAACCATAAGGATTGCTCAGCTCAATTGGTTGGAGTGTGGTTCTGATAATGCTGTTAGTTTGAGCCCCGTGCGGGTGCACATTCCCACACTAAAGAGGGTTGGTTGGGCAAGATCAGTATTTATCAAACGTGGGTCGCCAGCTGTAGTTGGACTACAACTCCCGCCATCCCTGACCGCTGGTCCTGCTAGCTAAGGATGATGGGAGTTGTAGTCCAACAAAGCTGGTGACTCACGTTTGAGAAACGCTGGATGATCCTCGCGGTCCCTACCAACTCTGAAAGTCTATGATTCTATATCATAGAACTGATGGCCCGTCGATGCGCGGCATCCTGGATGGATGGCGGCTAACAGATTGAGGTTGAATCCTGACAAGACAGAAGTACAGGGGGGACAGGGGGCGGGCGGGTGAGGGGGATTCCCTGGTCCTGAATGGGGTAACTGTGCCCCTGAAGGACCAGGTGCACAGCCTGGGCGTCATTTTGCACTCACAGCTGTCCATGGAGGTGCAGGTTAATTCTGTGTCCAGCTCCATCTGGTATGCAGGCTGAGTCCCTACCTGCCCTCCCCAGACTGTCTTGCCAGAGTGGTGCATGCTCTGGTTATCTCCCGCTTGGACTACTGCAACACGCTCTACATGGGGGTACCTTTGAAGGTGACTCGGAAACTGCAATTAAACCAGAATGCGGCAGCTAGACTGGTGACTGGGAGTGGCCCCTGAGACCACATAACACCGGTCCTGAGAGATCTGCATTGGCTCCCAGTACGTTTTCGAGCACAATTCAAAGTGTTGGTGCTGACCTTTAAAACCCTAAACGACCTCAAAGGCCCAGTATACCTGACGGAGCGTCTCCACCCCCATCGTTCAGCCCGGACACTGAGATCCAGCACCGAGGGCCTTCTAGCGGTTCCCTCATTGCCAGAAGTGAGGTTACAGGGAACCAGACAGAGGGCCTTCTCGGTAGTGGCGCCCACTTTGTGGAACACCCTCCCTTCAGATGTGAAGGAAATAAGCAGCTATCCTATCTTTAAAAGACACCTGAAGGCAGCCCTGTTCAGGGAAGTTTTTAATATTTAACGCTGTACTGTTTTTAACACTTGATTGGGAAGCCGTCCAGAGTGGCTGGGGAAACTCAGCCACATGGGCGGAGTATAAATAATATTATATTATTATTATCCTGCTTTCGCAGGGGCCGACCAGGCAGCTTAATCCCAGATCACACGCTATACAGACAACAAATGCACGCTTTCTACGCGCGATCCAAAATGCACGCGGACTGAGGTTTCTACAGCACGTGCACTCTCCGGTGTCGATCCACCCGCGCCGATACTCTGCCCACGATCCACCCCGCAGGGCCGAACCCAAAGTGTGTGGGGAGGGGGGCGGTGTCGCAATTTTACCAGGCGGCAGGAAACGAGCGATCTCCTCCTCGGCTCCGCGCTGCTTGCGCGCCTTGCGCCCCGGGCCTCGCTTCACCTTGCGCGTCGGGTCCAGCTTGCGCCCCATGGCTTCGCTCTTCCTCGGCGAGGCGAGCTGGGCTTCCTCCACGTGGGCTGCCCCCTTTTCCCAGGCTCAGCCGCGCGCACTTCCTTCCTTCCGCCCCGTAGGCGGGCGCTGATTGGCCAGCCTCGCCAGCCGGCTGAGCCTTTGTTTCATTCAGCTTTCGCGGCCAAGTGGGTGGGCTTTCGGGAGGCGGACTTTCCCTTTCCTTCCCTCCGGAGAGGCGGAAGTGAGGGCTACCCGTGGAACCCAGGGGAGAATAAACCCAGGATTTTATTTCGTTTCATTTCATGACCTTGATTTGTTACTGGGGGCAGCAGCGCGTAACTATTATTATTATTATTATTATTATTATTATTATTATTATTATTATTTTATTTATACCCCGCCCATCTGGCTGAGTTTCCCCAGCCACTCTGAGCGGCTCCCAATCAAGTGTTAAAAACAATACAGCGTTAAATATTAAAAACTTCCCTAAGCAGGGCTGCCTTCAGATGTCTTCTAAAAGTCAGATAGTTGCTTATCTCCTTGACATCTGCTGGGAGGGCGTTCCACAGGGCAGGCGCCACCACCAAGAAGGCCCTCTGTCTCATCCCCTATAACCTCACTTCTCGCAATGAGGGAACCGCCAGAAGGCCCTCGGTGCTGGATCTCAGTGTCCGGGCTGAACGATGGGGGTGGAGACGCTCCTTCAGGTATACTGGGCCTTTGAGGCCGTTTAGGGCTTTAAAGGTCAGCACCAACACTTTGAATTGTGCTCGGAAACGTACTGGGATAATAATAATAAATTTTATTTATACCCCAGCACTCACAGGCCAGTGTTTCCCAGTTGTCAGTGTTTATACTACATTTTTTTTTAGATTTGCTTTGAGACAGTCTTTAAACCTCTTTTGTTGACCACTAGCATTACGCTTTCCATTTTTAAGTTCGGAATAGAGTAGTTGCTTTGGAAGACGATCATCAGAAATTAATAAGGTGTTGGCCCACAAGGCAATGTGAGAATGAGGGTTTGTGCTGAGTCTGGGCCTGGAGTGGACCTGAGGCAGCAGTTTAAGCCCTCAGTTTACACAGGTGTTGCATTCTGGGGGCTGCGCTTAAAGCCACAATTGCATATAGTCAAAACACATTGCTTCCCCCCCGGACACCTGCCCCCTTTTTAATTTTTATATATTTTTTGCCAAGTGCCTTAAACTGAATGCGCAAGTTAAATGTGTATCAGTTGCGGGCTTACTGTACTTTGACTTCTGTCGCAAACTGAAAGGTGTTAAGTATAAGGGATTTTTAGTGGTAAATCAAACCTTATTACTGCATCAGATATGCAATCTTATTCGCTGGCCATATTGGAGGACTGTCCTAAGTCACTCTCTTCTCCACTGGGCTGCATTGGCTCGCAGGCAAATTTGAAAGCTCCATATTAAAAATTAAGCAAAACCACTTTTTGACACGAATTTAAGACCCACTGGGTTGGAAAGTGTGGGAACCTTTGCCACTCACTTTTCTTGCTGGGTTGTAAGTTACTACACAATCACAGCTCCAGTAAAATCCTGGCTTTTTCCAGCTGATTTCAGTAGGCAGCCCTTGCTGTCCCTTCATCCCATAAGAAAGTTTGTGACTGAAACTGGCAGTTCAATAAATGCACTTGTGTCCCCCTTGATCTACAATCTAGGCAGCTGAGCAGCTTGCTGTTGTCCCCATAGATCATGGGTAGGCAAACTAAGGCCCAGGTGCCGGATCCGGCCCAATCGCCTTCTAAATCCAGCCCGTGGACGGTCCCAGAATCGACGTGTTTTTACATGAGTAGAATGTGTGTTCTTATTTAAAATGCATCTCTGGGTTATTTGTGGGACATAGGAATTCATTCCCCCCCCCCAAATATAGTCCAGCCCCCAAGGTCTGAGGGACAGTGGACCAGGCCCCTGCTGAAAAGGTTTGCTGACCCCTGCCATAGATGGAGGGAACCCAGAATAGGGGATTTTGTTTGGAAAATGGCCACCAGTCCTGACTTTCGTTTCCTCAAAAGCAGGACCGGCCCAGGACATTTTGGCAACGGAGGTGAACCACAAAATAGTGCCACCCTCCCTGCCAGGGAAGAAGGGTGAGAGAAGAGCTACATGGAACAAGGGGGAAATAGAATATCTACATCAGGATCTGCTGCCCCTGTGGATCCTGCCACCTGAGGTGGTCACCTTACCTTGGCTCATGGGTGAGCTGTTCCTGCTCAGAAGTGTGTCCAGTCCCTGTATGCATTCAGATTTTGGTGCACAATGTGTATCCTTAATGAAGGATCTAGTTAGGTTTGCCAACTTCATCATTTACTGGTGTGCCATATTAGCCCCTGCTGATACTGGAATGCTTTCTAGTGCAAGCAGGTGGCCTTGAACTGTGGGAGGGGGCTGTTTTACTGGCCCCCCTTTTTTGATATGTGTAGAGGCAGACCTCCACATTCCAGGAGCATCAGTTCGTTTTGGGCTTCTTCCTTATTTTCTTTTCTTGCAAGTTGCAGGTTTGCATTTAACTTGCAGCCCATACCAGGCATTATATGTGCATGACAACAAACTAGGTCGTAGGCAGTTCAACAACTTAATATATGTTTGGTAACGTAGACTGAATTTGTAGGGGGTAATCCAGTTTGTAATTTACTTGGAACTCAGCCATAACATCAAGTTCAGATTTGATAGATGTCAGTTGCAGGCTGCCTCAATGTCACTGGTCCACCTAGGAATATTCAGATATTAAACATTCCGCTAAATTTATCTTTAATTTGTTACTACTATAACATCTTATGTAGGCTATGCTTTAGGTTATGAAGTAGGCATATCTTAACATTCTGATTTCCATTTCTGATTAGTCTTTCATGCTATGTTGGGATAGGGCAAGACCATGTATCAAAATATTTTTATGAGACCTTTTGGGAGGGCTCACCACCAGTCAAACTGCACGGTCATCTGTAAGTACTTGGACCAGTCTGGGATTTGCTTTGCTCACTTTTAAAGCTATAAAAATTACATTGCCCCTGGCTGCTTGTATGAGTAGGCTCTCCTGGCAGAAAGTGAATTGAAATGTAGAGGAAAACCCCATAGCTCCCAAATACTTTGACAGAGCCAAATAAAATACAAGGAAACCTTTATTTTCAACTTTTATCAAGATTTTTTTGTCTTTTTTCCAGCTGTTTCAGAGGACAAGTCCAGTCAGTTTTTGTATTAAAAGGATCTTGATGGGTTAGCATCCATCAGATTTAGTTTGCTTAACACATCAGCAATTTTCCGTGACTGGTGTACTAGAATGTTACCATCTTGATCTCTCTCTATTTCCAGAGATAGGTAGTTGTTTACCTCACCAAGATCTTTCATGTCAAAGTGCTCTTTCAGTTGAGCTAGGCGCTATTGTACATTGCAACATCTTTCCAAAAGAATAATAAATCATCAACATAAAACAAACAGTACAGTTTCTTTTGCCCTCCTCTTTGACAAATACACATGGATCAGCTTTCCTTGCTGAAAACCTAGAGAAAACAATACTTCAGTGAGTTTTGTGTGCCAACACCGTGCACTTTGTTTGAGACCATAAAGGGATTTCTTCAGAGCACAAACAAATCCCTGTTTTACCTGTACGCCATCAGGTGGAAGCATATAAAGTGATTCATCTAGAGATCCGTACAGAAAAGCTGTATTAATATCATGGTGACTAATGTGTAGATTTTCCTCTGCAGCTAGCTTAAGCATAAGCCTAATGCTTTCATATCTCACTGTGGGTGAATAGGTCTCGTGATAGTCTTGACCTGGTACCTGTGCAAAACCTCTGGCTACCAATCTGGCTTTGTGTCTGACTATCTTGCCATTTTGATCTGTCTTCGCTTTGAAGACCCATTTGCTTCCAAGCAGTTTCATTCCTGGAACTACTGGAACTAGCTCCCATGTTTTGTTCCTTTCTAAGGAATCAAGCTCAGCCTTCATGGCATTTAACCATGGCTCAGCTTCCTTTGAATCCAAACCCTGGATTTCTTGGAAACTTGAAGGTTCAAATACCTTCTTGGAGCTTTTAACAGCTGTTACTGCTATCGTAGCAAACTCATCAGCAAATCTCTTTGGAGGTTTGCTTTTGTGGCTCTCTGTGACCTACGAATTAGCCTTAAGTCTTCAACACTCTCCTCTTCCTTCTTAGGAGAAAAACGACCTATTGTGAACAATGGTTCCTCCAATTCTTGATCAGAGCTTTCAGAGGGTCGCATAGAGGCTTTCGCACTTCGAAAGCCTCTGAATCACCCGATTCAGTTTCAGATTCAGACTCAGAACCTTCATCAGTGGGTGTGGGCTGTTGTGGTTGCTTTTGACTATCCTCAGTCTCATCACCGTCATCAGGATAACATTGGAAAATTCCCACATTCTCCCCCACTTTGCATTGTACTCAACACTTCTCGTGAGCTTAATTGTCTTAGAGTCAGTCATCATTATTCTGTAAGACCCTTTCTGATAACCTAGAAAGATACCATGCAATCCACGCTTGTCTAACTTGGAGTTTTGTGGTGAGCGAACCCACATGTCAGAACCAAAATCTTCATGTGTTTGATGTATGGCTTCTTGCCAAACATCTTCTCATAGGGGTACAACCAATCGCTGAAGATAACCTGCGATTGTAACTGTAAACAAAACACGAGAGAGATTCGGCCCAATAACTCTCTGGAAGATTGGCATCATGCAGCAAGGTTTTTAACCCTTGAAGCACTGTCTGATGTGCCCGTCCGCAAGTCCATTCTGCCATGGCGAGCGAGGACTAGACAAATCGTGTAGAATTCCTTTCGCAGTCAGAAAAGCTTCAAACTGCTGAGAAGTGAATTCCCCCGCGATCACTGAAAAGAGTCTTTATCTTCTTACCATGCACATTTTCCAACCAAGCACAGAATTCCTTGAACCTAGGAAAAGCCTCCGATTTCTGCTTGAGATTGTACACAAAAATATATCTAGAAAATGCATCAATGAGAACCATGAAGTATCTATTTCCACCCAAAGAGGGCGCTAGTGGTCCAACCAAATCAGCATGAACAACCTGGTATGGTTCTGTAGCTTTCCTACTAGACACCTTACCTTTCGCAGCCATTTTCACCTTGTTTGCTGCGCATGCTTTGCACTTCATGTGGTACCTGCAGGGTTTAATAGTCATACCTTCAACCAAGGCAGGCATTTTAGATACTGCCTCAAAATGCAAATGACCAAATTTTCTATGAAAATCGTGAATACATTCTGCATGCAAACTTTTGTTAGAACCTGCAATGCAACAAGTGTCATCCTGCACCACATCATCATAATACAAAACAAACAAACGATCAACATATTCTGCATGCAATACATAATCATTTTTCTTTGTGATGATGCACTTCTTGTTCTTGAAGGAAACGTCAATGTTCCGCTCATTCAGCTGTCCAACGCTGAGCAGATTATGTTTGGCGTCTGGCACGTAAAGCACATTCTGTATCGATAAGTCCAAACTGTGAAGAACAACAGTTCCGTAGCCTTTACTGGGAATAGTGTGGTCATCCGCCTGGTGAATCGCACCTTCCTGCGGTGTAAAAGACACAAACAGTTTCTTATCGTTGCACATGTGGTGGGTCGCCGCTGAATCAACAACGAAGAAAGATCTAGACGTCTTCTGGACCTCTGCAACCTTGGAGTGAAGCGTGAAACCATAGCCTTGTGCTGCGTTGTCCTAGACACCGGACCTTTGCCTTTGCCTCGGCCTTTTCCGCGCGATGAGCTCGCTGCGCTGCTCTGTCTTGGCCCTGGGATGTCTGCATTCCTCTTCATATGGCCTAGACGTCCACACGAGTAGCATTTCACTGCCTTCAAAGCTTTGGCGCCATCTGGTGGTTCCACTGCACTATGGGATGACGTCTGTGAAGACTCCCTGGCCCATGCAGCTAGCACCCCGGCGATCTGCTTCATTTAAAATCACGGCAGTAACAAAGTCCACTGTCAGCTGAGCAGTTGGTTGCACAGCAATCTGGGTTGCAACAGACTCCCAACCTGAACCCAAAGATTGTAGTATCATGAAAGAATACACAGCCTCTGGAAAGTTGAGTCCTCTCTGTTGCAGCTCATGTCTCAGATTTTGCATCTCCATCAGATGTAAACGCACATCTCCACCTTCAGCAAGAGCCATATTATGCAGCTTGTTAAAGTAAAACATAGTGGATCCAGCTTCTGTCCTTAAGTGAGCCTCTCTCAAAGCGTCCCAAATTTCTCTGGCTGAGGTCTTATCACGCAATAGACAGAGCTCTTCTGGGGATACTATCAATGTAAGAGTTCCCTTGCTTTGGAATCCTTAGCTTCCCATGCATCTGTAACTGGAACTGGGGGTTTCTGTAATCACCTCAAACAAACCCTCTTTCCGCAGAATTGCCTCTGCATACAGAACCCAGTCGGCTATAATTTTTCTTGTTGAGCTTAGGAATCCCACAAGCATCCTGAAGGGCCATCATGACTCTGGCATTAGCCTTCAGCGTCATATATGCTGCTTTAAATCTTGCTGCGTCACTGCTGCAGCTGCCTTATTACAAAGGCGCACTTAAAAGTTACTTCGATTTCCCCAGCATAGTGACTTGTGCCTGGGAGCCTTTTGCCTATTCCCGGCAAAACCGGCTTTAAAAGTTCAAAGTCCAGCCATAAAGCCATTAACTTGAAGCTGGCAGGCTGCCCGGAGCAGTAGCACATACCTCATCAATCACCTCTACGCGCAGAGCAGATTCCGTTCCGATCTGTTCCTCTGCATTCCGATCCTTTGCCGGCACTCCGATTCGACTTCTGGAGCCCATAACCACGTGTTGATTTAAAGCAGAGTCTGGTGCCCAGCGGAAGGATGAGGAGTACGTGCTGCATACTCTATATTGCTTTATTTACAGTTCAAAGCTGGTATATTACAGAAAGACATCTTGCCTCTGCCGGAGCAGAAAATGCATCCTCTCTCCTCGACAGCTCGGAGAGAATCACACAGTGAAAAACAGGAAACCAGTGTACGTCACATCCAGCCTCCCTTTCCCGTGAGAAACTCCAACAGTACAGACTGTGGAATGTAAACACCTTTCTCGTGACAAGCCCTTTCGCTGCACAGTGAAGGAAAGCAGAAACCAACAGAAGGGTGAGAGAAGAGCTACATGGAACAAGGGGGAAATAGAATATCTACATCAGGATCTGCTGCCCCTGTGGATCCTGCCACCTGAGGTGGTCACCTTACCTTGGCTCATGGGTGAGCTGTTCCTGCTCAGAAGTGTGTCCAGTCCCTGTATGCATTCAGATTTTGGTGCACAATGTGTATCCTTAATGAAGGATCTAGTTAGGTTTGCCAACTTCATCATTTACTGGTGTGCCATATTAGCCCCTGCTGATACTGGAATGCTTTCTAGTGCAAGCAGGTGGCCTTGAACTGTGGGAGGGGGCTGTTTTACTGGCCCCCTTTTTGATATGTGTAGAGGCAGACCTCCACATTCCAGGAGCATCAGTTCGTTTTGGGCTTCTTCCTTATTTTCTTTTCTTGCAAGTTGCAGGTTTGCATTTAACTTGCAGCCCATACCAGGCATTATATGTGCATGACAACAAACTAGGTCGTAGGCAGTTCAACAACTTAATATATGTTTGGTAACGTAGACTGAATTTGTAGGGGGTAATCCAGTTTGTAATTTACTTGGAACTCAGCCATAACATCAAGTTCAGATTTGATAGATGTCAGTTGCAGGCTGCCTCAATGTCACTGGTCCACCTAGGAATATTCAGATATTAAACATTCCGCTAAATTTATCTTTAATTTGTTACTACTATAACATCTTATGTAGGCTATGCTTTAGGTTATGCTTTAGGTTATGAAGTAGGCATATCTTAACATTCTGATTTCCATTTCTGATTAGTCTTTCATGCTATGTTGGGATAGGGCAAGACCATGTATCAAAATATTTTGATGAGACCTTTTGGGAGGGTTCAACACCAGTCAAACTGCACGGTCATCTGTAAGTACTTGGACCAGTCTGGGATTTGCTTTGCTCACTTTTAAAGCTATAAAAATTACATTGCCCCTGGCTGCTTGTATGAGTAGGCTCTCCTGGCAGAAAGTGAATTGAAATGTAGAGGAAAACCCCATAGCTCCCAAATACTTTGACAGAGCCAAATAAAATACAAGGAAACCTTTATTTTCAACTTTTATCAAGATTTTTTTGTCTTTTTTCCAGCTGTTTCAGAGGACAAGTCCAGTCAGTTTTTGTATTAAAAGGATCTTGATGGAGGTAGCTGTGTCTGTCCTGACTTTTGCTTGCACTCGTCTTGGTAAACAAACTCAAAATAAAATTAAAATCAAGGAAGTGTGGGCCAAGGTGATGCGCGTCGCAGCCAGGTCTGTGTAACAGATGTGGCGCTGCAGCCTCCAGCAGTCACTATGTACAGAGTCCGTCCAATGTCCCCTTATCACACCCAAGTGCAATCCAAGTGCAACTGGCAGCTTATGGAGAATTGCACTTCTTCCTCTCTCCAGCCACATCCCCCATGCAGGGAGGACATCATCTGATCAGGAATGCCAGGCAGAGGGGGGGAAGGGGGTCAGAATTCAAACAAGGGTGTGTGTATGTCACTTCAGCTGAATCACTGGGTTGTCAGCACTGGGCAAGCGTTTCACTGCTGCTGAGCCACCTAGGGCAGAAAAAAGAGAGAGGAACAAGAGGTTCTTAAGTGCTGTGTATTTCCTGGTATTTCCTGCAGAACCCACCCAACCTGGGGCAGTCGCCAAGGGCCCCCTCCCCCCGGTTCGTGGCCAGGGTTAGGGTGGAAAGGGAAAGGGAGCAGGTCCGGATGCTTACCTGCTGGGGCGGTGGTGGCGGAGGAGGCTCACTGCTACGGTTTGCCAAGCGGCTGAGGATGTTGCGCTCCGACATCTGGAGGCGCACAGCCACTGGAGGAATGCGGGCAATTGTGGCGGGCAGCCGCGTCACATCGGCCTTCATGTCGCTCAGCAACTCCTCCAGCTGCTTCAGCACTGGAAGAAAAAAGGAAATTCTAGACTTACCTGTGAATTTGGTCTCCGTAAGGGGAGGGGGGCAGCTAGTCTTTGGGGAAAGCCTCTCCTCTGGGGACAGGAAGGCAGGCTCCAATTTTGGATTCAAGGAGGCAGGACAAACCCCACCCCACTACTCCCCAAACTGAGAATGCACCTAGGCCCAGCTAGAAACTAGCTATATAACCAACGGCTGAAATCTGAAACAGTTCTCTACATCTATATGGAGAGAGCACGACATAAAGGGTGGCTCCAGTCATCTCAGAAGCATGTTGCATTTGGGAGTCTACAAGGTGGAATAGCACCGCAGAATGGACCTAGCTGCCCTCTTTTCCTTGAGGAGCACAGAAATTCACAGGGAAGTACAGAATTTCCTCTTCTCAACCTTGGGGTGGGGAGGAGAGGGCAGGTAGCATTAGGTTGCTAAAAAGAGAGGTACCTGTCTGGAAACTGGCAACTACTGTACCCTGTCACTTCCAGAGGGTTTGCAGCCACATATGGAAATCTATCACCCAAAGACCATCTCAACTTAGGCAAAATGCGTCTTAACAGTGTCTGGTAAAGTCAGGCAACGAAACCCATGTGGTAATCGTTCATCTTTCTTAAGAGGAGAGCTCTCCCTGAAGGAGAAATAGTACCCCTTTACAGAAGAAGCAAAAACAGTCTTGCAAACCTGCAAGTTGCTGAAGAGTTCACTAGGTTGACACTTTCCAGTATGCCAAGGAAGCTGTAGGCACTTTCTTGCCCTAAGAAGTATTCTTGGTTGAGATAGGTAAGACCTCTACTGCTTAATGGACAGCGTGTTGTCTACAGAGTACTCAAAAGTCCTGCAGGCATCACATGTATTCCATGACGAACAAAGGTCTGTAGCAAAACCCTACCCACAGGAGTTAAGAGGTGTATGAAATTGGTCCCCGAGGGCTTGGGCAGATAGTGGAGATGTGATTTCGGACAGTAGTGGAGGAGTGTTACTAGCATGCTTGCAGAAGTCTGCCTACTGGGAGAGAATCTATGAGGATATTCACATTCCCTAGTGGAGAAGCAAAAGATCAATCTAATGAGATTTCCACGCAGCTGATTAAGAATCAACGTCTTTGTAGTGTTGAGATGGTCGTTGCCACACCTTGGGGATAATGCCAGAGAGATGGAGAACAGGTAAGTAGGTCATCCTTCCACTTTAAGACCACTGGGATCCTGGTGAAGACCAAAGAGTTTGGCATAAAATTTGTTATTATTGGTTCCTGCAGCTGAAACGAAAGCACCTGCATGTCTGCTCTTAAGGATGTGAAGGTAGGCAAGGATGTCACTGAGCAGGGATACACGGCCTCAGACAAAGAAAGGAGCAGATGAAACTTGTCCAGGAACTGCTTGCCATGCTTTAGTATCCAGCATAGTCAGTGTGTTTCACCATTTTTCTTCAGGACTATAAAAAAAGAAAACCATTTCCCCTTTCCGAGACAGAAACAGGTTTTTGGCCTTGGATTTCCAGCACTTTGGAAATCCAGTGATGTTTTGAAGGTACTATTGGATATATAGGAGATCCTCCCTAAAATCTGTGTCTCAGCATCTTGGTGAATCTTAAAGCATAGCTTCTGGAGATTAATTTCATTATCCATTGGTGATGGTTGTTCAGATGTCCATGAATTCCTTCAGGTGGCTTCCAACCATCAGGCTCTTGCAGGAAAAGGGGTGGGGCACAATAGATAGCCTAAGTTTGGACTTCCTTCCAGAGCTGCAACCCATTTTGGATTTCTTTAGATCTGCTATTGTGCCCATTTTAAGACATAAAAATAACAACAACGTGGTTTGGAAGATCGATTTGTGCACTATGAAGCTTTACTTTCTACTAAAGACTGCCTCCAGAGGCCTTAGACTTTGAATTTACACCTTAGCAAGAGTTCTTCAAGGCAGTCCTTTTGGAGGCCATGAATCTGTTACCTAGTTATGTAAGGGTCCAAAGATGAATCACCAAGAGACACTCCCACTGAAGGCAGCATTTATCTCTCCAAGCCATCCTTATCTAGCATCACAGAGACTCTTGAAAAGGTGGTTCTATAATGAACTCCGTGCAAGATTATCTTAGCACCATAGCTGAGGAACCCCACATTTCTGACAGGGGAGATCCAGACTTGTGCTTCTGCTCATCTATCAATCTGCTTCAGAAGAGCACTGCCTTGGAAGCAAGATCATTGTAGGGGGGTCCAACCTGGGAAAGAGTCTACTCTTGTGGGATGTCTTCAGCAGCTGACAGAAGCTCTCTCCTTTCTGGCCATATAAATAGTGCCTATTCCCATGGGCAATAATAAAAGAATGACCTGGAGCAGATGTGCTCCCTAGATGTACTGCACCTTCTACCTCTTCAGGGAGTGGCACTCCTGCCCCTGGAGCAGGTATGAGAAAAATGAGTACTATCACTTCTACCATGGAATGAGGGATTCCTGCTCCTAAACACTCTCTCAAGAGTGCATTTCTTTTTAGTAAGAGGCAGAAGAAACACTTTGATCCACTGCATAAAGGTGTGTGTGTCGGGGGGGAATGGTCTCCCCTTTAATGGGGAGGAGGGAAGAAATCAGGACCCTCCCCCTCCCGACACACCTTCCCTCAAAAGGATGGCTGCCCCAGGCAATGGAAGCATCTTTCCCAGAGTGGGCTCTGCAGTAGGGGGCCTTCCTTGGGAGTTGTTACCTGGCCTTCCTGTATTTCCACAACTGTTTTTGTGCCCTTTTGTTGAAGGGAGGCTATACTGCCTCCCATTGCATCCTCTCCATCAGGTAATGGATGTGAAGGAGAGAGGCCTGTGCTGCAGCAATGGTCGGCTGCAATCATATGATGGCACCAGTCCAAACATGTTCTCATTGGCCAGGCCAAAACATTCCCCTTCAGAACCAGTGGGATCTGACCTATAAACCCTGACCCATCTCTTGCTTCCTGCAGCAAAGTTAAGTCATCTTGCTTTTCGTTGCTTTGTGACTGCAAGACAACCAGGTTCTGCTGGAGCCTCCCCAAACCCAAAATCATTTGGGGATGTAAGGGAATTAAAGCTCCTCTTCCTCATTTTAAAATTGGAGTTTGCCTTCTGAACCTGGAGGAGGGTTTTCCCCGCAACACTAGCTGCCCTCCTCCCCTAGAAGAGAAAGAGAAGTTGCACATTTAGAAAGACACAAGCACTGGGAGGGGTGGAGGGAGGCGGGATGAGGTGGGGCGGGGGGAAGGGGCCAGTGGCACACAACAGAAGTCTGCCCTCACTCCATGTGATCTCCTGCCGACTCCTCACCTTTGTGAAGCACCGCGTTGGCTGGTTTGTTTCCAGCCATAGACTCCTTGGATAGATGCTGGTGGCTCTCAGCTAGGCACTCCACCTCAGCAAAACGGGTGTTCAGGGCCATGGAGGGATGGGATGGATCTTCTGACATGTTCAGGTAGGCAGCTCTCCTTAGCTGTTCTTCGATCACAAGTGCCTGCTCCAACAGCTGCAAAAGAATGAAAAAAACACAGGATCCTGAGTCCAACTCTTCAAACTGCTGCAAGGCTCTCTCCCAGAATAAGGGAGGCCTTTTCTCACTTGAGCCACGCAGCTTCCTCTGCAGGGTCTATGCCAATTGCTGACTCTTGTCTCGACATGCTTACGCACGGTACTAGAAAGATCAATAGTGTTGCCATAAGGAGAAATCTATCCATACTCTAAACTCCCTCAGAAATGGTGTACCACCACAAAGTTTATTGCAAGCCTATGAGGAATGGTTGCATAGCTTATGCAATCTTGTACTGCCACACAATTTATTCTTTAAACCAAAACAAAACCATGGGTTCAGTAGCTAATACTGCATGCAAAGAACCAACCCCTAGTGCCTATGCCAGCTATAGTACAGACTTGTACTGGTACAATTAGGTCAAGGAGATAAGAGCAGATTCACCCCTTTGACATCTGCAACAAAACCTGAAACAGAATACACAAGTTTGGAGAGACTTGTAGCTAAAGGCTAGCTGCAGAATTACCACTGTGCAACTGGGATCTATAGTTCAGTGTGTTGCTCCAGTTGTACCAGGTGCATATAGCATGAAGCCACTCAGCCTCTCAACAGGTATTTTGTTTGTTTGTTTAAGAAAGGTGCGATGGCAAACAGGCCTGCATATTTTAAAAAGCTTACTTATCTTGTGTAAAATATATATTGGTGTGAGTTTGTGGGAGAGACTGTCTCCATAAGAGCAGCTCAGGAGGATCTCCATTCAGTTTTGCTTCATGTTTAAATGCCATGACTTTCACAATGTTTAATTCAAATCCACAGAGATAATTCAGTATCTACAGAGTACTCTTTTCTTAATTAGAAAGCCTAGAGGAAAACACGCTACTTTGCTCATTGGAGAAAACTCAAGCCACCACTGATATATAGCATTTAATTCATAGCTTCTCACCTTAAACCTCCTGGCCAAAAATTTGTTCTTTATCTCCAGGAAGTTGCCCCTGTTCATTTCACCCTTGAAAGGCTCATTGAGGATGGCGTAACGAGGATCGTTCTGGATATCTTGCCAGCGAGCGTAACCGTGGCTGAAGTTGGCCAAGCTCAGAAAAAATAATTTTGGAAATGCCCTGTTCCAGCAATTGGCATTGCTTTTAACACTCATCGAGTGTCTTAGTGGTGATATTATTATTTATTACATCTCTGAAGACCATAGGGCAGTGTACAATATAAAAACACAAAAATACATACCATACAAACAACCCCCCCTGGAGTTTATAAGGCCTGAGTCTTTAATTAGCCAAAGGCCTGGGAGAAGAGGAAGGTTTCTGCCTGATGCCTAAAGATATGTGAGGAAGGTACCAAGCGAGCTTCCCTAGAGAGATTATTCCACAAACAGGTGAAGCCACCACAGAAAAGGCCATTCTCGTATTGCTGCCCTCCAGACCTCTCTTGGAGGAGGCACACAAAGAGCCTCAGATAATAATCACAGGGGCTGGGTTATTTCATTTGGGGAGAGGCGGTTCTTGAGGCATTAAGATTCAGTATTGAGAAAGTGTTCTTTTTTAAATAGGAAGAAGTCCCCTAGATTTTTCAAAAGATGCAAGTCATGTACCAGGCTCCCATAGCCCCAGATTTACGAAGCAGGTGCTAATGCAATCACCCTCCTAGCTGCTCACCTCCTTAGGTCAGCTTTCTTCCTCCTACTGCTCCTCCTGCCAAACCACTGCTGCAAAATTTGCTGGAGCATAGCCTGCCTGCACCAGAGAGCAGTTCTCTGTTTGGATGAAGCTACTAGACAATGGCAAAGTGGAGCTTGCCAGACAGAGCAGGCAGATTGCCTTAATAGATGATGAGAATGACACAGGAACAGCAGCAATTGCAGCAGGGCTAAGCAGGAAACCTGAACATCCTTCAGAAGCCAAGTGGCAAACAGTACAGTATCCTAATGCAAGCGAGTGCACATACATACGTTGGTATGTATTATTGCAACGTGCAGAATGCATTCATTCTGGGAGAGCCGGGTTCAGATATGTGAAAACCTGGGTTCAAATCCTGTTCAGTCAAACAACCACAGCATGCAAAATGTGGGGAGGTTGCTCCCATCTTAACCTACCGAGTAAAAATGTTGCAAGGCTAAAGTGAGGTAACTCAATGTACTGTGCTCCTTATCTTCTTGAAAGAAGGGTGGAATACGAATAGTAAGCGGCAGATGCAGTGGACGAATGCAGGCAAAGCTGCAATGGCAGCTTAGGACCCACTGAAGCCCTTTGCATGGGGCCACACTCAAAGTCTAGGGCTGGGCTAATCCTGAAGATGCTGGAGAAAGGATACTTTATGATTCCTGCCAGGAGCCAGTAGTCGTGGCGCCGGTGCCAGATCTCATAGGTCTTCTTGGTAACGGTAGCTGCTCGCTCTTCATTTTGCCACAGGGAGTGCAACTCTGCAAGAGGAAACAATGTCAGAAAATTATGTTCTCGTAACCGAGTGAGACCTCGCTTCCCCACAGTCCACAGCTGCACCCTCGGCCTGCCAGTACCAGTGAAGCCTCCGTCTGCAATGTTGAACATGAACCGCTGCTTCATGGCTTTCTTGTGCCGGTCTTCAGAAGGCTCTTTAAGTGTCTCCCCGTTCTGCAGCATCACGACATCCTTCTTGTCGTCTTCTTTCTTTTCCTCTGTTTAGGGGGGGGAAAGAACTTGCTGGTTAGTCCCCGGATCTCCGCAGCGACAGTATGCACAGCCAAGGCGATACCAGCCATGCCTAGAATGCTCACCCTTCTCCTCAAGGTTAATTGTTGGAGGCTCAGGGTTTGGCTCCGCAGGTGTCTTCTCTTCCACCTTCTCTATGTCAGCTGCAGGAGAGGAAGGTTTTAAGAATTGAATGCATCCATCCTGATTTAAGCAGTGGCTAATTCAGTCCCAACCAGGTTAATCTTGGTAGCCCTGTGAACTCTCCTTGACATCAACACCAGAGAGCCCCCCATGCTCTGGAATGCCATATGTCTTGCACATGCATCTATGAATTAACAGCCATACCTTTGCTTTCCGTTTCCATTGGCTCCTCTTTCACTTCTACTTCTTCTGGTTTTTTCTCTTCGGTTTCCACAGCATTCACAGGGGATTTAGCCTCCTGTGCAGGGGTCTCTGTTGCAGGAGGAGCCTGCTGAGTGGGCAAGAGAAAGAAAGAAAGAAAGAGGGGTGAGAATCTTACTCAGTGGAGTGTAAGAAAATATACCAACCCCTGTGGTCAGGTTCCACAGCACATTCAGCCACAAGAACAAATGACTCTCTCCCAGCCATGGACACTGTTCACTGCTTTACGAAGTTTTGCATTTTTAAAAACAAAGCATTTATCTTTCAAAATAGATGTCTCTCTTCAGAATCCTGAAGTAGGGGCGGAGGAGTAACTGATTAAAAGCCACATTTCCCTCCCTGTCTCCCAAAGACAATATGGCCAAGGAATAACAGCACTTGAAAGCTGAAGAACCTCAGTCATCAGCAGAGTATTCCAAAGATCAGAAGAAGAAATGCATTTATTTAGCAGCAACATGAAGAAAACCCTTGAAGCTCACCTCAGCCGGGGCTTCATTCTCAGCAGTGGAAGCAGCAGCAACAGTGGGACTAGTCTCCTTCTCAGGTTCTGTGGGCTCCCCTTGATCCTTGGTAGTGACCCCCTCTTCTGCTTTCACTACCTCCTCTATAAATCAGTAGGGGAGAAAGCAGAAGCAGCTTTCAGCACACACCACTTGGGACTCAGAAAGTCTTTGTACTCTGATCCCCTGGAATGACCCTCCTCCCATGCAGACAATCCACATGTCCTCTTGCGCCTTTGAGGGCTAGGCTTAGCTCCAGGAAGCCCTCCTAAATTAAGAGTTGGTTCGATCTACGTCCACCCCAAGTCCTCTGTCACAGCTGGAAAGAGGAGCAGCATTGAAGGCTGGACGGGGCTCTTTTAACAAAAACACAAACGCAGGGTTCTCACCAGGTGGAGGAACAGGGGCAGGGGTATTAGGCTGTGTGTCTCCTGGCGTAGAGGGAGTTGGGGTCTTGGGGGAAGGTGAGCTGGGCTGCAAAAGCTTCTTGTTCTCCTCTATCTCTGCTAGCTCTGGCATACTCCAGCGTCCATTCACATGCTCAAACTCTTGCACCTAATGGGATGGGGACATGGAAAACACATTTTAGTCGTTCCAAGTCAAAACCAATGAAGTGCATCAGTGTCCTTCTGAACTCCGAAAATAGAAACTGGGAGGCAAAAGGGATCACCGATTAGTCCATCCAATGCATATAAGAGGCTAGGTGCCATCTAGAGGTCTCTAAAAATTTTGTTTTAATACCCACCTTCTTGCGTATGAGAGACATGACCCCTATTCGTGTGAGGACGTGCTGTCGGGACAGGCCCTCGCGTGGGACACCATCAGCAAACGTTTCTGCACCGTCCGCTCCTGGCTCACACAAGTGGCGCATGAAGAGAGAGACGTAGGCCCTGAAGGAGGGAAGGGAGCATTAAAAAGACTGGTAGCCTCATGACAGCATAAACCCTCGAAGCAAGTAATTCCCCAGCAAGACTCACAAGTAAAGTGTGTGCAAGTTCTCGACCAGCAATCTCCCTTATTCCACTCAAACTAGCTTGGTTTCCAGAGACTGTCAAATTCCATCATTCCCCAGACCAGACACGGCTAAGCAAAGTTTGTTCCCCTAATTCCACTCTTTCTTGGGCATTGCAAGTTATGCCTCCTCCAACCAGCACGCCAGACTCACTTAAACTCCTTTTCTGACTTCCCACGCAGGTCCCGCACCAGCCACTGGGTAGTAAAGGCATCCTGAGGTGGCATCCCATAGCGCATGATGGCATTGAGGAAGGCCTTCCGCTGGCGAGCATTGAAGCCCAGAACCTGAACAGGAGAAAGAGAGGGGAAAAGCTTAAATAATGCAGCAGCAGCAGCAGCAGCAGCAGCAGCAGCAGCAGCCCCACCCCTCCCCAAGCATAGAGGCTCAAGTCTTCCACAAAGGATCTGATTTTGTTAATTTGGAAGATTTCTATGCCAAACCCTCAGTATAAAACTCTCAGAATTTTGGGAGTATAAAACTCTTAAGAATTACCTCAATGTTGCCTCCCACACGAGCAAGGAGTGGGGGTAGGGGCTTGTCTTTGTCATTCCTCAGGCCTTTCCGACTAGGCCGGCGAGCAGCTGGCAAGACAGAAAAAGGGAGAAGTAGCAGTTTAAGACAGTATATTGAATCAGATGGAGTTTGGTATGCAAGGAAAAGCATAGCAATCATATAAAGAGCTTCCAATCTGTTTCGCTTATTCAATTTATAACTGGCCTTTGCTCCAAGGAGCTCAAGGCGGGATGTTTCTCAATGAACCCTAACAATTATTAAATCCCAGCAGCCCTCTAAAGTTTGTGAGGCTGAGAGGTCACAGTTGGTCAAAGGTCACCCAGAGAGCTTCATGGCCGAGTGGGTGGTCTCTCTAGTTCTGCCCTGACACTCTACCCCACTCTAGCTCAGAGCATCTCCTTATTGCGCTTTCCCAGAATCAAGGAGTCCAAATGCACAACACCTCAACATACCTTCCGACCTCTCATCAAAATCTTCATCACCTTCCTCAGAGGCTACAGAGTAATCAGACTGATTATCTGACTGGTCATCCTGCCAATCTGGAAAAAGAACAGAATGCCCAAAGTAAGTTGCCTGGGAAAAACCCAACCATTGTTTTTATAAAGCCGCTTCCTCCTATCTCACGCACGCACAACTACCTCGGTCTTCCTGCGAGCCATCGTTGTAGTTGACCTGCTTGCGGATGCGTTTGCCCTTGCCCAGATTCCTGGCCAGGTCTTCCTGCTGCTGCTCATAATGGTGACGAAGCAGCTTTTCCCAATAGTCTGGATCCACAGACTCCTCTTGTTTGATAATCTCCCGTTCAACCTCCTCTTCCTCCTAACATAGGAAAATTAGAAAAATGAAGAGGCAATCCTCAGCATACTTACTCAGAAATCCCAATGCCTTCAAGTAATGCTTTCACCCTAGTAAGGAGGTTTAGGATTGAAGCTTCAAACCCATGCTTGCTCCAGAATTCCATCCTCTAGCCACCAGCAGTGAATACCTTTGCATCAAGAATCCAGTGAATCAGAAAGCAGGCGGTCAATTCTCACTTACCCCCATTTCCTCTTCACGCACCACATACTGGGCCACCTTGAAGGAGCTCAGGTACTCATTCATGCCCTGAAGCTCAGCATCCTCTGTCTCATCCTGGTTCCGGTCCAGTAGGCGTTCAATTGCCTTATCGTCATAATGGATGACACTGCCATCCTCGTTTTCCTTGATATCACCTGGAGGAGGGGGGGAGGACAGTCTTGCTGTAATCAAGGAGTTGTTGGGATAGCTGAAAGGGGACAGAGCAAAAGCTCTAACTAAAGGAAAGTTAATCACTTCACTCACATTGTGTCACATTACGTAGATTCTTGCCACTTTCAGTGGCTTCGTCTTTGAAAAGCTCTTCAGTACCAAACTTGAGGATGTCATCCAGTTCCTGTTTAGACATAGAACCAGTCTTGGAGCCTAACCCTGGCCTCACAACCAAATGGGTCAACATCATTTTCTTCTTGGCCACTTGTGTGATCCGTTCTTCCACAGAAGCTCGTGTGACAAAGCGATATATCATCACCTTCCTGTTTTGTCCAATTCTGTGAGCACGGCTGAAGGCCTGAGAGAAAAAGGTACTCTTTCAGTCTTCATTCATTAAACTCCCCCCTTTTGCTGTCTTTGGGTCCTTCCATTTCCTTGCCTTCCTAAAGCAGTCCTATCCCATTGCCCACTGCCACATTAGTATGCCTTCCAAGCCATTTCAAACCACAGCTTAGCATTACAAGAATGATCCTAGGCAAGTTTTGGGCTTTCACACCTCCTGTAGAATAGCAGGAGTCTGAAAGGTTTTACTTTCGCTTTATACTAAACGCGGATGGTATAGCCATCGAACCCCCTTGTAACTTTTTCTTCTTTTTAATGGGGACCAATAGAGTGTGCTTTTACTTCAGAGTACTTTCAAAAAAGCTCAGGATTCTATTCATCACATGGTTTCCCAGTTGACTCTTTTAACAGCATTAAAGTCAATCCCAAGCTATATACAGCATATTCTGCTCAGCTTTCCCGCTTCCTAGCCTTTGTATAACTTCAGTTCCTTCTGATTCCTCCCTGTTCTTTAGCCATATCCCAAAAATATCCCCTTGCATTCTTTTTATCCCTTATTTGAACCTGGATAGCTCAGTTGGTTAGAGCGTTGAAAACGCTGAGATTGCAGGTTCAATCCCCATATGGGACAGTTGCATATTCCTACATTGCAGAGAGTTGGACTAGATGATCCTCAGGGTCCCTTCCAACTCTACAATTCTATGAAACACCAAGTCCTGTCACACTCCTGGGCAATAACCATGGAACGTACCAGAATACATCCCTTGATTTACCTTCAACTTGGGTGTTCTGGAAGGAGAAGGCCATGTTTACAATCAAGAGCAGGTGGCCTTGCTGCTGACAAACTGCGGTAACTCTTAAGTATGGTTAGTTGAAACAAACCAGTTTCAAATCAGTTTATGAACTAGCTGTTTTCGCTAGCATAGCTGAGATTAACCACAGTAAGCTATAGTTACTCTAAAATGCAAGTGGCTGCTTCCAGATTCCTCCTCAATGTTGCAATGGAGGGTGGGTGGGGGGGAGATTTTTATTTTGCTGCTCAAACTCACCTGAATATCATTGTGTGGATTCCAGTCAGAGTCATAGATTATCACGGTGTCAGCAGTGGCGAGGTTGATGCCAAGCCCCCCAGCTCTGGTGGAAAGCAGAAAACAGAACTGTGGAGCACCAGGAGCTAGAGATAAATGAGACGAGATACTGTCAGATATCATATACTTGGATCATCCAGACCTTCATTTTCACCATTCTCCAAATAGAGCAGGGATACTATAAAGCGTAATCACAAAGAATCCTGTGTCACCTTAAAGGTTAATCGATTTGTTATGGTGTAAGCTTTCATGGACTACAGTCCGCTTTATCAGGTGGTGGTGGACTGTAGTCCATGAACGCTTATATGCTAACAAATGTGTTAGCCTGTTACAGCAAAGAGGTCTTGTGACAGCTCAAAGAGTAACACAGCTGCCCTGCTAGTAGTTGTAAAGGGTGAATTGACATTTTTAGCAAAGTATGAAAGAGGAACCCTGGTTCCTGCCAAGGCTAACTGTGCCTGCCATTATGTAAAAAGGTAAAGGTAAAGGTACCCCTGCCCGTACGGGCCAGTCGTGTCCGACTCTAGGGTTGTGCGCTCATCTCACTTAAGAGGCCGGGAGCCAGCGCTGGCCGCAGACACTTCCGGGTCACGTGGCCAGCGTGACGAAGCTGTTCTGGTGAGCCAGCACCAGCACAGCACACGGAAACGCCGTTTACCTTCCCGCTATAAAGCGGTACCTATTTATCTACTTGCACTTAGGGGTGCTTTCAAACTGCTAGGTGGGCAGGAGCTGGGACCGAAAGATGGGAGCTCACCTCGCCGCGGGGATTCGAACCGCCGACCATACGATCGGCAAGTCCTAGGCACTGAGGTTTTACCCACAGTGCCACCTGCATCCCATTATGTACTCTGTCTCATAACATACCGTTGAAGCGATCAATGGCTTCCTGACGCATATTTCCTGTGATCCCACCATCAATTCTCTCATACTTGTATCCTTCGTGTTCCAAGAAGTCTTCCAACAGATCCAACATTTTAGTCATCTTTGGGGGGGGAAAGACAAAGAAAAGAGTTGGAGTAAAAATGCACAAAATGCAATCAGCTAACCCATCACCATCTGGAAAAATTTCCCCAATACACAATAGCTCTTGGTTACCTGAGAGAAGATCAGCACCCTGTGACCTCCCTCCTTGAGGTTCTTCAACATCTTCTGGAGCAGAAGCAGCTTCCCAGAGGCCCGGATTAGGGCACTACCATCATACATGCCGTTGGGCATCTTTGGTGCTTCCTGCATGAAAAATTGAAAAGGGGGGTGAAGAAGGGAGGGAAAGTATTCTTCAAATTGTTGGTCCTGACCATTAATGATTCACAAGTGTCAAACAGCTTAGCTTACCCTGTAGGGACTCCAGCAGTCTTATCATGTATTCCTTCCACTTCATTTTTCTTACCTATGCCTCTCTAGCAATTCTCCCTATTTTTTTGCAGCTGCCCTGTAGGGACTCCAGCAGTCTTATCATGTATTCCTTCCACTTCATTTTTCTTACCTATGCCTCTCTAGCAATTCTCCCTATTTTTTTGCAGCTGCCCTATTATTTCCATACAAAAGGCAGCATAGCAAGAAACAGATGGCCTATTACTTAATAAATTTCCTGCTCTGTGCCAAAGACTGTGCCATCTCAGTCTTTTGAGATGATCATCAAGTTATAAACTTCCCTCCAATTACTACATTCAAAAGCTAATGATGTGGCAACTGCTGCTCACAACCATGCCCTCAAATGATAGTTGTGCTTCATAAAACCAATACCATATGACAATATTTAAGATCAGGATGAAGGTTTAAGCAGGAAAGGGAGATAAAACAACAGGGCCATTCCCCAGTGCTTAGACAATTAAGAGCGAAGTGTATAGAGCACTTGAAAAGGAAATTCTGGGAGACAGAACCTACCATGGCAGCTACAGGAAAGAGATAGGGATGATTGCAACATTTCTTCAGATCCATAACCACATTGAGTAGAGAAACTTGGTTGCCACCACCCCGGGCATTCAGTGCTTCAAAGTTCCTTGTCAGGATATATTTGTAGTACTTTCTGTAAAAATATGAATATTCACATTGCTGATTACTTATTTCTTAGGTCTGCTGCAAACACTTCGCTTCTACCTCAGAACTATCTGCTGAAGCACAGGTCCCCTCCCATTCTCCCACCTTGTACTCAGAAGCAGTCAGTACAAGTCTACTTTATGCAGCTGATCAGCATGAGAGACAAACCAAGAACAGGAAAGTGAGCATATTAGAATTCCAGCACCCTGAAGCATAGGCTAAACCATGTTAATGTCAAGATACTCAGCTAAAGGAGTAAAGGACTATCCTCCCACACTCACTTCTGCATAGGACTTAATTCCACTCTGACAATAAGCTCTGTCTTAGAAGGCATGTTCTTGAAGACATCGGCCTTGAGGCGCCTCAGCATGTGTGGGCCCAGCATATCGTGAAGTTTTTTGATCTGATCCTCCTTGGCAATGTCTGCAAACTCTTCCAGGAAGCCTTCTAGGTTGCTATGAGGGAAGTCAGACAGACAGTCAGGAGAAATTAAAAAGCCACAACAAGAAACATGGGAACAGCAACCCAACAGGGAAGCTGTGCTTGAGTGCACACTGCAGGACTTACTGAAATCTTTCTGGCGTCAAGAAATTAAGCAGGTGAAAAAGCTCCTCCAAATTGTTCTGCAGGGGTGTCCCTGTGAGTAGCAGCTTGTGCTGAAGAGAGTAGCCATTCAACACCCGGAAAAACTGAAGGAAGTGTGAAGGGCACAGCAAGAAAAGGAAAGATAGAAAGTCAACCAAATTCACAACATATTTCCAAACATACAGAGATCTGCACAGAAGGAGACTAGACACCGATCGTGTAATCTCTAAGCAAGTTCTCAGCTTTTGTAAAACTACAATAACCTATCAACAATTAAAGGACTATGCAGGCCAGCCTGAGGAGCATCAGACTGTTCCAATACAACACAGAAAATAACAAATATGAGACTAACATGAAGTTTTAAAAAAAACAAAAACAAAACAAGCATGTTCAAATAAGGCACTGTTCATCCCTCTTTTAAAACAAGAACAATCCTTAATCATAGTGCACAAAATTAGGAGCTGCTTCACAGCAAACATAAAAGCAGTTCTTGAGGGTTAATAGCTTCCTCATACAGGGGTGCACACACCTATATACATACAGTGTAAAAATGCTGCTTGTGTCAAGTCTTCTGAAAAGTTTGTTAACATTGAGAAAGCAGTGTCTAATCTTGGCAAGCCCCTCTAATCAGTCATAAAACATGGGAGAAGGAATAAAGAGTTTACAGATCCAAGATAAATTTCTCCCTACCTTTGACTGGTTATTCTTCAGTCTGTGCGCTTCATCCACTACAAGGCAGGCCCAGTCAATGGAGCCTAGAATGGCCATATCAATAGTGATCAACTCATAAGAAGTGAGCAATACATGGAATTTCACAGATGCCTCTTTCTGCAAGGATCAGAAGTTGCACATTAGGGAAACAAATAGCAGGAAAGGTATAACGACAGGCCAGACCCACACTCACAAAAACCTAGCTTTCCATCATTTGAGATTACTTGGCATTCAATGCTTCACTCAGGAACCTGCAACATTACAAAGTTCTCAAGAGAGGCACTAACTCCGATTAGTTTGCTGTAATACCTTCATCTTGAAGGCCTTCTTTCCCCCACGAATAGCATTATCTTCAAAGGAAAATTCATTTTCACGGATAATGGCCCGGCTGTCTTTGTCCCCCACGTAAGTCACCACATACATGTCTGGGGCCCACATCTCAAATTCTCTCTCCCAGTTGATGATGGTGGACAATGGAGCGCTCACCAAGAAAGGTCCTTTAGAGTGTCCCTATAATCAGACAAATCTGATGTTAAGACACCAAGAAACAGACTTCTGGAATAAAGATATATATGTGCGCATGTCAAGTTCTTCTGGAACCTCACCTCTTTGTAAAGAGAATACAGAAACACAGCTGTCTGGACAGTCTTTCCCAGACCCATTTCATCTGCAAGAATGGTGTCTGTGCCCTGAGCCCACGAGAAACGCAGCCAGTTCAGACCCTCAAGCTGATAAGGATGCAGGGTTCCTCCAGTCACATCCAAGTAATCAGGCTGTCTATCATACTTCACGGTTGGCTGCAGAGATGGAGAAAAACAATTGAAAATGTTCAGTTTCTGCTACTGCTGCTATTAGAGAAAGCTAAGTCTTGCCTAATTGGATAACATGTAATATCTCAGCCTAGGGCTCAACACCAAGTTTTAAACTGACTGCATGGCACATGTTTAAATTTTTTTAAAAAACAACAACACCTTATCTAAGCAGGGTTCTACGTGCTCAATGTATGTATAAACATTAAAACAGGCCATTCGCACACCAGCTTTGTGCAGCTTTTAAGCTACATACCTCATACATGCATACCATTTCATGCAGAGGTGCAAAGCATATTAAGGCCACATCAAGGGTAACCTATATTTTATTCAAACCTCTACTAGTGAAAATTGTTTGGGGAGAACAGGATATGGGCAAAGCGGGCAAGAACTAAGGGAGGAACACAATTCAAAAAGGAAGCTTGTTGCTTCCTTTGAAAAGTCAAGAGTAATTTCCTCAGGCAGGAATGGTGTGAGTTCTGTATAGCATAAGACTGCCGTACGTCCTGGTTTTCCCAGACATATCCGGGATCCCGCTCCTGAAAATGGGTGTGCAGGGGGAATTTTCAGAACTCGGCAAAATTTCTTTCTCAGCGCAGGGCTGGCTCACGCCAGCTGCCTCCCTCCCCAGTGCCCTCCAACAATGCACCCTCTCTCTCCCTCCCTTCCATCCAGTCTCTCTCTCTCTGCGTCTGATGGAGATGTGCCCCGATGGTGGTGGGTGAGTGTCCAGGTTTTTGCTCTTTGGAATATGGAGACTCTAGTATAGCACCTAGTGGACTTCTGATACTACACAAAAAAATTAGTAGCCGCAGAGGATGGTAGCTCAGTAGACAAGTTTCTTTGCTCTGGTGAATATTACTTTATCTTTGTACAGCAGTATATTCCCTCTTTACAGAAGGTTGGTGAACTAGATTGTGCGCCTGCATTAGCCCTCTTCCACCCATGGCAAAAAAAGGCAAACTGCTCCACCTCACTGTCTTCGGCCTGAGCTACTCTTGGGGTGCCAACTTGAATAAAATAATCGATCACAAGACACAGCACACACCATTTGAGTGGCACTGCCCATCAACTTGGGAGGGGGGGCTCAAATATTGTATTCGGGGAGGGGCGAAGAGACCTCATTCCCTAGCAGCTGGCTCCTATGCTTCTGCAACTTAACACCATCAAAACTGGTCCAGGACAAAGATTCCACAGAATGCTTAAAAATTACAAAGGATTGCTTTGGTGATCAAAAGCATTATAGATACGTAGTTTTCGCTCCAGCTACAGAACATAATGTCTCCGCCCGTGAACATACAAACTGCAGGACCATCACGTCCTTTCCCCTTCTTGCGTCTCCCTCCCACACCCCTCAAAGCCATTAACTCACATCCACTGTTGGTGTTTCTGGGGGCCTCTCTAATTTCCGCAACTTCACTTTCTTTATCTTTTTGCCAGGTCTTCCTTCTTCACCCCTCATCAATTCCCTGTGCAAGAAAAGAGGCACACAGGTTGTATAGACTCTGTACTTCCAACACAGCAGATGCAAAGAAGAAGAAACTCTTCCAGATGAAGCACCCCAGGGCTGAGTAGAGTATCCTTCTCCTTTCAGAGAGAAAGCTACAAAGATCTTAGGATAACTATGCTTCAATTCACATTACCAACTCAGCTGGGCTTTTCTCTCATCTGACCCATTTATCAAAGAATGAAATCCATGCTCACCTGTGGTTCCAGTATGCCGCCTTGTAGATATCGTAATCCTGTACCTCTGCCTCCTCATTCTCCCAAGAAGCCTGGTCATATGGTAGATCCCTCCATTTGATAAGGTAGTGAACATTCCCCTTCTTATCAATGCTAAAGGAAAGAGAGATTAAATGAATATCACAGTCTATGTAAAGTAGTAAAGGATGAAAACTGCATATATTGTTCCTGTCCCCCCCCCCCCCCAAATACGGTTAATGAAGGGAACCAGAGGAGGCAGAGAAAAGGAGGCTGAATTGTGTGTTTGAATTTCTTGGTTCTTACTGATTTTATCTTGGTTGGTGTTGCTGCTTTTATATTATTCTTTACATGTTTGTGTGAGTGTGGAAAGACAATATATAAGGTAAGGTGTGTCTTTACATTCATTTGGCTAGAGACAAATGGAATTATTTCTCCTTTTTGAGTGTTTCAGGACCTTTTAGAGTCACTTTCAACTCAGGAATGTTCAACCATTCATGTTTCAGAGACTGAGGCAATCTCAACCTCTTTCCTCACCTGTGGTTGAGAATCCGATGGATCATCATCCATTCTGGCTTGATTCCATAACGGTAAAAACGCTCCTCCATCTCTGCAAACTTTGGGTCCTTGTTCTTACGTTTACGGCTCTTCTCTTCTTCTCCCATAAAATCTCCTGCAGGAGGTTCATCCATATCATTTTTACGCTGGTAATTGCGAAACAGGACCTGGCAATGCAGCTCCAGCTGAGGTACAAACAGATGCAGTTACACACCATCCTGACATGGGGTTAGCCAATTTCTTTTGCTCTGCTTCTAGTAAAGATGCCTTTTGCTTACCTGTAGTTCAGACACCCAAGAACAATGCCAGTAGGACATGCCCTGCCACTTGACAAAGAACTGTCGCTCGGGTCTTCCCTCCAGGGGCTTCGGAGAAGGTGCATTTGGGTCTGCATCAGCCGGTCGTGGCACCGGCGTGGCTGGTGGGGGCTGTCCCCACTTCCAAGTCAAGATCTTCTGCACCTTACCCTTCAAAGATGGACACTGGAGAAGATGGACCATGGGATTAGAAATCAGTCCCCACCACAGCTTTTGAACAGCATTGTATCCAATCTGCTTCATATTTAGAATCATAGAGTCATCATAGAGTTGTAAGGGACCACAAGGGTCATCTAGTTTCCCCAGACATATGCAGTGCAGGAATACTTTGCCCAACATGGGGCTTGAACCCATGACTGTGACAACAAGAGCCTCCTGTCCTACTGACTGAACTACAAAGGTTCCAATTATTTTCTTTATAAATTGTAGATTGGCTGCAAGATGGGAAATGCAGGTGGATTGCACCAGGCGTGGGAATACAACCTAGACATAACAGATGAAGATGCCTGGGCTAAAAGACACGTGAGGCTTCCTATAAAGAACATTTTGGCCAGAGTCCAGGAGGCAGTGCTGAAGGTAGTGTTTTGCTGGTACTGAACTCTACAGTTCTATGATTCTGTAAGAGAAAGACCCTCATACATTTATGGAGGGAGTATGACAAGCTTACTGGATTTTATGTTGTTTCTAATATTTATGGGTCAACCATTGAACCCAGACCCTGGACCTATCACAAGATGCTAATCTAAACTCTCCCTTTACACACAAGGACCTAACTTTGTTTTTAAATACTTGGCAAAAACGGATTCCTATTGCAGAAGATGAACATAGTGCTAGCTCACTTTTTAACCACAAAAAATTAATCTGCCTGGAGAGTAGGATCCAAAAATGTACTCAAGTGCTTTTCAGAGCAGGACTTCAGCGTGAGCTATCTTGATTCAAATGCTATCTCACTCAGGGGACTCCCACAAACTCAGCTTGTATTTCCCATTTGTGGAAGAGCACAGGAACTCACAGTACAACGCGGGCAAAGCCATTCTCCGTTCGGAATCTCTGGCAAAGGTGGATTCAAACAGTGGATGTGGTAAGAAGAAGGACAGGCATCGCAGCAGAGCAGCTCTCCTCCATCTTTGCAGACACGGCAGAACTCCATGTGGTGATCATCCTCCTCCTCTGCATCTCCCACAGCATCCTCCATGGTCTCTTCACCCTCAGAATTATCTTCTTTAGCCTCCCATTGGATACCCTCTTTCTCCTATAGGGGAGGGAATCTGTTAGACCAAGATGCTTGAAGTCCCTCAAGCTGTCTTCCTAACCCTGCATTCCCAGGCCTCTAGCTGCGTCATAGAACCCAAAACTCACACAGTGCGGGCAACTCCACTTGCCCTCTGGCGCTTTCTCCATATCTGGATCCAGACAAACCATGTGATAGGCACGAGGGCAAGTGTCACACAGGATGATCTCTCCCCCCTGTTGGCACACCTCACAGTAGTCTTGGTGGTCCGTTTCGTAGCCATCAACAGTTGCAGCAGAATCCTCTTCTCCTAGCAGAGCAAGGTAGTGGAGAAAGCTTTTAAACAATTAAGCAAGCAGCAGGTTCAAGCAACAAGGAGGATACTCCAATCTCATGCCACAGAGCAGTATCTAGATAGCAAAAAATTATTATTTAGAGAGCACAGCCTGGATATCACTATTGTATCCCAAGGGTCAGAGCAGGAAAATGGCTATGGGTGTACCATAAAAAGACGTAACACAAACTTTAAGTTTTCCTCACAGCGTGTCTTGTCCCGTCGGAAATCCCTCAATCTTTTAAGTCTGCAGAGTTTGACTTCTTCCCTAGGTACGCAATAGCAAATATTTTATACCAATGGTCCCCAACCACCCTCCAGACACTTGCAATCATGAAATCCCTGCCCCTGAGCACACACTTTCCACACAGCTCCCGTATGAGCCAAGCAGAGCTCAGTACCTTTCTTTTTCCTCTTTCCTGCTTTTAGTTTCTTGCGGCTGCGGCTGCTGCGACTGGTAGAGCCATCTGACACAGAGTAGCTGTTGATGCTTGCATCATCAAAGTCTGACTCAACATCCAGGTCGTCATCCTCACTCTGGAGGTACAAAAATAAATAAATACTGTAAAGGAATATGAAAACTTGACTTTGTGACCCAGTGCTATTGAGGCTGCCCCACACAAACCCACACACCCATATCCTGCAAGAGACAATGTGGCTAAGAGAAAATTCCCACCCTCTTACCAGAAAAAGAAAAACTCACAGATGATCTTTTACGCTTGGAGCCAAATCCTCCCAGCTTGATTTTCAAGGGTGCCACCTTCTTGGTTTTGGGTTTTTTGATCTCAGGAACACGAGGACTAGCCTTGGGTTTTTTTCGGGCATTGGGACCTAGAAAACAGACCATCATCACCCCATTATTAAATGGTACCTAGATCCCAGCTGAGCTGTGCTTTAAAGGGAAATGTAAAATCTTGTGAGAGATTTCCAGGAGTGAATTAATGGGTGCCCTGCAGTACAGTTGATCAAAGTTGCTAGAAGAAGGTACAGAGCTTATGAACCCCTACCTCCCCCCCACTCATCATCACAACAGTCCCCATATGATCACCTCACCTTTGCCTTCCTTGGTCTTCGCCTTCCGAAGCGGGACTTCAACTGGGGGCTGAGGAACAACTGTATCCACGTTAGCCACCATGCTCTCCACCACAGCCACAGCAGCAGCTGCCGCAGCTGCCACAGAGGCCCCAGAGCTCCCTTTAAAGGGGTTGTTTGTGCTAAACTCTCTCCACTTGGCCCCAAGCACCATCATCATTTTTGAGACAGCAATTTTGGGATTCTTAGCAGCAATAAGTGGCCTACATGGGGGAAGAAAAAGAAAAGAGCACTGCTGGATGGTCTGGACTTTGGGAAGCTCAAACTTGACAACCTATTCTTAAGACTGTTAGCCCCTCCCATCGCCCCTGAAGCCAACTAACACATGGGAGAAGAACATTTTCTAGTATTCCTAGAAAAGCTAGGTATGTTCCTAAGTCCCCAACTCTGCCACAAACCGAAGATTTTTGAGGCTAATTACTTAGGCTCTCCATTTATGTCTTCCATCCTTCTATGGGTAATAGTTAACATGCAAATCTATACATGCTTATTCAGAAGTAAGCCATATTGAATCCAGTGAGGGTTAGGATTGCAGCCTAACCCATTTCCTACAGTAATCCAACAATTCTGTAACACCAAGTGCCCAAGCCTGGAACACTGTGATAATTTATATAGCATTTTCGATATAAAAACATTCATGGAAATTCACATAAATTATCTCAATAATTCTTACAACTGCCTTGTAAGCCAAGCAGTATTATCCCCTGCTTTAGATGAGGTGTCAAGGCAAAGAAAAAGTAGCATGCCTATTTGCCATTCAACAAAAAACTAAACCAGAGACTTACAGATAATACACTTCAATATCTCATCGTCTGCTAGATTATTAAGTCTTTCTTGCCCTGCATTCCCAAGATATGAAAAGACTGAACGACGCACCTGACAAATTGGCTAAAAGCCTTGTAATTGGTAAGAGTGCGATAATCCTCCTCTGTGAAAACATGATCAATATCCTCCATGCCCCAATCCTCTAGAAGCTGGGCAGAAGACTTAGGTTCCTGGAGAAAGGGACAGGGAAAAGTTGCTAGTTAAAAAGATACTAGTTTCAACAAGGAGACACTTTCCTGCCATGAGCAGGAAGCTTGTCAAAGAAAGGCAGGATCAGCAGGAAATTATAGAGGACTGGGCCAAAAGGAAGACGAACCCAAGACACACACACCTACCCTACAAAAGCAGGACAGGGAATTCCCTTAGACCCCCAAGAAGGAAAACATCACCCTCTTTTAGCAGCACCTTGTGTTGTGCCCACCCTTCCCTCCCAAACCTAAAGTACAAAAACAAGTAAGATAAGCAAGGGTAACCACTATAGCAGCAGTGGAATTATGTGTTCATGTGATTTAATGAGCCATTCTGGATCTTCTCACCTTGGAGTCATCATCTTCATCCTCCTCTTCTTCCTCCTCCTTGCGCTTGGCTTTGCTCTTCTTTTCCTTCTTAGCCCCAAGTTTCTTCTTCTTCTTCTTCCCAGGGGTATAGTCACTTCCCTCACTGTCGGAGCGCAGCAGCACCTCCTCCTCCTCCTCCACAAATTCATTTCCTTCACCAGAACTGTCTCCAAGCTGGAGGGGGAGGGAAGAATTAAAGCACATAAATCAGCACCCAAAAAATGTTCTTTCTAAAGGGAAGCAAGACTGTAATATAATCAACATGCAGACCCATCTGTACATTAAGCTGCTTTTCTCTCCCTCATCCCCAAGTCCTACTCTATTTCTTACCTCTTTTTTCTGGCGCTTACTAAGCTTGGGCACTTTAGGTTCCTTCAGCTTCTTGGGTTTCTTCTTCTTCTTGATTTTTGGCAGTTCTGCCTCTGATAACAGCTCTTCCTCTGGCTCTTCTTCCGGCTCTGAGGGAAATTATGAAGGCAGCAGGGGTAACTAATCATTTTCCAATGCCATTGACACAGACTACACTCCACTTGTACTTAGTCCATTGTTGCTTTGCCACACTCCCAAGTTAGACCATATGCAATAGGGTCACTCATCACCTTTTTTTTTTTTTTAACTGGGCCCATTTCTACCCCCATTGTCTTTCCCATGGGTGTGATTCCAGTGTTCCAACCTCCTGCTATTGCACTGAAGTAACTACAGACTGGAGTACTAGTCCAAAACTGGCGTTAACAGATTAAAGAGAACAAGGCATCTCTGATCTCCTCCCAAAAATCATATACAGGGAGGCTTCATTGAAAGAAATTGGAAGCTCTTCCTATACCAGTTTTCTCCTGTATCCTCACAAACCTAATGCAACTCAAAGAGAGGGAGGGGGTCCTTTGCCCAGGGGCATTCAACCCATCTTAGGTCTCATCTCACCTAGTGAATGAGGATGGTGCCACCTGCTTCAAGATTTTTCCAATGCACCAACAAAGACTAAGTGTCTTCATGCATCTCCCTCTACCTCTTGCTTAGTGAAGTTATTCCATATGGAAGACATTTGTTTAGTCCAGCACCAGAGCAAAATACAGACTAGGAACAGTACTGGCTTTTAATGCAACTGAATAGCAAAGCACTACCCCCTTCATCCCTTAGCATGTTGTTTCAAATGAAAAATCTGAATCTGCAAGCAAGAACTTGAAGATACACCTGCTAGATAATGATCAGGGTACAACAAACATTCTCTCCCACTTTCCTCAAAATCCCCCTGAAGAAACCTTCATAGCTAACAGCAAACTCAACAGGATGCTGCTTCGACTCTCCCATCCTACCTAGACTGAAATGGAGGTTCTGAGTACTAACAATCACCAGGTGCTAACTCAGGTGCCAGCCCTCTCACAACTCACAAATCACCTCCTCGCTATGCAAATGCAAGCTTTAACTCATTCCCTCTCCCCCTCTCATGTGGGTGCACGCGCATGCATGCACAAGCACGAGCATGCGTACACACACACACACACACACACACACACACAGAAACATGTCACTCCTTAACCCGACAGACCACACTCCCATCTGTTCTCCAACCCCCAACAGCCCAGAGGGGCACAGCCAGCCGGCAGCTTCCTTTGTGACAAGATCCACAGTAACCAGCCATTCTCCCTCCCCTCCCCCCTCAGCAGCCACCCCCGCCCATTACACGCAGCCAGAGTCACAAGCTCTCCCTCCAAGGGAAAATGGCCTCCTAACCACAGGCACTGGGCAGGATGGGGGAAGCTACAGGTCACAGCAGTTGCTGCAACCAAAGGACAAGGAGCAGAGGGGAAACGGCACAGGGTGGAGCCCTGCTTTCCCAAACCAGCAAATGTATCCTGTGCCAGAAGTATTTTCCTTCAGCAAGACTTTCCCATGTTTCTCCCTCCCCATGCACTTCAGGCAGCCTCCACTCCTCAAGCATCATCTGCACCTCTTCTCTAGGCCTTCTAGCATCCAGCAATGGTAAAAGAGAGCGGACTCCTTCTTTGGCCTGTGAGCTCAAAAACACACAATCCATGTCTGCCCCCCTGAACTCCCAGCTGGGCCAAGCGCTAAAAGCACCTCAGAGCCCAGGAGACTTTCACCCTGTTCCTAGGGATATTCTTGCACTCAACCCAAATCCACTCCGTACAACTGAGCTCAACTACAATTCTTCTGAAAGGTACCAAGGCCAAAAGACACACAGCAAAATGCACTGCTCCCATGTCCCTGCCACATGGTGCAGGCCACATTCAACCCAAAATGCAGGTGAGCAGCTGTGAAGTTAAGCTCCACAGGGTGTGGCTAGGGAGGAAAGTGGGTCATGCAACAGCCCAGGGCACAGATCATTTTGGACACAAGACATAGTTGAGCTCTCAAGTGGGCAAGAGAAAGAAAGCCTTCCACTTCGTATTTCCCTTCAAAGCAGCTTGAAAAGTGCATAAGAACCTGCATCCACCCTCACTTCAGTCAATCCACTTGAAAGGTTCCCTCCCGCCCCCACAAGCCCTCCCCACAATGAAGTCCATCACACCTTTAGGAAAAGGGACGCAATAACAAGGAATGAGATACTTTCTATCACACACACAGAAGTTCCTAGTAAACAGAACTTTCATCTTTTCGCAGCCACCATTCATGTTCATTCAAAAGCAAAGCTAGCATGACAAGCTACGCATTCAGAGTATTCAGAATGATTGAGCGGGATCTACAGGAAGCCCTCTCCAGGCAGCAGGAGGAGGACTCAGCAGGAAGCCATGGAAAGAGGCAACCAAATGAGACATCTAAGACATTAGCAGCTATAGCAGTCAATGATTAATCTTGCAGGCCCGGTGAAAAGAAGTTCAGAACAATTTTTTTTAAATTTCCCTCAGCCTCCGATCCAAACTATCAAGTTCTCCCATCGTGTCTGTAGCAGAGTTATCAGAAACACAGGGCAAGATGCCCCCCCTTCCCCCCGCCAAAACCCATTAAGCAAGGGCATGGATTAAGCAGGAAGAACGTGACCTTGTCATTACTGGTCTAAAGCATGCAAAACAGGAGAAAACTCTTTTTGTTCCTTAGTTCACGAAAAAGCCACCATAGCACCCCTAAAACGAAGGAGTCAACGCTCTTCTGCTAGCTGATATGTGTACCTTGGTGTTGATGGATGCTGTTGTTCAGAAGGATCTCCATCTCCTCCTCGTCGCTGCCCGCAGAGCATGGCGATGGGGATCCTATACCCGACGCCATGTCCTCTGTTTCGGAGGACAATCCGAGGGCTCAAGAAGCTTCTGCTATCTCGGCGCCTCCTTGCTGCTAAGGCCAGCAACGGGCTATAGGGAGAGAGAAGGAAAGAAAGCTTAAAAGTCACAGCCTTTTTATAAGAAACAGCCAAAAACCAGCCTCTGGATCTCTGGAGAAAGGTGGCAGCGGCAGGGAGGGCCAGACAACTAGGTAGCAGCTTGGTCCAAGCCCTCATCTCAGAAGGCCTTCAGGCCAATGCCAAATTAATCCGAGTCACCGTCTCATTATTATGAGGATGTTGACAGGCACCACCGACTTGGGGTTTCCCAGTTTGGTTCCACCTGTATTTTGGACAGACAAAACCTGGGGGTGGGAAACAAAAGCCTGGAGCAACCCACCTCCCATGGGTCAAGAAATGCCTCTTGGTGGCGCCTCTGTGGTCAAAGCTACCATAATTCAAAGCCACCACCACCACCCAGAGAGTTTGTTTCAGCTCCTGGACAAAAAAAAAGAAGGGGAAAAAACGCCCACTCCCTAAAAGACACGCAATGGAAATGCTATAAGAAATGAGGGGCTGATTTTTTATTTATTTTTTACAAAGCCCACTCATTCTTCTCTGGCCGAGAATGGACGTCCTGGCGTCCCTTGATGGGCAGTTGGGATTGAAAAAAATAAAATAAAAAGCTTAACTCCCCGTTTCCCTTCTGACATAAACAGGTTAAGGAAATTAAAGTTCTGGACCAGGCTGTAAAACAAAAAGGCGGCTTCGAAGGAAGCTGAGAAACTTGTCGGACCCGTCCCACTCCTCCTAGCTATGGGAAAGAGGGGGGAGAGGGAAAGACCCAAACTGGGGGGTCGGGGAAAAAAAATAAAATAAAATAAAAGACCCAAACCAGAACATTTCTTTTGGGGCTGGCTGAGAAGAGCAGTTATTGAAGGTTGAGGTTGGGGGGGGGCGCTATGGCAAGGAAGGTCGAGGTTTGGGACGGGGGGGTTTCCTCTTGCCACGGGTTGGGGGGAAACTGAAGAGATACTATCCCCACATACAAGGCACCCCCCTAACACGTGTCGGGGGGGGCTAATATTCTCCAGCCCGCCCCCAAGAAGAAAGACGAGGGCACCCCACCCCCTTCTTCCCCCCCACCCTGAGAGGCTGTGGGGAGTTGTGTGAGGGGGGGAGGGGAGAAAGGGGGCGTTTGGCGAGGGGGGGTCGCTCCGCTTCCCTCAGGCGGCGGCGGGTCGCCCGGGTTGCAGGGCGGCGGTGCAGCCGGGAAACCCGGCGGCTCTCCTGCCTCGTCCGTCCCCCCCCCCCCCAATATCTAGGGCGCTTTCCCCTCCTTCTCCCCCCCCCCACAAAAAGGCCCCCCCCCCCGCCCCCTCTCTGGGCTTCTGCCCCTCTCCCGCCCTCACCCGACTCCGGGCGCCCCGGCTTCTTATTTCTCGACGCCGCTGAAGGGAAAATGGCTCCGGCTCCAGCGCCGCCTCTTAAAGGGGAAAAAAAAAGCCCCGGCCAAGCCCCTCCCCTCCTCAGCGCTCCCGCCTCCATCCCATAATAATCCCGCTCCCTTGCCCGGCTCCCCCCCCCCCCACCACGGCCGCCACCACACGGCGCCTTGGCGACGGGTCCCACCCCCGTCACCTCAGTAACACACACACACAGGCCACCCCTCGACCGAGCCATCCCATAATACTCCCCTGTCCACAAAACTCGGGAGCCCAGCCCTGCATCCCATAATAATCGCCTTCCCCCACCCCCACCCCCAAAGCATCCCATAATAGTCCTTGCGGGGCACCGTCCAGTAATCCACTCCCCCCCACACACACACCATGCGGAAACATCCCATAATACTCGCCCTTACTCATACATACCACAGTAGCCACCCTTCCCCCCACCGAGGTATCCCATAATAATCGCATTCTCTCCTTGCTCACCCCCCCTCCTCCTCCCTCCACTTTCCTCCCACAGGCACTGTGTCCCTGCCCTGAGCATCCCATAATAGTCACTACCTTACCCTCATCTCCTTCCCTGGCTCTTCCAGCCAACCCACAACAATCTCCCCCCCCCCCCATCACTCACTCACTCACTCCCTGACATATCCCATAATAATCACACACACTCCACTGTTGCCAAGTCTGGCATCCCAGAGCAGGCGCACTCCTCCCTGAAATATTCCACCAGAAGCCCCCCTGGCATCCCATAATAGTCCGCACCAGAGACATCCCATAATACCAGCCGCTTCCACCTCTTTCCCCCCTCCCCCCCTCCTCAGGCAAGCATCCCATAATAGTCCTCGTCCAGCCAGACATCCCATAATACTGTCAGCAACTCTTAGCCACAGCCGACAATGCTTGCACTTACTGCATCTTCTCTCTCTCTCTTTCCACTCCCTCCCGCCCCCCCCCGCCTGCCTTCACACAGCCCATAATAATCACCGGCGCACTATTCCTCCCCAAACAGAATGGAAGAAGGAACCCTGCTAAAAGAGTGCGCAGCGCCCAACGCCCCCTCCAGGGGTCTCCTTCCAGCTGCCCCCTAAGAAAGCATTTGGCGCGCCTGTTCCCAATGCGCCCCACTTCCCCCCCAACACCCCCGCCTTCAAAGTGCACAGACCATAATAACCACTGGGGGCACAGGGCCAATGGCACATCCCATAATACTCTGGCAAAGCCTGCCAGGGTTCTCTGTTCTTCCTTCAGATGATGCAGACGCTGCACATCCCATAATCTTTCATGCACAGGCGTTGGGAAGTCAGACCCTTACAGGTCTGGCTGCAAGGCCTCTAAGGCAGGCTTCCCCTCTCTGCCATTCGCACAGCACCAGGGTTATTGAGGTGACCTGGCATTCCCAGACAGGCAAAAGAAGGTAACCTTCTGATGCGCAAACCGGCTCACCAATGCAAACTTTGGCGATCGATTCATGCGCAAACTTCTCCTAGCAAATATTCTTGCCTCTTTTTCGACCGCCCTCTGGAAATTCAGAGCACTTCAGTTTGGGAATGCGGGTCATGATGTTAAAAGTTGCGACGGGTCTATCTCATAATGCTACTGTAGCATCCTTTTTACACATGATACCATCTCACTTGTTCTCAGTTACCAGTAAAAATCTCATAGATTCATAGAACTGGAAGGGACCTCCACGGTCATCTAGTCCAACCACCTGATGATGCAGGAAAAGCCGCGTCTGAACCCACATTCCATAAAGGGATCTTCCCTGCAATTGTGCAGTTCTGTGATTTAAAAAAGGTCTGGCGGATGCTCTGTAATGCTATCAGCATACTGACCATTCGCCATAATATTCCTTATCCTAATGTGGTCCTTAATATGCATAGGGAGCAAGCGACTCGCCAATGTTTCCTCTATTGCTGTGCAAGCTGCATTGAAATAAATGGAGACTGTTTAGCAGCAGAGCTTAGTGAATTGCATCTATGACGATTGCATCCGTCCATCCCCTAATTTAACGGTGCACGTTTTTCTCCCTCCGTTATTATGATTGACAATGTTTTTCTTTTTGAATACACAAACTACCGGCAATATACACATCTCATAAGATGCGTATTTATTATTTTTATTTATTTATTAAAAAGCATTTCCAAACTGCTTAACGCTTTAAAATTTCTAAGCGGTATACAGAAATGCAACATAAAAAACAGAGATATGGCAGTGAAAACAGAAAAAACCTGTATTATTTTTTTTTTAAAAAAACCTAACAACAACAGACAATTCAGTAGTAACTGTGGGTGTCTCTTAGAAAAATCGTTGTGAAAATCTCTTAGAAAAAGGGAATTTCCATTCATTACATTTGTCATAGCTCACAGACATAAGAATCAATGTAAGCAGCATGCTACATTTAAACACAACGTACACAGAGGGCAAGGGAAGGAAAGGGAGTGGAATGCCAAGTATCAGAGACAAGGTCGCCCTCCTGTAACAAACTTTACAAGCGCAGATCAAAACATCTATATAAATAAGGCCATAATCTTGATATCACTTGGAGCTTGAGAATTCCATTAATACCAAAGGTGTTTATGAGATCAGAGACAGCTTCACTATTACGGCTATGTATTTACTATAACAGACTACCCGTTATATATGCACACTATTGCCTGTGTAAAAATGACAAAAAACTCTGTTTTCTCCTGAGATCTCCAGAGTTTTGGACTGCATGTTTTCAAGCTGCTATCCTAACTGCAAATTTGCACATCTAATTTTATTTGTACGCTTAAATTATGCTGATGGGAGAGGTTTAGGATTCGTTTAGGTTTCCTAGGATTTGTTTAGATCTTGCTGACATGATTGATGGAAGTCAAAAATTTGAATAAGATGTAAAAGTATGTTTAATTACTGTTGAAAATGATATGTTAAAAAAACTAATAAAAAATTATATATATAAAAAAAGATCTTGCCGACACACCTCCCACTAGGGACCCAACATCAGTGTGATGTGTGGGTCCTGCTGGTGTATCCCTGTCACTGATGGAACGACAACGTTAGAAGGATAGGGAAAGTGTGGCATGGGGGATATGTCAGGGAGCAACAGATATTGTCCAGGGCAGGGGTCAGCAAACTTTTTCAGCAGGGGGCCGGTCTACCATCCCTCAGACCTTGTGGGGGCCGGGACTATATTTTGAAATGAGAAAAAAAAGAAAGAATGAATTCCTATGCCCCACGAATAACCCAGAGATGCATTTTAAATAAAAGCACACATTCTACTCATGTAAAAACACGCTGATTCCCGGACCGTCCGCGGGCCGGATTGAGAAGGCGATTGGGCCAGATCCGGCCCCTGGGCCTTAGTTTGCCTACGCATGGTCTAGGCTCACGGGTTTATAGCACAAAAAGATAGTTTTTCTCCAATGTAATTGTTCGTGCTCATTCTCAACATGCTGCTTTCAATCTCTATTGATTCTAGCTTCTGGCATGCACAAAGGTGGGTGTGCTCACTTGATACGTGTTCTAAAAGCGCCCTCTTTGATTAGGTTATCCATGCCTTTTCCTCCCTGTGCATGCCCCAGGTGAAGGAAGAAGGAAGTAGTCACTGTATTTGTTATGTACTGAGTTGAATAGGATCCAAAAGGCAGCAGTCTGATTGGTCCTAGAACAATATGATTCAGAATGCAGCAATATGATTGGTCCGCAGGAGCCACCCAATCCAGCTCCAGGTGGAAGTGAATCCGCAACCTGATTGGCCTGCAGAAGAATCCCAGAATTAGCCAATCACATGCGGCCCATTGTGTAAATAATGTATATAAATCAGATATTTTGGGGGAACTTTCATTCCTCACTACTATGAGCTGAATAAAGAGCATGAAATCCACGCTTGAAATCCACCCCTCATTGGATACAACTCCCATTGCCAGGTCCCTATACATCAGTTTTCACACAGACACTCTGTATACACAATGTATACACAATGTTTTATTCTGGACTCAATCAAGGCTGAGTACTTGCTTCTCCCCGCCCCCCATGTAGCTTACACACTATTTATTTAGCATAACATTTATGTCCTGCCCTTCCTCTAAAAGGAGCCCTGTTTGATTGCCTACTTTTGCTCCTGAAAAGCACTTACTGAGGAACTCGATTCATTCAAAAAATAAAAGCTGTGTACGCATGGCATTTTATCCTAGCATGAAAGGAAAGTGACTACTTGGTTGTTGTTTTTTTGCTAAATGGTACATATACATACCACATCTATTGCATATTTTCTGCCCCTGAAAGCCAGTTCTTGAGAAACTGGTTTCATTATAAAAATAGCAGCTTGTTGCAGATTTTACTCCACACCATAAAAGAGCATCTGAATCTCATTTGTTCACTCACAGATTTCTGGGAACTGTAGTTTATCCCTCACAGAATTACACTTGGGCGGCATGTCCCATTTCACTGCTCAAGGTGAAACAGGAAGTGCCGCCCTGCCGCTGCCACACCACCTGTGCTGCCCACCACATTGCCTTCGCCACCAGCAGAGAAGCAGTGGTGGCACCTGTGCCAATTTCTGTCAAGAAATGATTTCAGGACAGCTCTCTTGCGCTCCACAATATCTCAGGTGATTCTGGCAAGATCTTGCCTGAAATCATTACTGATGCTGGCACTGCTTCTCCACCAGTGGAGGTGATTGATTGATTGATTGATTGATTGATTGATTAGGGCTTCTGCCACTTGAGGTGGCAGCCTCACACCACTTAATGGCTGCACCAGCCCTGGTATAATGGCTTTATACAGTCTTATTTTAATTTGAGGGACGCAGGTAGCGCTGTGGTCTAAACCACAGAGCCTAGGGCTTGCCGATCAGAAGGTTGGAGGTTCGAATCCCCGCGACGGGGTGAGCTCCTGTTGCTCGGTCCCTGCTCCTGCCAACCTAGCAGTTCGAAAGCATGTCAAAGTGCAAGTAGATAAATAGGTACCACTCCGGCGGGAAGGTAAACGGTGTTTCCGTGCGCTGCTCTGGTTCGCCAGAAGTGGCTTAGTCATGCTGGCCACATGACCCGGAAGCTGTCTGCGGACAAATGCTGGCTCCCTTGGCCTATAGAGCAAGATGAGCGTACAAGTTCAGAGTTGTCTGCGACTGGACTAAACAGTCAGGGGTACCTTTACTATTTTAACTTGTGCTGTGTCGACCTCTCTGAATTGCTGTCCTGTGCCCCTGCACTCACAGTGCCTAGTTTAACATGTCCCCCATTTAAATTTTCTTCAATTTTATCATCTTCATCAAAGGAGGCAGGAATTTTGTTCCGAACTGGATTCTCCTTAGCTGCTGCCAGTGTTCTTCCCGCCCCCGGCTCAGTTTAAAAGCTGTTCTGCCCCCTTTCCAAGGGTCTACAACAGGCACCCCCGAACTCAGCCCTCCAGCTGTTTTGGGACTACAATTCCCATCATCCCTGACCACTGGTCCTGTTAGCTAGGGATGATGGGAGTTGTAGTCCCAAAACATCTGGAGGGCCAAGTTTGGGGATGCCTGGTCCACAATCTGGTTCCATCCTAGTTCGATTGGCGCCTGTCCCTTTTCTGCAGGCCTGGCTTATCCCAGATTGTGCTCTAGCACCTAACAAATCCAAACCCTACCTCTCAATACCACTGTCTCACCCGCATATTGAGACCACAAAGCATTTCAGAGGAAGCTACCTTGGATGTCCCAGCTTTCAGCAGCCTAAATCTGGCTTTCGGGACCTCACAACCCATATCTTTCCCATATCTTTGGTGCCAATGTGCACCACAGCTACTGGGTCGTCCCCAGCACTGTCCAGCACGCTATCTAAACAAAGTGCAACAGTCCCAATCTGTACACCAAGCAGGCAATTCACCCTAATAATTTTAATTGTTTACAATGATTTTTAAGGTAAATTAAATATTTTCCCCATTCCTTATTAAAGTTTTGGTCTTCCTGATTTCTGATTCTTCCGGTCATTTTTGCCATTTCGGCGTAGTCCGTCAACTTAACCTGCCATTCTTTTTCAAGCTTTAATGAAAACAGATTTCTTTTTTTAAAAAATAAATAAATAAACAAGTACATGCAGCCTTCACGTCTCTCTGACCATGCTCTCTTGCCATCGCGCTAGCAGAAAAAAAGGTGATGTAAGCCAAAGCAGTCCTGCTGAACCAAATGGGAAGCAAAAATAAGCTGCCCCCTCACATCTTCCTGCTTTGCAATGAAATGAAATGCAGGATTCATCCTAACGCAACACATCAGCATATAAAACCCTGCCAGGGAGCTCATTAGTTAAATGAAAGAGTGTGCTTGATGGGGCTACATCTGACCTCATGTTCTGCACACCTAGAGTACACCAGGGGGAAATTTGGGTGATGGGAACTAATGGAGAAAGGGCCCTTTCCACAAGAAAGGAGCACTTTGCACAAAGCCCCAGGACAATTATAGGAAGAGCAAATAGCTAACCGTTGCTTTCTCAGAAGCCTTACAAGTTACAGTATCTGCTTTGGGACTCTGTACAAAAGCACTCACGAACAACTCCCCACTCGCCTCCCAGAGCAGAGGGTGCTCTAGAATAAAGCAACCTCTGCAAATGAGCAAAGGAGTAGGAGTGCTGTGTATGATAGCTCCCGTACCACGCCTTCCTTCTACAGCTAGTAGCTGTGTCCTGCACGCAGAAAAGAGGACTAGGGGCCACCTTCACATGCAGGCACCATTTCTGTTGCCAAATGCCAGGCACTTTACTCCAACCATTGCTACTGTTCCCATAAGCTCATGATCCCTTTTGCTTTGCAGGAGCACAGTCCAGCTCCAAGGAGCAGACAGGTCGCTGCACACAAACAAGTCCCCTGTAACACCCTGCTAGGAAAGGGTTCAGCAATCCTCCCTATATTCTCTTGCCTAACAGGAGGAGGGAGGTTGATTGAGAAAGGGCATGGGGACCACATCTAGGGGACAGGCAACTCTTGGGCAAACCTGTTAATCTGTCCTGCTTTCAGAGCTATCTCCCTCTCTGTTCAATAAAAGCTTCTACTTTCTTATCTGGTATTGTTCTTTGCCTATTGTTCTTTGTTATCTAGGGATTTCTCCCCACCCCACTGGGCCACAGCTAGCACGGCATGGGACTCTTGGTTCTGGGAGATAGGGCTGGGTCTGGCAGCTGGTGGAGAACAAATGCCCCACGAGATACCCTTGGGGTTCAAAGCTGCCTTCCATGTTTCCCATTGGGATGTGGGTGGCGCTGTGGTCTAAACCACTGAGCCTAGGGCTTGAAGATCGGAAGGTCGGCAGTTTGAGTCCCGCAATGGAGTGAGCTCCCATTGCTCGGTCCCTGCTCCTGCCAACCTAGCAGTTTGAAAGCACGTCAAAGTGCAAGTAGATAAATAGGTACCGCTCCGGTGGGAAGGTAAACTGTGTTTCTGTGCGCTGCTCTGGTTTTGCCAGAAGCAGCTTAGTCATGCTGGCCACATGACCTGGAAAAACTGTCTGCGGACAAACGCCAGCTCCCTCGGCCTGTAAATTGAGCACCGCAACCCCAGAGTCGTTCACGACTGGACTTAATTGTCAGGGGTCCTTTACTTTTACTTTTACGTTTCCCATACTTGTGCTACGAACTCCAACACTTGGGATCCCCTCCATAACTTTTGTAGGGTTTTGTAGGGCTTCCCAAACTGAGTAACTGATGCATCAAATCAGGATTTGTAATTAACACCCAGAAATCCAGTTTTGTCCAATTCACGCCAAACTTGTGCCAATGTTTCCTAGTCGTTTTGTAGGCTTTTGTAGCGTATAAATACAATACCCCACGATTTGTAGTGCCCCCTCCAGCTGAGTAATTGATACTCAAACCCGGGGGTCCTAGGTATCTTCTAGAAACCCAACATAAAGCTAAAAGAGTTAATGGAGCTGGTTGCGCTAAGACTGCAATTGAGGCTTCCCTTACTGCTTAACCAAATGCATCTCTTTCTCTGCCTTGCAAAGGGCTCCTTCTGTTCCTCAGATGTGTTTTGCTGTCAGAGGGGCTTGAATGCTTGTCCCAAGGAGGCATGGGTGCGCAGCTCTCCTCCCACAGGAACTACCTGTGTAGAATCATAGAGCTGGAAGGGACCACGAGGATCATCTAGTCCAACCCCCCGCAATGCAAGAATCTTTCTCCCAACGCGGGGCTCAAACCCACGACCCTGAGATTAAGAGCCTCACGCTCTACCAACCGAGCTATTCCTGAATGTTCTGCTACAGCAGCTTCCTTTCCTCCGTGCTGTACAGTTAAAAGCATGATTCTTAGCAGTATGTGAGTTGTATAAGGGGAATCCCAATTTCTGCGTGCAGGGAGGATTCTGCAAAGGTCTCTTGCAAGATGAATGAAAGCTTCCTGTTTGCAGGAAAGCCAGAAAGCAGGAACAGAGCACCAGAACAACTCCCCAATTGTGATTCCCAATTGTGATGGCTAGTGGCCATCAATAGCCTAATTCTCCATGGTTTGATCAGTGGTGAGCCGGTCAGCTTGGAAGTGCAGGAGCACTTAATAATGGTGGTTAAGCTTGGAAGAAGCACCCCATTAGCTACTCCAAAGGAGAGTCCAAAAATCCAGCCAGCTGTGTAAAGAAATTTTAATACAAAAATGAAGGAAGAATGACTGTCTTTAGAAAGTCTAAACAGGCCATCTTGGTGATCTCTTATGGTGTTTCTTTGCAAAGAACACATACATAATAATGGTCTGAACATAAGGAGATCAAGTTCCCAGCATCCCCTTATATCCTTTACTTGTCATACTGTTGGCTGCACTTTTGCACACATCATCTGTAATCACTGCCCAGTTCTCAGACCAGCAGAAATAGACTCCTGCCTATGGAAGTCCCTGCCACAATTAATGAATCAGTCTTTGAACTACTACAAGACAGTTTGTTGTTTTCACGTGCAGTAGAGTTCTTGAGGTTTCACAGCCCTCTCTCATAGTCTAGATCTCTGAGGGTGCACTGCTATGCATATTCCCCTAAGAATGACTCCTACTTCTACCTAATAAAGGTAAAGGTAAAGGGACCCCTGACCATTAGGTCCAGTTGTGGCCACCTCTGGGGTTGCGGCGCTCATCTCGCTTTATTGGCCGAGGGAGCCGGCATTCAGCTTCTGGGTCATGTGGCCAGCATGACTAAGCCGCTTCTGGCGAACCAGAGCAATGCACGGAAATGCCATTTACCTTCCCGCCAGAGCGGTACCTATTTATCTACTTGCACTTGATGTGCTTTCGAACTGCTAGGTTGGCAGGAGTTGGGATTGAGCAACGGGAGCTCACCCCGTCACGGGGATTCGAACCGCCGACCTTCTGATCAGCAAGCCCTAAGCTCTGTGGTTTAACCCACAGCGCCACCCGCGTCCTACTTCTACCTAATAATAAGTCCTAAATAGTTTGAATAGACCTACATAGGATTGATCTGTGAGAGGGATATAGCACAACTATTTACCAAAGATAGCCTCTATTTTCTAGTGCCTGTGCCTGGTAAATCACTGTCCACTGTTCTTTTGGAGAAATTGGGGTTTTTTTGTGTGAGGGGGAAGTACACAGTGTATTTTTTTCAGGGCTGAATCTCTGGTTTAACTCTGTGGGGCTGCATCTTAGTTCTTCCTATGCATGCATTTAAATGTGCACCCACATCCACAAATAAACAGAGCATTGCTTTCCCTCTGCCGTCACCCATAACTGCCTATCCAGACAGTAGGTGTGTCTTAAAGCACATTTATGCAAATTCACAGGAACAGAATGGACTGCTCCCCCATAACACCCTGGTCTTGACAAATCCGACTTTGCTTGTTATGAAATGCAGTGCAGATAAATTGTGGAATGTAAACATTCTATTGCATATTTTTATCTTTAGGTGTTATGATCAACTGTTTATGATTGGTCGATTAACTGATTAGCAAACCTTTTAAAGGACTAAGAAAGTGCCCCTGATTAATCTCACTGCAATACACACATTTATGAAAACTGCAGGTGGCAAGCCCCATCTTAACAGAGGAAATGGATCTTCAAGGACTATTTCTGCTACACCGCTTGTGTTGCGAAAATAAAAAGGTGCTTCAGAAATATTGGTTTTAGCCCCTGTGCAAATTTAATCAATAGATTAATTATCATTATAATGATAATTGATTAATTATAAGAATTTTAGTTGATTAACTAATTAATCATTCATTGATTAATTGACTACCCAAAATTAATAATCTATTACACTGTATGTTCTCTCACACAATATCTCAAAACAGGCACCTGTATCCAAGTATTTTTAATATGCAAATTAAGTTTTAATCAATTAGTTGGTTTAAAAATGCAGATGATTAACCAATCATTGACTGGCAGCCCCAATGCAACATCTGTTTATCATATATGTGTGTGTGTGTGTGTGCGTGTGTGTGTTCTTGGAGTTACCTTATAATGCAAGATTATATGTACATTCCTCAACAAAGATTTCTTATGGGGTGGGATGGAATCACAGAATGGTAAAGATGTGTAGAAAGTTGCATCATTCATCACTACTTTTTAAATAAAGCATATATCCTTCATTTTTACCCAGACAGAGAGACTCTTGTCACAGACAATATCCAACCGTTGTCTATGACACTTGCCACAACTGTATCCCATACATCAGTCATGATCAAATTGAATGTGTGAACTCACAGAAGGACATTTCCCAGGTGCACAATATATGAGTTTTCGTATTGATCATTTTATAGCATGAGAAATGTGTCATAGTTATTCTGTTGCTGCAAGGTGGTCCAAATGTCTTTGCCTTCGTTGTTATGCAAAAAAATATATTTTCCTTTCGGCATTCTGTTGCTGGAAAAGTGCAACCTGCCCCCCGCCCCCATTCTGCTAACCTTCCCACCCACCTCAGTGCACCTGTTGGGATGGTGGATTGTCCAATGTGGTTGTAAAACTGTAATTGTGTACACATTACTGTTTGCTCCAGCTCTGGGCACACTCTCATCACTGGTGCTTGAAGCTTCTTTCCTCTTTGGCGATCACTCGTAGCCAAGTAAGATTGTCTTCCATAAACACAGTTTTAACAATGAGTCCGTAAGTGACTGTGGAGGCCAATTCTGGATCCACATGTCCTTCCACAGTGGGGACATAGGTTTCCAGGCGGGAGTTGATCAGTGTGGATTTGCCAAGCGTGCCTTCCTCTTAGCACGTTTCTCCCTTGCATCCTGAGTTCAAGTGTCTTCAAAGCCCATGACACCTTTGGTAAAGGCTGCTCTCCAACTGGAGTGCTCGGAGGCCTGTGTTTCCCAGTTGGCAGTGTTTATACTACATTTTTTTAGATTTGCCTTGAGACAGTCTTTAAACCTCTTTTGTTGACCACCAGCATTACGCTTTCCATTTTTAAGTTCGGAATAGCTATGTACCGCACACATAGCATTGGCCCCAATCCATCTGCACCCTTTAGCTTCTGGAGAAACGCTCCCGTTGGATGCACTTTCCCTTACGCCAGCTTCCCCCCTGATTAGAAAACAGAATCTGTGGTTAAGCTGAGATGTATTCTTTGGAGACAGAGGTTGAGCATGTACAGATGACAGCTTCAATGAATGGGAGTCCAGAGCAGGGAAACAAATTGGATAATGCGCCTTGGGTGAAGACATGATCTTCCTTTCTCTGGGGCATACAGGAATGTAAGAAAGCAACTGGGAACGCAGCAGGGGGAAATTCTGACCTTGCTGCTGTTTCAAACCATTAATGTGTCTATGTCCCCAGTGGCACAACAGGTCAGTGCATCTGGCTGTTAACCAGAAGGTCAGTGGTCTGAGGCTAATCCAGCTGTAAGCAGGATTGCAGCATTGCAGAGGGTTGGACTAGATGACTCTCAGGGTCCCTCCCCACCCTACAATTCTATAATATAGCCTATGTTATAAGAATTTTAAGGTCTTATATATATAAAGTAAATGTTCATAAATGTACCAAGCAAGCACATACATAAATGTATAAACCACATGTCTGAAACCTCACAGAAAAAGTCCTGAAACCATTTGTCTCTTCCATTTTTTTTTTTAGTGAGTATATCTCTCATTTATTTAAAAGCCTTTGTCCAACAGCCACTTTTTAAATTCCTGCTCAAAAAAATCCCTTGACACGAATCATGCAGGCAACTTCATTCACTTGGGTGACTGCTGTGTGATGAGTTCCTTCACTTCATTTTCAAGGGCCCAAATATTGCCTTCAATCTTTCTGATGACCGTCATCTTCCTGTACCCTCTGAAGGTAGTATCTGTGTAAACTGGGATATTGTGCATTCGAGACCTCCTTACAAAATAAGAAAGGTCAGGAAGTGGGTCTTGAGGTGGGCTCCATCCAGAAGGGGTGGGATGACTGTCATGTTTTGGGGGTACTGGTGCTCGGGAGGGAGGTATAAGTCTCTCCACAAACCTATATTCATTAGTAGATTCAATAATCCCTGGATATTTCTGTTCTGCAGAGCTGGTTTCTGCTGAAACTTGCCTCGTATGAGCTGCCGCCAAGAGTCGCTGCCGCCATCCTCCCAGCAACGGCCCCTTCCGCAGCCCAACTCTGGCCAAGGCGAAAGCCAAAGTCGCCATCTTGGGAGGAGATTGACCTCAAATATTTCTCTGCAAGGTCAAAGGAAATGGGGATCCTCCCCATTGTCTCTTTGCTCACAAATCCTGTCTCAAGGGCACAGTTAAGATATGAATAGGGTGAGCCTGTGACCTGGATTCAGGAATTGAGTAGTTATAATAACAAGAGTGGCCAGGATGCCCAGGTAATCCAATCAAGTAACCTGGCAGACAGGATAAAAACAATGCACTCAGATTTCTGTTGTAGTCCGTCCCTTCTCTGATGTACGTATGATGTATTGGGGGTGGTCTTGGGCAACACCGCTTCCGTGATGTATGTATGATGTACGGAGGGGTGGTCTTGGGCTCCAGGGTGGGCAGTTCAAAAGTCTATATAAGGGCTTGCGCGCATGGTTTGGTGTCCTCCTCCTCTGTCTTGCGTGTGGGGGGAGACCCTGTTGCAACAGCTTTAATAAAGATCAGGCTTATAGCCACTTTGCTTTCGTATATCCTGGTCTGGTCTCTGTTCATTTCCTGACCGGTTTGAGCCTTAAAAGGTCCGCTCTCTCCGAATGTCCAGTCTGCCTTAAGAAGCTGAACCCCTTGAAGGGACCTCTCAATATTCTTGTTTCACCTTTGTCACAAGAACCTATTGGACAGGACTTCATTAGCTGCGATCAATGTATTCCTTTCAATATGGGAGGGAGGGAAATTCTACACAATTGTTTTCCTTCCTATTAATACTGGAAAATATTAATGATGAGTCTTCTCTGTTATGTTAACTCTCCCCTCTCTGTAGTTTTCGGTTTCTTTTCCGGTCTTGGAGCACATCGTCTACTGTTTATAAAAAGGGGGGTGGTGGTGAAGGAAAATAATAATAATAATACCCCCCTGGGTAAAACTCTCTTCTGCTCTATCTATTGCATGCTAGATCCACCCAGCCCCAATATTTGAGAATTTAAAGTGGTGATGAAATGGGGGGCAGGGGGAGAGGTGGAAGCTGAGAGCACCTCAATACTTGCTAAGTATAATAATAATAATAATAATAATAATAATAATAATAATAATATAACTTTTATTTATATTCCGCCCTCCCCAGCCGAAGCCGGGCTCAGGGCGGCTAACAACAATAAAATAGTACAACATTCTAAAATCATAAATTGCATTTGTGTGTGTGTGTGTGGAAAAGCCCCAGGAGAGTATGTTTTGCTTGAAAGCGTTAGTCAGGAAGTGGAGATTATTTTTTTGGCAAATCCAAATTCATTCTGACTTGAACGTAGGCATTTCTGAGCTCCGCTGTGGGGTCCGGATGTGGTTTTCTGGAACCGTCCTCCTGAACATGACCTTGCCTCAACCTTCACTGAAGCACCGGAACTGGCTAACCATTTTAAAAAGTTTTCATTATTATTTTTTTATCCTTGAACATTACTGACAAAAGCCGAAGAAGTCTGAAACCTGCTCCGTGTACAGACGTTTTTCAACAGGGTCTTGCTTATTTCTACAGCTCACTTTCGCCTCTCCCCACCAAGGCAGCATATATGGGGGTCCCCTCTTCCCACAACCCTTTTTATCATCACAACAATCCCATGAGGCAGATAAAGCAGAGAGAGAATATGAGGGAAAAGTTGGTGGTCCAAGGTCATCCCGTGACCTTCATGGCTGTGTGGGGAGGATTGGGGCCTGGCGCTCCCCAGTCACTTGACGCCATAACCACCAAACCACACTGGAAATGGCACGATTCTGAACTGCGGGAAGGAATAATTCAATAATTTTACCACCCCTGTTCCCGTGCCTTTAAATAAGTGCCTCTAATTGCAAGAAGTCCCCCCGCCCCATGCTTATTTGTTTCTTTTGTACATAAAAGCTGAGAGCAGGGCTGGGGGAGGAAAGGGTGGCATTGCCAGCACCTCTTGCCGCCTGACTCTGTGTGATAGATAGATAGATGTGTGTGTGTGCACATATATCATTAATTCACAGGGTTTCCATGCAATCTGCCTTCTTTCTTCACACGGCTGTGAAGGCCCCTGAATAAACCTCCTGGGCAGCCCCACCCTGCAAAACTGGTCACATCCCATAATATCTCCGACAGGAGACATTCCCTAGCAACCATCCCCACCCCCACCTACGGAGTAGCCATCCCATAATAGCATGCCTGCTTTACAGGTTCTGACAGTTGAAACAGAGGAGATTACAGAGCGGTGGGGGGGAGGCTGGGCTGGTGGTGGCAAAAAAAGGAGGTGAGGAAGGAAAAGGGGAGCATATTAGAGAGAAAGAGAGAGAGAGAGAGAGAGAGAGAGAGAGAGAGAGAGGAAGAAGGCAGGGCAGCCACTTGGACACGGTCCCAACAGACCCAGCCAGACACACCGTCTGCGCTGACATCCCATAATAACCCGCTCTCCTCCCTCTTGTCCACAACACCCCGTAGTAACTGAGAGAGAGAGAGGGGCCGACCCGCATCCCATAATGTTCTCCCCACCACCCACCCACCCCAGTCACGTGTGTGGCGTGCTGGCTGGCTGGCTGAAATGCCGAGGCATCCCATAATACTCCCCACCCCTGAGCACACTCTCAGATTTGCAGCACCCCACCCCCCCTCCACTCGCCTTGCCATCCTCTCCCCATCCCATAATAGTCCTGGCCTCTCGTGGGGCACCATCCCATAATACTCTCGCCAGCTGCAGCAGCAGTCGCCACACATCCCACAGCGCGCTCTCTCTCTCTCTCTCTCCACCACCCATCATTTCGCCTCCTCAACAACACCCCCCACCCCACCCTCACGGATACCGCACCGCCGCACCATCTCTGGTCACATAAGCCCTTGCTGCCGTTCCAGCCCATAATATTTCCTTGGCTTCCTCTCCCCCCCCCGCCTACCCCGTCGCATAAAGCCTCGCCATCCCATAATAGTGCCAGAGGCCTGACCCCGTGGGCCAAACCCCAGCCGGCTAAGCCAGCTCGGTTGTAGAGATTTCCTGTGGCTGGGCCTATGCGCTCTCTGCTTCCAGTGAGCATGGAAACCGGCCTGGACCCTTTGCAGTTTGTGACATTCATCTCTTTCCCCCTTTTAACAACTTAATATAATATAATAAATAAAATAGCCCTCTGGTCTGTAATATTTAAACCCCATCCATCTCTTATCTGCTCCAGATACTGAGTCCCAGTTTTAGGGGGTTTTTTAATGGACATTAGAGTGTAAACATTGAGGAAGAAGCTCAAATTTTGATCTCGCTTTGCCTTTTTGTATGTGTGTGCAATTCCAGAAAAGGGTGGACACGTGCCCTTCTTTACAGAGGACAATCCTCTGTTGGAAGGACAGTCCTTTATTTGAAATAATGATGCATTTGAAGGCTTGCCCAGTTCAATTCTGGTTAAAAAACAAAGAACAGCCAGCAGTTGCCCATCAGTCTGCATCGCACTGGCACACAGGCCACAGTCTTCCCTGCTGTGGAAAGAAACAGCATTCGTTTCCCCCCTCCCTCTTTTTCCTTTCCTGTCAAATATTTTGTTTTTCCACAAAAGCAAAGATCCATCCCTTAAAAGATGCAGCAATAGAATGAGTCAGGCATCTCGCTACACATCCATAGCAGAGGCATATACAGTCAAGACTGGTAAGGAAACAAACCCCTCAAAACGATGAAAACAAAGAGGGAGGCCTGACGTCTCGGCCACTTTCAGTGAGGGGCTATCAGAGATTAACAAAAGTGTCGGAGAAGGAGTCACCTCGAGCCTTTTCTACACAGTTTCGCAAACTTCAGCGGTCAGCCCTTTCCCGTTTTCCAGTTACGATCCGCCCGATTGTGCATCATAGCTTTTGTTTCTAGATTTGCATCCCTGCATCGTGAGGCACCACAGTCACATTTATGCAGATCGGAGTCTCCTTTCTCCTCTTTTCCTGGTGCTGCAGACTGTCGTTATTTCAGACTTTGCAGCCGTCCTTCAAGTCTTCATAGCCGAGGGTTGTATAATGCGCTGCGCAAGGAGCTACCTTGTACAGCGATGAAGCTGAAGAGGACGAGTGATGGAGAGCACGTTCCCTCTGCTGGCCACTCCAAGTCCTGGAACCTGCAAAAGCCACCTTCATTTCCAGAGACTTTGGCAGGAAAGGAAGGGCAAAAATTGAAGGGCTAGTGACCCTTAATACTCTGCCAGAGGCTTGCCTGGGGCCCCATCTGCACTACAGTGGTAAAAAGGTAAAGGGACCCCTGACCATTAGGTCCAGTCGTGGCCGACTCGGGTTGTGGTGCTCATCTCACTTTATTGGCCGAGGCAGCCAGCGTCATGTACAGCTTCCGGGTCATGTGGCCAGCATGACTAAGCCGCATCTGGCGAACCAGAGCAGCGCACGCAAACGCCGTTTACCTTCCCGCTGGAGCGGTACCTATTTATCTACTTGCACTTTCACGTGCTTTCGAACTGCTGGGTGGGCAGGAGCAGGGACCGAGCAACGGGAGCTCACCCTGTTGCAGGGATTCGAACTGCCAACCTTCTGATCGGCAAGTCCTAGGCTCTGTGGTTTAACCCACAGCGCCACCCGCGTCCCGCACTACAGTGGTACCTCGGGTTAAGAACTTAATTCGTTCCAGAGGTCCGTTCTTAACCTGAAACTGTTCTTAACCTGAGGTACCACTTTAGCTAATGGGACCTCCAGCTGCCGCCGCACTGCTGCCCCCCCGATTTCTGTTCTCATCCTGAAGCAAAGTTCTTAATCCGAGGTACTATTTCTGGGTTATCGGAGTCTCTAACCTGAAGCGTATGTAACCTGAAGTGTCTCTAACCTGAGGTACCACTGTATTCATTTAAAGCAGGGGTCAGCAAACGTTTTTAGGAGGGGGCCGGTTCACTGCCCCTCATTCCTTGTGGCAGGCCGGACTGGGCACACACATGCACGGGGCGGAGGGTGGCTTTTTTCTCTCCCCCTCTCTCCCCCAGCCCCTCCATTCCCCATGCTTTCCAGCCTCCTCTGCCACTCTGCCTGCGGTTGGGATCCGGCGGTGGTGCCGCCGCCTCTCCTTTCTGGGCCGGCTTTCCCGGGCGCCAGGCGTGGGGCCAGCAGGCACGCCAAGCTCCAGCCGAAGGCCTGTGACGTGTCCGCCACGATGCCCACAGTGTGGCCACGGACGGAGAGGCCAGTGGGCGGGTGGCAATCTGGGCTGCGCCTCAGCACACGGGTAGCGAGGCTTTGGATTGGCTGGCACCAATCAAAGTCCAGCTCCCTTCCTTTGCAGGGTGGGGAGAAGCCAGGAGGAGGGAGGAGGCACCGCCGTGGTGTGTCTAAGGGGGGCGGGAATGGTGCCTGAAAAAATTGCAAAAAAATGGCGCAGCCCGAACAATCACAATCCAAGCAGTGATTCCAGGACCGTCCGCGGGCCGGATCCAGAGGGCAATTGGGCCTGATCCGGCCCGCAGCCCTTAGTTTGCCGACCCATGATTTAAAGCACTCTTGAACTACAGTGGTACCTCAGGTTACAGACGCTTCGGGTTACAGATGCTTCAGGTTACAGACTCCACTAACCCAGAAATAGTACCTTGGATTAAGAACTTTGCTTCAGGATGAGAACAGAAATCGTGCAGCGGCGGCGCAGTGGCAGCAGGAGGCCCCATTAGCTAAAGTGGTGCTTCAGGTTAAGAATAGTTTCAGGTAAACAACGGACCTCCAGAACGAATTACATACGTAACCAGAGGTACCACTGTACTTTAAACAGTCATGCCTTCCTGAAATCACCGGAACTGTAGTTTGTTAAGAGTTCTGAGTTGGGAAAAAGGTAAAGGTCAAGGGATCCCTGACCATTAGGTCCAGTCATGGCCAACTCAGGGGTTGCGGCGCTCATCTCGTTTTACTGGCTGAGGGAGCCGGCGTACAGCTCCCAGGTCATGTGGCCAGCATAACTAAGCCACTTCTGGCGAACCAGAGCAGCTCACAGAAACGCCGTTTACCTTCCCGCCGGAGCGGTACCTATTTATCTACTTGCATTTTGACGTGCTTTCGAACTGCTAGGTTGGCAGGAGCAGGGACCGAACAACAGGAGCTCATCCCGTCGCAGGGATTCGAACTGCCGACCTTCTGATCGGCAAGCCCTAGGCTCTGTGGTTTAGACCACAGCACCACCTGCGTCCCTTCCTCTGAGTTGGTAGGTGGCCTCTATTCACCTCACTGCCCTATTCTGGGAACTGGAACTCTGTGGGGGGAACTGGGGTCCTCAAACAACATCCCGCACGCTTAACAAACTACAGTTACTATGGCGGTAAGTTTGGAGGGCCTGTTCTGGTAAGGGCACCAGCTTCCTGTGAATTCTTTCAGGAGGAAAAGTCGATATCGGTGGCTTTTGCCATCATTGGGATAGATAGAGGCTGGATCTACACATGTCAAAGAAGCGATTCAGTGAAACGTGCTGTAAACTCATGCAGGGGAATCCAGTAGAGAAATGCGGGATTCCACAGCGCCACCTGATGTCACAGTTTTATATCACATATACAACGCCTATAAAACGCTTTTTCTTTACCAGTCTTGCCGGGTCCGGATAGTGTTGCCTGCTGCTTGAGGCCATTCACTGTAAGTAGCAGAGAGGTGTTTTGAGAGGGAGCAAGGAGCTGTGTCAGATTTAAGGCAGTGTGGGCAGTTCCCCTGCACAGGGCGCAAAATTGAGGAGATCCATAATTGAGAAGACCCACTTGGGAGCGCCAAATGTTGGCCTCGCTCAGGATGCCACGTTACTGAACATTACCAAAGTTCACCCTTGGCAGGGAGATGAAGGGAATTAGGGAGGGCTATTTTAGCAATTAGTGATGTATGGAAGTGAGAAGTGAGAGCTGGACCATAAAGAAGGCTGATTGCCGAAGAATTGATGCTTTTGAATTATGGTGCTGGAGGAGACTCTTGAGAGTCCCATGGACTGCAAGAAGATCAACCTATCCATTCTGAAGGAAATCAGCCCTGAGTGCTCACTAGAAGGACAGATCCTGAAGCTGAGGCTCCAAGACTTTGACCACCTCATGAGAAGAGAAGACTCCCTGGAAAAGACCCTGATGTTGGGAAAGATGGAGGGCACAAGGAGAAGGGGACGACAGAGGACGAGATGGTGGGACAGTGTTCTCAAAGCTACCAGCATGAGTTTGACTAAACTGCGGGAGGCAGTGGAAGACAGGAGTGCCTGGCGTGCTCTGGTCCAGGGGATCACAAAGAGTTGGACACGACTAAACAACAACAACAACATAATGCAGCCACTGTAGTGCACCCACTGGCTTTTAACTAAAGAAAAATCTGAATTGATCAGTTCCTGAAAGATAAATGAAAGTCTTGCTTCAGCTTCAGCTTCTGAGCAAAGGGGAGATCCCAGTGTCAGACTAGGACCAGGGTTTCAAATCCCTGTTCTGCCACGAAGCCTGCTGGGTGACCTTGGGCCAGCTACTCTTGGCCCCAACCTACCTCACAGGGTTGTTGAACATTCAGTGAGGAGGTGGAGAACCACCTTAAGCTCCTCGGACGAAAAAGGTGGGTTTATAATTTAAGTCGATCCATCACAGACTATTAGGCTCCCCTGAAGGGGACGACAGAGGACGAGATGGTGGGACAGTGTTCTCGAAGCTACCAGCATGAGTCTGACCAAACTGCGGGAGGCAGTGGAAGACAGAAGTGCCTGGCGTGATCTGGTCCATGGGGTCACGAAGAGTCGGACATGACTAAACGACTCAACAACAACAACATTTTAGCAATGGGAGGCAGAAGGAGATACTCCAGTGGGAGACAGCTTGGTCACTGCTGCAGAGAAAGGGACTTCTGTCATGTCTTGGCTCCTCCCTCGGCTGGGTTGTCCCTGAAGTCAGTGAGCCTGGTCAGTGAGCCTCTGCGTTGAAGGATACTGCTGCTGAACGCTGCTGGGTCGCTGAATGGAAAAACAACAGCCCCTCAGGTTTTTATCCAGAGTGAGCCTGCTGACTAGGCCTGTATTATGGAGGCTGAGTACTCTTGATCTGCAGGAACTGCTCACCTCCCAGGGTTTGTAAGAGTGAGGTATATGCATGAGGAAAGGAGAGAAAGAGAGGGTGCTGTCTGCCTCCATGTATGTATGTGGAGTGTGTTGTGCTGCTGCTGTAAACAAAATCTGCCCTTTTTCCCTTATGGGGTATCCAAGAGCCCGTATAGAGTCCTTACGTGGGTTCCCTATTGGTAGGAGAAAATAACAGAGGCCAACCAGAGAATAGGTAAAGGGTAAAGGGACCCCTGACCAATAGGTCCAGTCGTGGCCGACTCTGGGGTTGTGAGGCCCATCTCGCTTTATTGGCTGAGGGAGCCAGCATACAGCTTCCGGGTCTTGTGGCCAGCATGACTAAGCCACTTCTGGCGAAACAGAGCAGCGCACGCAAACGCCGTTTACCTTCCCGCCGGAGCAGTACCTATTTATCTACTTGCACTTTGACTTGCTTTCGAACTGCTAGGTTGGCAGGAGCAGGGACCGAGGAACGGGAACTCACCCCGTCGCAGGGATTCGCACCGCCGACCTTCTGATTGGCAAGTCCTAGGCTCTGTGGTTTAACCCACAGTGCCACTCTGTCTCCCTTAGCCTGGCACTTGATGGTGGGCAACAGAGTCCTGAGTGAGGTTCTTTGAAGGCTACTCCAACAACCAGAATAAGTTTCCATCATCCTCACCACTCACCACTTGGTTTTTCGCCTACCTCATAGCAAATCATCACAACTTTCTTGGTATTGGTGGTTAGGCATTGGTATTGTTATGTAGATGGAAGAGGGGAGGAAGCGCCATCACCTGCCCCACATATTGAAGTGTAGTCTGATAAAGGATTCCGGGGGGCGTGGCCCTGTCCAAAGCCTATGGAGGTGATGGCATAAGGCACTCCCCCTAGCAGTGACCCCCGGGGGAGTTCCTAGTTGATGTGCATCAGCAGAACTCCCCCTACTGGTGGTTAACGCTTCCCGGACTTCAAGTGGACGGCTGAAGCCAGATAGTCAGTTAGGACCAATGCCTAAGCCAATACTGTTCATCACCTGTAACCAATAAAGTTGTGGCCTTATTTAGCCCATTAACCTTAAATAATTGTGTCATGTGTGTTTTTTCCCCACGGGGGGCGGGGCAGGAACTCACCATGCAAGTGTGGGAGTGTGGGAAATAGCTTGCTGAGTTATTGGGGTGCTGGAGTGATGTTATTTCTTGGGGATAAATCCTGATTGTGGAAGAGAGGATGTGCGTGCTTGCTCAGGCTACACTTGCAAATAATCAGTTTATTGAAAATGGCGCCACAAGTCTCCATGACTCCCTTCTCGCAAGGAAACTGGAGGTATAAAAGACGTGATGTTCTCTTACCCACATACCTGCATCCCGTTGCCTTTAGACATTTTCATTCCTGAAGTCAAAAAGAGAAAGTGGCACCTGTCCCCTTGCCATTTGGTTGATGGCTTTCAAACATGGAAGGCAAGAAAATGAGGACACTTTCTGAAAGTTGCTTGAGACAGCTCATCTAGACTAGTCACATTTTCTGTGTTGGCAAACTCTCCTTCATCTTGCCGCTGTTCCTCAATAACAGGTCAAAAAGACAGAAGTAAAGCATGGCAAAAATAGAGTGGTGGCATATTTTTTTTAAAGCATACTAAAACAACAACACTTTTATAGAGCTATATGGGCAATAACAGAGAGAAATGGAGATGAACCCCCCTATTTTTAGAGTAACTGAGCTGCCAACATTGCTATTTTCAGCAGATATCGAAGACACCAGGTGGCAGCAGAGGAACAGGCCAAGACTACTACTTTAGCTGGACTAGAGACATAGTGATATTGTTTGCAGGAACCACGGTGAATTTATGAGGGAATTTGGTTTTGCAGTGGAAATAGGAGGAGGATCCTAAGACAATTTCAGCTCACGGATTAACAGGGGGCTGTGAAAATCTAAACATGCAGATTTTATTGGGACTGAGCTCCTCCTACCCCTTTTGCCTTTGTATTTTTGAACATCTATCAATGGCAGTGGAACAACTGATGTGTTATCTGAAGCCACCCAGAGTGGATGGGGTAACCCAGTCAGATGGGCGGCATATAAATAATAAATTGTTATTGTTATTATTGGCACAGTTTAAAGATACGATGCATTCATTTTATTACAAGTAAAATGCTAGCGACAGTTCAGTTTAATACTGTCTTTTTATATAAAATAGCCTATTTAGTTCCTGGAATAACTGAACAGAAAGGTAGAAATCAAATTACCACATTTCCCCCCTCTTAACTCACAACTTTTGCTTGTTGAATTGTTGCACGCCACCCCAATCTCCCAGTGATGCAAAGTTTGAGGGGTTCCAGGCACTTACCCGGAGTTTGTGTTTCCTTTTTGAAATGAGGCACAGGGGAGAATGTGGTGTCTTTAGGATATATAGCTTATTCACACATAAATAGAACCTGAGTCTGTGATGGAGGAACTCACAGCATTCAGACCTCAAAAAGTCTTGTTTCTCCCATAGTCGCTGCCTTGGATTCCAGCAGAAATCAGGCTCGGCTTTCTCTCTCTGCCTCTCCAGCCTGCCGCTTTTGCCTCCAACTTCTAGCTCACATCACTCAACTCTTGTCTTTTGTCTTTCTGAGTGTAGGTACTAAGAGGGTAGGGTGGTGGCAGGACTAATGGATAATTTGAACTGCAACTGGCCAACTTTGCAAGGCAGTTGCACAAGCAGGCATTCCTATAGCCTTCCCCTTTGGTTACACCCTTCCCCTGTAACCTCCTGGAGGGTACAGATTTTTCCTGCTGTATCTCTTCCAACTCTGCTTTTGATCTCCTCCAAATTGCCTTTATTCCCTGTAGTCAACTGAAACTGCCCTCTGGAAACTACTGGACTCTTCCATGGGCTTCTATTTGGTCCTCATCCACTTTGACCCTTCTGCTGCCTTCAGTACAGTCAGGGATTGGTTGGTAAGGGGCAGGTGATGGTTGCAGAAGCAGGGGGAAAGCAAAGCAATCTTTGTGAGGAAAATGGACTGGGCCCTCTCCAAAAACCGCAACTAGCAATGTTTCCTTAGTAGACAATTCCTTGGGACCACACACAGTAGTCTGTTGGTGGCGACATCATTGTTCATTTTATCACAAATCAACTGGAGGATTGCAAATTGGAATGAAGAACATGCACTTCTACCTTGTGTTTTCAGATGGGATTCATTCACATATCAACAAGTTCAGGTTGTGCAATTTAAGTTGATTTGGAGCTCTTGCATAACACTTCTGCTCTCTGCCCGCCAAGGAATTTTTCCAATAGGGAAAGTGACAGGAGAATGCACCAGGAAATGTGGGATAATGCTTGCTTGATACATGGGAAGGATGTGGAATAGCTCCGAGGGTACAGCATGAGACGCTTAACCTCAGGGTCTTGAGTTTGAGCCCCGTGTTGGGCAAAAGTTTCCTGCATTGCAGCGGGTTGGACTAGATGACCCTTGTGGCCCCGTCCAACTCCGCAATATTCTACGAGAAGGTTGTATAACCTCCCTGCAAACAGATGAATGGATGAATGCTCAGTAAATACTGAACGTGCATCCAATGCATTTCAAGTCCTGAGTTTTTAATCTATGTTCACACAATGTTATCCAAGATGTGTATGTATACTGCACTTCGTTGTGGGATCGGTGCACCAAATGTAGTGTCTAAATGATGTAAGGTAAAGGGTAAAGGGACCCCTGACCATTAGGTCCAGTCGCTGACGACTCGGGTTGCGGTGCTCATCTCACTTTATTGGCCGAGGGAGCCGGCATACAGCTTCCAGGTCATGTGGCCAGCATGACTAAGCCGCTTCTAGCGAACCAGAGCAGCACATGGAAACGCCGTTTACCTTTCCGCCAGAGCGGTACCTATTTATCTACTTGCACTTTGATGTGCTTTCGAACTGCTAGGTTGGCAGGAGCAGGGACCGAGCAACGGGAGCTCACCCCATCGCGGGGATTCGAACCGCCGACCTTCTGATCGGCAAGTCCTAGGCTCTGTGGTTTAACCCACAGTGCCACCCGCGTCCCCTAAATTATGTAAGCAGTTTCAAAATGCCAGTCTCCGTGCCCCTCTGCTCCATTTCTTCTACATCAACCCTTTTCACCAATACATTGGTGGTGGGGAACCTGCTGGTTACCATCCATTTGCAAAACCCGAATGACCTGCTTGCAATGCTAAACTCTGTCCGAGAGCACCTTTAGTCTCCCATCAAGCCCCACTTCAGCCCCCCTTTTCCCCATGGAGTCTGGCTTAAGCCCTTAGTCTTTATCCTTCAATTAAAACTAAGCCAAAGGAATCACAAATGCTTTTAATCACATCAATCCCTTGTGACATAGGCTTTCCTGGTTGTTGTCGCTGCAATTGCTGAAATTTGGCTTGTAAAATCCTCAAAGCAGGGACCTGTGTTTTTTCCCTTTCCGTTTTGCTCATCATGTACAGTGGTGCAATAAAAATACCATCATAGTCACCACTGCCACCATCCCCAGAAGCCTGCATTGCAAATACATGCACATATCTCACCACACGAGTAAAAACAAAATGAAACGCCATCCACACAATGCGCTTCAGTAGTCGGCAGCTGGGTAACATGCAATTTTATTTCCTTACCGCATTATGGATTGGGAAAATCCAAGTGAGAATGGGGGATAGTGTGGGATGCCATGTGGGTGAGAACAACACAAGTTACATGTGAGATGCATCCAATCCACTTTAAGTTGCTGTGTGTTTACAGCCTTAGTTCACCACAGGGCCTGTTTCTTGGGTTGTACATGATGTACAATGCCTAGGTCAGCATCGCCTGAGCTCTGCGAGTGCAGCTTTCTCCCAATTGAAGTGCAGAGTGTTTGAGGACTGGGACTTTCGCAGGGAAACCAAAATGCTTGTTTACAAAGCTATTATACTACCAACCTTACTGTATGCTTGGGGACTACTTATAAATGCCATCTCCAACTCCTTGAAATATTCAAGCAACAGTGTCTCCGAAAATTTTTACACATCACTTGGGAAGACAAGTGAACTAATGCCAGTGTACTGGAAGAAGCAAAGATCACCGTGTTGAAGCGAAGATTCTTCAACATCAACTTCTTTGGACTGGTCGTGTTGTACGGATACCTGATTATCGTCTTCCAAAGCAACTACTCTATTCCGAAGTTAAAAATGGAAAGCGTAATGATGGTGGTCAACAAAAGAGGTTTAAAGACTGCCTCAAGGCAAATCTAAAAAATGTCGTATAAACACCAACAACTGGGAAACACTGGCCTGCGAGCACTCCAGTTGGAGAACAGCCTTTATCAAAGGTGTCATGAGCTTTGAAGATGCTCGAACTCAGGATAAAAGGGAGAAATGTACCAAGAGGAAGGCACAATGATCAACTCCTGACTGGTCATGTGGATCCAGAATTGGCCTCCCCAGTCAGTTACGGACCCACGGTTAAAACCATGTTTATGGAAGACAATCTTACTCAGCTACGAGTGATCGCTAAAGAAGAAGACAATGCCTAGGGTGTAGAAACAGATTACCATGGTCATGTAAACATGCTCCCTACAGGTCCAAAACTGTCTCCAAACATCCATGTTCTAAGAGGCTTTACCCCCTTTACAGTTTTGTTTCATCGCATTTCCCGCCCCTCTGTTCATCATTCAGAAATTCATAGCAAGCACTTCTTGCAGTAATCACCAGTCGGAGAGCCACCCCCCTGTGCTTATATTTCCGAATCTTCAATGGGGCTGTTCAAAAATATCTTAGGGGGAACAAATGGCAAGCCCTCGTATGGGAGGAGTAAGGTTTGGACTGGGAATCCTCGCTTGGCGCTTGTTGCCTGGTAGGACTTACTTTCCGCTACCCGATGCTCAAGTGTCCCCATTTCAGAGTCCCAAGCTTGCGCCCTCCTCAGTTTATTTAAAGTGTTTCGGAAGCCCTCTGTGTTGAAGTAATAGATCAGGGGGTCCAGAGTGCAGTTCATGCTGGCCAATATCACCGTGATGACCAGGGCCTGCCGTACCGAATCCTTCATTTGCACGTCGGTCTTGATCAGCTGGGCTTTTATCAGCCCATAGGCTGCCAGAACGACATTGTAGGGCACAAAGCAGATAATGAAGATGACCAGGTTGACCACTAGCATGCGAAGCGTCTTCCTTTGGCGCAGGCTCTGCATCCCACCAGCCTGGCACAGTTTCTGGAAAATTCGGACCGAGCAGTAGGAAACGGAGGTCAGGGGCAGAAGAAAGCCAAGGATCTCCGCCAGGATGATCAAGGGCAGGAGCTCTTTCTGCCACAGGCCCTCGCTGAAGTTCTCGAAGCAAAGAGTGATGGTCATCCTGTCTTTGACACAGGAAGTGGATTTGTGGACATAAGCCACAGGAATAGAGCCTACCAGGATAAGCACCCAGACCACAAGGCAGACAATCCGAGCCAGTCTGGGGCGCCGGAGGTGGCGCCAGCGAAGCGGGTGGACAATTGCCACATAGCGGTCCAAGTTGATGCACATCAGGAAGAGGCAGCTACCGTACATGTTGATTTGGAAGACAGAGCCCGAGACCTGGCAGAGGAATTCTCTAAAGGGCCACTGCTCCATGGAATAGTAGTAGATACGGAAGGGCAAAGAAATGGTGAACAGGAGGTCGCTCGCGGCCAAGTTAAGCATGTAGATGCTCACCACCGACTTGAGTTTCAGGTAGTTCAAGAAGATCCAGATAGCGGCCACATTGAGCAGCAAACCTGCGGTGAAGATCAGGCTGTAGCCGATCAGGTGCAGCCGGTGGTTGGCACTGTGGTCCTTGCAAATCACGATCGGGGTGACATTGGCCGATGACATGCCTGTGAAGCATCTGAGGGCCTCAGCCCTGCCGTTCAGGGTGCTTGGAGACAATCTCCTTCAAAGGAAAGGGCACCAGAAAGGGTGCGCAATTCTCAAGTTGGTGATCATTTCTTTATTTCATTTCTAGCAGTTGCTGCTGCTAGATGGTTCTCTTCCCAGCATTCCTACTTAAGCCTCCAGGCCCCAGGAACTGTCAGAGATGGGAAGGTCGGCACCATTCATGATCATACAGAATGATGAGTCTGGAAGAGAACGAAAAATATAGTTATTAACTGTAGCATACTCACATCAAGAAAAGTGAGGAATTCAGTCATGGGGTGGGAGAGAAATGCACGTAAGGAGAAAGGAAAAGGCAACAGGTAGATAGATACAGCATGTTGTCATGAAAATATTTAGAAAGTGCACAAGGTTTCTCCAGATTTTCCTCTCTGCTATTTATCAGCTAATTTAATAGCTAACTACACAGAGCAGGGAGAACTTAACCCTGTCCCTACCTCTCTTTACCCATCAGGAAAAACTCATGGCAGGGGTGGGTCCTCTTTCTGCTTCTCCAGGTTCTGATAATAGGGTGTTGCCATCACCGAGAATACCACATAACATCCTCAAGAGTCTTTGGGTGGGGTTGAACTATCAGATAATGAATTCCTTTGACTTTTTTTTCATAAATCTTGGCTCAATTCAGAGAGCATGGCAACACTGCATGCACAAACCACAGCCTGCAGTTTCACTTCAAACTATGACTTCCGATTCTGCTCTCTCTTGACAGAAAGAGGTAAGATTCATTGGCTGTGTCTGGGTGTCTGAATTAAGCTTTTGTTGAAGTGGGAGAAAATAGCAAGTAAACCATTAATGAAGTGTAGGTGAGTTCCCACGAGGCAAGACACAGAACCTTGACTGAACTACATAACTGGGAAACAGGGGCAAAGCAACTGCTTATATACATTCCTGAGAGCCTGGGCCACTCCCACTCCCAACGTGATTGGCTGTCTAAACATCATGACTCAGAGTTCAAGGGCCAATGGCAGAGGCCCAAATCCTGAAATGTTCTGTGATTGGACATCATGTATCGAATCAGAACACAGGAGCTCAGAATCCTTAGTCCGGACTCAAGCTCAGGCAAACACAGACCACTGAATACATAACAATGAAAATACTAGGCTTTTAAAAAAGAAACGGCACACTTCATTGTGGAAATCCAAGCTTGGGGAAGCTGCCCTAGCCTGAGATCAAGCATTATTATGGTTTTTGACCTCTTATCTTACTGGATAGACTTCCCCTACTTGACCGTGCACTTAGATTTGTAGATTTCCTTTTCCTTTTCCTTTTTATCATTATTCTCCACCAGGTGTTGATTTGGCAGGCCCTTCCTTGAGGCAGTGAGGAAGTTACAATCACAGGGTACAAATGCATTGTCTCCAAAACACAGGAGCCCTTTGAAACACTCCTCGCATGTTGTGTTCAAACAAATCTCTGTTAATCACAAAACATTAATTAAAAACTAGAAACATGGGAATCTGTGTCATACCCTAAATCAATTATGGGGAAAAGATCTAGGCGAAAAATCAGTACTGCTTAATGGGTTGCAATTTGGTGCAAAAAACCCCCCCACAACCCAACAACATTCAAACTGATTTCTGTGAGTATCGGAGAAAAATAGTTGAAAATCCTACGCAGATGCCACGCCACAGCCTAAGTCAAATAGCTTCATCTAACTCTGTCGTGTGCTGGAGGGGATGTGGGGAGACGGGAAAGTATGTCCACATGTGGAATCAAGCTCCTCAATTCTTCCGATCATTCTGGAAGAAAGTCTTTGAAGAGCTAGCATGATGACAGCCCAACAAATTCCTATGAAACCTCAAATGGCTCTTCTTTCCCTATATAGAAGAAGAAGAAGAGTTTGGATTTGATATCCCACCTTTCACTCCCTTTAAGGAGTCTCAAAGCGGCTAACATTCTCCTTTCCCTTCCTCCCCCACAACAAACACTCTGTGAGGTGAGTGGGGCTGAGAGACTTCAAAGAAGTGTGACTGGCCCAAGGTCACCCAGCAGCTGCGTGTGGAGGAGCGGAGACGCGAACCCAGTTCCCCAGATTACGAGTCTACCGCTCCTAACCACTACACCACACTGGCTCTCTTTAGAGAAGAACTTGGATTACTTCATAGGAAATTGCTCTTATTCATAGTTAGTGCTGCAGGATTGACAACTGCAAAGTTCTGGAAAGCCCCTGCCTCCAGTAAATTAGAAACCAGGTGTGGTACCAACAGCTTTAGCTTTTAGCATTCATGGAACAACTGACTGCACGTATAAATACTTAGACTGCCCACTCAGAAGTGGTTTCATACAGTTTTACTGCATATGCAACCACAAAAGAACACAACCACCCTCCACACATGAATGCCAATGGAGAGACACCTTGAGATAACAGATATTTTCCAGAACAGATATGGAAAACATGGACAATTGAAAGATGGACTTTGCCTTGGCTGGGGTTGGGGGCTACGATTTCTTTCTTGTACAGTGAACGCTCGGGTTGCAATTGTGATCTGTGTGGGATACACGTTCGCAACCCACAGCGTTCGCAACCCGCAGCGGCGCATCTGCACACACGCAGGTTGCGATTCGGCGCTTCTGCGCATGCGCAAAGCGATTTAGTGCTTCTGCGCATGCGTGACCACCGAAACCCAGAAGTAACCCGTTCTAGTACTTCCGGGTTTCGTTGGGTCCGTAACCCGAAAAAACGCAACCTGAAGCATCTGTAACCCGAGGTATGATTGTATTTGTTTTGTTCTGTTATGTACAGAAATCAATAAAACATTTTTAAAAACAACAACCCTAAGTAGGCTCATATGGGAGAATGCGGTCCGTCTGATCACTTGCTCCCAAGCTGTGTAAGGCTTTGCAGGTCAGAGCCAGAACTCTGAATTGTGTCCAATAACAGACTGGTAGCCAGTGAAGCTGTGGTAAGAAAGAGGTAACAAGGGAGTCACATCCCCTTTATAATCAGCCCTGGTCAATTGGCTGCTAGCTGAAGTTTCCAAACACTATTCAAAGCTAGGCCTGCGGAGCTGTTGTTGCTATTGTGGTTGGCACCAGTGCTGGATTTATAATAATAATAATATAATAATTTATTATTTATACCCCACCCATCTAGCTGGGTTTCCCCAGCCACTCTGGGCGGCTTCCGACAAAACACCAAAATACAATAACCTATTAAGCATTAAAAGCTTCCCTAAACAGGGCTGCCTTTAGATGTCTTCTAAAAGTTTGGTAGTTATTTTTCTCTTTGACATCTGGTGGGAGGGCGTTCCACAGGGCGGGCGCCACTACCGAGAAGGCCCTCTGCCTGGTTCCCTGTAACTTGGCTTCTCGCAGCAAGGGAACCGCCAGAAGGCCCTCGGTGCTGGACCTCAGTGTCCGGGCAGAACGATGGAGGTGGAGACGCTCCTTCAGGTATACTGGACCGAGGCCGTTTGGGCTTTAAAGGTTAGCACCAACACTTTGAAATGTGCTCGGAAACGTACTGGGAGCCAGTGTAGGTCTTTCAAGACCGGTGTTATGTGGTCTCAGCAGCCGCCCCCAGTCACCAGTCTAGGTGCCGCATTCTGGATTAGTTGTAGTTTCCAGGTCACCTTCAAAGGTAGCACCACATAGAGCGCATTGCAGTAGTCAGAGCGCATTGCAGTAGATTTACGTATAAGCTAAACAAGCTATAGCTTAGGGCCCCACTCTCTTGGGGGCCCCCAAAAAATTTAAAGGAAAAAACAACTGGATGTACATTTCCAAAATATAAGATAAAAAACAAATAAAATAAAGACTACATACAGCAACAGTATTTTGTTTTGTGTCATGTATGGACCTATTAGGTACATAAATTACCATATAGCATATATTCAACAGAAAAAAACAGCAACAATTTGTTGTTGACAAAGGACAGCTGGACATATAAAGGGCCCCATTACCTTCAGTAGCTTAGGGCCTCATCAAACCTAAATCCAGCCCTGGACTTGACATCCATCTATCTCAAGAGGAAATGGAGTGCACCTCCAGGGGTGAAGGTAACCCGCTTAGTGACCTCCCCGGGGGCAAGCCTGGGCAGTGTGTCTCAAAGTCCTGGGCTGCCCAGACAACAAGACCCTCTTCTCAGCTGATGGGGTCCAAAGGAAAGCAAAGCAATTACGTCTTAGCCTTTTCTTCTCCAGAAGATGTCCTGCAAGGCAGCATGTACTGATATTTCCTCAGGGTTTAACTCCCGGAGACTTTCTCCATATTACAAATAAGATGTAACTAAAGCATGCGTCACTTTCAGAAAGGAGTGCAGCTGATGCACTACCTTCAGCTGTGCAAAAGCGCTCCTGGCTACTGATGAAACAAGCACACCCATTCGGTGAGGCTGAGTCATTTCCCCATTCCAGAGGTCCACCATGGCTTTGACAGTATCCCAGGTGAGACGAAAATTCCCAGGAGTCATCCAGAAACCATCTGGATCCTTTAGCTTCCTGGGACGGCCTATTTTAATTGGTACCCCGACTCCTGCAGAGGTTCAGCGTCCCAGCAAGCCTCTACAGGGCTGAACTTCTGAACCAAATTTTGTCAGCCAACACCTCTGCATCCTTTATTTTTGCTGATGGTCGTGGGGAAAAGAAGCCTCCGTGTGATCTCACAGCTCTGTTTGCACATTTTCATGCCCCTGTTCTAGGGTGGTCAGGTGGAAGAGAGGCCAGGGCTACTGTACTTTTAATCGTAGCACAGAATTTGGGAAGGCACAGGTTTTTCTCAAAATAAAAAAAATCCTTCCAGTAGCACCTTTAAGACCAACTAAGTTAGTTCTTGGTATGAGCTTTCGTGTGCAAGCACACTTCTTCAGATACACTGAAACAGAAGTTGCCAGATCCTTCTATATAGTGAGAAGGTGGGGAGGGGTATTACTCAGAAGGGTGGTGGGAATGGGAGATTGGCAGATAGCTGAGATGAGCCTGCTGACGACTCTTAACGACTGTAATAGGTCTTACAGGAAAAGGCAAGGGGTGAGAAGGTGAGAAATGGCTTAGTCATGTATAATGGGATAAGAATCCAATGTCTTTGTTCAAACCAGGTCTCTCCATGGTTTTAAGTTTGGTAATGAGTTGCAATTCAGCAGCTTCTCTTTCCAGTCTATTTCTGAAATTCCTTTGTAGTAAAACAGCTACTTTGAGATCTTGTATAGAATGTCCTGGGAGATTGAAGTGTTCTCCTACTGGTTTCTCTGTTTTGTGATTCTTGATGTCAGATTTATGTCCATTTATTCTTTGGCGTAAGGTTTGGCCTGTTTGTCCAATATAGAGAGCTGAAGGACACTGTTGGCATTTGATGTCTGCCCTGACAAACTGCAGCTGGAGGAATCCCCTCTTACTTGCAACTATTAATGGAACAGGATTCGCCTCATTTTCTCCACTGTTTGTCACTGCAAGGAACTGCATTCTAGGCGTGTCACCAAAATTTTTGAGAAATGCAAAGAGTGCGCAGGGTGGCAGAGGATGAAGCAGTAAAGAACATCCAGAACCTAAATGGAGGTAATCCAATATGCTTAAAGTTACTATTTTTGCCGTCAATTTCACCACCTCCATATAGTCCAATAGTTTTAAAATAGGAGACCAAAAAGACTAAATGTTTGTGGAAGAGTGGAGAGCCCTTTTGGATTATCTGAGAAAATGCACAGGTGGTAGAGAGGGCAGATTGCAATCCTATGCCCATCTACCTAGGAGCATGCCGCACTGAACTCAGTGAAACCAATTTCTCTGAGTAGATATGTATAGGATTGTGCTGCATGAAAGATTCTGTGCAAATGTTAACTGACTACTGTGGAGTGTGGAATGGCTCTATAAACTTCCTGTCTGTTGGGCCTTCCTAGAGAATATGATCTGGAGAGAGGCTGCTTAAAATGGCAGCCATTCAAGCGCTGCTGTTGCTGCTGGCACCAACAAAGCCCAGCCCCCTTCCTCCTCTAGGCAGGGCAGGGAGAAGCCAGGAGGAGGGAGGGAGGAGGCGCCGCTGCCGTGTGTGGGAGGGAGAGGGAAAGAATGCGTGTGCTGGCGATCCACGCGGTGATTCCCGGACCGCTCATGGGCCAGATCCAGAAGGCAATTGGGCCTGATCCGGCCAGCGGACCTTAGTTTGCCAACCCATGCTCTTCAGGAAGCTGGCTTCAGGCACCAGGCCTGTTGGCAGACCAACTCTGTATTATAAAAATGTCTGCAAATGTGACATGAAGACTGGGAACATTAACCCCACCCAGTAGGAATCCCTTGCAGATGACTGCAAAGCCTGAAGACAGTCAGATTGCGTATCCACAGCAGTGACCAGAGGAGGAATGATGGCTGGGAGGAGCGCAGAGAGAAGAAATGCCATGGTACATCTGCAACAGCCCAACTGGATACCTTCCTCTGCCCCAGTTGCAACAAAACATGTCTCTCCTGTATCGGTCTCTACAGGTACAGCAGGCGCTGTAACTCTCCAATGGTTTGACTTCACCCTACAAAGATGCACTCCTCAATTGTCTCCTGAGACAGACGGATGTCAACAACAACATAGGAAGGTGGCAGAGAGCAGTCGGTCTGCTCTAAGTGCTTGTCATTCTTCCTGTTCTACTTATGCTTTTACCCTTTGGTCCCCAAATAAAATTAGCTGACATCTTTCTTAAACTTTACAAGTAAATCCCTGTAATTAATTGCTCACAGCTGTAACGGGGGCACATCAAAAATGGCAGCGGCTACTTCTGTGACTAGAAAAACTACTACTCCCCTATCCAGTTAGGAAAGTAGTTTCTGTGGTTTTCTGCCCACCGCCACACTTCAGACATTAATTTATGTGTGGGAAAACAGAGAGAATCTTTCAAAGCATAACAGAAGCAGCAGTAGATCTTAGGGCTCGTCCACACCAATTTTCCGCTGCAATTTCTAGGCACAGATCCATATTTTTCTGGTCTGTGTCCAAGTGTGTGTGTGTGTATATGTAGTTTAGGGATTTGCATTTTAAAAAATTAAATTAATTTTTTTTGCACTGCCACTCTCCCCACAAAAACCCGCTCTTTAAAGCTCTTGGCAACCCACAGAAAACACAAATTGCCATTCAGCATTAAAGAGCAGGTTTTCCTGGGGAAAGTAGCGACACAAAATAATAATGATGATGATGATAATTATAATAATATTATGCTTGGAAAAGGGAGGACCTGTAAGTAGAAAGCAGAAGGCAAAAGGTAAATGTGGACGAGCTCTTAGGGAAGGCGAGAGAGAATACCCCCAAATCAGCCTGGTTATGTTGCTTTTGTTTTCCGGTGAGCATAGCCTCAACACTAATTATAATAACTATCCCCTCTTATGAGGGAATGCTGGGAGCTGGAATTAGGGGTGCTTAGGGTTCCAGACCCACGGTAGTCCTGGTGGATACATCCAGTTTGAAATTAAATTAGGCTGTCAGTCAAAGTGCCAATGGCCAGGCAACTAGGACTTGCACCTTTACAGGAAGGGCTCAGTGGAAGAGCATCTGTTCTGCATACAGAAGGTCCTTTAATCCCTGGCACCTCCAGGTAGGACCCTTGCCTGACCCTGAAGAACCATTGCATGTCCATATCAACAATACTGAGATAGATGGACCAAACGTCAGTATAAGGCAGTTTCCTATGACAGTGGTTAGAATAGTGTCGCAAGGTGTCATTGGTCTACGACTCCCATGCTATCTGACCAGTGACCAGACTGGATGAGAACTGGAGTCCATCGCAATCTGGAGATCCCATCCCTGTTCTTAGCCTTTTTCTTAGGGCAAAATCAGGTGCTATATTTGGGAGCACCTCCTGGCAAATAGAAGGGGAAGAAATGGAGGCAGTGAGAGATTTTACTTTCTTGGGCTCCATGATCACTGCAGATGGTGACAGCAGCCACGAAATTAAAAGACGCCTGCTTCTTGGGAGAAAAGCAATGACAAACCTAGACAGCATCTTAAAAAGCAAAGATATCACCTTGCCAACAAAGGCCTGTATAGTTAAAGCCATGGTTTTCCCGGTAGTGATTTATGGAAGTGAGAGCTGGACCATAAAGAAGGCTGATTGCCGAAGAATGGATGCTTTTGAATTATGGTGCTGGAGGAGACTCTTGAGAGTCCCATGGACTGCAAGAAGATCAAACCTATCCATTCCGAAGGAAATCAGCCCTTAGTGCTCACTGGACGGACAGATCCTGAAGCTGAGGCTCCAATACTTTGGCCACCTCATGAGAAGAGAAGACTCCTTGGAAAAGACCCTGATGTTGGAAAGATTGAGGGCACAAGGAGAAGGGGACGACAGAGGACGAGATGGGGGGGCAGTGTTTTCAAAGCTACCAGCATGAGTTTGACCAAACTGTGGGAGGCAGTGGAAGACAGGAGTGCCTGGCGTGCTCTGGTCCACGGGGTCACGGAGAGTTGGACACAACTAAACGACTAAACAACAACAACAACAATATTTGGGACATGTGAACAGTCTCCCAACATTTTTTCAAAAATGAAAAGCAGCTACAGAAGGCAGCCAATTTCAGTGGAGGAACATGGGCTTTGAAACCATTTTGAGATTGTCCTGTAGATAGGGTAAAGGTAAAGGTACCCCTGCCCGTATGGGCCAGTCATGTCTGACTCTGGGGTTGCGTGCTCATCTCGCTTAAGAGTCCGGGAGCCAGCGCTGTCCGCAGACACATCTGGGTCACGTGGCTAGCGTGACGAAGCTGTTCTGGTGAGCCAGCACCAGCGCAGCGCACGGAAATGCCGTTACCTTCCCGCTATAAAGCGGTACCTATTTATCTACTTGCACTTAGGGGTGCTTTCGAACTGCTAGGTGGGCAGGAGCTAGGACCGAAAGACGGGAGCTCACCCCGCTGCGGGGATTCGAACCGCCGACCATGCGATCGGCAAGTCCTAGGCACTGAGATTTTACCCACAGCGCCACCCGCGTCCCCTGTCCTGTAGATAGATCTGCCCAAAGTGTCACAGCAAATTTGGAAGGGACCCTTTTCAGTTTTACCTTGTGTTTCTATGGAAGGTGCCCAGAGACTTTGCTAGATAGGGTACCAAACTGAAGCCAAAAACAACCTGGCCACTTTCATTTCCAGTTTTTGAGGAAATTGGTAAAATTCCATTTAGATCAAGAAATGAAAGTTACACATACCACCCCCTCCAATGGCTTTTCAAAGGCATCATAGCAACACACCTCTCCTTAGCAAGTATTTCTTCATACTAAAAACCACCCAGCTCATTTATATACAAGTGGAATTTGATATAGTATTATAAATTATTATAGCATTATTATTCACATGGCCAAGATCCTTCAGCAATGCCTACCCACAACTAAGTCCCATTCTACAAAAGTTCTTTCTCTAATAAAGTAGTTTTAATAAATAAATACAAAGTCTAAAACCTTTTTTTCCTGCCATTTAAAAAAATGCTGGCACTGGTTCTTTCTGCTTTAACATGACGCTGTTTTGTGGATTCTTAATTATATTTATTTTGTTGTGATGTTCTTAATCTTAACTCTTATATTGTAGCTGTCTTGCAAGGGGTTTGCTTTTAAAAGCAGAATAAAAATAACTCAGCAAATAACTGACTGTCTAAATTGCCAAGGAAGGAATAGGGAAGCATTGCTATATTTTGTTCTGTCTGATTTCTTGTGCCTTTAATAGTTGCATGACAGGCAGAAATTCAGCGGATGCGAATTTCCTAGAATGGAAATGCAGTGATGAAGAAGCTGTACCTGTTGAATTTCTGTTTAGCCTTCTTCTTTTAGAAGCACAGAAGATGATCTTCCAAAAGTAAATGTAGAAACACTGTCTGAGGACACCATTTCAGGCTGTCATAACCATATCTCAGTTTAATCTCTTTTCAATGCTTCTGAATATGCTTTCCCCACCACTGAGTAAGCATAGCTCATGCCCCAACCCTGGCCTTCAACAAATGCTTGATGTGCAGAAATTAACAGGGGGAGATTTTCAGATCGTGGCATTGAACTTTGCCATAGGGCTAACGTCAGCCTATTCCTATGAGCCACCCTGTATTTTTTCTGAGCAGTTATTCTTTTGGGGGGGGGGGGAGCAGGCCAGACTGAGGAGGTTTTCCAGTCTGCCGGCTAACCGACAGATAACAAAACACTTTTATGGCTACCACCACAATCACCAGCATTTAACCTCATCTCCCTACTCCACTCTCCCAGTGTCTTTTACCTCTCTTTATCTGGAGGTATTACAGGCTTGAGGTTTCTGACATCTTCGGCTGAATGTCCGCAGCAACTGCAGGAATTTTAGCTCACCAGCGGAAGTCAAAGGCAGATCAGAAGCGAGCGAGGACCTCAGGTTAGGTGGGAAATCTAGCTCCATAGACTTCACCATCCGGACTTTCTCTCACTTTCATTCCTTCTTTTACGGAAATTGCTCTTTTTCTTGCTTCAATCCCATTTCCCGGCCATCATGTGTCTGTGACACAACTTGCCATTGATAACAACATATGAACTTTGGTTCCAACAGCTGATAAGCCATGACAGGCTCCTCAGACAAGCAAGAAGAAAACGTATCGTCCTCTGCCCGCCGCAGTAGTTTTGTGGTGAGAAGAACGCGACAAATAAGGAAGTGGGCTAGTGGTGCTTTTGCTAGCTTTTTACTTTTCTTCTCTTGCACTTCCTCAGACGTCTACCCTACCCTGTGCAGAAAGTGCAGAGCAAGGCAAGGAAATTAATCATTAGCCAGTAGCTATCACATCGGAGTTTGCAGGGCTGAAAGGAAGTTGAGGGTTTGTCGGATGGGTGTGTCGTGCAGAGCACATCACACCAGTCCTCCAGCATTTGCGTTGCCTTTTCCGGCTAGAAAAGGTGCTGATTTTTGTGTTAAAACCACGGTTGTCCTGGGTCTAAAACACCCAGAGATTGCCTTCTCTCCTTCGTAGTGAGAGCCAGAGAATCCCAAGACATTTTGACGCCTGAGGCAGAAAAAGTGTGGATAGGGGCCAATGGGGCTCGTCAACCTGGGAAGGGAGCCCATCTAGAAGAAGGGAAACTCTGATCCTAAAACTTGTGGAAAGTTTTGGGAGAAGAAATTCAGAGTGGAGCTTCTTAGGTGGTTGGATGACGCCTTCTATGCCTCCTTCCAGCAACTCCTGCAGCCAAGCTGGTGTCAAATGCTTTTCTCTGCTTTCCTTTGGACCCCCATCAGCAAGGGACGTCTGGGCAGCCCAGGACCTCCATGCACACTGTCCAGGTTTGCGTGCTGGGGAGGTCAATTTGGTGCTGCTAACACAGCTGTTTGACTTCGACCCCAAAGGCGCTTTCCGTTGTCTCTAGAGAATGATAGAGGCCCCAAATGGTGCAGTGGTTAGGCTTTGAGCATTCCATAGGGGGAGGGCTGGTGTGGAGGACTCCCTGGTCCTGAATGGGGTAACTGTGCCCCTGAAGGACCAGGTGCACAGCCTGGGAGTCTTTTTGGACTCACAGCTGTCCATGGAGGCGCAGGTCAATTCTGTGTCCAGGGCAGCTGTTTACCAGCTTCATCTGGTACGCAGGCTGAGACCCTACCTGCCCACAGACTGTCTTGCCAGAGTGGTGCATGCTCTGGTTATCTCTCGCTTGGACTACTGCAATGCACTCTACGTGGGGCTACCTTTGAAGGTGACTCGGAAACTACAACTAATCCAGAATGCAGCAGCTAGACTGGTGACTGGGGGCGGCCGCCGAGACCATATAACACCGGTCTTGAAAGACCTACATTGGCTCCCAGTATGTTTCTGAGCACAATTCAAAGTGTTGGTGCTGACCTTTAAAGCCCTAAATGGCCTCAGCCCAGTATATCTGAAGGAGCGTCTCCACCCCCATTGTTCAGCCCAGACACTGAGGTCCAGCACCGAGGGTCTTTTGGTGGTTCCCTCACTGCAAGAAGCAAAGCTACAGGGAACCAGGCAGAGGGCCTTCTCCGTGGTGGCACCCGCCCTGTGGAACGCCCTCCCACCAGATGTCAAAGAGATAAACAACTACCTGATATTTAGAAGACATCTGAAGGCAGCCCTGTTTAGGGAAGTTTTTAATGTGTGACATTTTAATGTATTTTTAATCTTTGTTGGAGTCCACCCAGAGTGGCTGGGGAAACCCAGCCAGATGGGCGGGGTACAAATAATAAATTATTATTATTATTAATAATAATAGAACACAAGATACTTAATCTCAGGTATGTGGGTTCGAGACCCACGTTGGGCAGAAAGATCCCTGCATTGCAGGGGGTTGGACTAGATGACCCTTGTGGTCCCTTCCAGTTCTATGATCCTACGAAAATACCTCTATAAACTTCACAACCACCAACAATACTAACTGCAGGGGTGGGGAACTTGTGGCCCTTCGGATTCTGTTGGACTCTGCAGCCAGCGTGGCAAATGACCAGGGCTGATGAGGCTTCTGGTTCCCCACCCCAGATTACTGGGTGACTTTGGGCTGGCTACCGTCTCTGAGGCTAACCTCCCCTGGGCTGTTGTGAGGATAAAACAGTGCGTATGTGAGCATGTACGCTGCCTTGCACTGTTTGGAAGAGGGGATATTATAAATAAACTGAAGAAGCAAGTCACCTCTACCTAATGGTCTGGCCTTGCCAAGATTGCCTTATTGGCCATACAATCCATGCACCAAGTTCAAACATCAAGGACACATGGAGAGATGCTTTTCACGCTGCCCCGTGGGCAGACATTTTGCAGAGAGGCAGTGCACTGGAGAGGGGGCAGAATTAATGAGGAACAGTCCGTACCCAAACCAAAGTAGCCTTGTAGATTTGAAGTTATATAATTGCAACAGATTAGAATGGAACAAAATGCTGGTGCAGACCGCCACAACATCCTTCCTTCCTTCTCATTTTTAAAATGATTTTATCATCACGGGGTTGCCGTCTGGGCTTGTCTGTGATGACAAAGATGCTTACTTTATTACTTTTAGCTTTAAATATATGTCATCCATTTCTGCAACAAAATTGGTGCTTATTCCTAAGTAAATGTGCTAAGCATTGGGGCAGCCAAAGCAAACCCCATTTCATTTCTGTCGGTTAGATGGCGCGAAGATTTAAGTGCCTTTAAAATAAAAAATGCACATGCTCTGAGTGTTGTGTGCATACGTGATTATTATCATCACCATCATTAGGTTTTCAAGGAAAGTAATAGTAGAGAATAATAGCAAGGCAATATTATATATACAACTGATGTATAGAATCAATTGGCGGGATACAGGGGTACGCGTACCCCTAAACATTTTGTAAATCTTTGTACTTTTGTCCATTTACTGTATTTATTTTCCCCATTTGAACTATAAAATGGTGATTTTCTTGAGTCAAAATGAGAGTATCCCTAAACATTTTAAAAGCACTGTATAGAATAATAAAGGTAAAGGTACCCCTGACTGTTAGGTCCAGTCGCGGACGACTCTGGGGTTGTGGCGCTCATCTTGCTCTATAGGCCGAGGGAGCCGGTGTTTGTCCACAGCTTCCAGGTCATGTGGCCAGCATGACTAAGCCGCTTCTGGAGAACCAGAGCAGTGCACGGAAACGCTGTTTACCTTCCCGCTGGAGCGGTACCTATTGATCTACTTGCACTTTGACAGGCTTTCGAACTGGTAAGTTGACAGGAGCAGGGACCGAGCAACGGGAGCTCACCCCGTTGGGGGATTCGAACCGCTGACCTTCTGATCGGCAAGCCCTAGGCTCTGTGGTTTAGACCACAGCGCCACCCACGTCCCTGTATAGAATAATACTTATTTCCAAATAGCTTAATTCATGACTGATATGGGAGGAATTCAACAAAGCGCTAAGCAGTATTTCTGCTTGCCTGGTGGAATGATCTGCCTTCCCCCTGCTGTTCTGGGGGTTCTCCCAACTCCCCAGAGCCAATTTGGGGTACACATGAGGAGAGGGTGAGAAGCTCCCCATTACACTAGTGAAATTTGTTTTTCGATCTTTGGATGATTTGGATGGAAAACAACCAAGGAGAGGAGCAATAATATGCCTTAATCTCTGATAATACTGGGAATTGAGCTTCCAGTTAGGTATTGTCCACACCAATTCTTGCGTTCATATTGTTAAGTTGTGGGTGAACATATCAGATGACACAGTGATTCTTCAGACAGCTCTTGTTTATTCACAGGCCAGAACAGAACTGAACTGAAGGGTTCAGCCAGCCTGCTTATATAGAGCTCCATTACAACGCAACAGTAACAACTTTCTGCAACTATCCAATCACTGAACGTCACTTTCAGTTCCTTATTTGCATATGTGAACCTGAGTGAAAACTATCTACAGTATCCCCCTGTTGGCCCAGGGTGAGAACTTCAGTACATAACACATAACACCCATTATATGCACAGGAGCAGTAGGGCATTTGATTAATGCAGAGGATAGACAGCTTTGTAATTTGTGCCAGGAGCTCTCAATCTGTGCTTTAACTTTATAGGGCGGAATATAAACTGAGACAAAAATAACAGATTTAGTCCCAAAATTCAAAATGCTTTCCAGGGCTTAGGTGCTCAGGGTCCTTGAAGACCGTGATCTGGGAAGAGAGGGATGAAGAGACCATTGTAGCAAGACCCCCTCCTGGTCGCCCCTTCCTTGTCCTTTTAGAAGCCTTGGTTTAAAGCACATGATAGTCATCAAGGGAGATGCTTTCAGTTAGCCAAGTTCCTTGCAGCGCTGTCACATCATAACCCTTTATATACTTGCAGAAAGACTCATCCCCGAACTCGTTGGCCCAGCTGCAATGTTCCATGAGATTATTACACTAGCAGAAGTCCTTGCAAAGACTTCCACGACATTAGTTAAAGCCCATCCATAGGGTGGCAGTCAACTAAGCTTTGCTCTGAGAAGACCCACTGAAATCAACAAACAGGACATTAACTCCAGTTTTTCTACTCTGAGAAAAAGTTGGTTAAATATCAATCGAAATGTATATAAATACAAACATTTCTGTCTTATTTTAAACGACACAAGAAAGGGCTTAGTCTGTAATTAAAGAGTACAAAGATTTTCATCATTTCTATATCTCTTCTAACAGAAATTGTCTCCTGTGGCGAAATGGGCCGGTGCATCCGGCTGTTAACCCAGAAGGTTGGTGGTTCGAGTCCAGCCAGGGTTGGCTGTAATAATAATAATAATAATAATAATAATAATAATAATAATAATTTATTATTTGTACCCCGCCCATCTGGCTGGGTTTCCCCAGCCACTCTGGGCGGCTTCCAACAAAGATGAAAGATACACTAAAATGTCACATATTAAAAACTTCCCTGAACAGATGTCTTCTGAATGTCAGGTAGATGTTTATCGCTTTGACATCTGAAGGGAGGGTGTTCCACAGGGCGGGTGCCACTACCGAGAAAGCCCTCTGCCTGGTTCCCTGTAACTTGGCCTCTCGCAGTGAGGGAACCGCCAGAAGGCCCTCGGAGCTGGACCTCAGTGTCCGGGCAGAACAATGGGGGAGGAGACGCTCCTTCAGATATACTGGGCTGAGGCCGTTTAGGGCTTTAAAGGTCAGCACCAACACTTTGAATTGTGCTCGGAAACGTACTGGGAAACGGCTGTGTGCAGGATTCCTGCGTTTTAATGGATTGGTGACCCTCGGGATTCCTTCTAACTCTACGATCCTGTGAATTCTTCTTGCACCTTATTGTTCCAGTGTAGTATAAGCATAGCTGTCAACTTACAGATTTGAAAATAAAGGACCAGCAGCCAAAATAAGGGATTTTCCAGGCACAGGTATGTTCAGCTTCTGAGCCCCTCCGAGCCAAAGGCAGAAAGCCCAGCCAGCAGCAAAACAAAGCCTCAAGCGGTGCTTCCCACAGTGCAGCAACCCGGCCAAGGGGATGCAGCAAGGAAAACCACCGTCACCTCTCCGCTGGGAAGCGCTGAGCAAAGGCGAGTCCCCAGGCAACGCGGCCGATTTGATCAGCACAAGGCATGCAAGCTCCACCCCCCAGTCGTTCTTAGACTCCTTATTGGGTGAGCAACACAGCCAAGCAACACAGTTGGAGCCTCCCTCCTCCCTGGCCGGCAGGGAGGGAGGGAGAGGAGCTGCTTCCTTTGAAACCTGGGAAATTTAAGGGACATCATCAATAAGGGACAGCAACGGGACATGGTGCTGGAATAAGGGAGTTTCCCGCCAAATAAGGCACGGTTGACAGCTATGAGTATAAGCGATCTGTTATTACTATTTTAAAAATCAGGGTTGGCAACCTGTGTCATTGTGCCTTTAACATGGGGTGGTGGTGAGGGAGAAGAGAAATGTTCATTGAGGTCCAGCTCCGATGGCCTTCTGGTGGTTCCCTCACTGTGAGAAGTGAGGCTACAGGGAACCAGGCAGAGGGCCTTCTCGGTAGTGGCACCCGCCCTGTGGAACGCCCTCCCTTCAGATGTCAAGGAAATCAACAACTACCTGACTTTTAGAAGACACCTGAAGGCAGCCCTGTTTAGGGAAGTTTTTAATATTTGATGTTTTATCGTGTTTTTAATATTCTGTTGGGAGCTGCCCAGAGTGGCTGGGGAAATCCAGCCAGATGGGCGGGGTATAAATAATATTTTTTTACTATTATTATTATTATGAACAACACATAACGGCTGTTTAAAGAGGAGCTCTCCATAAGGACATGTGTACATCCAGGGTCTACAACTGCTTAATAGAACCATTGCTCAGAGTCTTCACAACAGGGAAAGCTACCCTGAGGGGGGTCACAGTTAGGACTTCCCATAACCGAGATTTATCGGGCATGGGCTGGGAGCTCCTTGTTCCCTTTTGTCTTCCTCTCCGCAGCCTCGGCCTGTAGGACCTTCCTTCTCTGCCCTTGTTTGTCTTTCTCAGTCTCCGTATGTTTCTTTTTCTGCTGACACTGGCTCCTCATTCAGAGGGTGACACCCCAGGGGATATATATGTGTCCCTGCCACCCATAAATCCTGAGGGGATAACAAAGGCCTCCCAGCCAGTGATCTCATCCAATTTCGTTTTAGTGCCTTTGCTTTCAGAGCCGTGCCCCTTTTCTCCCGATCCCTCGTTGCTGGGATCTTTGTTCTTCCGAATTTCAGGCCCTTTTCAAGAAGCGTGGAAGGGGAGAAGCTGGCAGGTGCATGGCTAAAAACAGCCAGAAAAACTGCCATGGACACTCACAAGGAAGCAGGAACAGTCAGACACAGGGGTGTTGGTGGCACAGGCAATATAAGGAAGGTGTAGCAATAGTAGTAGTAGGAACAGTAATAATAATTCCACATTTCAAGTGTTCTGAACCCTTAGGAATGTCCCTGTTGAATCAGACCAAGGTGTCCTATAAGGTAATGGTAAAGGGGACCCCTGACCATTAGGTCCAGTCGTGACCGACTCTGGGGTTGCAGCGCTCATCTCACCCAGCTCCTGGTGTTTGGAGGTACACTACACGGGTGGTGCTGTGGGTTAAACCACTGAGCCTAGGACTTGCTGATCAGAAGGTCAGTGGTTCAAATCTCCGCGATGGGGTGAGCTCCCGTTGCTCGGTCCCTGCTCCTGCCAACCTAGCAGTTTGAATGGGGACACCATGAAATAAACTTAACTAAGAGATTCAAACGAATCTGCAAATTAGCTTCCAGCTATATTGAGGGGAATCGGCTCTGCTACATCACTTCACTAGTGTGAGTGAAGGAAGGATAATGCTTATTCAATATATGCTTTGCTACTATCCTAAACAGGGGACGTGGGTGGCGTCTAAACCACAGAGCCTAGGGCTTGCCGATCAGAAGGTCAGCAGTTCGAATCCCCGTGATGGGGTGAGCTCCCGTTGCTCGGTCCCTGCTCCTGCCAACCTAGCAGTTTGAAAGCATGTCAAAGTGCAAGTAGATAAATAGGTACCGCTCCAGCGGGAAGGTAAACGGCGTTTCTGTGCGCTGCTCTGGTTTGCCAGAAGTGGCTTAGTCACGCTGGCCACATGACCCGGAAGCTGTACTCCGGCTCCCTCGGCCAATAAAGCGAGATGAGCGCCGCAACCCCAGAGTCGGTCACGACTGGACCTAATGGTCAGGGGTCCCTTTACCTTTACTTTTACTTCTGATCCCAGCATTTCCATTTAGTTATCATTTCTACTGGTCCTTGTCAGCCCTGCGCAGCATTAATATGTGGCACAATTTCTCAAGCCATGTTTCTCAAACTTGAGTCCCCACATGTTGTTGGACTACGACTCCCATCATCCCTGACCAGTGGTCCTGCTAGCTAGGGACGTAGTCCAACATCAACTGGAGACCCAGATTTGAAAACACTGGAAGAAAGCAGCGACTAAGGGCACACCCCACTTCCGTGTGTCCTGTGCCTAGAAAAAATGGGTCTGACCGCTTTTCTTCATTCCTTTCCTAGGGAAAACCACTCCTTTGCTTTAAATAGGGGCAAACATCAACTCAGGGGAATCCTGAGGGACATTTGCTCCAATTGAGCACTAAAGATCGGGTTTCCCTGGGTGGGGGGAAGCGGCGTTGCAAGTGGAAGTCTGCTAGCAGCCAGCATCACATCTTGTGGCAGTGAATTCAATAAGCTAATAATAAAACTGTGAACAGTGTGAATAAATTCTTTCTTTTTTCTCTGGCCTGGGCTGAGGCTACTGCCAACACATTTCACACCATTCTAGTATTACGGGGGGGGGGGGATATCTCCACATCCCTCATGATTTTAAAAACTCTTACTGGCTCCTTTACAACTTCCCTGAAAGGCTGGCTAAGATTTGTCGGAGAAGAGATGCTAGAGAACAGTGGGTTTCCTTAGGCCACTTTGTGGATTCATTGCTGAGGCAAGTTTTGTACTTCTGGTGTCCCGTTATACCTCTTTAAGAGCCATGGCTTCCCTCAGAGATTTCTGGGAGCTGTAGTTTGCTAAGGGTGCTGAGAGTCTTTGAGGGCGCCCTTAACAAACTACAGCTCCCAGGATTCTTTGGGAGAATGCCGTGCCTCTTAAAGCTTTTAATGTACCGTGTGGATGTGACCTACTTAGGCAGCAGCTTCATTGCAGCACTTGCGAAGAAACCACAGCGGCAGAACTCCCACCACAAGTCTTCTAGAACAAAATATTTCTAAACACACACACACACTCACAATCATGTCAGCCAGAAGTGAAGACCTGGCTTTGGGGGATGAAAACATGGCTGCCGGTTAATTTGTGATGCCCCATAATTAGCGGGAGCGACACCCCTCCCCTTCACAACAAGGGAGGCTTCCTCAGAGTCCTGCAAAACCGAGAACCAGCCAAAGTCTGGGAGCTCTGCTAAGGCTGCGATATTAGCTATGGGGCCCTCTGAATACTTCTGCCTCCTTCCCTGTGAAGTCAAAATTCAGATCTACCTACCTGCTACGTTCTCTCAGCCCCTGAGCCAGTCCAGTCGCTGACCAGCGGAGTCCCATGTTGTGTTGGAGAGTTGCATTTTCTGGTCTAAACTCCTTAGGGAAAACAGCAGGAGTGCCCAAATTACTTCATCTCCTTGCGTGAGCTGGCAGCAGGTAAAACCAGACTCCTGGGGCGTGTTTCGGGGTGTGTCGGGAGCTGCAGATCCAAACATGTTCCTGGGACTAGGCGTTTATAATATCTGGAAATAATAAGAACACCACCTGCTGCAAAAACCGTAGGGAGATATAGCCTCCCAACATTTCGCTGGTGAGAATAGCAGCAGGGCTAGCTAACCTTGTGGCCCTTCCCAGATCTTGTTGGGCCCCCATCAGCCCTGGGCCAGCATGGTCAATGGTCAGAGGGAATGGAAACTGGAGTCTGACAAAACATAGGCTACAACAGCCCTCCGCCCTGGAACAGGTGCCATTGCCTTACGCACACAGATCTTTCCTTTTCCCTACACACAGGCCAACTACTCGTTGCTGAAAGGAAGGCTCTCGTCCGCTGGTGTACACTGGTATTTCTTTATTATTATTTATTAAATTTGTATACCACCCTTGATCTGAAGATCTCAGGGTGGTTCACAGCATAAAAACACAAAATACACAATAAAAACAAGAAAAAACAAACCCATAACCCTCCTTCCCACAAATGCATTTAAAAGGATATCAGCCAAAGGCCTGGTTGAAGAGGAAGGTTTTCGCCAGGCGCTTAAAGATGTATAATGAAGGCGCCAGGCGAGCCTCCATGGGGAGAGCATTCTGAAAAAGGCTGTCATGTAATAGCATACCTTCCAACATCCCACTGACACCTGTTTTTTGGTCCAGAACTCTCGCGGGAGCCAGCTGACTCATGCCAGAGTGCTGGACTGAAAACTTGGACGTTCCAGGATCCAAGGGCTTATATCAGGATGTCCAACCGGCTGACCGTGATCGACTGGTCGACAGCTAGCGGTCAGTCGTGGTCTCTTTTTCCTCTACAGGTTGGCGGGGGAGAGAACATCTGGCCCCTCCCCCCCATCCTTCACTCATGCACAATTGCAAAAGTGGCAGACGGAGTTCTCACTGTGATCTTCTGGTGAGCGACTTTCTCCCCTAAAAAGAGGTCTTGCCTCCCCCAAAAAAGCTCAGCAATCTTGACCTGCCCCCCTAAAGGCCCATGATGCCAATTTGCACGTGCAGATTCATATGTATAGGTACCTCCGGGAAGTTAGGAGAGACGGGAGACTGGAATATGGTTTTATTTCACTTTCCCCTTTCTTACATTGTTCTTGTAACTTCTTGTAGTTGCTAGAACTAAGATAGCTTGCCTTGACACGGGCCTCAGCTGCACTATACATCTAAAGCAGTATCACATCTCTTTAAACACTCATAGTTTCCCCCAAAGAATCCTGGGAAGTGTAGTTTTTTAAGTCTGCTAGGAGAGTGGTTAGAAGACCACTATTCCCTTCACAGGGATGCAGTTCTCAGAGTCCCCCAAGAAGATGGATTAACACTTAAAGAATTGTAGCTCTTAAGGGAACAGGGGCCTCCTGACAACTGTCAGCACCTTTCACAAACCACATTTCCCAGGATTCTTTAGGAGGAGCCATGACAGTTTAAAGTGGCATCATACTGCTTTAAACATATAGTGCAGATGGGGGCCAAAGTAATACCTCCTCATTTTAAAATGAGCCTCGCTCACAACTATTGTATCGGGGATACGGAGGCTCTCTTGCCTCTCACACATTTAGCGACGCCGTTGTGAAGGCACAATCAGTCAAATCCACAAGAAGAAAACAAGAAGTTTTGTCACCCGTATCATGTGCTGGGGTGGCGTGTGGTGGGTGAGGGAGAAGGGAGCATGCACTATCTTTAAAAGGCAGATAATATCTGCCTTGTCTCTTGCGAGTGTCTTCTTGCAACTGACAATACAAGGGTCTGGCTTCCCTCGGATTCCTCAGAAGCACAGCAGCGATTTCTGAAGGGAATTGATTTCCGTTAAGATTCTCCCTACCCAGCTTAAAGAGTTTAAATTCTACCCAGTTTCCATAGACATCCCAGCCTTTGACTAGGAGGAAAGCAAATTGACCCAGTGCGAAATAAGCTCTTCCCATAAACTAGGGTCGGCTTTGGTTGAAGTGTCACCGTTTGTCTCCCACACAGCTGCCTCTGTGTCCAAAGTTTTAGGAGGGGCTGCAAAATCACAAGCAAGGAAAGAGCGAAAGGGCCTGGCGAGCAGCAGGCAGAGCTGTCTGTGTTTGCTGTCACCATGAGGGCCGTAGGATAGAACGGAGGCATCTCCACATCTGCAAGGGAGCCAAGCAGGACAGCCAAGTCTCTCGCCAGCCCAGGCTCCCCTCTGCTCTCCCTTCCTGAGAACCAGCACTGGGGTCTTGCCTGAGTGCTTAATCGGACTGGTGGGTTGAAGGAGGAAGAGCTGGGCAGCTGAGCCAAGCGGAAAGAAGGCTTGTGATCCTGAGCGACAACCATCTAATGCCAGCAGGATTTTGAAGTAACAAAGAGCTCGGTTGAGTTGGGAACTCTGCCCTGTAATGATCTTGCATGGTTTGTGGCGTGAACCTCTGGGGTTGAAGAAGGAAGAGTTTGCGAGAAAATATAAGACATCCATCCTCAGAGTGGCCTTAAGAGAACCCACTTAAAAAATTCATGGCGTTGCGGTCCAGATATGTGAATCAGTGGGTGAACCGATCAGAGCCGCTGGCTGAGAACCCTGCAATGAATGCCTCTCAGTAAGTGAGATGTCAGCGTGGATGAAGAGGAGCAGCTAACATGGTTTCCAAGTGGGCCGGAGTATCTGCTTTCTGCCCAGCTGCCAGACTGCTTTTGGAGTAAGCCTTCCCCAGAACTGGGGAAGGAAGGCAAAGAAGAGGGAGAGTTAATTATCTGGCAAAGTAGCAAGATGGAAAGTGTCTACCTGTGCTCAGTGCTGGCTTTGGTGCACCATGCCCTCGCTGTGACTTGGCTGTAAGTAAACCCTAGAATCACAGAATGGCAGAGTAGGAAGGGACCCCAGGGGTCATCTAGCCCAACCCCCTGCAATAGAGAAGTCTTTTGCTCAACGTGGGACTCAGCCCTGAGATTAAGAGCTTTGTGCTCTTGCCGACTCAGCTACTTGGCTTGCCACTTGCCAAAACTTCGCAAAGGGAGGAAGGGGTGGGGTTGGTAGACGATACTTCCTGTGGGATTAATTCACAGGAAAGTGAGAAGGACACGCTCCAAAGGAGAACTGCAGTCAGAGGGCTTGAGGCGGATGACTTCACTTTGCCTCAACTACAGTGGTACCTCTGGTTACAAACTTAATTCATTCTGGAGGTCCGTTCTTAACCTGAAACCGTTCTTAACCTGAGGTACCACTTTAGCTAATGGGGCCTCCCGCTGCCGTCGCACGATTTCTGTTCTCATCCTGAGGTAAAGTTCTCAACCTGAGGTACTACTTCCCGGTTAGCGGAGTCTGTAACCCGAAGTGTTCGTCACCCAATGTGTTTGTAGCCCGAGGTACCACTGTATTCTGTTGAATAGTAGCTGCTTCTGACTATGGGGGGGAATCGCTCAAGAATGCAGAAATGCAGCCACCTGCAGCTGGGTCATAATGACATGGGCGAGGGGATTGATTCCCCTTTCCCCAAACTGTTTAACAATCTTGTCTCCAATGCGTCCCCTTCCCCGCCCTCCCTTTTGCATAGATACCTGGCTAAACAGCCGTCCCTCCGAGGGCTTGTGAGAGACCCCAGCGCCTGCGAAAGCTTGAAGGGTTTGTCACAGGAGCAAGTGAGGATATGCCATCGCCAAGTGGAAGCCATGGACTCGGTAAAGCATGGCGCTGAGGTGGCCCTCAAAGAGTGCCAGCACCAGTTTCGCAACCGCCCCTGGAACTGCTCCACCCTGCAGGGGCTGCAGGTTTTCGGAAAAGTTATTCTGCAAGGTCAGACTTCATTAATAACATGACTAGGGCATACCAGTCAGTCAGTCAGTCAGTCAGTCAGTCAGTCAGTCAGTCAACCAACCAACCAACCAACCAATCAATCAATCAATCAATCAGTCAATTAATACACTTGTATTCCTTCTTTCCTCCAAGGAGCTCAAGATGGGGCACACTGTTCTCCCTGCCCCTCCATTTTTTCCTCACAGCAACCCCAGGAATAAGGTTAGGTTGAGAGACTACGGCTTCGCAAGCACCATACATTTAAAGCACATGTAGGTAAAGGGACCCCTGACCATTAGGTCCAGTTGTGGCCAGCTCTGGGGATGCGGCGCTCATCTCGCTTTACTGGCCGTGGGAGCCGGCGTACAGCTTCCGGGTCATGTGGCCAGCAGGACTAAGCCGCTTCTGGCGAACCAGAGCAGCGCACGGAAACACCGTTTACCTTCCCGCCAGAGCAGTACCTATTTATCTACTTGCACTGGTGTGCTTTCAAACTGCTAGGTTGGCAGGAGTTAAAGCACATGACTTCCCCCCAAAGAATTCTGGGAACTGTGGTTGGTTAAGGAAGCTGAGAATTGTGACTCTGTGAGGGGTTAAACTACAGTTCCCAGGATTCTTTGAGGGATGCCATGTGATTTAAATGTACGGTGTGTACGCATCTCCACTGGCCCAAGGTCACACGGCACACTTCATGAATGCATGGGGATTTGAACTCTGATCTAGTTCTAGTCCAACACTCTAACCACTACACCACTCCCATCTAAACCCCATATTCTTAGTATCAGCTTGGGTTTTTATGGTAACAGCAAATGGAACCCTAACCCAATATAGAATCTGAACTAAATTGGCATACAGTGGTACCTCGGTTGTCAAACCTAACCTGTTCCAGAAGACCGTTTGACTTCCGAAACATTTGACAACTGAGGCACAAAGGGCGGTCAGCAAAGTCAATGGAGAAAATTGAAAAAAGTGCAGCAGAAGCTGTTTGACTTCCAAGGCACATTCGAAAACAGGAGCATTTATTTGCGTGTCGAGACCCCGCAGCCATCCCCTTGTTGGAAATAACTCACACAAGGACACAGATATTAGGTTTATGTTATTGGGCAAATTTTGGCCACAACTTTCTTGAAATTACAGAATGTGAGCAGTACTGGCTTAGGCATTGATTGGACCTGACTATATCTGACTCCTGCCCATTGTGCAGGAAGTCCAGTAAGGGTAAGCCACCGGTAGGGGGAGCCCTGTCGATGCGAACCAACTCAAGCTCCCCCTGGTGTTCCCGTCGGGGTCGTGTCAAGGCTTTAGCCCCCCAGCCGGGCTTCAGACTAGATCAACACCCCCGGATTCCTTTAACGGAATACCCTTAAGCATGGAGGGGCAGGGGAAGGCCACACCTCCCCTCCCCCACACAAGGTCAAACAATGTCTAACCGCAACCCTAACAAAGTTGTGATGATTGCTATGAGGTGGGCGAAAACCAAGTGGCCAGTTTCAATTTGCCAAGTGGAAAAATTCCTACCAGGTCCCTCGGACAACCAAGGCGACCAACCAAAGTCCATAGCAAGGCCATTGCCTAACCTGCAAAATAGGGAGGGAGGGTGGGTGACTGAGGAAGTGAGCCAAAGAGGAAGTCCTCTGGCTCGCTCCTCCGTTTAAACGGCCACGGCCAGTGGACTGGCTGGCCGGGCTCTGATGTGGCCGGGATCCCCCAGGCAACGGGGGACGAAGTCCCCTGCCCCTGGTGGGGAGTGGGTGGCCATGCGGTCCACCGCAACTCCTCCCCACTGGGAAGTGGAGCGGGTTTCTGGGTTTTCAGTGTTTGAAAACTGAAACGTTTAGCTTCTGAGATGCTTGAATACCGAGGTACCACAGCAGGACTCCACAGAGTTTCATATTTCTGGCAAGGGAACTTGTTTGCTATGCTGTTATGCAGTACTTAATATAAGGAACTTGGTTCATATGGCGCCTGCCCAACTTTCTACAGCAACCAGACTAAGCCATATAACTAGAGCAGGAACAAAGAGAAATGATGAGGGAAAAGCTTCGTGCAGATGTTTCCTCAGCATTCCTCCGAAAAGGCGTCGCTGAGAAGGGAGATCTTGCAAGTAAGAGGTCTTGGAATAAACACTAGCAAAATCTTTCTGTCATGGATGTCATCTTTCTGCTTGGATTCCTCAACTACCTCTGAATTTAGACTGCTTCATTTAATTCAGTGGCTCAGAGATGCTCTTGTGTCTTGACAGTGAAGAAAGGATGGATGAAATTTGGGGAGAGGATTCCACCCAAAAGATACTCGTGCAATACCTATTTAAGATAAGGTTTCATACTGCCTTCTGGGTGTGGGTACACTGTATATCTCTATAAGAATGAACATTGCATGCACACACAAATCCATATCCTCCAAAATTTATCCGATGAAAAATAGGGACGTCCCATTTCATAATGATAATTTTACTATTTATACCCCACACATCTTACTGGGTTGCCCCAGCCACTCTGGGCAGCTTCCAGCATATATAAAAACACAACAAAACATTAAACATTTAAAGAACTTCCCTGTACAGGATTGGCTTCAGATGGCTTGGGGGTCAGATAACGCCGTACCCTCCATTTCTCCAATGAAAATAGGGACATCCTAAGGAAAAGCAGGACATTCAGGGATCAAATCAGAAACCGGAATAGCTTCTCTAAATTAGGGACATCCCAGGAAAATAGGGACAATTGGAGAGTCTGCAAATCCACACACACACCCTCAAAAAGCGTGGAACCTGCCACTAAAGGGATGGGCTTTGCCCGTACTGCTAGCGTCTGTCTTGAGAGACCATGGAGCGCACCTCCATTGGGGGTGAAGTCAAACTTTCGCATTAGCAGAACCGAAGTGACCTCCCCAGAGCGCAAGCCTGGGCAGTGTGTATGGAGGTGCAGGGCTGCCCAGACAACCAGACCCCCGCCCCCCAGCCTTGCTGATGGGGTCCAAAGGAAAGTAGAGCAATACGTAGAAAGTAGAGTGTTATGTGCTGAGCTGAATCCTAGAACAATAGGATCCAGAATGCAGCAGTTTGACTGGTCCGCAGGAGCCATCCAATCCAGCTCCAGGTGGGAGTGAATCAGTGACCTGATTGGCCTGCAGGAGCAGCCCAGAATTAGCCAATCACATGGGGCCCATTGTGTAAATAATGTATATATAGGTAGACGTTTTGGGGAAAGTTTCATTCATTGCTACCACGAGCTGAATAAAGAGCATGAAATTCGCACTTGACTCTGAGAATATTTCATAGAGCTTGGCTGCAGGACAAGGCACCATCCAACCATCTTAGAGATGCCACTGGGTTTGTGTAAGGCTTCCTGCTGGGTTTTTCTTCTCCCAGAGATATTCCACAAGACAGCGGAGCTTTAGGATCAGAGTTTTCCTTCTCCTAGATGGGCTACCGTTTCCCAGGCTGACAAACCCCACCTGCCCCTCACTTCCCTCTATTTCCCAAGTGCAGTGTTTGGCATCCCACCCCCAAATAAATGGCAATCATTCACCTAGACTGGAGACAATAAAGGGTGCACTCTATATACAAAGGGGTACATGGACGTACACACACATTCTCATACACCCAGAGGCCTTCCTAGGCACTGCAAAGACTCAGGGTAGAAGCCCCACAACACACATTTGTATAGGCTAATTTATTTGTAGAGATGCCTCTTGGAAATTAAGGGGGTGGGTGGGTGGGGTATCACCAGCCCTCTGCTTTGCAGTGCCCCCCTCCCATTTGCAAAGTCAGCACTCAAAAAATGCTTTAAGAAAGGGATCGGGCCTGGGGCTTGAGCCCTCTAAGCCACCTCTCATCAGCCCTTCTGCTAATACATTCTTTTCTGCAGGCACTCGGGAATCGGCCTTTGTTCACGCTGTCTCTTCAGCCGGGATCGCATTTGCTGTGACCCGAGCCTGTAGCCGCGGCGAACTGGAAAAGTGTGGGTGTGATCGCAAGGTCAGAGGAGTCAGCCCTGAAGGTAAGGAGAAATATAGCTGGCATGAACTAGTAATCATGCCCCGGTCTAAGGAGGAGAGCGTGAGTAATATGAGCAAGGGGAAATGTCAGTTTCAGAATGGAAGCACTCTGGCGTTCCTAGCTATGTGGAAGAGTAAGGGAAGAGCAATTAGCTTTGACTGGAGGGAGAGGCTCCCATAGGCACCCTGATTTTGTTCTTGTCCTTAGGAGGAGGAGCTGCTGTGATTCATTTCTGCAGAAGCACAGAAAACCACATTACAATGCCTCATAAGAATCGGCTTTTTATTTGGTTTTAAGGAAGTTGCTTGGACTTCTAGTTGCAAAAAAAAATAGGGCTGGGACTGTGTGTGTGTATAAGGCCTCCTAGATTGAACCTCAGAACCCAATGGGGTTGTCGGCAACACTTTTAGTGGTTAGAGGCTAAGACTTTGGCATCTTTCTTTCCATTCTCCTCTACAGTCATACCTTGGAAGTCGAACGGAATCTGTTCTGGAAGTCCGTTTGACTTCCAAAACGTTTGAAAACCAAAGCACGGCTTCTGATTGGCTGCAGGAAGCCCCATCAGACGTTTGGCTTCCAAAAATAGCTTGCTAACCGGAACACTCACTTCTGGGTTTGCGGCGTTCGGGAGTCAAAACGTTCGAGAACTAAGCTGTTCAAAAACCAAGGTACAACTGTACTAGAAAAAAAAATGGAACAAATACATTTTGGAAAATAAAATTTAAAAGCCCCTGCAAATTTGTCTGGCTTGTGCACGTTGCAGAATTCAGGTGCTCTGGTTGCGGAATGTTGAGCGTGCATTTTAGTACTGACTGTACAGAACTCTGTTCCCTCTTCTTCCCCAACCCAACAGGGTTCCAGTGGTCAGGCTGCTCTGACAACTTGTCCTATGGCATTGCCTTCTCCCAGGCCTTCGTGGACACCACGGAGCGGAACCGTGGCGCTTCCTCCAGCAGAGTACTAATGAACTTGCACAACAATGAAGCAGGCAGAAAGGTAAGTCTCATGATGGGGCTCATCCATGCTGCTGTTTCAGGTGGGTCGGGAGCTTCCTGTCACATACTCTCCAACATTTCTCCAATGAATTAGTGACGTCCTTATCAATAATAATAATATTTCTACCCTGCCCATCTGACTGTGTTGCCTCAGCCACTCTGGGCAGCTTCCAACATATATAAAAACACAATAAAACATTAAACATTTAAAAAAATCCTTCCCCATACAGGGCTACCTTCAGATGTCTTCTAAAGGTTGTATCTTATCTCCTTGGCTTGGGGGTCGCATAACTCCATACCCTCCAACATGAAAATAGGGATGTCCTAAGGAAAAGCGGGACATTCTGGGATCAAATCAGAAACCAGAGCGGCTTCTGTAAACCTGAGACTGTCCCTGGAAAATAGGGACACTTGGAGAGTCTAGAATTCACCCTTTTAGGCATGGAATACTTTGGTAAAGCTTTCCCCTCTCCTACACATGTACCTGTTTGTAGCACAAAGGTGTAGCTATTAACAATAATAATAATTAAAAAATGCTCATCCTCAACATGCTGCTTTCAGTCTATGTTGATTCCAGATCCTGCCCTGCACAAAGGTGGGTGTGATTTCTTGATATGCAGTTGAAAACTCTCCCCTTGGTTATGCTATCCATGCCTTTTCCTCCCTGCACATGAATGAAGAAGGAAGTGGTGATTGTGATCTTGCTGTACATGCCCAGAAGCAACATCACTGGGCCCATGTGGAAACATCCTCCATTGCTGGGACCACCTGCCTCAGTTTTCACACTTATGCAGAATCCACCTTCAATGAGCTTTTATTTTCAGAATGAAAGCAGTTTCTGGAGAAACACTTTTCAGGAGTCAAAAAATATGCACTAGATCTAAACTGTGTGTGCACTTTGTAGAAAACAAACAAACAGTGATTCTACAATAAAATGTTCACAGCTGAATTCAGTGCTTTGCCAAATCTGATCTTCCACTCTCTGAAAGTTTTCTTCTCCAGTAAGAGAGGCTTCTGTTGTTTTGCTTTGTTTACATGGTGGTTTGAAATTTCTTAATAATATTGTTGGACTCAGGCTTGGGCTCATCTTATTGTTGTGAGGTGGTCAACAGTGCAATAATTTCCCTTAAATATATATTTGCTGCTCTGCAGCACCCCCCACCTGCCCATTCTTCCATATCGGGGGGGGGGGACTTATGGGAGGAGTTACCTCATGACATCATCCTCTGGGTTTTAAAGAATGTATAGAAAACAAGGCTAGCTACCTAGCACCTGAGACTGATACACTTGCTGGTTTTGTTTTTAAGGAAAGTTCTTCCATTTACTGTTTTGGGTTTTTTTGTTTTACTTTTTTTTACTTTTTAAAGAAAGCTTTCTGCACAGATTACAGTCGTACCTTGGATCCTGAACGCCTTGTGAGTCAAACGTTTTGGCTTCTGAAAGCCGCAAACCCGGAAGTGAGTGTTTCGGTTTGCGAACATTCTTTGGAACCCAAACATCCATTTCGGCTTCCAATTGGCTGCAGGAGCTTCCTGCAGCCAATAAGAAGCCGTTCTTTGGTTTCCAAACGTTTTGAAAGTTGAACGGACTTCCGGAATGGATTCCATTCGGCTTCTGAGGTACGACTGTACTTTAAAAGTAAACCGACTTTACTTTTAAAAAACCAACAATGACGGACAGCTGCAGGCACATAGCAGACAGCCTTTCTGACTTCCTGCACTTAAAGGAAAGTGCAGCTGAGTACATCAAGAGGTTTCAAGGAAGTGCAGGCACCTAGGAAGGCTGCAGAATGGACGCCACCAGAGAAACTCCTTATAAAAAGACAGAGCACTTGCAAAACCCTTTGGCCACGTCAAAAGTTAAGTAAATGCATCAATAACCTCCCTCCTTATCCAAGAAAACTTCACCAAAGTTTTCCTTCTCGTTTGATAATTTTCAAATGCAGTTTCTTTCCATGCTGATGGTGAGCATTTGGGGTGGGGGGAACACAGACAAAATTTCCAGCACGTGCGGGTTCGCATCATGCACATGACAGACATCTCTAGCTCCTGACGCTTCTGCTACACTGAAATATGCTCCGAGTCGAGAGTGGATTTCATGCTCTTTATTCAGCTCATAGTGGTGAGGAGGAATGAAAATTCCCCCAAAGTATCTGCTTTATATACATTATTTACACAATGGGCTGCACGTGATTGGCTAATTCCGGAATTCTCCTGTAGGCCAATCAGGCTGTGGATTCACTTCCATTAGGAGCTGGATTGGGTGGCTCCTGCGGACCAATCATGCTGCTGCATTGTTCTAGGACCAATCAGACTGCTGCATTCTGAATCCTATTGTTCTAGGACCAATCAGACTGCTGCATTTTGGATCCTACTCTAGGACCAATCAGACTGCTGCATTTTGGATCCTATTCAACTCAGTACAGTGGTACCTCGGGTTAAGTACTTAATTCGTTCCAGAGGTCTGTTCTTAACCTGAAACTGTTCTTAACCTGCAGCACCACTTTAGCTAATGGGGCCTCCCGCTGCCACCGCGCCGCCAGAGCACAATTTCTCTTCTCATCCTGAAGCAAAGTTCTTAACCTGAAGCACTATTTCTGGGTTAGCGGAGTCTGTAACCTGAAGCATATGTAACCTGAGGTACCACTGTACATAACATACACAAAACTTGAAGGTGCCCCAGGAATCTTTGCTTCTGTTTTCCAGGCCATCCTGACCCACATGAAGGTGGAATGCAAGTGTCACGGGGTGTCGGGGTCCTGTGAGATCCGCACGTGCTGGAAGGTCATGCCTCCGTTTCACCAAGTGGGCAACCTCCTGAAGGAGAAATTTGAAAGCGCCACGGAAGTGCACCTGAAGCGCGTGGGGTCCCGAAAGCTGCTGGTACCCAAGAGCTCCCGCTTTAAGCCCTACGCTACTCACGACTTGGTCTACTTGGTGGCCAGCCCAGATTTCTGTAACTGGGACCCCCGTGGAGGGATCTTTGGCACCACGGGACGTCAGTGCAACAGGACTTCCCCCGCTGTGGATGGCTGCGAGCTGCTGTGCTGCGGCCGCGGCTTTCGCACGGCTCAAGCCGAGGTGGTGGAAAGATGCAGTTGCAAATTCCGCTGGTGCTGCTCAGTGAAGTGCCGGCAATGCCGGCATCTGGTGGAAGTTCACCGCTGCCGCTAGGAGGGTGGGTAGGAAGAGGAAGGGGCCGCTTGCCAAGGAAACAGAAACTCTGGCTAGGGACTTTTTCATCCATCAAAGGGGCAGAAGCCAAGTGAGTCACAGGGCGACAGGTTCCGTTGCCAAGAGCTGGGTGTGAGCAGCTGGGAGGGACACGTTTCAGGAGCGTACCCTACCCACCATGGCGACGTCTTTCTGGCAGCGGCTGCGCCAATCCAAATGGTTCGCTTTGTTCCACTTTTCTTGGGACACTCTGTTTTTTGGACACAGGGCATGCAGCCAACTAATTTCCTTGCATAGTAGAAATAAAATGACTTTACTACAGAAGTCTGTGTGCTTTTGTGGGTGCGTGAATAGGAGCTCCAGTCTGGAAGATCTGAACCAGGTGTCAGCAACCTTTTTCAGCCGTGAGCCAGTCCTCCATCCCTCAGACCATGTGGGGGGCCGGACTATACAGTGGTACCTCGGGTTAAGCACTTAATTTGTTCTGGAGGTCTGTACTTAACCTGAAACTGTTCTTAACCTGAAAACCACTTTAGCTAATGGGGCCTCCTGCTGCCGCCGCACCGCCGGAGCAGGATTTCTGTTCTCATCCTGAAGCAAAGTTCTTAACCTGAAACACTATTTCTGGGTTAGCGGAGTCTGTAACCTGAAGCGTATTTAACCTGAAGCGTATGTAACCTGAGGTACCACTGTATTTTGGAGGAAAAAAAAGAATGAATTCCTATGCCCCACAAATAACCCAGAGATGCGTTTTAAATAAAAGGACACATTCCACTCATGTAAAAACATGCTGATTCCTGGACCATCCGTGGGCCGGATTGAAGAAGAAGAAGAAGAAGAAGAAGAAGAAGAGTTTGGATTTGATATCCTGCCTTTCACTCCCCTTCAGGAGTCTCAAAGCGGCTAACATTCTCCTTTCCCTTCCTCCCCCACAACAAAGACTCTGTGAGGTGAGTGGGGCTGAGAGACTTCAAAGAAGTGTGACTGGCCCAAGGTCACCCAGCAGCTGCATGTGGAGGAGCAGAGACGCGAACCCAGTTCCCCAGATTACAAGACTACCGCTCTTAACCACTACACCACACTGGCTCGCATTGATTGAGAAGGCGATTGGGCCACATCCGGCACCTGGGCCTTAGGTTGCCTAACCCTGATGTTATATGGTAGGGGTGGGTACAGATGTACTTTTAAAATAGGCTTCCCCTTCCCATTTATAGTGGTTTCCTCCAGTGCTATTTTTCTGGAAAAAGAGGTGGCAGAACTCACCATGAACGCCTCTGTTGCTCTCTTGTAATGGCAATGTCACCCACCTAAGAGGTGCCAGAACTGAGTTCCGGTGAGCTCCAGCTGAAAAGAATAATCCCTGGTTTCCTCCATGCGTTAAACAGATGTGTTCCTTAGGGATTTGAACACAGATCGCCATTCTCTGCCTTTCTCCTTCTCCCAGTCTTCAAAAGGACTGTCCATCCACATTTTTATCATTTTAAAAAATGCAACTTGACTAGTCATTTGAAAATATAATTGTTTTATTAAAGGGAAATCTGTTTCTTCCTTCCTTCTTTTTTATATTTTGGGTTATTGAGTCCAAAAAGAAAACAGTCAAAGAAAACACTTTAACATCTTACAAAAAGATATAATAGTTTCATAATACATATCTTCTATGGAGACTTCCCATCACCCCATCACGGTTCCTTAGTGCTTTTTGGTTTGTTGCACTTATCTTTATCACTAATAATACATCTTAGTTCTATTAAGTTTCTATGGTTTCCTACTTTCCTACAGAAGTCACTCCAGGCCTGTCAACGAGTTCAAATTTTTGCAGTGCTCCCTGAGATACTTTCTATACATGTCCTCATAAATGTTCAGTCAGGTCCCTTAATTTTTCCGTCATTTTTGCTAATTCTGCAAACTTAATTAATTTGATTGCCACTCCAGTTTAGTCGGTGTTACATCTCCTTTCCAGTTTCTAGCTATTATAATTTTTGCTGCCATGGCGGCATAGAGAAATATCTTCCTCACCTTTTTTGGAATATCCATATCTATTATGCCTAAAAGGAAGGCTTCAGGTTTTTTTTTGCAAAGGTAATCTTGAGTATATTTTTGAGTTCTTTGTAAACTGTTTCCCAAAATTCCTTTCTTTTTCTACAGTTCCACCACATATGTAGCATTGTGCCTTCTGCCTCGCCACATCTCCAACATCATTTTGAGGTGTTCCTATACATTTTTGCTAGTTTTGAAGGCGTTAAATACCACCTACCGTATTTTTCGCCCCATAGGACGCACCGCCCCATAGGACGCACCTAGTTTTTTTTGGGGGGGGGAAATAAAGAAAAAAAAAATTATTTCCCCCCAGGCACGGGGCTGGCGCGGGGGAAGCCCGAGCTTCCCCCGACCCCAGCCCCCAGAACAGCCTGCTATCCGCAAGCCTAGGGAGCCGCGCCGGTCTCCCCAGGCTTGCGGAGAGCTGCGCGAAGCCCAGGCGCGCTCTTCAGCGTGCCCCAGGCTTCGGAATGCAGACAGCTCTCCGGGAAGCCCTGGAGTGCAGGCAGCTCCGCGCAACCCTCGGGAGCCCGGCGTGAAGGCGCGTTGGTCTCCTGAGGGTTGCGCAGAGCTTCCTGAAGCCTGGAGAGCAAGAGGGGTCGGTGTGCACCGACTCCTCTTGCTCTCCAGGCTTCAGCGAAAGCCTGTCTTCGCCCCATAGGACGCACACACATTTCCCCTTCATTTTTGGAGGGGAAAAAGTGTGTCCTATAGGGTGAAAAATACGGTATATAGCATCTTCATAAAATTATCTCTCAGCATGTAGCACGTGGTAAACCTTAGGTCTTCGTTCCATAATCTTTCCCAAGACTCCATTGGGATATTATATCCAAAGTCTTGGGCCCATTCGACCATCACAGATTTTACCTCCTCCTCCTTCACCTCAAGGAGAAGTTTATATTGATTGTATTCTGATTTTAATCTGATTTTAAGCTGTATTTAAATCGATTGTTTGTTTTTATGTTTTTATGTATTATACATTTTGATATTAGCCGCCCTGAGCCCAGTTTTGGCCGGGGAGGGCGGGATATAAATAAAATTATTATTATTATTATTATTATTATTATTATACATTTTAGAGAGAGTTTTCTCTTTTGATTGCCTACTCTTTTTCTCTTTTTCTAATCTAGATGGTTCTGTAGCAAAACACTTCCTTTTATCTGATTTGAATGTCTCATTTAGTTGATGGTATTGGAGTCAGTCTGAGAGATGTAATCTAATTTCATTGAAACTTTTTAATCTAAGCTGGTTTTCCTCTTCTTCTAAGAATATTCTATATAGGTTGACCAGTTTCCTTTCATATATTTTTTTCTTTACTGCAAATGCCACTAAGGGTGATATATACCAGGGTTTTTTTTTGTTCAAGTAGATCTTTGTATTTGGCCCATACCACATATAGCAGTTTGCTTATATGACTCAAAAATCCTTTGTGGACCTTAACCTTACCATACCCTAAATAGGCGTGCCATCCATAATGGTTATTGAAGCCTTCCAAATCTAATAAATCCATATTCTGTCATAGCAACTGTTAAGGTGTGGGTGAACATATCAGACGACACAGCGATTCTTCAAACAGCTCTTGTTTATTCACAGGCCAGAACATAACTGAACTGAAGGGTTCAGCCAGCCTGCTTATATAGAGCTCCACTAGAACGCAACAGTAGCCATTTTCTGTAACTACCCAATCACTGAACGTCACTTTCGATCCCTTATTTGCATATGTGGACCTGAACTATCTACAGTATCCCCCTGCTGGCCCAGGGTGAGAACTTCAGTACATAACAGCAACCATTCTCTGACCCAGGAGAGGCAGGCTGCCTCGTGGTATTCTTTCAAATCTGGCAGGGGAAATCCCCCTCTTTCTTTTATATTTATTAATAAGTTGTGCTTAATCCTGGGTGTCCGCCCCGCCCCCCTACCAGATGAATCTAGAGGTGTCTCGTTGCCATTCTTTGAATCAGCCCAATTCCCCTATCATCAGAATTGATTGGAAGGGGGGGAAAGCATTTTTGGAAGTACATTCATTTTTATTGTGGATATTCTTCCCCAGAATGATCATTTTAACCTACTCCAAATCTCCAGGTTCCTTTTGATTTTTTCCCATGTTTTTATATCTTGGAATAGATTGATATTTTTTGCCATTAGCCATATTCCTAGGTATTTTACTTTCTTACAGATTGTCAGTTTCGAAGTTCTTTCTAGTTCCTCTCTTTCTTGGGCTCCCATATTCTTAACCAATAAGTTCGTTTTTCTACTGTTCAGTTTGAAGCCCGTCACCTGACCAAATTCCTTGATTGTTTCCAACACTTTTAATAAGCTTTCCTTTGGATTTTCTGTCATGATTATAAGGTCATCAGCAAAGGCTTTTAATTTGTATGACTTCTCCCCTACTACAATTCCTCTTATTTTTGTACAGTATATTCTCTTATTTAGCAGTTCCAATACTAGTATAAATAACAATGGAGATAATGGACACTCTTGACTTGTCCCTTTTCCTGTATTACAGCTGTCTGTGACATTTCCATTTATGATTAGTTTAGCTTGCTGATCTGAGTTGTTGTTGTTGTTGTTGTTGTTGTTGTTTAGTCGTTTAGTCGTTTAGTCGTGTCCACCTCTTCGTGACCCCCTGGACCCCTTGGACCAGAGCACGCCAGGCACTTCTGTCTTCCACTGCCTCCCGCAGTTTGGTCAAACTCATGCTGGTAGCTTCGAGAACACTGTCCAACCATCTCGTCCTCTGTCGTCCCCGTCTCCTTGTGCCCTCCATCTTTCCCGACATCAGGGTCTTTTCCAGGGAGTCTTCTCTTCTCATGAGGTGGCCAAAGTCTTGGAGCCTCAGCTTCAGGATCTGTCCTTCCAGTGAGCGCTCAGGGCTGATTTCCTTCAGAATGGAGAGGTCTGATCTTCTTGCAGTCCATGGGACTCTCAAGAGTCTCCTCCAGCATCAATTCTTCGGTGATCAGCCTTCTTTATGGTCCAGCTCTCAGCTGAACTGAATATATTGCCGCAATTCCTTTATAGAAGGTCTCTCCACAACCCATTCTATACATTAATCTTTTCATAAAGTGCCAGGATATGTTGTCAAAGGCTTTCTCCGCATCTACTAGCATTAGTGCTGCTGGTTTATCATTCCTGCTTTCTAAATATTCCAAAATATCAATCACATTTCCAATATTATTTTGCATCTTCCTTACCAGGAGAAAGCCCAATTGATCTTCATGAAGGATCTCTTTCAGCGTCTTTTTAAGTCAAAAGTTCTTTTGAAACTGATTTCCCCCTTTAAAAAGACTTGAAAAGGGAAATCAATTTCAAAAGAACTCTCTTTTTTTGTGTGTGTGATGTTGCAAGCACCAGCTGGCTTCTTCTGCAAATTGGTGAAGGTGGTTTTTTCTCTCTGAGATTAATCCTGGAGAGGGAATTGTATGTTTGTGTACAACATGGTGAGCGTATTGCCACAGCAGCTTGATTGCTAAAATACCATATGTCTGTATTCATTCATAAGCATACTAACAGGAGCCATACCATTAATTCACACAGGCGGGGGTGAAACGGAATGCTGTGTACAGCATCGCTGTCAGATAAGGTTGTGTGGAGTCTAAGGTCCACTTATAGCTCAGCCCAGAATTCCTACATCCCAGAACTAGTCATTGTGAAAAAAGGAACAATAAGGTGGTACCTCGGATCACATACGCTTCAGGTTACATACGCTTCAGGTTACAGACTCCGCTAACCCAGAAATAGTACCTCGGGTTAAGAACTTTGCTTCAGGATGAGAACAGAAATCGTGCTCCGGCAGCGCGGTGGCAACAGGAGGCCCCATTAGCTAAAGTGGTGCTTCAGGTTAAGAACAGTTTCAGGTTAAGAAAGGACCTCCGGAACGAATTAAGTACTTAACCCGAGGTACCACTGTACTTCATTGTTTAGAATTCTGCTTAAATGAAAGAACATGGTACTTGATACAGACCCTGGGAGAGTCCATGGAAAAGAGACTATTTTGCTTAAAAACTTAAGGAAGTGAAGGCAGGTTTTGCCAAACTTTTTAAAACTAAAAGCGATTTGAATAGGGTTGCCCAAATCTGGTCTGAAACTAGAAAGAAATCAAATTCTGGACAAAGGAAGCGAAGTGACAGATTGGGTAACACATTTCAAGCCTGTCTGATGCTAAACTCTGAACATAGAATTTACTTTCTGGTCATGAGACTTGGGCTTGTTAAGGGGAAACATCTGCACTCGCACGCAGGCTGTGATCTGATAAAAATAAGTCACCAGAATGTTCACCAGAAATGAAGACACCACACCAAGCAGCCCTACAGAGCTGAAGAGATGGTCCTTTATGTATTAGAATACAAAGCATATGGCCTAGCAATAGTGTTGAGATTTGAATTCACTGATGGAGATATGGGTAAGGATCTGCCTTCTTGCGGATTCTGCTCTAGGTTGCAGAGTCCCGGATGAGCCTGAAGGATTTGGGTGAAGATGGTTGGTGCTATAGAGACACATTTTAGCTGTACAGTGAGAATATCCACAGTGACATCACAAGCAAAGGACAGAAGAGACCAGCAGAGACTGTGCCCTGCCGAATGCCTTGTATCAGATGAGCGTCACACACTGCGCATGCGTTCGTCTCTATGTGCTGCATCTTCTCTGCCTCACCGCCTCGCCATTGGAGCCACTGCTTTCACTCTCTCCCCTCTCCATTACTGAGAAAGAATTTCTTGTTCCAAAGCACCACTTCCTCTTCCCCTTCCTCCCTACTTAGCACTCGGTAAGTCTGGTGTTTCTGGCAAGGCTTCCGCATCACCTGAGGGGTGAAAGAAGAACAGAACGTTAGAGCTGTCTTCTCCACTTCTGACGAAGGATCAAATCACCTTGCCCCAAACTAACCACAGGGTTAGGGTAAAGCCACCAGCTTGGTTTGCACTGGGTGCTGCGCTGCAGGGGGCACCATAACAGTGCTGTAGAACAGAGCACAAGAGGCAGGGGAGGGCACCAGGTGTTAGATTCACACAGGGTGCCGCTGAAATTTGAGAGACCAAAGTTTGCCACTACTAGCCAAGTGGAACTTGGCATCCTTTAGAACTGGTGTGGGGAAGCCTTGGTCCTCCAGATGTTGCTACAACTCCCCTCAATTGCAATGGCAGTTGTAGTTCAGCAACTTCTGGAGGGCTAAAGTTGCCCTGCACGTTTTTTAGAAGTTCCTGGAAAGAATAAACATGGGACATAGGAGGAAGTATGTGGCAGAGCCTGGACACTGTCATACCTCATGTTACGTTTGCTTCAGGTTGTGCGTTTTCAGGTTGAGTCCGGAAGTACCCGAAAGGGTTACTTCCAGGTTTCGCCGCTTGTGCATGCACAGACACGCAAAAGGATGTCACGCGCATGCGCAGAAGCGGCGAATTGCAACCCGCGCATACACAGATGCGGGTTGCGTTCTTTTCAGGTTGTGAACGGGCCTCCAGAACGGATCCCGTTCGCAACCAGAGGTACCACTGTACTCTGCAAAGACTGAACCAAGATGGGTAACAGAGCTGCTGACTAGTCGGAAATTACTTGCAAAAGAGCAGCTAAGGGCTCCTCCAGATTTCTTGTTGGGCCACACTTTCCAGGCACAGGTCTGAGCTTTAAAGCTCCATGTCCAAGTGGTTTTTGTTTTCCCAGGGGAAACCTGCATTTTACCACTGAATTGGAGCAAGCAGCAATCCATGGAAAATCACATTGATTCAGCAGCAAAAAAAGACTTCCCCCAGGGTGCAAGCCTGGGCAGTGTGCATGGAAATCCTGGGCTGTCTGGATGACAAGACGCCATTCTCGGTCTCTCTGGTGTGCTCCAGAGGAAAGCAGAGCAATACGTTTGGCACCAGCTTGGCTATAGGACTTGCCAGAAGGAGGCGTACAAGGTGCCATCCAAATGTCTTAGGGACGCCACACCGGATTTGTGTAGGGTTTGTTGTTGTTGTTTAGTTGCTTAGTCGTGTCCGCCTCTTCATGACCCCCTGGACCAGAGCATGCCAGGCCCTCCTGTCTTCCACTGCCTCCCGCAGTTTGGTCAAACTCATGCTGGTAGCTTCGAGAACACTGTCCCACCATCTCGTCCTCTGTCGTCCCCTTCTCCTTGTGCCCTCCATCTTTCCCAGCATCAGGGTCTTTTCCAGGGAGTCTTCTCTTCTCCTGAGGTGGCCAAAGTCTTGGAGCCTCAGCTTCACGATCTGTCCTTTCAGTGAGCACTCAGGGCTGATTTCCTTCAGAATGGAGAGGTTTGATCTTCTTGCAGTCCATGGGACTCTCAAGAGTCTCCTCCAGCACTAGAATTCAAAAGCACCAATTCTTCGGCGATCCGCCTTCTTTATGGTCCAGCTCTCACTTCCATACATCACTACTGGGAAAACCATAGCTTTCACGATACAGACCTTTGTTGGCAAGGTGATGTCTCTGCTTTTTACTCCTGAGTTTTTTCTTCTCCCAAAGATATGCTGCAAGGTTTAGGATCACAGTTTTCCTTCTACCTTCCCAGGCTGACAAGCCCCATCTGCCCCTATAACTGTACCTTTTCTTCTCAGTAAAACGCAGGTGCTCCTGGGGAAATCGCCATGACAAAAACAAGCAAATGCTCAGGCACAGTGCTTGAAAATGCAGACCTGTGCCCAGAAACATGGCACAAAAGGAAGTCTGGATCAGCCCTCAATGCATGATCCGACTAAACAAAGACAGCCTTGTTGCTTTCTACCTCTTTTCTTTTTAGTTGAAAGGAACGGGACGAGGAGAAGCTTTGCCTTTCCGTAATGAGGGAGCACTCAACAAACAACTGATTTCTTATACTTAAGCTTCAAGAAGGGAACTTGAAGGTGTCATCTCCCACCTTCTCTCCAGCATGGCTGTCTTTCAGACACTGCTTGCTCTTGAAAGCGCAGTAGGTGGGGTGTTGAACTCCTGTCGAGTCGCAGACCTGGGAAGAAGGAAATGTCAAGGTGGCGGGGGTGACAGGAACAAACCAACGTGATGGGGGCAAGGGACAGATATTCCATTAATACTCACTTCTTTTGGGAAATCTCCTTTTTGGAAGGAGGAATACTCCGTCTTCAACCACAGAGACACCCGATAATCATCACAGCCATGAGCAGCCAAGCGACCACACCAATAGTCTGCTTTCAAGCCTGCATATGTCTCAACCCCAAAATACTCTTCTACCCCTGTGGGGACCTGGTGGTAAAAAATGAGGAGGAGGGAAAGAAGCGGAATCAATGGAACTTGTCCGTAAGTGAAGCTTTCTCTAATATCTGGGCAACCTAAATGTTTGGCTTACCCTGGAATGCATAGCCTGGTGTTGAGCCAAGATCCCTGGGTTGATGTAGGATGTGAATATGCCACCAACACAGTGGGTACGCTTCAGATTGGAGGCTCCTTGGCACTGCTCTGTCTTCAGGGAGCAGAAAGCACACTCAGAGCACATGTCGGCATGGCGTCGGCCAAGGCTATCACACACCTAGGGAGTGATGGAGCAATGAGAAGGACCAAAACATAGCTGCGCCTGCTGGAACAATCTACCTCTCTGTCTTGAAGCATGTGGCAAACCACTGTTGCGGGCGCAGTCCTTCCCAACATGTCGGTCCTTCTGTTCAGAGTGCGGCGCCTTGCCTACCCTGCAACGTTCCTCAGATGAAAATAGGGACAAATGTCTGGCGGCTTCTCCTCCTCCTCACCCACTCTCCAGCAGCTGCTAGGAGCTGCCCAAGAGAGGAGGCTGGAAGTGGCAGCCATAGAGAGCCCACGAGATTCTCCTTCACAGCTGCCACTGCTGTTGCTTGGGACAAGCGCTGGCTCATCCTTCTCTCTGAGCTCAGTGGCAGCACCATGGGCAGGGGAAACAGGGACATTTTGCGATCAAGTCAAAAGCCAGGATGGCTTTCGTGATTCCAGGACTGTCCCTGGAAAAAAGGGGCGCTTGGAGGATATGCCCTTGTAACTGAGGTAAAGGTAAAGGGAGTCCTGACCATTAGGTCCAGTCGTGACCGACTCTGGGTTTGCGGCGCTCATCTCACTTTATTGGCCGAGGGAGCTGGCGTACAGCTTCCAGGTCATGTGGCCAGCATGACAAAGCCGCTTCTGGCGAACCAGAGCAGCTCACGGGAACGCCGTTTACCTTCCCGCCGGAGCAGTACCTATTTATCTACTTGCACTTTGACGTGCTTTCGAACGGCTAGGTTGGCAGGAGCAGGGACCGAGCAACGGGAGCTCACCCCATCGCGGGGATTCGAACTGCCGACCTTCTGATCGGCAAGTCCTAGGCTCTGTGGTTTAACTGGATCCAAAAATTGATTTGCTGCTAGGCCAGGTTCACGGTACTTGTGTGAATTCTCAAAGGCCTAAATAACTTGGGTGCCAGTTGTCTGATTCCTGTGTTCCACTTCAGTCACTGAGATCTTCTGATGGGACACTTCTGGTGGTGCCACACGCCCCTGAGCCCTGGTTGACCATCACTAGAGACTGATCCTTTCGTGTGCTGAGCCCTGCCCTGTGGAACTGCTTATTCTTCCCTCAGAAGTTTTTTGAAACCTTTGTATAGACAGGCATTTACCACATGAATGTTCTTTTTGTTGTTGTTATGTTTTGTATGGACGATCTATTTTTTATTTTATTTTTATATGTTGCATTCCGCTTTGCTGCATTCATTTTAAAATGAAAGTGAAGATTATAAATTCACAAATAAAGTTCTGCCTCCCCTCCTCCTCTTATCAAGACCTCTTACTAGCTCAGAAGGTGGCACCGAAATTTAAGGTGGGCTTGGAGATCTCCCCATTTATCAACTGCTGGGCTCTGCTGTGAGAAGGTATGAAACTGGCATCCAGCAGGGAGCTTACCAAATCCCCAAAGCCAAAGGTTTTTGACTCCATTTGTTTCCAGGCCTTGCTAACAGCTGAGGATATGCAAATGTCTTGCAGCACTGCATAGCAGAGAATCACCAGAGCTTCTTCCTTGTCAAGAGCTAAGAGGCTAAGGCAACAAAGGAGAAACGGAGAGAAGGCAATTGTGAGAAGGAGGGCGGCCATTTTGATCTCCCAACCCCCTCACAATATCTCTTAGAGGCAGCTCCGATACCTGGGTGCTCATCAGCCCAAGAAGAAACCGCTGAAAATGGCAGCCTTCTATGTCAATCCCCGCCCCCTTCTCACTGTAACTAATTAAGGAAACATGGGACTAAGATGACTCATGTGTGGGGAAATGCATGCTGCGCTATCTAAGTAGATAGAGGAAGGGGAAGTTGATATCCAACTGCCATTTTCAGTGGCAAACCCGTATCTACTCTCATGCCTTATTTGAGCCTCAGAAGAGGTCCTTATTTACCATATTTTTCGCTCTATAAGACGCACCAGAACACAAGACGCACCTAGTTTTTGGAGGAGGAAAACAAGAAAAAAAATATTCTGAATCTCAGAAGCCAGAACAGCAAGAAGGATCGTTGCAGTGAAAGCAGCAATCCCTCTTGCTGTTCTGGCTTCTGGGATAGCTGTGCAGCCTGCATTCACTCCACAAGATGCACACACATTTCCCCTTACTTTTTAGGAGGGAAAAAGTGAGTCTTATAGAGCAAAAAATACGGTAAATCCACAGGACAAGTGCCCCTATGGCGTAATGCAGAGCCTCACAAAATAGTTTTCCCTGGGTCCCATAAAGGAGGAAACCTATGCTTTGGAGGAACCTATAAATGGTAATCCACAGAGAGTCCTATTACCATACCGCCACATTGATGGGCCGTCAGAATATGTGCATGTTTTTTTCAATTACAGACAAGTAATCAAGTGATGCCTTGTTTGAGTGAATGGGCCATCGTGGATGGTGACTGGCAAAAAGAGAGAAATGCCCATGCAATTGGAAAATTAGCAAAAGAAGTTGACAATTTTAAAATAGACCTTACATATGATTGAATATGCAGTTGTTTAGGTTACTAAATAACTGATGCCAACATATAGGGCTGGGTTCCTACTAGCACAATGGGGATTTCCTCCCTTCCCCCCTCTCTGAAATCCACTCTGAAATCTGTCTGGAGAATCCTGCAGAACAGTGTGCGGGATGTGGAGACGGGAGAACATTCCATTTGGCAAGCAGAAATCTTTGCCTTGATGGAATGATCGTCTTAGTGCAATGCTGAATGCCAACCACAGATGTTGCTTTTGAAAAATTCGCAACATGCTCCTTTAAGCTCCACCTACAGCTGCCAGAAAATCTAATTGTGCTCTATGGTTTTGCAATGCATTATCTGAAAGTGTGGAACTGCCAAAGGCTTGGGATACATTAACACTCTAGCAGGATACACCAGCAAACTCTTGGGTCCTAACAAATGTGCAGATATGAAACCCTGACAAATGTCTTTGTTTTTTTGTTTTTTAAGAAGAAATGTATGACTAGGGGAAAGGAGGAGGAGGGGTTCTGGAGGAAAAACGAGGCAGGTAAGGAGAACATTAGTCCCCTTAGTTCCAGATCCAGGGTTTGGAGGACCCTTGGGTAGCATGTCCCCCATCTTTGTGGGTCTCCCTTCTCCTCACCAAGGCACCACAACCTACTCCTTTGCCTTGTTGTCCTGGGCCCAATCCCTACAACTCCCAGGGTAGGAGGAAGGCAGGAGGGAAGTGGAGACTACTGCTCTTCACTTTGCTCTTCTCATTGCTTGCATTTTTTGAGAAGGTAGCTGAACAGGTGACAATAATGAACAGGATGTTTGCCCCCTGTAGGGCTGTGAGCATCAACTAGCGCCTGACAACACCTACAAGTACCGATTCCTTTCTCCCCATCGCTCCTGTGCTCAACATCACCTGAGGATGTGCTCCCCCCCCCCGTTTCTTTATTTGAAACTTCGCTCAACCCGTTATTCGTTCATTCAAACCACATTTCTTCCCACATTCATGGCTTCTTGTTTGCGTTTCAACTTTTTGTTGTCGCTGCTGCTTCCTGGGTCAGCGGCAACAGAGCTGATTTGGGGAAGCTGCCATTATAATTTCCCAGAATGCTCTGAGAATTGCATCATTGTGGGACATTTGGGGGGGGGGGTAGTGGAAAAGGCAAGTTCCATTAGCACCAACCCTTTCTCTCCAAATGACACGATGTTCAAAGAAGTCTCCGAAAAAGAAGTGGAAGTCCCCAAAATGAGCTGCTGCCACTCTTAGGGAAAGATAAAGTCCCAGCCCTCAAATGGGTATAAATGGGATGACAATGAACCCATTTGTACCTATTAATTACTCAGGAAAAGTCATTCCATTGCATCTAAAACATCAACCGAAGTTTAATTCTTTGCTCATTATGAAACAGTTACGCACCCTTAGAATCCACTCTTCCCTGAAGTAGCTGCTCTTTCTCTCTTCTTAAAAGTGAGTGGATTTGGTCTTCCGTGTTTTTTACTTGGTTTTAGAGTGTGTGGGCTTGTGGCTATTTGTAACATGGCCATCAAAATGGATAAATAACTGAGGAACTGCTAGACTGGTCCAAACTGGGAGCTGAAGTGTTGCATCAATGTCAATAATTTTGTATACCTTTGGGTAAGTTGTTTTTAAAGGAGTAAGGATATGGAGAGCCAACGATTTCCCTCATAAAACAAAGCAATGCAGCTGTCGCTCATCCACACACTGATTTAGCACTCATAGGGTGCTAGGCCCTGTACAAAATAAAGCGTGTATGCAATTCCTGACCAGAAAGCACCTTACATTCAACAATTAAGAGGAACATGGATTGGTGATGTAGGAGATCTGGGAAGGAGGCAGCAGGGAGTAAACTGAGAGCAGAGGAATGATGAGGGTGACTCAGTTGTATGGCTTTGCAGTGTGCCAGAATACCCAAACCCTGTACATTGTCTGTTGGGGTGACTATGCTGACCGAGTTGAAGAAGCACGTCTTGAAAATAAACTTTAGGACTTTCCACATTATTTGTCCTCAATGCACTTTTTATTTTCTACTTAAAACTTTAGTCCACACAAGCATTTTGGAAATATAGAAATATATATTTAGTCAATATAATGAGGGGAAACGAAAGGGAGGAGCCAGTGGGAGCTGACAACAAAGGTGTCCCATCGCTAGGCATCTTCCTCTAGGCCCTGCCGCCTGTGCTTTGGGGGCCTGTTTTCCTCAGCAAACGTTACTACTTTTGGCCTGGGAGCAAGACTTGCCCTTACCTCCCCTTGGAACCGGACCCTTCCTGGCTAGTCAGCATATTCAGGTCTCCTTCTCTGCCTCCTTCCTTTGATCCTTTGTAAGGCTGCGCGTTCTCGGCATTCAGGGACTGCTCCAGGGAGAAGGCCATGCCGATCAGGCGGTGGATGCTCTTGTGGAGCTGCTGGTTTGAGAGCCCCTTGGTGACTGACGGCTCTTCAGTTTCGGAGGCAGCCATTTCGGTGGTGGACACGGCTTCCGCAGTGGCCGCAACGAGCACGGCACTCACGTAGTCCGGCGTGCTGGAGGGAGTTGAGAAGGAGCGTTCCCTGGCCACGGGCTCCTGGCCTGAGACGGCAAAGGAATATTTCAAAATGGCGTCGATGTTGGAGCGGAGGCGGGCGTCGCGGGAGGGTGTGGCACTATGGTCTATTGGCGCCATGTTACGCAACTGGCTTGGGGATGGAGAAACGGCATTGACTTCGTCTTGATCCTCGTACTCGTCTTCATGTCTGTGCATGTGTTCGTACTCATGTTCATGCTCATGCTCATGTTCATGCCGGTGTTCATGTTCGTGCTCATGTTCATGCCCGTGTTCATGTTCGTGCTCATGTTCATGCCCGTGTTCATGTTCGTGCTCATGTTCATGCCCATGTTCATGCTCATGCTCATGTTCGTGCTCATGTTCATGTTCGTGAACCTCATGTTCGTGAACCTCATGTTCATGTTCATCCTCATCCTCTTCAAACTCTGGGCACAGTATCCGCTATCCAGGGTGGGGGTGGAGGAAGGAGAAAATTTGGGAAAACGTGACCAAGTTGTCTTGGGTGAAGAATCCTCTCTCCCACGCCCCCATGTAAAAGAGGACTGTCTACATTTCTCATCAGACCTAGTTCATTACCTGGTATTAGTATTAGTACAGTGGTACCTCAGGTTAAGAACTTAATTCATTCTGGAAGTCCATTCTTAACTTGAAACTGTTCTTAACCTGAGGGACCACTTTAGCTAATGGGGCCTCCTGCTGCTGCCACACTGCCACCGCCACGCAATTTCTGTTCTCATCCTGAAGCAAAGTTCTTAACCCGAGGTACTATTTCTGGGTTAGTGGAGTCTGTGACCTGAAGCGTCTGTAACCCGAGGTACCACTGTATTAGTATTAGTATTAGTATTAGTATTAGTATTAGTATTCTAGGCCGCCAGTCTGACTGGGTGGCTTCCAACAAATTAAAACATCAAACATGGTAAAATATCAAACATTAAAAACTTCCCTAAACAGGGCTGCCTTCAGATGTCTTCTAAAAGACAGATAGTTGTTTTTTTTCCCCCTTGACATCTGACCGGAGGGTGTTCCACAGGGCAGGAGCCACTACAGAAAAGGCCCTCTGCCTGGTTCCTTGTGGATTCATGTCTTGCAGTGAGGGAACTGCCAGTAGGTCCTTGGTGCTGGACTTTAGTGTCCAGGCTGGACTATGGGGGTCCTTCAGGTATACAGGGATTTCCCAATTTCCACATTCCTCCCATTAAAAAAGAAGGGGGAAAAGGACTTCCCCTCTTGAAAGACCATAACCACAGTGAAGGCCTATTTTCTGCTGCTATTCCAAGCAGACCTGGCTCCCTGGTGGGGTTAAGTCCAGCTGTATTTATTTCATATGCTGCTTCTATGCCAAAATAAGAGGTCTTCTGCATGATGTCTGTGGTTTAGGGGGAAATGGAATCTTTCCACCTCACCTGGGATGGAAAAACATATAGGGTAGGACTACTGCTTACACCAGTGATGGCCAAACTTAGCCCTCCAGCTGTTTTGGGACTACAATTCCCATCATCCTTGACCACTGGTCCTGTTAGCAAGGGATGATGGGAGCTGAAATCCCAAAACAGCTTGAGTGCCAAGTTTGGCTATCACTGGATTACAACAAAACAACACCACCACAAACTGGCTTATAAGTATAAAAACAAATTTACTAGAATAATAGCTAGAATAGCGATAGACTTGTAACCATTCAAGCAACAAATATACTAAGGTGCCATGTGCAAAACAAAGCCTGAAGATACTGCAAACATGGAGTGGATAAATGTACAACTGTATCTTAACAAGTTACATGTGCAGTATACGTTATACAGACTGGATAAATGAACCGTTCAACAAGTAGCGTAAGTCCAATCACAGAATGGCAACCCCGTGCCACCACAATGGCAAGGGTAGCACACTGGAGAATATGAAAAAGTTTTTCAAAGCTGTTTTTCAAAGATTGAACTGGATGAGATGTTCTTCAATGGGTCTTGAGTTGGAAACACAAAGCCGTATGCATGGATCAATCACAGGAAGGCAATTCAAAGCCACCACCCTGGTGAGAATAGCGCAAGTGGGCAAAAGGAGATCTGTTCTCCGGATATATTACAGGTTTCGCTGCACGCTTCATCAGTCTGAAAAGCCGGTCATACAAAACGGTTTATAACGTTTATTGCACATGTAACTTGTTAAGATGCAGTTGTACACTTATCCACTCCATGTTTACAGTATCTCCAGGCTTTGTTTTGCACATGGCACCTTAGTATGTTTGTTGCTTCTTGAATGGTTACAAGTCTATCTCTATTCTAGCAAATTTGATTTATACTTATAAGCCACTTTGTTGTTTTGTTGCATTATTATTACTGTCACCACATTTGATACTTTGTGCATATACAACACTGGATTGCACAATGGGGTCTCACCTCCTCCCCCTCTCCACAGGCACCCCCTGAAATTGGCTGACAGGGTTGTCAGGAGGAGCCCCAGAACAGTGTGCAAGGGGATGTGGGGGAAGCATCACGTCTGATAAGCTGGAATGCTCTGAACCATCAATTTACCATGATGTGGAATTCCTCGTATTATTTTAAAGAGAGGCTTGAAAGAAGCATCGCTTCCCCTGGCATGCAGACCTATTTGTTTTGTCGCCTCTTCTAAAAGAATTCCAGCAGTGTTATGTACTGAGTTGAACAGGATCCAAAATGCAGCAGTCTGATTGGTCCTAGAACGATAGGATCCAAAATGCAGCAGTCTGATTGGTCCTAGAACAATGCAGCAGTATGACTGGTCCACAGGAGCCACCCAATCCAGCTCCAGGTGGAAGTGAATCCACAACCTGATTGGCCTACAGGAGAAGCCCGGAATTAGCCAATCACGGGCAGCCCATTGTGTAAATAATGTATATAAAGCAGATATTGTGGGGGAACTTTGATTCCTCCTCACCACTATGAGCTGAATAAAGAGCATGAAATCCACTCTCGACTCCGAGTATATTTCAGGCAGGTTTTCCAAATAATATTAAATCTTCAAAACCCGATTACCGGGGGCAAAAGGAAAGGGAGAACATGCACACAAAGAGCAATGTTCTGTCTTGAAACAACCATAATTTAATACATTATCTGAAAAAAAAAGGTATCACCCGTCTCCTGCTTGAAAGCAGATCAACCCCTCCTAAGGAAGATGAGGCAGGGCCAGGAATAAAAAAGCATTGGGAAGCTACAGTCACTGTTGCTTCTCTGGGCACGCAGGTTTTGCAAGTTTTGGAAGCACCACAAAAGAAACTGCAAAACCTGCTGGGCCAAGAGGCCACGGTGAAATGATCCTATCCACCACAGGCAGTGGAATTAGGGATGTCTGGTTGTGTTAACAGCACAACCCCTTCTCTGCATTCGTTCCTCAGTCCTTCCAGCCTGGAACCAAGGCAATATTAAAGTCCTGCTTGCTGCAGCAGATATAAAGGACCGGAAAAAGAAAAGACAGGAAAGTGTGGCAATTGCATAATCCCCCTATAAATTAAAATTTCAGCAGCTGGTAAGAGCATGAGTAGTTCAGGGATTTTTTTTTTTTTAATTATAAGTTGTGTGCCCTTGCTTCTCAGTTTGACCCTTCTACATGGTTTTGTATGTTTTGTGGTATTTTATGCACTGTGACTTGCCATTATCTTTACCGATTGCAGTTTAGTGATTCTTTATTGTAATTGTTAAGTGTAATTTTTATTTGCTGATATTTCATTTTACTGTTTACTCTTACATTCTGGCGAATTATTGAATATTGCTTTACAGTCGTACCTTGGAAGTCAAGCAGAATCCGTTCCAGAAGTCCGTTTGACTTCCAAAATGTTCGCAAACCAAAGCACGACTTCTGATTGGCTGCAGGAAGCTCCTGCAGCCAATCAGAAGCTGCAGAAGCCCCATCGGACGCTCGGCTTCCAAAAATAGTTTGCAAACCGGAACAGCCACTTCCGAGTTTGCAATGTTCAGGAGCCAAAACGTTCGACTCACAAGGTGTTCGAAAACCAAGGTACGACTGTATTTGATATAAGTTGTTTATTTTAAAGTTGTGTTTTTATTATGACTTTTTTGTATTGGATCAGATTGTTAATAGGTGTGCGATCTTTGCTGTCTATTTTGTTGTTTCTTCAGGTTGTAAACCGCCTTGGATATGGTAATATAGAAAGGTGGTACAGTATACAAATTAAAAGTGGGGGGGAAATGAGTGAAATATGCCTGCCCATCCAAACATTTGCCCTAAGATCTGAGCAAAGGCAAGGGACTCGTAAGAAAATACACCTTCTATAATGTAACAAACTCCTGACAGCCATGATTTCTGAATAGCGTATTTAAGGCAGAAGTTTCTTGGCCTGTGCACTGGGTGCCCCTTGTTGTCAAGGCTGCAAAATGGAGGAAGACTGATACAGTGGTACCTCGGTCCTTGTACTTAATCCGTTCCGGGAATCCATTCGACTCCCAAAACGGTTCAAAAACCAAGGCGCAGCGTCTGATTGGCTGCAGGAGCTTCCTGCACTCAATCTGAAGCCGCATTGGGCATTCGGCTTCTGAAAAACGTTTGCAAACCAGAACACTCACTTCCGGGTTTGCGGGGTTCAGGAGCAGATTTGTTCAGGAGCCAAGCCATTTGAGTACCAAAGTACAGTGGCTGTTGTTGTTGTTTAGTCGTTTAGTCGTGTCTGCCTCTTCGTGACCCCCTGGACCAGAGCACGCCAGGCACTCCTGTCTTCCACTGCCTCCCACAGTTGGGTCAGACTCATGTTTGTAGCTTCGAGAACAGTGGTACCTCGGGTTAAGTACTTAATTCGTTCCAGAGGTCTGTTCTTAACCTGAAACTGTTCTTAACCTGAAGCACCACTTTAGCTAATGGGGCCTCCTGCTGCCGCTGCGCTGCCGGAGCACGATTTCTGTTCTCATCCTGAAGCAAAGTTCTTAACCCGAGGTAATATTTCTGGGTTAGCGGAGTCTGTGACCTGAAGCGTATGTAACCCGAGGTACCACTGTACCACTATATAGCATTGTGCTATCAGGTCTCAGTGTAACTCCACCTCTCAAGGCAAGCTGCTGGGTCCTTGCAAAAGCATCAGTAAGACTGTGGTCTGGTTTGTGTGGGACCCTGCCTCGCCCCAGCCATCTCGGCTTGCCCGTCCACTCTCAGTCTGCATTTTTGTTCCAGATCTGCTCTGGGCATCTTCTCATGTAGGACCTTGTCCGGTATCTCTATCTGTGCCTCTGCACTAACCCTCCTGAAATCCTCCAGTTATGTGGGAAGGTGAAGGGTAACCTATTAAGGGAGCTTAACAATATCCACATGCCTCAACCTTCTGCCAAATCACTCAGAATTTCGTATTCTTCTAAAAACAGGAGCTCTATTGAAGCGGGCAGACATACATCTCTCCTCCTCACCTTGACGTAGAATCTCCGGTTTGAACACCGAAACTGTGCAAATAGACAAAAAGTCTCAAAACGTATGACGTGAGGAAGATCTGCACAGATGGGACCTGGAAGCAGAAGGCGAAAAGTCTTACCATGGGAAGGAAGAACGAAAAGTACCATATCCTCCAGCATTGCTCAGAAGTAAACAAATGCACCCGTTGTTGAACTGAGCTATACACTTATGTTCTCTAATGATTGAGGGGTCTGTGGCAGTATATTGCCAAACAACAAACTACCTTTGGCCAATTTCTTTTCCCCCAATCCCTTAAAGCTGGGAGGAGAATTTTTACATTGTTTTGCTTCCAAAGCACAAGACATTCAGAATTGCATCAAATTATCGTTGCAGACTAATGAAAGCCCGTTCCCCTTCCCATGTAAATCCAGATTAATAGTTACAGTTGTGGTTTGGGGAATCAAAGCAGGGAAAGGGCACAATCCACTCCAAGGTACTCCTGGGCAAGCCTTGCACAGGTCTGTTTCCGGGTGAATTGTGTCCTCCCTGAACAGAACGGCAGTAAAGGTGAGCCGATGAAAACGCCTAGAGCATCTTCTGTTTCTTCTCTTAGGCCTTCATCTAGTAGGCTGAGTGTGGATCCACAAGTGGGTCTTGGCCCGACCTAAGGAGGGTTGCTTCCCTGGCAAAGCCACCATTGTATTTTAATTTTTGAAGAGAAATAGAAAAATAAGAGGCGCATGGAGAGAGAAGGAAAGAGAGATGGGGCATGTCTAGCAATATACCGTATTTTTCGCTCTATAGGACGCACCCGTCCATAGGACGCACCTTGTTTTAGAGGGGGAGAACAAGAAAAGAAAATCTCCCCCTCTCTGCTCAGCGCCCCTTCAGTGAAGCAGCAGGAGAAACGGAACCCCTTCCATTTCTCCTCCCACTTGGCTGAAGGGGCGCTGCGCAGCTCTCCCTCTCTGCTGAAGCCAGGAGACTCTTGCTCTCCCGGCTTCAGCAAAAGGAACCCAAAGCCTTCGGAGCGCAGCGCAAGTTCCTGCTGTGCTCCGGAGGCTTCAGGTGGCTATCCCTGAAGCCTGGAGAGCGAGAGAGGTGGGTGCACAGAGGGAGCGCTCCCTCTGTGCTTCGGAGGCTTCGCGTTGCTATCGCTGAAGCCAAGGAGCCTGCATTTGCTCCATAGGACGCATACACATTTCCCCTTAATTTTTGGAGGGGAAAAAGTGCGTCCTATAGAGTGAAAAATACGGTATATCTTTTGTTTGTTCTATATTCGCTGATTGCGATAGCTATGCTCCTTTTGTGAACTGTAGTTTGCTAGATAATAATAGTAGTAGTAATAATAATAATAATAATAATAATAATAATAATAATTTTATTATTTATACCTTGCTCATCTGGCTGGGTTTCCCCAGCCACTCTGGGCAGCTCCCAATAGAATATTAAAAACACGATAAAACATCAAACGTTAAAGACTTCCCGAAACAGGACTGCCCTTCAGATATCTTCTAAAAGTCAGATGGTTGTTTATTTCCTTGACATCTTCAGATACTAAAAAGTATTTTTGCTACAGATACTAAAAAGTATTTATTAGTCACCTCTCTGCCCCATCCTGACAGAACTACAATTCCAAGGGTTCCCCAGGGTTAAGAAATACTGCAAACCCTGCATTTCGCCAGTGTAGATATGCCTTGTGAAAGAAGAAATTATAAAGTTTTGTTTAAAAAAAAATTCAAAAGTTGGTTCTATGCTGAAAATTGGTTTTAAAGCTTGGCCTGAAGTCTGAAAAAGTTGAGGATGGTTGCCATAGGACCCGCACAGACATTTACAGGCCATATTCAGAGAGATCTGTAGATTTACAGACTGCAGAAAAGGTTGTTGTTGGCGGGAATCATATATTGAAGAAAGTGCAACCAGAGTCTCTCACCACAAAAGGGTTCTGGTGGGAATCTGAAGCGTGAACCAGTGATCTGCACATACCATCTGGGATCTCGCCATGGTTCTCATACTGATCCAGCTGTAGGATTTTAGGATCCTGGCAACCTTTGCTATGTCGGATCTGACACACCACGCTTGCCTTCCACTTGGGCCTCATGGACGCAAAAAAGTCCAGGTACTCGTCAGTCGTGAGGGGGCTGCCTGGTTGGTAGGACAAAGTCCTCGGGATCAACTGTGCCAGGAAGATTAGGAACCCTGAAGGAGAAGTTATCCGTCTGTCAGATTTTTATCGCTTATAGCCAATGGCTGTTACAACACATGTTACAAAACAAAACACATGTTATAAAAAGTCCAAGAGGAAATTAATTTACTACAAAGAAAAGGAGAACAAGGAGATGTTTTAAGAATTTTAAGGTCTCAAATATAGAATAGATATTCATAAATGCACATATATCTAAATATATGAACCATGTGTCTGAAATAGTACAGGAGAGCAATACTGGAGCCATTTTGACTCTCCTAATGACCTCAAATATTCCTCTGCAGTAAGGGCGGCAAATGGGGAAATCCTTCCCATTGTCTTTTTGCTTGCAAATCCTGTCTTTAAGGGCGTATTTGTGCATGAATAGGGTGAGCCTTTGACCTGGATTCAAGAACTAAAGTATTAACCACCACAAAAGAATAGCCAGACTGCCCAGGTAATGCAATCAGTGACTGTTATCAGGTATCCTGGAAGACAGGATTTCTGCTGTAGACCACCTCTTTCTGTGATGTATGTATGATGTTTTGCGGGGTGGTCTTGGGCTACAGGGTGGGCAATTTAAAAAGTCTATAAAAGGGCTTGAGCACCATTGTTCAGGGTTCTCCTCCCTCTTGTGTGTGATGAGTGGGGACTCTGTTGCAACAGTTCCTTTAATAAAGGTCAGGCTTACTAGCCGCTTTGTTTCTCAATATTCTCTGGTTGGCCTCTGTTATTTTCTCCTACCGATAGGGAACCCACTTAAGGACTCTCTACGGGCTCTGGAATACCCCATAATGGAAAGGGAGAAGTTTTTTCTTATAACAGCATGTTATAAAAAGTCCAATAGGAAATTAAGTTACTACAAAGATAAGGAGTAAAGGTAAAGGTAAAGGGACTCCTGACCATTAGGTCCAGTCGTGGATGACTCTGGGGTTGCGGCATTCATCTCCCTTTATTGGCCGAGGGAGCCGGCGTACAGCTTCCGGGTCATGTGGCCAGCATGACTAAGCCGCTTCTGACGAACCAGAGCAGCGCACAGAAATGCCGTTGACTTTCCCGCCAGAGCGGTACCTATTTATCTACTTGCACTTGATGTGCTTTCGAACTGCTAGGTTGGCAGGAGCAGGGACAGAGCAACGGGAGCTCACCCCGTCGTGGGGATTCGAACCGCCGACCTTCTGATCGGCAAGTTCTAGGCTCTGTGGTTTAACCCACAGCGCCACCTGCGTCCCTTTTAAAAGATAAGGAGTACAAGGAGACAAAAGCAACACATGATCAGGCTATTCTGTGACGCCCTCAACTGCACTCAGATGAATGGGTCCTTTGTAAAGCATTAACTGCCAATACCACAGCAAAAACAACCGTCTCTAAAATACTTCCACACAATAAAAACAAAACAAAACCCAAAACCACCCTTCTGCAGTTGAAAGGCCAAGAGAGAAGCACAATAAGTCATCCGTCTGACTTTCAGGCTAAATCTTACGCACATTTTCACTGTTGAACACAGTGAAACGTACACCTGAGTAAAAATACATAAGATTACACTGTCATGCACTTGTTATAAAAGATGGTGTTCCTTCACCCAATATTGAATACAGACACTTCTACGTAGATTCCCTCACAATAGCACAGGCCGCAGTAGTTCATTACTGAGCGACCAGAAAGTAGAAGGGGGACACCTATTGTCCAAAACAGAGATGCAAAATTTGCTGAACTTTTCTCTGCCACCAAGCTTGTGCAGGCAAATAAATAAAATGTGTTTCTGTAATCGTTGATGGTCTCCAAATTTTTTTACATTGCTTTTATTGCCTATAGATGCTGTTGTTGCAAGCTTTTTTCTGTTTTTTAAACATGTAGTTGCATATAAATATTTTTTGTAAATAAAATTACTGAATATTACTTTTTTTTATATATATATAATATTTATTCAAATTTTAAGATTACAGAAAAAGAAAAAAGTGAAGAAAGAAAAACTAATCACATACATCCTACAAGAAAAACACACAATACCAAGAAAAATGCACAAGACAAAAAATCACAATAAAAAATAACAAAAGAAAAATTCAACTTAAACCATTAGAGCCGTTTTCCCATTTACTTATTTCCGTGACTTCCTCTCACTTCTCTGCTTTGTATTCTAATTCAAATTGTATCTCCAGCAAATCCTTTTAACCTTCTTTTCATTTACTTATTTTAACATTCCAAAATATTTAATTCTCCTCTATCTTTTATTTTACACTTCATATTTACTTAATTCCATTATACTCTGTCTGCCAATATGGTCTAATATTCTTCTCCAACCTTTTCTAACATTCTTTTATATTACAGTGATTCTGAAGATATGTTTTAAATTTTTTCCAATCTTCTTCCATCGACCCTTCTTCTTGATCTCGAATTCTGCCGGTCATCTCAGCCAGTTCCATATAGTCAATCACTTTTCTCTGCCATTCTTCTCGGGTAGGCAATTCTTGTGTCTTCCAGTATTTCCCAATGAGTATTCTTGCTGCTGCTGTCGCATACATAAAAAATTCCTGTCTTCCCTTCGCACCAATTGACCGACCATGCCCAAGAGGAAGGCCTCTGGTTTCTTCAAGAAAGTATATTTCAATACCTTTTTAGTTCATTATATATCATTTCCCAGAAGGCCTTGATCTTTGGGCACGTCCACCAAAGGTGAAAAAAGTACCTTCATTTTCTTTACATTTCCAACATTTATTATCAGGCAAATGATAAATTTTTGCTAGCTTGACTGGGGTTAAGTACCACCTGTAAATCATTTTCATTATATTTTCTCTTAAGGCGTTACAAGCCGTAAATTTCATACCTGTGGTCCATAACCGTTCCCAGTCAGCAAACATAATGTTATGCCCAACATCTTGCGCCCATTTAATCATAGCAGATTTGACCGTTTCATCCTGTGTATTCCATTTCAACAACAGATTATACATTCTTGACAGATTTTTAGTTTTAGGTTCTAACAATTCCGTTTCCAGTTTAGATTTTTCCTCCTGGAAACCAATCTTTTTATCTATATTAAAAACCTCCCTTATTTGATAATAATGCAGCCAATCTCGAACTTTAGTTTTTAATTTGTCGAAGCTCTGCAATTTTAGTTTATCACCAACTTGTTCTAAGATTTCACAATATTTTGGCCAGTTTGTCTCCATATTAGTTTTTTTCAATGCCTTTGCCTCCATTGGTGACAGCCACCTTGGTGTTTTACTTTCCAACAAATCCTTATATCTCACCCAAACATTAAACAATGCTTTCCTGACAATATGATTCTTAAAGGCCTTATGCGCTTTGACTTTGTCATACCATAGATATGCATGCCATCCAAAAACGTTATCAAAACCTTCTAGATCCAAAATGTCCACATTTTCAAGAAGTAGCCAATCTTTCAGCCAGCAAAAAGCGGCTGCTTCATAATAAAGTTTAAGATCTGGCAGGGCAAATCCCCCTCTTTCCTTCGCATCTGTTAATATCTTAAATTTTATTCTAGGTTTTTGCCCTGCCAGATAAATTTGGAAATGTCTCTTTGCCACCTCTTGAAACAGTCCATTTTGTCCACAATTTGTAATGTTTGAAACAGAAACAACATTCTAGGCAGTACATTCATCTTTATCGCAGCAATTCGCCAAGCAATGATAACTTCAATTTTGACCATATTTCTAGATCCTTCTTCACCTCTGACCAACATTTTTCATAATTATCTTTAAACAAATTCACATTTTTAGCAGTCATATTCACCCCTAAATATTTCACTTTATTAACAATTGTTAATCCTGTCTCTTTCTGGAACCTCTCCTTCTCTATCTCTGTAAGATTTTTCTCTAATACCTTGGTTTTCATCTTGTTTAATTTAAAACCAGCTACTTGACCAAATTCAAAATTACTGAATATTACTGAACCACTGCACCCAAACCTTGTTAAATACAGTGGAACCTCGGTTTTCGAACATAATCCGTTCCGGAAGACTGTTCGACTTCCGATATGTTCGGAAACTGAGGATCAATGGGCTGGCTGCAAAGTTAATGGGAAACAATGAAAAACATGCCTCGGAAGCCGTACAACTTCTGAGGCGCATTCGAAAATGGAAGCAATTACTTCCGGGTTTTCAGTGTTCAGATTCTGAATTGTTTGGCTTCCGAGACACTCAAAAACTGAGGTTCTACTGACTGACTTATCAAACCTAAACTTTTTATTTACCAATGAATATCTCTTAAGAAGGAGGGATGCGGGTGGCACTGTGGGTTAAACCACAGAGCCTAGGACTTGCCAATCAGAAGGTCAGTGCTTCAAATCCCCACGACGGAATGAGCTCCCGTTGCTCGGTCCCTGCTCCTGCCAACCTAGCAGTTCGAAAGCACATCAAGTGCAAGTAGATAAATAGGTACCGCTCCGGCGGGAAGGTAAATGGCGTTTCCGTACGCTACTCTGGTTCGCCAGAAGCGGCTTAGTCATGCTGGCCACATGACCCGGAAGCTGTACGCCGGCTGCCTCGGCCAATAAAGCGAGATGAGCGCCTCAACCCCAGAGTCGGTCATGACTGGACCCAATGGTCAGGGGTCCCTTTACTTTTACCTCTTAAGAAACGATGACGGCAACACCCAATTTCACAATTCATTGCGAAGGAATAGTTCATAAGAGACTTCTTAACTCACCCACCCACCCCAAATGTCCAGTTTTCTTCAAATCCAGACCAGGCAGAATAAGTTAAAATCACAGTGGGATCAGATCAATGGACTAAGGCCCATGTTGACTTTTATGTCTGACTTCCACGTTAAAAGGAGCTGTCAGAAAAGAGCACCAGCCAGAATATACAACCAAGCCAGTCAGGAACAATGGCAGTTATAGGCCATACAGAGCCAAAGATGATCTCAAACCAGAAATCCAGCCAGGCTTCCTCTTGGATAAATGGAGAGGTCGGTCACTCACCCACCAGACAGGCCCATCGTAGCACCTTGAGCCTCAACATTGCCGTTCTGCATCAGGCTCACCCCATTTCAAAGGCCAACAAGGCCAGAAGCTGTTGGAATGAGAACACAATGACCTCACAGTTGAAGCCATTGCAGGAGAGCAACAAGAGAAAGAATCTAGGTGGACTCAGGGTTGGGCAGGGGATGGGGAGGACAGGAAAGTGATTTTACATGTGGCAGCCCGAATATGAGGCAAGATAACACACCAGGTTCCATCTGTCATTGAAAGCAGTCGAGTGGGAAGCAAACTTCTGAATAATGGGCCACAATTTGATAGAAAAATGAATGGGAGCAGATGATGAACATAGAGATGTTCTTAAAGTCTGGTTCATTCAAGTGGGGTTTACGCAGGAGATGCTTGTGGACGTTAATTACCGTATTTTTCGCTCTATAAGACGTACCAGACCACAAGACGCACCTAGTTTTTGGAGGAGGAAAACAAGGAGAAAAAAATATTCTGAATCTCAGAAGCCAGAACAGCAAGAGGGATCACTGCACAGTGAAAGCAACAATCCCTTTTGCTGTTCTGGCTTCTAGGATAGCTGCGCAGACAGCATTCGCTCCATAAGACGCACACACATTTCCCCTTACTTTTTAGGAGGGAAAAAGTGAGTCTTATAGAGCAAAAAATACAGTAATTTGAGGTGGCGCCACTTGTGCATTTTTCTCCTCGGATACCGACATTTCTGTGTCGCCAACAAGAGAAACTGGGAAAGTTGGAGAAAAAGGACATCGTGGGACGGTGTGGGTGGTTGAGCAGGGACAGGTTTTTACCACTGCAGGATTCTTGTTTCCAAGATAGCACCGTCCACAATTTCCCACACTGAGTTGTTTGCAGGGCATGCTCTTTCTTCCACTAGGGCTCAACGTGAACATAGCTCTCTCACGGTGACATGCAAAATGATTGCGGGTGCCTTGCACTGCGCCAACTCCCATGTATACATTTAAAATGGAAATAAGTAGGCGGGTACCAAAATGAAGCAGCACTAGTCCAGATGAAAATGATAAAGGTGGTAGTGAAATGGACGCAAGTATCTATACAAATAGCACTATCTCTGGCTTTTTGGGTACTTATTGAGACAGTTACCGTATTTTTGTGTGCATAAGACTGTTCCCCCCCTTAAAAATTATGTCAAAAAATAGGGGGCGTCTTATACACGGATACATCTTGCCCCATTCTCTAAAATCTGAGTCCCCAAAAATAGGGGGCATCTTATAGATGGAAAAATACGGTATATTGTAATATGCCTGTGTTCATTCTTGCCTCCATTTACTTCTGTAGAACATTTTGTCCCAACTACAGTAAACCTGAAATGACTTTTATTTGGTTATGGCAGCGTTAAGTAGAATAGCCAGAAAACACAAAATGGCAATAAATAAATCCCCCCCCAAAAAAAAGAGCACATGAAGCAGAACATGGGCTTTAATAAATTTGTGGGAGTTAACTGAACCATCAACATAAATGAAAGTAGAAACCAGAAGGCAAGTAGGAACTAAGAGAGCAAGATGGGGCCAGGACAGGAAGTGGAGGAAAAGGCCAATTCGAAGTCAGTGTTAACCTATAAGGCCCTACATTGGTTGGGAGATCCAGACTTTGGGGGGTAGCCTGTTGGGGGCTGCATTGTGGAGCCAGTCAAGGCCAAAATCAGGTGGAGCCACTGCAGACTTAGGCATCAGGCTCATCCTAATAATCACGAAAAGCATTTTTTCGGCTGCAACACCCCATTGTAAAAATCCCTCTTCTGGGATGCTCGTCTGGTGCCTACTTTATCATTTAGGTATCTAGCAAATACAGTGGTACCTCTGGCTGCGATTTGCCGCTTCTGCGCATGACGTCATTTTGTGCTTCTGCACATGCGTGAGTGGTGAAACCTGGAAGTAACCCTTTCCGGTACTTCCAGGTCGCCGCGGGACATAACCTGAAAGAACGTAACATGAAGCAGACGTAACATGAGATATGTTTTTTAAAGCACTTCTGTGAAGTCTGTCTCCTGTTGCTATAACCAGTTGAATTCCCCATCGTTAATTACAGTATTAGCTTTTTGCATTGTTAAAATGCAACTTTTAGAAGACATCAGAAGGCAGCAAAGTTGTACACTAAAGTTTTTAATTTTTGATATTTTATGATGCTTTTATATTTGCTGGAAGCCACCCAGAGTGGCTGGGGGAACTAAGATGGGTGAGGTACAAATAAAATAATAACAGCAGCAACAACCGTGCTCCGCCCTTATTTCAGACATTGTGCTAGATCAGCATATCGCGATGTTTAGCTGGTGATATATCGCAATATTGAAAACCAGGTATCAGAAACAACCACTGAGGGAAGACAGGCAAGTTCGAGCTCTTAAGTGCTGAAAATGCCTCGTCTTCCGTCAATGGCTTGGCTGCTGACCACCATCAGCTCCGTGAATCCCACCCCTCTACTCACAACCGAGAATCACTACAAAGTTTGTTGAATTGACTTTATTTAATGCCATATTTTACAACATGGGGTTTCCCCCAATACAAGCACCACCGAGAGAGGAGTGAATTCTGGATGGCCTCCGTTTAAAAATCCACAAAACACTTCATTCAGCAGGCAGGGGGGCGCTCCTCCTCACGAAGAAAACGAGACCCATTCCAGTTGGCTCTAAATGGCTCCGCTCCCTTTGAGAAGTGGAATGTCGTGGGGGGGAAAGGGAAGGCATGAGAGGCCCATCTTCTTACCCAGCTTACTGAACAAGGGGGTTGACTTGGTTGCCCCTCTTCTGGGACACAAATGAGAAATTTTTGGAGGAAATGTTTTATTTCTTCTGTTATTCAGGTGTCGTTCCTTCTTCCACCAACAAGTCTGGGTTCCTCTGAGCTAATGCAAGCTTTGGAACCTATTCAGGGTAAAAGGTTGTAAGAACGAAGAAGGCTTACTCCATCTTCCCCCTCAAGGGTTGCCGCCACAGAGGAACTGGGAGGCAGTGAGTGTTTCAGTACACGCAGGAACCATCATATGGATACAAACCATTCACAGGTAGCACTGCTCACTCAGGATGAGACCCACCCCCTAACTATGAAACCCCAGGAACTGGGAGAAGGGTGCTGAAGCCCAGGAGCAGGGGTGGGTGTTCTGGTAACCACATCTGGACCTCAGAACACGCAGGTTTTATTTCTTCTTCCTCTCCTGGGAGCAGCGAGGGCAGAACCTGTAGCAGGGAGACAAGGCAAAAGCAGCAATCACAAAACAAATGGTGTCTGAGAATGAAAAGGCATCTAGAATTGCGTATTAAGAAATTCCCAATTCTGCAAGCAGAAAAGAAAACAAAATAATAGGTGCTGTGCAAACTGAGTAAATTTGTATACAAATATTGCATTATCAGGAGGCAGGGTAGGAAAACCATTTGGATTCTGTGTGCCACTAAAAGTAGGAGACAATATTGTCTGACCTACAGGGTACAATCCACCATGCATTTATTCAGATGCTCCTGTTCCTTTAAGGCAGTGCTTCCCAAACTTGAGTCTCCAGCTGTTTTTGGACTACAATTCCCATCACCCATTGGACTACAATTCCCATTACCAGTGGTAAGGGATGATGGGAATTGTAGTAAGTTGGGGAAAAACATTGTTTTAAGGAAAGCCAGTGAAAGAAAACTTTCCAGTAGAGCATAATTTATGTTAATTAGTGATGTCACCTGGATTTTTCATCTCAGATTTTCCATCTTGTCATAGGATGGCCCTATTCATACATTTCCTTCAATGCTGTGCCTAGGTTTCAAAAATATGTAAAGGTGTTTTTTTAGAATTTGGATTTCAGCAGTCTGCCAGGACTTCATGGAGCATTTGGAAGAAAATGGTTTTTCCACAAAAGATAAGTACAACTAAAGGTTGGATACGGTGCCTCTTTTCAACAAAAACAACCTTCTCTCTGGTTCTGAGCTTTTGCAAGTCACTGCAAATAACCTTTAAAGCATGTGTGTTTTTCTTTGGGGGGGAAATGAACGAATTCCTATGCCCCACAAATAACCCAGAGATGCATTTTAAATAAAAGCAAACATTCTACTCATGTAAAAACATGCTGATTGGGCCGGATCTGGCCACCGGGCCTTAGTTTGCCTACCCATGAACTATACAGTGGAACCTTGAGTTGTGGACACAATCCGTCCCGGACGCACATCCGCAACTCGAAGAGTTCGCATCCAGAAGTGCCGTGTTTGTGTGCGGCGCGATTTAGCGCTTCTGCACATGCGCGAGCGGTGAAACCCAGAAGTAACCCGTTCCGGTACTTCCGGGTTGTTGCGGGACGTCACACGAAAAGGCGCAACATGAAGCAGACGCAACACGAGGTACGACTGTAGAAAGCAAATAGCCACTCACCATTTCCCTCTTGGCTTTGTTGTTAAGCCCACACAAGCGAAATGGAACCATTCAATGGAGCACTGGGGAAAGGTATAAAGAGCACAAAAGCTTAAAGTTAGTGACCCCTCGTCACTTCTCAATGTTAGAACTGTTTGGGGTTTCTCAGAGCTTCACTTTCAAGCCCTTTCCCTCCCTCTTATGGTTTGCCATCACTGTCTTTGTAAAGGATCAGTATGTAATTCTACTCCATAATGAACATTCCCTTCTCCCTTGCTCCTGACTCTCCCAAAGCTTCTTAACCATCCATCTATCTATCTCTATGGGGCTCATTTGCCCCCTGTACTCTGAAGCTATGTTACACCCCCCCATTAGAAATACACACACAAGTGGAATCATCCCTGCTGAAGAATCCATCAACCAGTTCAGCGAGTGCAGTTTCTATGTCCTAACAAAGAACTGATACTGTCTCAGCGAGGGCACTTAGCCAATTGCAACCAACCATCTTTGCTGCGAGTCCTGCAAGGCCAGCTCCCTGCTTTGCTCCTCCTCTTTTCAGCTGGCCTGAGGAAGGGGCTGGACTGACTCCAGCTATAAAAGCTGAGGCTGCTGAAGATGCCAGAAGCTATTTTTGCTGCAAGTCCTGCAAAGCACTCTTGGGGTGGAGTATTGTTTAGGTGGGTTTTTTTTTGCTGGGGGTCAAGATTTAATTTTGGAGATGCATAAATTTTGCTGTTACTGGGGTTTTTTTGTATCTTTATTGTTAAACCTTATGATTTATTTGGGGATTGTTTCTTTTTCTGTATGCTTACAGAGATATTTTTATTTATGATGACTAGTTTTGTTATATTGCTGTAATTATGTACATGCTTTCATGTTGCAAGCTTTCTTCAGCATAGTGAACTTTGGAAAGGCAGCATACAAATGGTGATGATTCAAATAAGGCCACAACAATGTCCTGAATTTTAAACTGTATAGTTGTGTAATTTTAAAATTTGAATTGAATTTTAATATTTTATCTGTTAAGGGGTGTTGTATGTATTCTGTACATTTGCACGCAAATAACTGGTGTTTTAATTCAGTTTAATAATTTTCTCTGATACTCTACACAAATTGCAAAGGCCAGTAGCTAACACAACTAAATACATATCTACCTGAAGAACTGATGAGTCCTGTGCAGACACAACTTGCCAGGAATGAAGACTGAAGAATTAAAGCTATACATCGATCCTGCTCACTTACCCTTCACGGCCTAGGACCCTCGTACCTACAGGACTGCCTCTCCTGGTATGCCCCACGGAGGACCTTAAGGTCCATAAATAGCAACACCCTAGAGGTCCCGGGCCCTAAGGAAGTTAGATTAGCCTCAACCAGAGCCAGGGCCTTCTCAACACTGGCTCTGGCCTGGTGGAACGCTCTGTCTCATGAGACCAGGGCCCTGTGGGATCTGATTTCTTTCCGCAGGGCCTGTAAGACAGAGTTGTTCCACCTGGCCTTTGGCTTAGAATCAGTTTGATTCCCTCCCCCTCTTTCTTTTTCCTTTCTCCTCCTGTGAAGAGGCTGCATCCTAATGTTTTAATGTCGTATCTTAATCTTTTAAATTGTATTTTCATCAACTTGTTTTTTTTATTGGTTGTTAGCCACCCTGAGCCCGGTCTTGGCTGGGGAGGCCAGGGTATAAATAAAAATTTATTATTATTATTATTATTACTACTACTACTACAACAACAACAACAACAACAACAACAACATAAAAGCCTTAATGCACATGCTCATTTGGACTTATTTTTTTAAACTGATTAGTAGATGAAGACCCAGGAAATATGTGGAAATAAATGAATATTAACACAGGAAAATATTTGGAAGGCTGTAAGTAGGTCTGTTATCACCAAATGGCTGTCTGTGATAAATTAAGACACAAAACTCAAATGGAGACAGGGCAGGGCTCCGATCCAGTATCCTCTTCCCAGATTCTTCTCCTACCACTTGTTACACATATGCAATCTTTCACTGAGCAGATGGAACCTGTGAACCCAGAGCTTCTCAATTTGGGGGCGTGAGTGCTACAAAGTTTGGGAAGTGTAACACAGACAACACTGCTGGGGATGGCTCAGAGAGCAAATGCTTTGGTGTTTCAAAGAACACTGCAGTTGCGAAGCCTAAAGGAGAACTGTCGGGTTGGGCAGTGACTGCAGGTGCCAGGTCGCTAGAAGCCATTTCCACTTAGCGCTCCCTCCATTTGCAGCTCCTTTAGGGAGGAAAGGAGGGGAGCTGAAGGACTGGCTGAAGAAGCGCTAAGGCATGCAGAGATAATGTGGCAACATTCCAGGAAAACTTTTTTATAGAAAGAGGCAAGTGAGGCACATTGTGCTGCTCAGACATGATGCACTCCTTATCCTCTATGCAGTGGCAAAAGAGAACCTTCAGCTAAAACTGCACTATTGCATGAGGCCTGGCAAGAGCCCTGAGGGAAAGAATACATAAGGTAAAGGTAAAGGGACCCCTGACCATTAGGTCCAGTCATGACCGACTCTGGGGTTGCGCGCTCATCTCGCTCTATAGGCCGAGGGAGCCGGCGTTTGTCCGCAGACAGCTTCCGGGTCATGTGGCCAGCATGACTAAGGTGCTTCTGGCGAACCACAGCAGCACACGGAAAGGCCGCTTACCTTCCCGCCAGAGCGGTACCTATTTATCTACTTGCACTTTGACGTGCTTTCGAACTGCTAGGTTGGCAGGAGCAGGGACCCAACAACGGGAGCTCACCCCGTCACAGGGATTCGAACCGCCGACCCTCTGATCGGCAAGTCCTAGGCTCTGTGGTTTAACCCACAGCGCCACCCGCGTCCCTCAAAGAATACATAAACACACAGTAAAGAACTGCCCCATATCCATAGCTTTTTCATAGGCATTCACTTCTTAAAAAAGAAGAAACAAGGCAAGGTGAACAGCAAGCCAAAGGGTGGTTTGCTAATTCAGGAACATTTTATGTTTTAAACAGTGTTACCAATCTGTACTAAGGTCATAAACAAAAATATTCTAGTTTCAGAATCCTGACTTCCACAATGATGTCATGAGGCCCTTCAGATTCCCCGCATCTGCAGCTGTACACATTGCCCCACGGCTGAGCCCCTCTCACCCCACACCCTCAACTCCCAAGAGAGTCTCTTACATCAGGGTTGTCACAACCAATCATCTCCCCATAGGAGACTTGGTGGCAGAGGCAGTAGGTGGGCTCATTGGGGTCCACAGGCATGTCCAGCACATCGGAGGGGTGAACATTTCCAAAGGTAACCGAAGGCATCCCGTACTCTGTGCTGCTTCAGGGCGGAAAACAGAGTTAGTAAGCCATCAGTGGAGACTTCTCTCAGACCCCTGCAATCAAAAAACGTTCCCTTCACCCCCACCTCACTCTGGAATAAACTAGGTAAAAGGTAAAGGACCCCTGGACGGTTAAGTCCAGTCAAAGGCGACTCTGGGATTGCGGCGCTCGTCTCGCTTTCAGGCCAAGGGAGACGGTGTTTGTCCACAGACAGCTTTCTGGGTCATGTGGCAATAATGACTAAACCGCTTCTGGCGCAATGAAATACCGTGACGGAAGCCAGAGCACACGGAAACGCCATTTACCTTCCCACCACAGCGGTACCTATTTATCTACTTGCACTGGTGTACTTTCGAACTGCTAGGTTGGCAGGAGCTGGAACAGAGCAACAGGAGCTCACTCCATCGCTGGGATTCAAACCGTCGACCTTCTGATCAGCAAGCCCAAGAGGCTCAGTGGTTTAGACTACAGCGCCACCCATGTCCCTTGGAATCAACTACCTTAAGGAATAAAGAACTTGTCAGCTTGGCACTTCTCACAATCCTCACCAGTAGGAAAACTGACCACCTAGTCTGCCAGAGTTTCTGGGCACAACAACGACCATGGATGGTGCTAGAATGGAGTAGAGCTGATATTGGGCGAGACTGGTAACATCTACTAACACAGATCCCTGCCTTCTGCCTGTCCCCTCTTCCCACTCACGTGCGGACTAGTTTCAGCTTCTTTTGGGCTGTCTTTGGCGCCTCCTCGTCAGAATTCTTCCCCTTGGAGCGAGCACGGGCTGCTTTCTTCTCTTTCTGGACCCGGCCTTCTGTGCGCACAACACGGACAAAGGGGGGCAAATCAAGTACCTCTCTTTGGGACAAACAGAGCTTATTTGGCCTACTAGCATGCTTTCAAATCTCTGTAGAAAAAAACAATTTGGAGCTCTATAAATCTCTCCCCCTCCCCGCATTGGAACACAGCATTAGCAATCTGAATAAATTAAGCCAAATCTGAATCTCACTGCACACAAAAAAGCCTGCTGGATCAGCTTACAGAGCCACCTAACCCGGCATCCTGCTTCTCCTGGTAGCTGCCCAGATGCCTCCAGGGAATCCACAGACAGAGCCTGGCATGAAAAGAACAGCCATTTCCCACTGCTGCTTAGTAGCTGGTTTTAAATGGTACACTAGTCACCCCCCACAAAAACTCCTAATGTGGAAATTGGTGTTTTCACTGCCACTACACTGAGTTCATGTTTTCATTGCACTATCCACCATGGTCTTAAGAGCCGTTTCCAGGTTAGTCACAACTAGTTATGACTTCCTTAGTGTATGTGGCTAAGATTTTCTGCCCCAACGGCCATCATTTTGCGCTAACTTGCAATGAATCTCAAATGGCATTCGCTGTTGCCCAATCTGGAGAGATCCTTTTGGTTTTTAAGTTCTTTAGAACCCATCATTTGGTGTCATCTGTTAGCTTCGCCCTCATGTTCACAAAGGATTTCAGATACGGTAATTTATGAACAAGTCAAACAGTGCAGGTCTCAAAGCAGACCTGTCGAATACCTCACTGCTATTTTGAAAACTCTCGTTTTACATCTACGCTGTTTTATGTTCTGTACCCAGACACTGTTGCATTAGCGGATAATTCTAAAACATTGCTACAGCAGGACTTCTGTTTGCAGAAGCTATGTGGATTTTCCCTCAGCATCTTTTGTTTTCCTAATGCTATTTTTGCCAATCTGTTTGCGGCAGAATCTACTTTATTTATTTCAGATATTTATATGCCACTTAATAGTCAGAATTTCGCCTACTACTTACATAACCATAAAACATACATGCAAGGGTTTTTTTTTTTAAAAAGGAAGCCTTCCTGTCTGTTATAGCTTCCTTGACTTGAGTAAATCACAATTACAATTTCTCAGGTTCATTTATGCATTTTTTCCTAATCTGTGGGATACATTTAATTGGAGTTTCTATTACAATGCTTTTTAAATAATCTCCTGGCAGTACTTGCTACTTCCTATGATGAGATAGAGCAGGTCAAGGTGGGAGCAAGGTCTATACAAGCCCAGTAGACCTGAAGGAGCGTCTCCACCCCCACTGTCCAGCCCGGACACTGAGGTCCAGCTCCGAGGGCCTTCTGGCGGCTCTCTCATTGCGAGAAGTGGGGTTACAGGGAAGCAGGCAGAGGGCCTTCTCGGTAGTCGCGCCTGCCCTAAGGAATGCCCTCCCATCAAATGTCCAGGAAATAAACAACTATCTGACTTTTAAAAGACATCTGATGGCAGCCCTGTACAGGGAAGTTTTTAATGTTCAATGTTTTACTGTGTCTGATGCTTTAATTTGTTGGAAGCCGCCCAGAGTGGCTGGGGCCACCCGGATGATCAGCATATAAATAATAAATTGGTGTCGGCATCTCTTCCTTAACTTTGTTTTAACCAATCCTCTCTTCTTCTTCTTAGAAGTGTCTTCTTTAACATCAAATTCTACGTCGACACAACTTTTCGCTTACAAATATGTTCAATTTGATAGCACCAGATAGGCTTCCCTCCTGGTTGGCTCGTTGACTTCCCTGTTCTAAGGCACAGTCACTTACTGTATGAAAATGTCTCTTTGCTGCAGCCTAGATGTACATTTACCCTGCAAATGCAAGCGTACTTCAAGTCACCCATTATGAAATATTTCCCCCCTTGTCTACCTATTAGCATTTCCCCCCACTATGAATTTGGGTGGAGTCAGGCAGCAACTGTGTGGATGGTACCCAATGCGTTCCATCTGCTAATGGAATCAGTCAGCAGAATGGAAGGAACTACTCAGTAATTTTTCCTCTTCCGTATCTCTAGATTTGTTATAAATTCAAAACAGATTTAGGAGGATGCAGTCTTTCTTTCATAATAACTTGCTCTGAAGACTGAAATTCTACTATCACCATTTCTGGACATCTTTCATTTGCCCCTGTTCCCACCCTCATGCCAGCCACTTCTACAGAAACCAGAACTCACTCTTTTTGCCTTTACTAGATGAGCTGTCATAGTCACTTGACTCTATCTGCTTCTCTTTCAAGTCAGCTTCAAACCGGGCGAGATCCGTGTCCAGTCGCCGGATGTGCTTATCTACCTGCAGACACGGTAAGAGGGGGAGAGCGTTATTTTTGAGGTAATATGTCCCAACCACCAAGAGAGCAAAGACTTATACAAAGGCAAAGAGAATGGCAACAGAAAGTAACTGCCCAAAGAGATACAGTTCTGCTTGGATGAAGGCTCTTCACAAAGACTGTCCAAAAAGCCCCGCCTAATCAGGCCCCCTCGTACCATCTCATACGTCTGCATTGCGAGCTGCACTTTGTCGTCACCGAACTCCTTGCACTTCCCGTAGGCCTCTTGGATCTGCTTGAGGAGCCCCAGCTTCTCCTCTGAAGACAACGTCCGTGCATTACTGATATATTCTGTGGCCAGTTTATCAATCTCTGATTTGAGATCTGAAAGCAAAAGCAGGGTGCAAAATTATAACAGAGCACTCTGGCATGACACCAAACAGAAAGGGATACGAACACCAGGTTTATTTGTTCTTCAGTGTGTGACAAGGAAGACTTACATAGTCAATCTCAATCAGCAGGGGTTTTGCAGACTTACCTTCTGTTCGTTGGTCCAGGTCTCTCATGAGCTGGAAGTTTCTTTGCAGCTCAAAGGGCAAATTCTCAATGCCTAGAGAAAGAGGAGAAGTGTGAGATGGAGAAGATGATCAGCTTGGTGGGGACCTGCCTGTGTTACTTCTTTCCTACACCTTCATTTATACTTTCTTTTACTGTATGCTCAACACTAACTCCATGTTGACTGAATAGCTACAGGGTGAATTTTACACCATTTAAAGCCAAGTAGTTGCATTACGGGAAGCGGGTGGTGCTGTGGGTTAAACCACAGAACCTAGGACTTGCCGATCAGAAGGTCGGCGGTTCAAATCCCCACGACGGGGTGAGCTCCCGTTGCTCTGTCCCTGCTCCTGCCAACCTAGCAGTTTGAAAGCACGTCAAAGTGCAAGTAGATAAATAGGTACAGCTCCGGCGGGAAGGTAAACGGCGTTTCCGTGCGCTGCTCTGGTTCGCCAGCAACGGCTTAGTCATGCTGGCCACATGACCCGGAAAAACTGTCTGTGGACAGACGCCGGCTCCCTCGGCCAATAAAGCGAGATGAGCCCCACAACCCCAGAGTCGGTCACGACTGGACCTAATGGTCAGGGGTCCCTTTACCTTTACCTGCATTACAAGAGAAAGAAAGGGCCACTTCTTGTGTTAACAAACTCAGGTTTCCTAACCAAACATATACGTGAAAAGAAGCTGCAGCCAATTTCGGCTCTTTGACTAGCATACTCATATGATACCCACATTTACCTCAACCATATTTTACATTTGTAGGTGCACACCTTAAAACACATTTTGTTTATTTACTTCAAGAGACTTGACCGCAATAAAACATCAAAGCATTCTAAAAAATAACGGAACAATAACATTATCAGTAAATAACAATGATCTTAAACATTCAAAAATGCTTAAAATAAATGATCAGCTTAAAAAAACAGATTAAAACACTTATCAATATGCTACATGTCTGGATAGGCTGTCATATAATAATAATCTGATTCATATATCACCCTTTATCAAAAGATCCCAGGGCAGTATACAACATTAAGAACACATTTTACGGAGCGGAAAACATAACAGACAGCATGATAAAATAATCACAATAACAGTGTCTCCAGCTTTAACAGACCATAGATTATTTAGGCATGGGTAACTAGGAAGCCTCTCTGGGGAGAGCATTCCACAGACGGGGAGCCACCACAGAAAAGACCTGTTCTTGTTGCCACCCTCCGAACCTCTCTGGGATGAGGGGCATAGAGAAGGGTGTTCAGGGTCTGGGTCAGTTTGTATAGGGAGAGGCGGTCCTTAAGGTATTGAGGTCCTGAGCCATGTAAGAGGTGCCAGCTTTGCATACGCTTTCCCCCATGCTTGCACACACACAGACTAACCAACAAAGCACACTACAGTGGTTGTTGTGCGTGTGTGTTTTGTAAAGCGGGTTTTTGTGTCCAGCAGTATCTGAGTGCACTGCCATATTTTAACCAGGGCAGAGCCAAACTGTGGATGTGGGAAGAGGAGGGAGGGGGTGTGGAATTTGCAAACATTATTACATTTAAATTTCACCAATGCCAATATCAAGCAGTTCCTTTCTTCCACCCTTCCTTCTTGGGTGGGGGGGAATGAAAAACAGAATGAGGGCTAAACTCAAGCAGACAAGGAACTGGAACCACTGAGCACACTGAAGGATTAAGCCGCAGCGCCCTGTTAAAAAGGAACCAGGGCGAACCCGGGTCGGCTGCTGCCGTAACGTGTGAACTGACCCACACGCAGGAATATGAGGTGCCTCGACCCCCCTCCCCCGACTGCGGGCTTTCGGGGCCTCTGCCGCCCCCCGGGAGCCGCCTGCGCCGCCTGCCTCGAGCCGCGTCCCGCCCGAGCCCCGCGCCCGCTCTTACTGTCTAGGTAGTGCTCCAGGTACATCCCCGCCGCCATCTTGGGTTCCAGCCAAGCGCACGGGCTCTTTCCCCTCCCGCCGGCTCCGCCCACCTTGGCTTCGCTTCCGCCCTTAACAGGAGCAGCTTCCTGTTTTCGGCAGAGGCACTTCCGCCCCCTCTAGGCCAGGTGGCTTCCGCTCGCTTCCCAGCTCGCCTCCCCTTAGTCCTCCGCTGCAAAGGGAGCACGACTGGGAGGCAGCCATTGTGTTTCTAATAGATCCAGACCACCAGTCCACTTCTTCAAGCCTATTGCTTGGGGGAAATACACGTCTGGCTGGTGAGGCAGGATCTTGGAGTGTCTCCTTCCCCTCAGGGACAAGCATTTCCAACAACAACTACAAATCTATGCGAGTTTTATACCAATTTAACAGGGTTTCCCCCCCAGAGAATCCTGGGAATCTTAGTGTTTTCTTTTTTGGGGGTTGAAATATACTCAAGAGTCGAGAGTGGATTTCATGCTCTTTATTCAGCTCATAGTGGTGAAGAGGAATCAAAGTTCCCCCACAATATCTGCTTTATATACATTATTTACACAATGGGCTGCACGTGATTGGCTAATTCCGGGATTCTCCTGTAGGCCAATCAGGTTGTGGATTCACTTCCACCTGGAACTGGATTGGGTGGCTCCTGCGGACCAATCATACTGCTGCATTGTTCTAGGACCAATCAGGCTGCTGCATTCTGAATCCTATTGTTCTAGGACCAATCAGACTGCTGCATTCTGAATCCTATTGTTCTAGGACCAATCAGACTGCTGCATTCTGAATCCTATTGTTCTAGGACCAATCAGACTGCTGTATTTTGGATCCTGTTCTAGGACCAATCAGACTGCTGCATTTTGGATCCTCTTCAACTCAGTACATAACGGGGCGGGTGGGGGGCTGATAATTTTTCACAAAACTGCAGTTTCAATGGTTCCTAGCAGGAGAAGGAATGGCAGCTAACGGGGGTAGATACTGCCTTAAAAATAGCCCTGGGTGTAACATGGATTCAGACAAAACAGGAAGCACAAGTGCTTCATATCTGCTGTTATTCTGCCCTCTGCAATCACTGGCTTGTCCAAACTTTTGTATCCCTCTGTGTGGGAGATACATATTGGGAACTTGAACGTTTTCTGGGCTTGGTGGTGGAAAGCAAACACCATATTCCAGTTGCAAATGAAGTGCAGACGATTGGTAAGGCACTGGTGTTCTTCCATATCAATGCCAAACACAAAGCTCCTCCCAAAAAAAGATGACATTCTTGCAGTTTCAGTTATTTAGGGAACATTTGACCCACTTAGGAGAAGGCCAAACAATATAGTTAATGAAAATTCTTACATCATTCTGTATTTTTGAAGCATTTATTTACAAATAATTTTCCTTTTCTTCACGCTTTTATACACGTAAACAACACCAAAAACAATGAGATCTAGAACCACAGAAAGCAGCACAGGAAAAACTTATGTACACAGCAGGAAATGGATCATAAGACAAGATGGACAGAACAAGAAGGGCACAAATACTTTCCTCCATGGAGCTTCACAGGCACACAAAAATTCCTGAAAATATTTCCCCAAAGCCAAATAAATTAGAGGCTCCAGTACACACAGGATTCTTTCTGCCCTCATTTCCTTATATATAGGTTAAAAGAGGTTCAAGTAGACCAGGGTCTCCAGAATACCTGGGACCCTGTTCTGTTCAGGATCCCAGAAGGGACAGACCTTTCAAAACGTCTAAAGCCAGGCGAAGCCAGGCACTTTTCACTCCAGCTGGAGACCTTTCCTAGCTTAGAAGCTGGTGGAGAAATTGCCAGTGAAGTCCCAGAGGGGTGTCTGGATGAAGAGTTTGACTGACTGGGAGCATTCAGATACCGCTGTGTCTCTGAAATGAGGAAGGCTTGGACAAGAGAGGCACAGTAGGAGTATCCTGTATGAAAGCCCTTGTCCTCTGCCACTGTGGAGAGAAAAAGAACATACAAAGGAGAGATGAAAGGAGAGAGGCAAGTCAAGCATCCATCAAATGTATGCATCTGCATGTCATGAGGAGAAAGGGGCCTGGGGTATAAGCTGTGTGATTTCTTCTAACATAAAAGAGCCTTGTTGGATGAGACGCAAAGCCCTTCTCTGTTGGGGGGGGGGGCTCAAGGGCCGTTGCCCTAGGTGCAAAATCGTTAGGGGGTGCAAAATTTCAACACCTAGTGCTGCTTCAACGCAGCTGCGCACTCCCATCGCTAGGCTCCATTAAAAACGTATCCTCCATGCGAACCAGGAAGACAATGGAACATCTCATCTTTTCTTATCTCTGCGGCTGCGACCTCCTGGGTGACGCGGTTAGCGTTAGGCAGTTGGATATGCATGCGTACCCCGTCCGTTTCCCTGCCTTCCACCCACCCTACTCCACACAGCCCCTGGTGCTGGCAACCCATGCTACACCACTGGTCTGTTTTCACACTCTTGCTCATGACCCTCAACAGCTGGTATTCGGAGGCAAGTGCCTCTGGTTCAGGAGGTAGTGCATACAGAGCCATCATGACTAGTCATTGACAGCCTTATCCTCCATGTTTTTGCTTAACCCCCAACTCAATTTTAAATGGATACAAGTGACACCTTAAACAATGAAAACAGCAGACAGCCTGCCTAAGGTATAGAGATGGGGCAAAACTGATCATTAAATCAGCAATCAGTTGGGAGGTGAGTATGTCAGTGATTCACAGTGTAAAAGTGAAGGAGAAAAAGCCCTTCTGTCAGGCATCAGGGAATCTGATCCCCCTACGGTAGGCTGCCAGGAATAGACAGAGAAGGAGAGTTATTGACAATGTATTTTATTCAACATTCACAGAGAGTGGCTTAGAAATGCAGCCTCTTGGAGTAATGGCATAACTCCGAGTAATCTCCACCCCCCTTCTCTCCTTAGTTGTCAACAGCACCACCCACCTGATGGTGGCCACTTAGAGTTATTTGCCTCTGAGCCCTTTGCTCTCCTACTTTCAATGCTCACCGGGTTCTGGGAGAAGGGGGGTCTGGAATGCTTTCTAGTGATAACATGTCAGCCAGCTGCTTTGGCTCTGCCTTCTCCTCCTCTTCTCCCATTATTTCCCAGCTTCTCCCCTCTTCTGCCTCTGAGCTATGACCTCCCGCAAACCACTCTTGTAAATCTATACTGCCTTCCTCTTATCTGAAAGGTTCGGGCTGGGGAGGCAGTCTCCGCCATTCCTCCTCTGTCCAGTCCCTTCTGATCTTGCTTTTGGGTACACACCCTTGGGTCTTGGTTTGCATCAACTTCTTGACCTTACGGATGAAAGTCTGAATGAAAGTATGTGGGCAATGCCAGCGGAAGTATCAGAAACCAGAGAGGATGACTGAAGATTTCAATTGGTCTTGCATAGCTTAACAGAGCCGAATGAGAGAAATTATGCAGATTTGCCCATTCACATCATTTATACAGGCTGCAGAATTCAGCTTGCTTGGCTACAGACTTTTAATTCTTTTAAGCAAAATTCACACAATTGTGATTATAAGCTGTAATGATCTAGGAGCTGAATCCTGCTCCATTTACCTCCTGGCAGGCCCACCTGCAATCCAGATAAAATTTTGTAGTATGTGCCTAGTGAACTCAATCCATTCTGTGCATGTAACTTAAGCGACTCTCTGAGGCACTTCATTTGTTATTATTGTTATAATTATAATTATGGCATTTCTATTCCACCTTTCTTCCAATGAACTCAAAGTGGCCTTCATGACTCTCCCTCTCTCCATTTTATCCTCACAATAATCCTATGAGGTAGGTTAGGCTGAGAGATGGCGACTGGCCCAAGGTCACCCAGTGAGCTGCATATCTGAGCGGGGATTTGAACACTGGGACTCAGCTACATTAGTAGAAAAAAGTGTTTTGAATGTGTTACAAACATGCAATACCAGATGGTGGTGGGGAGCAAAAAAAAATCTTTTTTTCCTTTTGTTATCACTATTTAATTTCTGACTTATTTATAGCGTTTTTTTCTTGTGTGTAGATCCACTCCTGGTCTCCACCCTAACCATCACACCCAACTCGCTCCTTGTTACCCATCTTCACTATGGTACATTGCAATAAGCCATTCCCACCTATAACTCACCTGCTAGCTGCAATGTTTGAATCCGCTGCACAGCCATTTCTAGAAGAGCTGCCTTGTCCATGCGAGAATTAGGAAGAGGCTTTTGGGAGGGGAAAAAAAGAGGATAACTGGAGACTGGCTTGGAACCAGGCAGAAGTTGGCATTGCAAGAGGAGAAAGAAGAGGATTTGGCATGGACAGGAACTACTCTCAACTGAACAAAGAGAGCTGGTAATTCGAAGAAACTATTATTCAGTGAACTTGGAGGGACATCTGCATCACAGATTGAAATCACTTTAAATTTCACAGTCCCCTACGGAAGCATCATGGGAATGGTAATTCCTAATAAGAAGGCAGGGATATGTGATTTAAAACATTCTCAGCACACTCCATGAAACTACAGCTCTGAAGGTTTTTTGAAGGTAGTTCAATGCACCGTATTTTTCGCTCTATACGATGCACCAGACCACAAGACGCACCTAGTTTTTGGAGGAGGAAAACAAGAAAAAAAATATTCTGAATCTCAGAAGCCAGAACAGCAAGAGGGATCGCTGTGCAGTGAAAGCAGCAATCCCTCTTGCTGTTCTGGCTTCTGGGATAGCTGCGCAGCCTGCATTCGCTCCATAAGACACACACACATTTCCCCTTACTTTTTAGGAGGGAAAAAGTGAGTCTTATAGAGCAAAAAATATGGTAAGTTTTCTAGTGTGGTGTCTCAAAAGGGAATGAAACAAGACTATCTTCCTGCAACTCATATTGCATTTTCTGTTACTGGAACTTTTCTCCCAAACTGTCATTTGAATGCTGGGAAAGAGTGTCCTACAGTCCAAGCTTCAAATTGTGAGCCTTTGGGTTTTGCATTTCGCTCCACTGATATCCAGCATGTTACCCAGTGGGATTGGTTGTCTTCAGAATACAAAATTTTTTTTAAGATCCTTTTGTGTAGGTGTTGCCTGGCAGGAAGGAATAGGAGGAACCTATATCTGCACCACAAACCTATTTCAGTGCCGTACCAATTTAACTCTCCTGGCTCCCCTAAAAGAATACTTTGCAGTTTGATGAAAGGGCTAAGAATTCTCCCTTACATCCTTAAGCTCGGCTTACACAACTATACTTCTCAGGGATCCTGAGAGAAAGAGGGAGAGAATATAAGAAACAAGTTTATTCTGCCACTGAAGACAGTTCGGAAACTCAGCGGAATTCAGCGGCCAGGTTGCTCACCGGAGCAAGATGGTTTGAGCATATTACACCGATCCTGGTCCGACTGCACTGGCTACCAATTAGTTTCTGGGCCCAATTTAAAGTACAGTGATTTCTTGGTTCTCAAATGCCTTGGTTCTCAAACGCCTTGGTTCCCAAACACCGAAAACCCAGAAGTAAGTCTTCTGGTTTCCAAACGTTTTTCGGAAGCCGAAACTCCGATGTGGCTGTCGGCTATTGTTTCTGGGGCGCCTGCCCCAATCAGGAGCTGCGCCTTGGTTTTCAAACATTCCGGAAGTCCGTTTGACAGATTAAGTTTGGCACTTTTGTTTTTGCTATTTATTTTGCCTTTTTGTTTTTTGAGGCTTTTTCGGTTCATTTGTTTTTGGGACTGTGTGGAACCCAGTTCAGCTGCTGATTGATTGTGTGACTGCAGAAATGGATAAAAGCCCCCCATCCAGACAATGACAGTGCAGGTAAGAAAAACAATTAATTTAAATTTTTATCATCTACAATACTGTCTTATTTTATAGTACAATACATTGATTATTGCTTTCATTTTATGGATCAATGGCCTCGTTAGTAAAATTCATGTTAAATTGCTATTTTCGGGGTTGTTTTTAAAAGTCTGGAATGGATTAATCCATTTTGCATTACTTTCTATGGCGAAGCATGCCTTGGTTTTGGAATGCTTTGGTTTTGGAACGGACTTCTGGAACAGATTAAGTTTGAGTACCAAGGTACCACTGTACTGGTTTTGACCTATAAAGCCTTAAACAGCTCAGGACTGCAATACTTCAAGGACTGCCTCTCCCCATATGAACCTACCCTGACCCTGAGATCGCCTTCTGAGGCCCTTCAACGTGTGCCTCCTCCATGAGAGGTCCTGTGGGTGGCAACACATGAACAGGCCTTTTCTGCAGTGGCTCCCTGTTTACGAAATGCTCTCCCCAGGGAGGTTTGCCAGGCACCTTCATTATACACCTTTAGGCTCCAGGCAAAAACGTTCCTCTTTAGCCAGACTTTTGGCTGTTTGACATCCGATGCCCTTTTAAAATGTGTTGGGGAGGAGGGTTATTGGGTTGTTTTGTTTGATTACGAATTTTGTGTTTTTAGATTCTAATTTTATGTTGCAATAGCCCTGAGACATGCGGGTATAGAGCGGCATACAAATTTAATAAATAATAATAAAGTAAAAAGTTGAAGCTTATCATGTTAGATACATACAGAAGCTTGATGGTGGATGCCCACTCATCCCCAGTGGGATGTGTTACTATGGTTTGGCTCCTTACCTTGTTACCTGGGCTGGTGCCATCTAGTAAGAGAGCCTTCAGTTGGTTGAAAGACTGGGCAATTCGATTCCTTCGCTTCTTCTCCATTAGCGGTTTGATGATCTGCAGATGAAGAATTTCTGCATCACTAGAGGAATTGACTGGGCAAGGACAAAAGGCAGAAGAGAAGAGCTGGGGAACAGGGGGAGCAGTTGACCAAAGCTGGCCCAAAACACTGAAGTGCCTGAATCAGAAAATCCAAATGATATCCCCTCTCACTAATTTTTTATTACTTTTTTTATTGATTTTCAAAAACAAAACAAAATTAAAGTTAAACTTTAACATTCAACCTTTTCTATCTTCTTATTTACCCTGCGCAATTTCGCGCCCAGACTTCCCTCCTTCCCTGCTTCGGTTTTCCCAATTTACATCCATTCCTGCAGATTCTTAATTACATTCTATATACATCACAAGATTTATGTTAGCCCTGCTGCAGTTTTTAAACTTCTACAGTTATTTCGTATATACACAACAAATTTACTCCACTCCTCTTCAAACTTTGCCACTTTTTGGTCTCAAATTTTATAACTCATTTTTGCCAATTCAGTATACTCGAATAATTTCGTCTGCCACTCCATTAGGGCTGGTAACTCTTGGGATTTCCACTTTTGGGCCACAAGAATCCTTGCGGCAGTCGTGGCATACAAGAATAATTTGCAGTCTTCTTTTCTCAATTCATCTCCTATTATCCCTAATAAAAAAGCCTCTCATTTCTTTGGGAATGTATATTTGAATTCTTTTTTCATTTCACTGTATATCATATCCCAAATCCCCTCTCACTAATTAACATGGGTACGCAGTTGGGTGGGAAGTTTCCCCAAGTAATCCCCCCTGAAGTAAATGGGAGATGCACAAGATCACAGCCTCGCTCTTTCTCAACTGTTAATTTCAGTGGGGATTGCAGTGAATATCCTGAAGAACTGCACCTGTTGCTCAATTCTGTCTCCCTCCATCTCTGCCTTCCTTACAACCACGTCAGCCCATACTTAACCCACCTCCAGACCTTTGCCAACACAGCTTCTCTCTCACTCTCTTTCCTTTCGCATGTACCTTTTTGTAGACCAGACGTTTCGGCTGTTCCAGATGTGGTTTCTTCCAGCTGCATCCCCTGGGTGCCCCTGTCGTCATCCATGAAGCTTTGCTATCTGCCGCCTCCAGGCTCATCTTGTCTCTCTGAGAATATTTTCAAATTTCCCTCCTTCTGCCCTCCCTTTAATTTATAGGGCATCCCCAGCACAGCTGTCACATTGTCTGCAAATCCTATTTACTCGCTCCTCAACAGAGGCAGCCAATGAACAGCTACAGAATCCTATTTGTCTTTCTGAGGGGAGGAGTGTGATGGTCTCTAGGAAGCCAGCCTGCACTCCAATGAACTCTCCAGAAGAGAGCTGGGAGGGAATTTTAAAAGGGGATTTCATTTCAGGCCGGCCAGCTGCTCCTTTTGGGACAGGGTGGGGGAATAAAAAGCATGAAGAGGGTGAATAGAGACTGGGCCAGAGGAGAGGAAGCTATTGAGATGGAAATGAGGGCAACAGAAGGTAGATGTGTGTTTTGCTGGGTGGTGTGTGTGTTGGCAGCTGCGCTTGGGGTGAGAGGGAGACTTTGAAATACCAACACAACTCTGCTCAGGCAGAACAATCAGACCCTCCACTTAGCTTTGTAGGGTTGCCGGGGCAATGTGAGGCAGCCTCCACCTCTCAAACCGGGTTCTTTGTGAAAGGAATAGGCAGCAGAAGAATGTGTCATCACCCCATTCTTTTCCTAAGTAGCAGGCGGGGCAGACAGAACTGGGCCAACACAAGCAAAACATAACTTATATGTTTTCTAGAATGATCCAGGATGCCATTGCATGCTCATATCTCTCACCAGCCACAGGCTTGCAGGGATTTCTGGCTGAGAACTTAAAAGAGCTGCTGACGTTGAGAATAGAGCGTTCTGGGCCGGATCGGCCTTCGGTTCGGTTTCAGGACAAGGAGCTATCATCGAATGCTCAGGATAATGTCGGAGACAAAGGATCAGCTAGACATCAAATGGAGGCAGAGAGATAGCGGGAGCAACCAAATTCTTCATTTTCATGATTCATGGCTATGGTGTTATTCAACATTCCTATAAAGCTCTAATATGCAAAATTCAAAAAGATTTGAGCTTCGCATTTAATCCGCAATGCGTGTTCTGGGCATGTGTGTGTTTTGCACTGTGCACGTGAAATCCTTGGTAAAACAGGTTCTGAGCTGTTTCCAGAGGAAGAACTGTGAGGGGAGAGAGTCAGTATTGGTCAGAAGATAGGTAATGGCTTTCCCCACCTGCCTTGCCCCATCCTCCAGCCCTAGCAGCTTTCAGAAGGGAGCTGTTTCCAGAGGAAGAACTGTGAGGGGAGAAGGAGACACTGTTTGCCACCAGGGGGTGGTTGGTTTCACCAGGGCTGCCAAACCTTCCGCCCAAGGAACCTTCAGAAGGCAGTTGCTGCCACAGGCATTGTGTGTATGTGTATTTCAATGAGCTGAATAGAGTGAAAAATTGTTGTTGTTTAGTCGTTTAGTCGTGTCCGACTCTTCGTGACCCCATGGACCAGAGCACGCCAGGCACTCCTGTCTTCCACTGCCTCCCGCAGTTTGGTCAAACTCATGCTGGTAGCTTCGAGAACACTGTCCCACCATCTCGTCCCCTGTCGTCCCCTTCTCCTTGTGCCCTCCATCTTTCCCAGCATCAGGGTCTTTTCCAGGGAGTCTTTTCTGCTCATGAGGTGGCCAAAGTATTGGAGCCTCAGCTTCAGGATCTGTCCTTCCAGTGAGCACTCAGGGCTGATTTCCTTCAGAATGGAGAGGTTTGATCTTCTTGCAGTCCACGGGACTCTCAAGAGTCTCCTCCAGTGCCATAATTCAAAAGCATCAATTCTTCGGCGATCAGCCTTCTTGATGGTCCAGCTCTCACTTCCATACATCACTACTGGGAAAACCATGGCTTTAACTATACGGACCTTTGTTGGCAAGGTGATGTCTTGCTTTTTAAGATGCTGTCTAGGTTTGTCATTGCTTTTCTCCCAAGAAGCAGGCGTCTTTTAATTTCGTGACTGCTGTCACCATCTGCAGTGATTATGGAGCCCAAGAAAGTAAAATCTCTCACTGCCTCTATTTCCTCCCCTTCTATTTGCCAGGAGGTGATGGGCCCAGTGGCCATGATCTTCATTTTTCTGTTGAGCTTCAGACCATATTTTGCGCTCTCCTCTTTCACCCTCATTAAAAGGTTCTTTAATTCCTCCTCACTTTCTGCCATCAAGGTTGTGTCATCTGCATATCTGAGCTTGTTGATATTTCTTCCGGCAATCTTAATTTCGGCTAGGGATTCATCCAGCCCAGCCTTTCACATGATGAATTCTGCATATAAGTTTAATAAGCAGGGAGACAATATACAGGCTTGTCATACTCCTTTCCCAATTTTGAACCAATCAGTTGTTCCATATCCAGTTCTAACTGTAGCTTCTTGTCCCACATAGAGATTTCTCAGGAGACAGATGAGGTGATCAGGCACTCCCATTTCTTTAAGAACTTGCCATAGTTTGCTGTGGTCAACACAGTCAAAGGCTTTTGCATAGTCAAGGAAGCAGAAGAAGATGTCTTTCTGGAACTCTGGAGTGTAAGATAGGTTAGGCAAAGAGATTGTGACTAGCCCAAGGTCACCTAGTGAGCTTCATGGCTAAGTGGAGATTCGAACTCTGGTCTCCCAGGTCCCAGTCCCACACCTTAACCATTACTCCAGCTGTCTCTCTGGTTGCAAAGGTGCCACCAGCAAGCGTTGTTCTGGTTGTTTGTTGTTGTTGTTTAATCGTTTAGTTGTGTCCGACTCTTCGTGACCCCCTGGACCAGAGCACGCCAGGCCCTCCTGTCTTCCACTGCCTCCCGCAGGTTGGTCAAACTCATGTTAGTAGCATTCTGGTTGTTAGGTAGTATTTAATCTCACAGTGGATGTGCTTATGTTGATAAGAGTTGAAAAGAACATATTGTCAGGAACTGGGTTGGAATGCTTGCTTCGTGTTCCTTAAAAAAAATAAAATACTGCTTTTACTGAGGTCTAGACATTCATGCTGGGGGAAAAATAATAATATCGCCAGAGTAAGCTCCGTATGCTCCAACATTTCATAGATGAAAACAGGGACGTTCTTGTATACTCTCAGTTTTCATACCAAGAATTTCCGCTTCCCATAGGACCCGTTGCTGAAAGCTGTTCTCCACCTGCTGCACAAAGCATTCATTCAAGATGTAATTTGCTTTTCTATATTGGCTTCTCTGTGTTAGTAACCTGACCACAACAGATTCCCTCTTTTGTCTCCTGCCACAGGAGGTCTTGCTATTCTTTAAACGTCACTGATTGGAGGTAGTTAATGTGAGCAGAACAGAAGAGAGACTCTTGTACCTGTGAACACAATGTTTTAAAAAGCACCCTCAACAGGCAAAGGGAGAATGGTGGTTTAGCAGGAATGAATGTCTTCTCCATTATACCCAGCAGATGATGCTCTACAACCGTTTTGTGTGGCACTTGGATACCCACCAAAATCTGTTTGTGGCTCAATTATGTTCTTGGAGTGGTGATCACAGGATAATGATGATAATAATAGAGCATTTGGTGCTACTGGGATTACTTTTTAGGTATGAAAACACACACCAACACACACTCAGCACAATCCAGTCAAAGCTAAACTCCATTGTTATACCCTCCAACATTTCTCTGGTAAAAAAAAAGGGATGTTCTGTCTAATAAATAATAATCATAATAATATATTTATACTCCACCCATCTGACTGGGTTGCCCCATCCAGTCTGGGTGGGTTCCAGTACATATAACAAACAAAATAAATCATTAAATATTTGAAAACTTCCCTGTACAGGGCTCTCTTCAGAAGTCTTCTAAAGGTTGTATAGTTACTTACCTCCTTGGCTCGGGGGTCACATAACACTGTACCCTCTGATGAAAATAGGGGTGTCCTATCCTAGCCTCCAACATTTCTCTGATGAAAATAGGCATACCTTAAGGAAAGGTGGGACATTCTGAGATCACATCAGAAACGAGGATGGCTTCTGTAAATCTGGGACTATCCCTGAAAAATAGGGACACATGGATGGTCTCCATTGTGCTAACACTTCCATGAAAGCAGATGGACATTAAAAAATGGAAATGGAGGCAGATGGGTTCACAGCTACAACACCTGTTTCGGGATCTAGAGAGGGTAGTGGCAGTCTAGCTGTAGCTGCTCTTGGAAGAAACTGACCAAGCTGGCCCATTTTAGTCTGATTTTGGGCCATTTTGGGACAGAATTGGCATTTGTTGCCCTGAATGGATGGTCTTCTTCAGGAGAGTGCCATGGGGAATGCAACCCTGGTGCTGTTGCTTGATCTCTCAGCTGCTTTCAACCGTGTTGACCCTCTGCACGAACCCTGTGCCATCCCCAGATCTTCTCCAGAGCATTGGGGGAACACCCAGAACAGATTTAGCGGGTGGAGAATGCTTTGCTGTGCACAGAAAGAGAAATGTTTTGCTTAGTGCTACATTGAATAAAACCCAGTGGGATGAAGCTGGTTTTTAAAAGATAGCCTTAGAAGGGGTAAAGCTCACTTACACAACCCAGCCACAGTGCAATTGCTGAATATACTTTGGTCCTCTTCATTTTCTCCTCCTGAACTGCTTTGTGCTCTGATGCTACTCCTCTGCAGTCAATTTTTCGCCGCGCTGCCAACAAACCTCCCCTCCCTTTTGCCAACCCATGTTTCTGACCCCATCTCCTGAACTCCCCCTGCTGCCTTCGGAAGGTTGCCATGACAACATCCTGGGGGCTATAATTCAGCTGTGATAAATATGAGAAGAAGCTGCCCTGTTATTTTCTAATGTGGGGGGGGGGGAGAAGAGAACCAATTTTAGGTGGAACAATTCTGTTCCTTCTCGAACACCCTGTAAAGCAGGCAACAGGTGAGTGGCCCAAATTCTGAGAAACCTTTGGCCAGCAGTTTGAGGACATGCAAATCGGTAGTGTTTCTTCGTCTCTTAACCGAAATATACACTTCCTAGATTCATGGGCTTTTAATTCAATTTTAAGATACTGCTCTAGGCATGACGATCTAGTTCTGACTTGTGCTAGAGAGGGAGCTCTGAGTGACCGCTGGCTTTCATCTCTCCAAAGGGGAGAGGGGTGCCTTGCTTCATTGTCCTAGCCTGCCTCCATGCAAACAGAAAAACCTTTTCCCTGGCAATAAACTACTTTCGGTTCTCTCTGAACCACCATCTTAAAGCTGTCAGGATTGCAAACAGCCCTTTAGCAGCAATATCTTTGCACCACCATTTCTGTTTAACATCCAGCCTGAGATCAAGAAATAGCACACTGCATTGTGACTTTCAGTGGAGCCTAATAGTTTGTGATGGATCGACTTAAATTATAAACCCACCTTTTTCGTCCTAGGAGCTCAAGGTGGTTCTCCACCTCCTCACTGAATGCTCACAACCACCCTGCGAGGTACGTTGGGGCTGAGAGGCAGTGGTTGGCCCAAGGTCACCCAGCAGGCTTCGTGGCAGAACGGGGATTTGAAACCCTGGTCCTAGTCTGACACTGGGATCTCCCCTTTGCTCAGAAGCTGAAGCTGAAGCAAGACTTTCATTTATTTTTGAAGTTGTATTCGAAAGTTGGGGAACTGATCAATTCAGATTTTTCTTTTGTTAAAAGCCAGTGGGTGCACTCCAGTGGCTGCATTATATTATTTATTAAATTTGTATACTGCCATATACCCACAGGTCTCATTAGCTTAAAACTCCCTTATTTTAATCAAAAGAGGCAGTATACAAGGGCGTAAACAAATTGAACAATAATACTGCTGCTAAAGAAACCCTTCCCAGATGCCAAGGATTGTATTATTGGCCAGACGCTAATATTCCCCTTAGAGGCATGATACTTGAGTGCAACATTGCAGTACCTCTGGGATGACTGAGCATTTGGATCCATTTCAACCTGGCTACAGGCCTGGGTCTGATCCCAAGACTGCCTTGGCCTAGCCTTCAATGACAGGAAGACAGTAAAGAGGGTGCAACTCTACTAATTCTCCTTGACCTCTTGGTGGCTTTCAGTATCCATCAGATACACTGCCCAAGGTGGGGATTTTGGACATTTGTGTTGCTGTGGTTCTGCTCCTGCCTGAATGGCCATTTTCAGGTGGTGCCAGAAGACTCCTCCTCCTTTGTCTTGTAGTTTAACACTATGTGGTCTCACGAGGGTCTCTCTTGCCTCCTATGCAGTCTAGGACTACCTTCATGGAACTGCAGATTTGGAGTGAGGTGCCATCAATAAACTGCTGATAGCCACCTCCATTCAAACGCAGCAAGTGTCCCTATTTTTTCCAGGACAGTCTCAGCTTTACAGGAGCCATCCCGGTTTCTGATTTCACACAGGAATTTCCCACTTTTCCTTAGGACGTCCCTATTTTCATCGGAGAAATGATGGAGGGTATGGAGTTATCCAACCCACAAGCCATCTGAAGGCAGCCCTGTATAGGAAAGTTTTTTAATATTTAATTATGTTTTTATATATGTTGGAAGCTGCCCATAGTGGCTTGGACAACCCAGTCAGATGGGCGGGGAATAAAGGTAAAGGTAAAGGGACCCCTGACCATTAGGTCCAGTCGTGGCCGACTCTGGGGTTGCGGCGCTCATCTCGCTTTATTGGCCGAGGGAGCCAGCTTCCGGGTCATGTGGCCAGCATGACTAAGCCGCTTCTGGCGAACCAGAGGAGCGCACAGAAATGCCGTTTACCTTCCCAGCGGAGCGGCACCTATTTGTCTACTTGCACTTGGATGTGCTTTCGAACTGCTAGGTTGGCAGGAGCAGGGACCGAGCAACGGGAGCTCACCCCGACGCGGGGATTCGAACCGCCTACCTTCTGATCGGCAAGTCCTGGGCTCTGTAGTTTAACCCACAGCACCACCCTTTATTATTATGGAATAGGGCATCCCTATTTCCATCGGGAAAATGTTGGGAGGGCATGTCCATTTCTCTTTTTTGTTCAAGCGAGGCAACAGAGTGTTGAGCTGACTGGATGAGGACCACTAAACGGAAGCTGTATCTTGACAAGATGGAGGTATTGCCGTGAGGTGGGCCTGAGTGCAATGGCGTCCAACCTGTTCTAGATGCCAATGCACTTCCTCTGAGAGATCAGAGTTCATCGTTTGGGAGCACTGATCAGCCTCTAGAACCAAAGCCAGATTCAACTGCCCTGGGGCACCAAGCACATTCCACCAGGTACACAAAAAATGGAGAATTTCTTAAGTACATATGAAAAGCCCATGAATCAGTGCTCCTCTGTTGGTTGGGCAAAAGACAAAAGTTACATTAGAAAGAATGAGCATACAGCACCAGCAACTGGTTTGATCATTTAGGCCAGGGGTTGCCAACCTTTTTGGACTGGTTTGAATACTGGGGGCACCAGAAACAGAATAGTTGCAATGGAGTGGGCGTGGCAAAATGGCTACCATGGGGAACATGGAGCAAAACAAAATCAGAGCGACAAGCACCTTATGCTTGCCACGGATAGTCCGCTCTGCTCTGCTAGTCCTGATTATGGAGATCGGGAGTGGTTAGAGAGCTGGACTAGCACCCATGATTCAAATCCCCACTCTGTCATGAAATTCACTAGGTGAATATGGATCATTCCGAGTCTCTCAGCTCAACAGGGTTGTTGTGAGGACAAAAATGGAGAGAAGAACCATGTATGACACCTTGAACTCCTTGAAGGAAAGGTGGGATATAAACGTAACAATGAATACGGATGATGCTATCTACTAACAGGGAGCATTCCTCAGTATACCAGGAAAAACACTACTCTCATTTCAGAAAAATTGCTTATAACAGGGTTTCCCAAACTTGGGCCTCCAGGCTTTTTTGGACTACAATTCCCATCATCTCTGACCACTGGTCCTGCTAGCTAGGGATGATGGGAGCTGTAGTCTAAAAAACAGCTGGACACTCAAGTCTGGGAAACCCTGGCTTAGAAGATACCTGCACATTTTGCCCCACAATTTTCTTGCTAGGAGGGCAAGAGAATTACTTAAAAAAAGAATGATCAGAGTCTGGGCTGGAAGCCTTCATGGGAGCTAGGCTGGCAAATTCTGATTTAGGCACAAGCAAGCACATTTCTATTTTCGCAGACTTTTGACAACTTCTAATGCTACCATTTTTAATTTAGGCAGTTTTGATTTCACTGTCCATTTGGCTGGATTATTTTAACAGTATGCTAGTTTTATTGTACTTACCGGTTTCCTTCCTGCCTTTTGTTTAAAGCTCCCAGGGGAACATAAATTTATGTTGAAAATGACTTTGAATCGCAGAATTGTGTGGGATGCAAATAAATACATACATACGCATGCTGACAGTAACAACAAATGATACAGCCATCTCATCTACCTTCTTTGGCATTTATGGGCACTTAAAAGCAGTATGAAAAATAATAATGAAAGCAGTATGAAGACAAAAAAATGTTTGGGAATATGTGTGAACATTCTAATGTTTAGGAACAAAGAGGGGCACGAACAACACAATTTCTGAAGCTTTTTTTTTTTAAAAAAAAACACATTCAGTTTAGAGGATGGTTCGATTACAGCACCCCCTCCAGCCATTTCAATTGCTAAAAATTCAACCACACACAAATTTGGTCTCATGAAGGTTAAGAGGGCTTTCGGAGTTTATTCTTTAAAAAAAAGTAATGAAATTAAATACAAAAAGATCTAATGCAATATTAAAAGTTTGAAATTTAAAATACCCCTCTCCCTCTGGGAAATGCAACTCGGAAGGTCTTTTGAGAGAAGTGAAAATTACACTGAACTGATGCTGAGATTTAACGAGGTACGAGCAAAAACAGGAAATGGTTGCCTTAATATTCAGTGACCCGAATTCCACTGGTACTCTTTCTTTACCGAAGACGGAAAAAGCATCAACACTGCCCAGCATTGGGAACATTTGGCATTTCTGGACTTGATGTGTTTTCATTGGCTACTTTTGACACTGTGTCTGCGGAGAAGCGCTCTTCTATTCACCATAAGCAACGCTGTGTTCTCGGCTCCCACTACCCATTTCCCCCAGATCTCTCCCCTCTCTGGTGCAGCTCAGGAGGTGGGAATGCTGACCGAAACACCAACTGCAGCCAAGGTATGGGAGTGCAGAAAAGGGGTGCCAGTCTGGGAAGATGCCCACATACGCAAGGTGCTTTATGATTGCCAAATGGACTGTGGTGCTCTTACCCCAACTCACGTCCTGTTAAATTTCCAGGACCAACAGGTAGGTTCAATTCTTGCAACTCCACCCCTCCAAAGGCTTCAATATCTGGAACCATGAGCAACTCTCAGCCCTGTCTAATTCTTTATCTCAATGGCCCACATCAGATTAAGGACACTGGCTGTTTCTATGCTTGGAAAACAGGATTCTCAACGTACACCCCATAGTCACTTCCTCACGGAGGAGTGAGGAGACTGAGATAGCTGCTTCAACCTGGTGAGTGAGTCGAAAGGTCAGTTTAAACAAGCCCCGGAAGTCGGAGCATGAAAGAGTTTGCGTTCTCATGTACAAGATGAATTCGTGTCCATCTTCAAGACACATTATCTGACTCCTTAAGTGCTGAAAGCAGTGCACAGATATTTTTCTCAAAGACCTGAAATCAGCATACAAAAGTGTTCCACTCTTGCCCATGGTACACACATTCATATGCTGCCCCTCTGTGGTCAAACAAGTTTTGCCAATTACAAACCTTTTGAGCATAATTGGGGAGCGGGGAGACATGAATATAGGTACTGGCTCGGACAGTGTTCTCATATGCTTCAGTTATGGTCTGTACACAGCCTTAGACTCTGCTGTGTTAGGGAAATGGCAACACTGCCTCATTTGTGGCTCACAAAAGTGTTGACCTGCCCCAATCTTTCTGGGAGGAATTGGAATTACTCTTATGCTGAAACACTGCATGGGTATTCACATACAACAACTTTAGTTACAAACTCAAGGTTATGGCTGGCATGTGGAAGTTGGTACATGGAAATAAAAGAGGACACACCATTCCTGCAGCTCCAACAATGTTAGCAACCATTATCAACCAAGACATATATTATCAGGCCCAGGTAATTCACACTCCAAGGAGAAGGAAGTGTAGGATTCAGCCAGACATGTGCATGTTCGTGTACACACACACACACACACACACACACACACAGAGCGTACACGCATGACACTTTTGTTAGGATATTCGCAACCACATCTGACAACAGAGACAACACACACACACTTTCAAATTCATCACAGTCCCTGGAGCCCAACCTCAGTTTTGTCAATGCACCTTTTAGTCTCAGTGGGGCTTCGTGGGGCCCATTGGAGGTGGGTGGGGAGGGGAAGGTTATTTTTCAGTCCCAGTCCATCCCAAGAATTATCAGGTCACTTATGGATTTGTGTTCAAGCAGAAGCTGCTTTCTGCTCAGGGAAGCAAGAGCAGTTTGCATAGAAGGTGGCTTGCAATGTTCCTGCTTGGCCGGATCTCTCATGGATGAGAGGAGAACATGCAATCCCCATACTCTTGGCCTTGGGCATGCAGCTACTGCCAACGATTCCCAGTACCTCTTCATTCACATAGAAAAGCATCTGAACCAATTTCTATTTTATGCACCAGTATTATTTTTTTATATAAAAAAAGCACAGTCCTTACAACCCCCCCCCCAATCTCCCCTTGCGGTATTCACATGCCCGTAAGGGATCTTTTCCTTGTTGTTGCTCAAATTCCAATCAGCTCCCCCCCCCCCACCTTCCTTCCCTTCTTCTGTGATTCAAGTGATAACTAGGAAAATTGAAATGATGGCATAGGAAACCACAAGATTAGAGAGAGAGAGATTGGGGCGGGGGCAGAAGAGGAGGAAACGGGGGAAATAACTTGGAAGATGGCGAAAGCAGAAGAAGAGAAAACGGGGGAAGTAACTTGGAAGATGGTGAGAGCAAGAAAGGGCATAAATCAAGGATTGAAAAATAAAAGTGCGCAAGGATAATGCGTTTTATAAACACAGATAGAAACAGTTACAGCAAGGACAGAGCAGGCCAAATGGGGCTGGGGTGTGAATAGATATATCTATCTATCTGTATATATATATTTATATATATATAGATATATTTAAATTCAATGGGAGTTTGAGTCTATGCTTGGGGTTCCCCCCCCCTTTTTTCATTGGTCTCTCTCTCTGTGTGAGCGGCTGTTTCCATCGTCTCCCCTCTTCTCAACTGTCCACCCTCTGCAAGATTCAGTCGCTGCTTTGCTGTCTGTGTGCTGCTGCCACCGCAGCCACCTCCTTCCGGTTTTTTCTTGGCGATCGAGAGAGCAAAGGAAGCATTTGGATGATGTTGCAGCAAGGAGCAGCTCAGCAGTTCCTTTTCCCCTTGGCCCCTCAGAAAGGTCTCCCTTTTGGGGGTGCGGCCCGTGATCCTGGGGGGGAAGAAGTCAGAAGGATGGCCTCGCCAGCCCCCAACCTCCCCTCCTCTCGGAGGGAAGGGACCGGGCTTCATTTTGGCACTGTCACCACCAGCTGCTTATTTTGTTTTGGTTCAGACTTTCATCTTATTATCTGCAGCAGGCTTATTGTTGCAACGGGGGCTGAGACTCCCCCCCCCCATTACTTCTGCATCTGGTTGGAAAGCAAGGCTTGCAACCTCAACGCCAGCCACCTACGGCGTGTGATTCGGCCGGTAGAGGTCAAACCCTCTGCAACACCCCCTTTTTGCCTACACGTCTGCAAGGTGGGCACATTTGGTACCTAGAACTGGAGCAGCCATTCTTCCTCCCCTTTGTAAGGAGGGGAGACGAAAAGAGCAAGCGCTCTCCGCTCCCCACCCAAGGGAAAGCTTCCAGAGGCTCCCTTGCCCTCGTTCATCCGCCATCGGCCAACCGCTGCTGCAGCCCCTTCCTTCAAACAGCTTCACCTCACTTAGGCAACCAAAGGGCGTTCTCCTTTCGTCTCGTAAAGTGACAGAAACGGGGGCTTTCCCTGGACAAGCCAAAGATGCTTCCTGAAGCCGAGGACCCCCTCTCACAAGTAGCGGGCTCTTTCCCCTCCCGTCTAGGACGTGCCGTGGTTGCGCCTCGAAGCACGAATGGTTGAGCCAAGGGGCAGCCGCTACGGGGACACAGCCCCCGTTTCCCGTTCCCCCCGCCCACCCAAAGGGAAGCTGTAGAAGAAGAGGCCAGAGGCTGCTGCACGAGGGGAGGCCGCCACACCAGAAATGCCCTCAGGCACAGATTACGAGCAAGGAGTTTTCCCCCCGTTCCCCTCTAGCAAGGTCTCTAGGAGCTGGAAAGATGTTCCACCTGGATGGCGCTGGTGCTAACCGTGAGACAGATGTCTTTGTGATGTTCCGAAGTCTTGTAAGGGGAAAGGTCAAAGGAACACTGGGGCGGCGGGTTGGGAGGGTTGTCTCCAGACGGGCCCCCGGCTGCCCCGCCACCTTGTGACTGGAAGTGCTGCTGCTGCTGCTGCTGCTGTTGCGATGCCTGAGCTTGAGCTTGAGCCTGGGCTTGAGCCTGGGCTTGAACTTGGGCTTGGACCTGGGCTTGAACTTGGGCTTGAACTTGGGCTTGGACCTGGGCCTGCACCTGGGCCTGCACCTGGGCTTGGACCACAGCCACCTGTTGCTGGGCATCAGGGATATTGTGTTTCCGCATATGCTTCATCAGGTATGTCTCCTGTAATAGAAGAGAGATGGAAAATAAAAACCAGACACAGACAGAGAGACAGACAGAAGACAGGCAGGACAACGATCTCCTTCATACTAACAGAGAAGCCATGGGGAATCTCTTTTCAAAGAACTGCCAAGACCTATCAGTTGCCACCTGGTTTCCACACACCCCCACCCCCAGCCAACACAGGATGGTACTTACTGAGGTGTAAGCCCGATTGCACATGGAGCAGTTGTAGATCTTGGCATGCTTGACCGTGTGGGTGGCCAGGTGGACCTCGAGAGAGGTGCCGTCCGTGTACGCACGGTGGCAGTTGTGGCACTTGAATGGTTTGTCTTTGTTGTGCTGCCGTCTGTGGGACTGCAGAGCGTCAGAGGAGAGAGAAGGGGAGTGGATTAAAGTTAGACTTCAGCCCCACTACTGATGAGTCAGAAACGAGGGTGGAGCCCAATAATAACAGTCTGGAAGGAATCTGTAAGTGGAACAAGAAGAGGAGGCCATTTTTTATCACCCCCTCTCTCCCTGTGCAACCCCAAAATCTGGTCTGGAGGGTCGGGGGAATCTTCTTGAGCAGGTTCAGAGATGATGCCGCAGGGGTAATTGCAGAACATGGACCCCCTGCCCATTCTGCTATTGGATTATTTAAGGGTCCCCGGACATCAGCGTAGCCAAGATTTCTTTGGGGGGGGGGAGGACTTGGGGGGGGGCAGAACCAACATGACTGGTCAGTTAGCTAAGTGTTGTCATTATTTCACTTGACTGGAGGGGGGCAGTTGCCCCTCTGCCCCCCCCTCGGCTACACCTATGTCCCCAGATGCAAACGTTGATGCTTACCATGATTAAGTTCCTTCTCTGTAGGGAGGAACATGATTCTTCATATAGGATGTAGGACTACAACTCCCATCATCCCTAACCCCTGGTCCTAGCAGCAAGGAATGATGGGTATTGTAGTCCAACAACATCTGAGGGCCCAAGGTTGAGAAAGGCCAAGTTAGCTGGTAGTCACCCCAGAATTCCAAGCTCAAGAACAAGTGCTCCAAGTCTTGATTCCATAGAGGTCCTTCAAATCTCTATGCATCTGAGACTTCAAGCTTGCTCTTGACCTGACATACTGAACCTGCAACATACTCTACAGCCAGAGATTTATGCTTGCTTTGGACAGCCATACATATGTGAACTGGCCTCTTGGTTAATTGCCTTTGCACTTAAGGAACCCAAAGTGATATGAAACCAATGCAGGTTTCATTTATACTTAAGACATAAGCATGCTATTTGCTTCATTTATATTCCACCCTCCTCCGAGGTCAAGGCTGCAAACATGGTACCCCCAACCCACCCGCCATTACTTTCATTTATCAAGCCCTTGAAGCTCAGGGCTGTGAGACAGAAGAAGTGAGAATAAGTGACTGGACAAAGATCATAAGTGATCTCTTTGGCAGGCTGAGCAGGGACTTGAACCCAGGTCTTCATGGTCCTAGTCTGCAACTCTAACCACTACGCCACACTGGCTCTCTCTATCCACATATGCACACACAGCAGAAGCTGTATTGATAAAACCTAGCTTCTTATTGTGGTGCCATGTTAAAAGACCCATTCGCCCTTTCCCTACCGTCTCTATTCCATTTCTCAGAGGCCAAGGTAAGTAATAGTGGCTTCAGAGTCTTGCTGATCCTCATCTCCTTACTTTGCCCCATACTTCCACTTAGGAGAGATCAGCTGTCGCTTAGCAGACTTTGAGCAATATTTAAAGTTGTGTGAGTTGACTTGTCCTTCCTCCTCTTCTCCCTGCTGCCATCATGGGCAAGCGGTGTAGAATCTGTTCCACAAAAGGTGTGGGGCATTGCAAGGGGGTAAAGTGGACCTAAACGCACCAGACGGCAAAGAGAGGAGAGCCGTCTCCTTTTCTTCTTGACGCTAGCATTGGCAAAGTTGGGATTAGTTATATATGGTATTTCATTAAGAGGCTGCTAACTGAACCACCAGCCTTCGTTTAAAATATTCTGAAAACGACTTTGAGAAATATTTAACTTATCAGGTTAAATATGCAGTAACCAAGAAAGCGGCCAGTGTGTTGGGATTTAGCATCCAGTTTTGTTTCCTGGGCTCCAGGCCCTTCCCCTATGAAGACAGGTTAATTAAACCTTGCTTAAATTGCTGTGTCCAGAGTTCAAACCTGGGCACTTCACGAGGTTCTCCATCTACCCATCTCTTTCCCCATCCCTCCCAATGTTCCTTCTCCCTTATCCCATCCTTCTTTGTTTCTCTGCTCTAAACTCATACCACATTTCAGGTTTGTTCAGCATAAAAAGGACGCAAGCACACCCTAAGCTACCCTTTCCAAAATCCTCAAGCAAAGCCTTTAATTTTTAGAATTTGTATTCTGCAATGCATGCTTCCCCCATCCCCCCAAGCCATTAAAATTCATATGTAGTCAAGTTAACAAGCATATTCCACACACACACACACACACACACACACGGTTCACAGGAAGCAATGGCAGCTGTTCTGAATTCAGCATTCAGATTTGTCACTATTCATACTGATAGGAACATCTTAATTTTTATAGATGTAGCTATCTACCTACTCTGACAGGCAACAACCACTGATCTTCCCACGATTACTTAAGCAACCAAATCAGACTGCACCACAGTAATTGAAAAAAGCCACATATGAACATCCTTGCCTTGTCCTTTAACAGATACTCAGACTTCCAGCTCGCGCGCTCTCTCTCTCTCTCTCTCTCTCTCTCTCTCTCACACACACACACACACACACACACATTTCTTCAGGCTGCTTATTTTGATTCAGAATTGCAAGCCTGCAGTAGGATAAAACTGGTCTGTTCCATTTATTGCACAATGTCTAGTGAACACTTCATTAATTTTATGCAATATCGGTGCTAAAACTACTAATATTGGAATCAGAGAATGATAGAATTGTAGAGTCGGAAAGGACCCCAAGGAACCTCTAGTCCAATCCCCTGCAGGGCATCTATCCCATGTGGGGACTGAACCAGCAACCTTGGCATTATCAGCACCACGCTCTAAGCAACTGAGCTATCCATAAAAGCAGACTAAACTGGTTTGAACTTAGGGCCCACTGAGATCAATGGGAGCTGTCTTATCCCCAGCCCACCCTCCAAAAATAACTCCAAGGATTTCAATATTTTCACAGTTCTTTTAAATTCTGATGAATGCCCCCCCCCTTACAGTAAACAACTTCCTGCTCATTCTAGGCTCTCAACACAACCCTGGTCACACCCACAGATCCTGCACTTGAGGAATGAACAGATATAGAGATGCCTTTTTTTCTAACACTCTCCAGTCACAAGTCTTTTCCGCTCTGGTTTGGAGAGACGAAGGACCATATAGTGCCACACTTCAAAAGGGAGTATGAAGCAATTTCACCACCTTACCTGCAGGTTGGAGAGCTGCGTGAAAGCCTTTTCGCACCCAGGGTGAGCACATTTGTAGGGCCGGTCTCCAGTATGAATCCTGCCGCAGAAAGGAAAAGCGCAAAGGGAAGATGAGCCGGAGAAACACTGAAACAGAACCCTGCTCCCAGCAAGCCCTACAGATGAGCTAAGCAAGAGGTGAACTCCCCTCCACCAGGCTTATTCGTTCACTTCTCTTGTGTGACCCCCGTGTCGCAAACCCTTCCTCCTTCGACTTGAGCTAGCTAAGGGCAGGGAGAAGCATGCAAGATCGTGCAAGGACAAAAGAAGAGGGACAAGCAGCTCCTGGGCAAAAGGCAAGCTCACCGGTATCACAGTCACCCGCGGCCGTGCCAAGGCAAGGGACTGGAGAGCAAGATCTCTGCTCGGGCGGAGGCCTTTGGGCAATCTCCTCTGCCCTCCACAGCGCCCAAGGACAGCCCCACAGATCCATTCATCGGCCTTCCAAAAGGACCAACCCCAATGCCAGGCCAAAATTGCTAAAGGAAGTGGCTCTCCTTTCTATCCAGTGGAAGCTTCCCCACACCCTTGCTCCCATTCCTGTCCTCCCTCCCCCTTCCCATAGGTCGGGACCCCTAATGACCCGTGTCTGCCTCCCGCTCTCTCTCTCTGTGACCCCCTGGGGGAAAAGTGGGGAGGGGGAGGGAGACTTCCCCAGGGCAGGCCCCTGCCCGCCCCTGCCCTGGCATGGTCAGTTGTCTTTTCTGCAGCCCTCACTCCATCCTCTCTGGTGGGCCGCTCCCTTGCGATTGACGGGGCCGGTCCGCCTCCCCACCCCCCGCGCCCCCCCACTCTGCATGCTTGGCGTGCGTGCTCCAAAAAGGTGCATGCTGACGGCACGGGGGGCCAGGCTGGGCCCCCAGCCTCCTTGGCCCTTACCGTGTGTGCTGCTGTAGGTGGGAGAGCTGGCGGAACGCCTTCTGGCAGTAACGGCACGTGTAGGGTTTGACCCCCGAGTGGATGCGGAGGTGCTGGGCCAGGTAGGACGTGTTGGCGAAGCTCTTGGAGCAGTGAGGGCACTTGTGCGGCTTGACAATCGCCGTGTGGAGCTTGGAGTGGATCCTGCCGAAGAGGAGGAGGAGGAGGAGGAGCAGGGGCAGCAGTTGGGATATGACCGCCAGCTGGCTAGCAAGGACAACATGAGGGACGGCGCCATGCTGCCTGGCGACAGGGGAGGGGAAACCAAGGAGCGCTCTTGCCCCCAGCAAAGAAAGAACGAAAGTCCGAGAGCGCTAGCTGCACCAGGAGGTCAGAGAGAGGAGAACCGGGCTGGCAGAAATGGGCGCTTGGGGAGCCCCGGGGCTGGGGTGGGCTTGGGGGGTAGGGGCGGCTGCTCAGGAAGTGCCGTTTGGGGAGGCTGCCAGTCCTGACCTACAGCTTTCAGTCTCCCACGGATCACAGAGGAATGCCTGTCTTTGACGGCTAAACAGCCCCCCTCCACTCACCCCAGGCGGCTCTTTAGAAGAGGGCTAGAGAGCACACACGGAGGAGTACCTTTTGCTCAGTGCACTAACGGGGGAACCACTGGCAGTCAATGTCAACACTGCCCTGAGCAGTCTCCCCCAAACGGGCACCTGCCTCATGCGAAGATGCCGGCAGCACATGCAGCGTGGAAGGCTCCCCCGCCCTCGCGGCCCTTACCGTGTGTGCTGCTGTAGGTGGGAGAGCTGGCGGAAGGCCTTCTGGCAGTAGCTGCAGGTGTAGGGCTTGGCGCCCGAGTGGATGCGTATGTGCTGGGCCAGGTAGGAGCTGTTGGCGAAGCTCTTGGAGCAGTGAGGGCACTTGTGGGGCTTTGCCTCGGTGTGGGTTTTGGAGTGGATCTGCATCTCCGACTTGGAGTAGAAGGTCAGGGAACACATCCGGCACCTGAGACCAGGACGAGGGCGAAAGAGACAGGGTCAAACACCCGGGACTGAGGATACCTATCCACTGCTCGCTAGAAGGCTGCTGCTACCCCCAAGGGCTACCTCCTCCACCCCCAAATTCTGTTTTTTCCTAATTCAGTTTTGGTGAAGCGGATCTACAATAAGCTACACTTCAACTAGGGCAGGGGTGGGAATATTCCATCATGGGGGACGTTCTGGTTGGGGTCCCCAGGCAAAGCTAAGGGAGCATCCAATGGGTGGAATTCAACATAGCACTACATGAGAAAGGTCCGCTCACACAACGAGACTTTTCCACTCTCTCCTCCCCAAGTCTGCCCCCCCAAACTTGTTCTGGGAGCCCCCACCCCCAGCCTTCCAGAGCAGATTTAGGGGGCACACGGGGAAGAGGGGCAGGAAGTCCTATTGCATGAGTGGACCTCGTTTCGCACATGCAACAACTGGGGTGAATCTACCTCGGGTAATCAACTCTGCACATTAAACTCTGTGCAAACTACTCAGAAAAGTCAAATGCTTTGACATTAGCTCAGAGCAAGGTCACTGAGAAGTGTCAGAGACTGGGCATGGCCTGGGCAGAGGTCCAAGCGGTGGACAGAGGACATGAAGGCTGCATTTGGCCCTGGGCTCACGGCTCCCCCCTCCCCTCCCCAGTGCCCTAGGATGTGGAGCTAAAGAAACCACGACACAGATACCCACAATGGATGCAAACTGAGATGCCATGATACAAGCAATTGCTTTCTGCTCTGTAGAACTGAGTGCTGATTTTACTCAACAATGCCATCTGAATCCATGGCATATAGTGTTAGAACAGTCACTTGCCTTTCCCAAACCAAAGAGCTAATCTCTAACCTATTCCCAAGCCTAGGTAAGCATTAAAAATTATAAGACACCCCTCTTTTCAGGAGGAAACAGCCACAATTCCAGGACTAGAGGGGCTGCAGTTCACTTATGAAAAGGATGGCACACAAACTGCTCCTTTTCTACAGCTGATTGATTGGGAAACCTCTGCAAATCATCTTAGTACCTGTGATATCCCCTACTACTGGATGGTAAATGTTGCTTACTTACATTTCATTAACAACAGAACATATCTTTTTTTAAATGCCATCATCATCAATAACAACCTAACATTTAGATAATGCACATATTCTAAAAGAACTTCACACATTGCAGGTTTTTTGTAAGATACGACAGGGTAAAGTTGGTCAGTATCAGCCCCATATTGCCAATGGGAGTGACTATGGCAGGCATAGGCAGACTTTGGCCCTCCAGATGTTTTGGACTACAATTCCCATCATCTCTGACCACTGGTCCTGTTAGCTAGGGATCATGGAAGTTCTGGGCCAAAACATCTGGAGGGTCGAAGTTTGCCTATGCCTGGACTACGGCTACCTAATGAATTGAGGGAAGGCAGAGACAAGATTTAAACTAAGGATTTCCTTATTCATAGTCCCACCTTCACCATGCAAGGGCTCAGATATGCTTTATAGGTAGGAGCACATTATTCACAAGGAAGATCACATGTTCAGGAAAGTCATGTGACCATAACTCAGACGTTCCTTCTCATTCTGCTTTGACTGGTGGGAAGGGAACTGCTGCTTCATGATATACAGGCCGCCCTTTCATTGTCTCATTCTACATTTTATTTATTTAATTAAACATTTTATTTCAATAAATATATTAAAATATGTTTTTATGTATTAAAAATTTGTTTATTTTATGAAATACATGATAAAAGGACACAGTAAGAAACCAAAACAACAACTCCCATTTTAAATCCCTAACTGTTTTCTCATATGGCAGAGACAATTTTATAATAACACAGAATTCAGAGTTCATATACAGGTTTCCATAGGAACCTGCTGGACCCTGAGATCATCTTCTCAGGCCCTTCTATGCATGCCTCCTCCACAAGAGGTCCAGAGGGTGGCAACAGGAGAACAGGGCCTTCTCTGCAGTGGCTCCCTGTTTGCGAAATGCTCTCCCCAGGGAAGTTCGCTGGCCCTAACCCTTTAGTCACCAGGCAAAAACGTTCCTTTTTAACCAGGCCTTGGGCTGATTACCATCCAATGCCCTTTTAAAATATGTTGGGGGGATAAGGTTGCTTTTGTTTTTATTATGTATTTTGCGATTTTATCCTGTGACCTGCCCTGAGACCTGTGGGTATAGGGTATAGGGCGGTATACAAATTTAATAAATAATACTAAATGACAATAATAGATTACATGTCTTTACGTAGTACTTTTTCAGACCGTTTGTGAAAGCAGAATGGTACTGCATGGCCATTAGCACATGGCATTAATGAAGCCACGCTTTCTGTATTTCACTCTGCCAACAGTATCTATTGCTTGCCTTTTTGTAAAGATTTTTAAATAGTTCACGTATGAACTGGCACGCTCCCTTTTCCATGCAATTAAAGCAGGGCTTTCCCAGACTGGCTAGAGCTCCAACACCCCCTCCCAAAATAGCCGCCCATAACACAAGGCTTTGGTTTGAATTTCTAGGATTAACTTCTTTTTTTAAAAAAAACAAACAAAAATGTCTGGTGTCTAGTAAAATCCAACAGATGGTTTTGATTATGCAAAACCTTTTAAAAATGGGAGCCTCACATGAAATGCCACTCTCTGCAGGTTTGAGTGTAAAGATCTCACAACTGGATTTCCTATAGATAGAAAATTCTTGTCATAGCTAAGCTGTTAACTCATTTTCCCCAGCATAACAGTCTTCAGCAACCCAGCTGAAATGGAGCTGGCCTCTAGGAAAGTTTGCATGAGCATTCCTCTGAGGAGAACAAGGGAAGGACAGAAGTAGCTGCTTTGAGAGAAAGAAGAGGGTTTTCAGTCTCAACTTTCCTTCCCAATTTTTGTTAGCCATTACATAAAAAGCTGGTCTTAAAAACTCCCCAATTTTCCTTCCTCAGTATTCAGAAAGCTCTGTGAGTTTATCAAAACAGCTTTCTAAAAGGCTGCCATAGCCATCTCGGCCTCTTAAAGCCGGCAGGATCGCTGTGCGAGATCCCGACCACACACTGCTAGAAGAATGAAGATCAGTAGAGGGAATATCATGGCAAAGTTTTCCACTTATAAAACGGTGATAGAAAATTACCATAGGAAAGCAGGACATTTCTAACCCCGCAGATGAAAAAGAATGCGCTATTACACGTACACATTTTGTTTTTAAGAACAAAGTGGGGCGCTTCAGATCTTAAACAGGGAACAATGACCCCAACGTAGATATTTCTACATGTTGTGCTTCCCTATTTCTCAGTGCAGGGACCTCTGCTTGCGAACTCACCCAAATCTTCTGCAAAGCTGCCTGCAAACAATTCAACATGCAGGAATGACTTGGGGCAGCCACAGGGAAGTGCTTTTGAGAGTAAGGAGTAAGGCAAGCCATGAGCATGAAGTCAAAACCAACACACACTCCTTTGCAGCTCACCCAGGGACCACGGGGACGTTTCTCCAGCTCTTTGACTTTCAGAAAAATGTACCTACGCTTAACTGGTTCTTCCCTCTAGAGGCATATGAACAATATCAAAAAATGTAAGCCTGGATATACCGTATTTTTCGCCCTATAGGACGCACGTTTTCCCCCTCTGAAAATGAAGGGGAAATGTGTGTGCGTCCTATGGGGCGAATGCAGGCTTTCGCTGAAGCTTGGAGAGCGAGAGGGGTCCGTGAGCACTGACCCCTCTCGCTCTCCAGGCTTCAGGAAGCTATCAGCAAGCCTGGGGAGCCCGTGGGAGTTCCCGCAGTGCTCCCCAGGCTGCGGATAGCAGCCTGCTACCCCGAGCGCGGGGCGCACTGAAGCAGAGCGCCCCACGCTTCGGGCAGATATCCGCAGCCTCCTGCCCAGAGCGCCGGGGGGGGGGAGAATAATTCCCCCCCCTTTATTCCCCCCCTAAAAAAAACTAGGTGCGTCCTATGGGCCGGTGCGTCCTATAGGGCAAAAAATACGGTACTTGGGCTGAAAAGCTCCCAGGAACACCTCCTTCTGGGAGAGTCCCTCCCTAGCTCAGTGAGGGAATACATGCCTTACACGCATATGGTTCAACCCGCAGCAAGGCTGAGGAAGAACACAGCTTGAGACCTTGGCGAGTCAATGCCAGAATAAGCAGTACTCAGCTAGGACCAGTTTCAGGATTTATGGATCTCTATGCTGGGACTGAGAGAAAGCATATACACCCACAGCTGTCATAGTAGTTATTAACCCATACAAGCCGGAGAAGGAACATTAGTGCTGCACTGTGAAAAGGTGGCATCCTTTTCAAAATCTAATGCTCAAAGCAGCCGCGTAGATCATCCTTACAATGGTTCCATGTCCTCCGTATTTCAGAGAAGAGGCTAGAAAATTGAGCTTACTGAAATCCGACCTGGGGATTTACTGACTCAAAACTCGTGCCAAACCAGCCCTACATCAAACTCAACGCTCAGCGCATACTTGGGAATCGGCAACTCTTTTTAAGCACTGAGCTCTTCTTTGCTCTTGACTGAATCCATCTTTCCAAGCCAACCACAGAATGCAAATAGTTGCCAAAATCAAACATTACACCACACCATCAATTCCCAAGTGCTGCGGGTTCCTTGTCTGTTTCCCCCCTGTAAATGCAGGTGCTGGGGGCTGTACTCTGAATATATTCTCTCATTCACATGCATGCCTAAACAAGCTGATCTGGCAAACAAAGCTAAAACCATTTGGCTGTCTGGCAGTACCACCTTCAAACCAGTGGTGTCAAATATCCAGGCACCAGTATTAGAAACTCAGCGCCCAATGGCTCCTTAAACCAGGGTTACAGTCGCCAAAACGGAATGTCTAGTTGCCATTTGGGGGCCAGACGGCAAAAGTCACATTTTTCAATACGACGTTTTGGTTCCTGAAATCTGTTCAGACTGTGCAGATAAAATACCGCTAATAGAATCCCAAAGGATGTGTTGCCACTGTGCGAAAACAGGCAAGATCCAAGGATCCCCAGGCAGGCACCTCCAGATGGTGGAGATGTCAGGCGCCCTCCTGGCACCCTCACTTGGTCGCAAGTGGCTGATAGCTAGGTGCAAAATGTGCCTGGCGAATTTTGAACACTGCCGGGCGCATGCCCACTAGCACCGGGAATCCAGCTGCAACAGGGTTCAAGGACAAGTGCCTTAAGTTGGGGAACCATACTGGGTGGAGTGGGGAAAGGCTCAGGAAGCCCAGACACACAACGCCCCTTCAACAAATGCTGAGAAGAGCTGCGTGAGTGCACTATAAAAGAAGTATCAAAATGGTAAAAAGGTCAAGGGACCCCTGACCGTTAGGTCCAGTCGTGGCCGATTCTGGGGTTGTGGTGCTCATCTCGTTTTATTGGCCAAGGGAGCCGGCGTACAGCTTCTGGGTCATGTGGCCAGCATGACTAAGCTGCTTCTGGCGAACCAGAGCAGTGCACAGAAACGCCGTTTACCTTCCCACCAGAGCAGTACCTATTTATCTACTTGCACTTGGATGTGCTTTTGAACTGCTAGGTTGGCAGGAGCAGAGACCGAGCAACGGGAGCTCACCCCGTTGCGGGGATTCGAACCGCCGACCTTCTGATCGGCAAGCACTAGGCTCTGTGGTTTAACCCACAGCGCCACCCGCGTCCCTATCAAAATGGTAATGGAAGCCTAAATCTCCTGCAGTTAGTAGCATTGGAACCCACAGATATCACACACAAGCATGCACTGATGACTGGAAGCAGGCCCTGAGGCGCCAATGAAAGGAGTATTAGGTGCCCTTAACACTATTCCTTCCTTCCAGCTGGTGAACTCTCAAACAGCTTGGGGACACGGCCATGTGAAGAGGAGCAGGGAGTCAATGTCAAATCAACGGAGTAACTCACACTGGATTATGCCCTGTTAGAAATTCCTCGCCAAAGGCTCTGGAGGAAACTTAGCAGCCATAGGATAAAGAACAGGAAGCAGAGAGTTGAATAAGTAGACTGTTCTCACAACAGAGAAATTTAATCAGTGGGGTCCCCAAAGGACCTGCACCGGTGCCTGTGGTTTTAAGCTCGTTCATCTGAAGCTAGCGGCAAGCAGCGATATAGTCAAATTTGCTGAGAACACTAAATTGTTCAGGGTAATAAAAATAAAGAGGTTGAGAGAAATGAGAAACGTTCAGTCAATGTTAGCAGGTGGGGTGATTGACTAGGAAAGCGATTTAGGATTGGGTTGGATAAATCAATGAAAAAGACAACTGAGGGTACAACAGTGTTGAAAATGACATTCCATGTCAGGGATCATTAGGAAAGGAATCAAAAATAAAATTGCCAATATTGTAAGGCTAGGGTTGTGATTTTTCGATTGACTTGCCTAAGATCCAGGACAAAGTGCCGCCTTTCGCAGAACGCCCCCAACCCTGAAGTCAATTCCACCTTTTAAATCCCGCTAATGGCAGCCCTAGTAATGCGTTTGTGCGAATCTATACAAAATGTATACGCAGGCAGCATGAGAGGGATATAGCACCGATGCCTCACTGCTAGACTTCCCACAAGGATCTGGATGGCCACTGCAGAAAACAAGATGCTGGACTAGACAGAACTTTGGTCTGATCCAGAAGAGCTCTTATGTTCACTTCAGCACCACCATCATGCATGCACCTTCTCCTCTCAGACAGGCATCCACACTTCACTATGTGAAGGCAGCCCTCAAGCTGGAGATCCACAAGAACTGGGAAAGACCCAACAGCAATGCAATACCATATGGCCCCATGATGCTCTACGGCGAAAAAGGATAATAAAAAAGGCTGTACCAAAACTGCAAAGGATAAGACACAGCCTCACAGCGGTGCGGTGCCAAGAAATCAATCTTTATCAAATATAGTTCTTGCCTAGCTCTGCAGAGTTTTACAGAAATGATTATTGGATAGAGAATAGCTCTGCCTGCTCAACCCCTTCCTCTGTATGCTGCTACAACAACCTGCTTCACGACTTAACATTCATCATAAGCCTTAGCTGCAGCAGCAGTCTGCTCCCATTGTAACTGTGGATGCTCAGAACCGTCTTTCTTAAAAGTGTTTCAACAGGACGGACTTCGACACGCTCACAAACTGGACTCATTTCCAACAGAGGGGGGCATCTGCCTACACTTGATACCCACAGCTTTGGCCCAAAGTTGGGTATGGCTGAATATAACGTAACCATGTCCCATTAGGAGGAGGCAGTGACGAGAGGGCTCTGGGAAAATAGCCGTGTATGTCTGGCAACAAAACTACTCCGCCCTGCCTCATCGTAAGGACTGTATAAATGAGAAAAACCAAACCTAGCCTAGAGGATGTGATGGGTGGTAGTTACATGGCACAGAGGGTATATGGAGCGTCTGCAACTAGAACTCTTGCTGTTTCACCACGTGATGAGCTGCTGGATCTGTAAATGAAAGGGCTCCCTGGCTGCAAAGTATTCTTCAGCTACACAGTGACTTAATCCCAAGCCTTTTGTCTTCTCCCCATCCTCAGACCTCAAAGGACCACAAAAGTTATCAGGTCCAGTTGGGACTTTGCCTAGGCCATTGAAACCTCAACTGTACACGCCTGCCCAGCAATGACGAGGTCTCAGAACTGGTCACTGATACACCAGAGACTAAAGCCAAGGCTCTGTGTCATGGTCAAGTGGGCAAGATGTCCCAACACCCAAAGCCCCCTTGAATGGGATCAAAGAGGAAGTGGCCAGTAAGAGGCTAGGTCTACTAGAATATTTTCAAGGGACCCTTCTATGAATGCACTATCAGCCTGGGTGGAAACACTTCTGAACATGAGATCTTGTTAAAAGTTCTACTGTTTACTGAATTAAATAGCTTCACACTGTTGCCCTTTAGGCACAGAAAGAACACTGGGCATCGCATTTCGCTGCCTAAGCTGCTGTAGGTAACTGAAAGTCCCCCCCCCCCAAAGGCTATTGCTACTATAATTGTATTCTGCAGCACCTTCTCAAGATCTGACAATCCCGAAACATCAGTGCCTATTTTTGCTTGAATAAACACTCAGAAACAACCACAGTTTTGAATATCAGTACTAACTTGAAGTGATCTTTTCCATGAACGAAACCAGAAGCTGGGAAGTCCAAGCTCTGACAACTATACCAAGTATTAACGCAGCCAGCACATCCTGCAAACCATGAAGTTCTAGGCTCCCCAGGGATCCTGGTCAACAGAGAGGAAGATTTTCATAATCAAAGTTTAGTGGAGGGGGATATAGTTGGGAGAAAAATCAGTTACACTTTGTGGTGGAGATCTCACACCCACCACAGAATATTAGCTTATAAATTGGGCTGAAGTACTTGCTGCCAGAGATTGGGTCCAATTGGTACAGATTAAGAGAAAAGATCCAACGAACCTGCGTAGGCAGCAGTTATCCTGTTACAGCAATGCCAACCCTTTTAAGCTTCCCTTCTACAGGACAGCAGCTCCAATCTGCCACCACTACTTCTAGTCTGTCCTTGTCCCCTTAGTGGGGTCATGTGAAATGCTGCAGTGATAGTAAGTCACAAATGACAGAACTCACCTCCTATGCGATTCTTAAAAGGTGCAGGCAGGCCTATCAGGGTCTAGCAATCCCATTGCCCCAGGCTCTGAAAGCTCAATCGTGCATCTGCTTCCTTATCCCCTACATCTTACTTTGTCCTTGGTTCTTCCCTGATGCCCCATTTTATTATACCCAACCAATAATAATTGCTTCCTTAAGTTGCAACTTTCCAGCCCACTTGCTTCTTTGTTCTGTTTGCTCTAACACAAGTTTTCCCCAAACTTGGGTCTCTAGCTGTTTTTGGACTACAACTCCCATCATCCCTAGCTAGCAAAACCAGTAGTAAAGGATGGTGGGAATTCTAGTCCAAAAACAGCTGGAGACCCAAGTTTGGGAAACGCTGCTCTAACCACTCCCGCCTTCCTTCCCTATGCCACATACCCCCCCTTGATGCAGAGATATCTCCCTTTTTCATTAGCCCTTTCTTCCTGCAACTCCAAGACTTCTTTGCTCACTAGGCCATCCTCCCTTACCTGCTCTTCCCTCAGCCTCTGATTTCTCAATCCATCACCAACTCTGCACTCTTCCATCAGCCACTTTGCTTCTGGGCTTCCTCTCCCTTGACCCCTTTCACCATTCTTCAGCCCGTCCCTCAAGGGCTTTCAAGTTTTTAACCCAGCAGAATTGGCAACATTCCCCCTTTTTAACCAAAGTTGGGCTGAAAACATTCTAATGCTCTTGCTCCTTGAGTAGCCGGAACGTTGTCAATGAGAATGTGCTGTGCAATCACACCTGATCATCTGATCAATGTCAGAGCCTCCATATTTTGTACTGCACTGGAGCAAGGAGTAAGAAGTTTCTTTGGTAGAAATGACAAATACTGAAGAAACAATCCATTTTATTCTGAAAAGCAATTTGCTTCTTCAACAGTCCTAATAAACTACTATAAGCACATTAAGAAACTACAAGTTGCCGCCTTGCCCCAATGTAGTCATATAGTTTTGCTGGATTATGGCCACAGAGGACAAGCCAAGCCATTATCATTTGGAAACACTTGAGAGACGCTAATAAGCAAACTAGGACAGCAGCCCTCACCAGCTACAGAAGTCAACAATGGAAGTAAAAGGATAGAGTGCCAGCAGCACAAATCCTGCTTTGAATTCAGTTGCAAAACTAACAGGACACGGTAAAACAGAACTAAGAACAACCTCAGCACAAGTTCAAGACAAAATGAGCTGGCTTGTACCAATGCACCGTAATGATCCTGGATTCCAGCAAACTATTTCATGCTACTTAGTAAAAATAAATATAGTATGCAAGACCATCTTACTTACATGGATGAGAACCCTGTAGTACAGACAGCAAACACCCCCACACAAGCACAACCTGTTCAGCCACACCACATGTTACAAGAGCTCGGCACGAGAGACAACTGGAATTGCTATTCGAGAGACAAATTCCTCAGAATTACAGAACAGTCAGAGCAATAGTTCAGCTATGCCAATATACTGAAACTACAAGTATCAAATATTCAGAATCCACCCTAGGACAAAGAAAGTATGGCTATTCAGTATCTCATATTTACACAAGACTTGCAGCAGATGGAATTAAAGATGCTCTCAGCATAAAATTATAGCCCCAGGCAATTTGCACTAGCCTCTCAAGAGTCCAATACTTTATTTTAACAATGGAATATAATCCTGGGAACTGAGGGCAACTTGTTTCTGTCTGGGCACCTTCACTGGCAACAAACAGACCAATCAAGCATTAGAAGGACACAACCATGGTTATCAAGGAAATCAACTTCCCAGTCTTTTTCCATGGCCACATTTGACTTCAAATCTCCATTTAGGCTGAGATGTTAAGCTTAGGCTAAGGCACCCAAGACAATAAGGAAGCAGCCCCATGATTTCCTTCTTTAGCACATTCACTTCCAAGAGACTCTTTTACCAGTTTTGCAAAGAGGTACGAGAACTCCAAAATCTGCAGATACTTTCCTCCTGGTCTGGTCCCTAACACAATCAACCAACCTAGGGTGTAATCACTAACAAGCCTGCTTAGAGGTCTGGCAAAGGAAAACTCTGTATGTCAGACACTACAACCAGCAGTCAACACATTAGCATGCATTAGCATCCATCAAAACTAGAAACCTCTACTCATGATGTATAGACAAAACTCGTTTTGCACTAAACAAACCTTTGCACTCAGCATCTGTGGCAGAAAAACTTAAGATATTACTAGCTCTCTAGGTACCCTCCACCCCCACTGATTTGGGCAAACCCCTCATTGAAGTATGAAATCTATGAGAAGTAAAGTGGATTTAAAGTCCTGTTTTAGCTCATCTGATTGAGGTCAGTCCAGAAATTGGTAGCTTTGCCTCCCCAGCCCCCAATTCTCTTTCTCCACTTCCCCCTCCAGTTTTTCCTCCTACATCTCTGTTTTATAACTTTAGTTGTGTTTTGGTTTCTAATGGAATGCATAGCCTCATGTTCTTTCTCCAGTTAAGGGGATGTTAAAGTGATCTACAAAAGCTTTGTTTCACCCCAGTTCTCCTATCACAAACTTGCAGCAAAGGAAAGCCCAAGAAGCCTTAGACCAGAGGATAACCTCCTGATTCTTAGCATCTCCCACCATCTTGGAATAGGCAACACCTGTGCCTTAGGTTCTTTTCCCTTTCCAATTCTTCTTTCTCTCCTGAAGCATATCTACCTTTTAGTGACAGATGCAAAAAACAACCATCACCCCATGGCATCCCCTATAAAAGCCTTATAAGGGATGCAATGTATTTCTGGCATCTATCACTGTCCCCTTTCCACAATTACCATGGCACCAACACATTGCTTCATCTCATTCTTTATGTCCTGATCCTCTAGAGATCGACTCAAATAGTTGCTGGTCCTATCTGAATGCTGCTTCTGTAACTTATTCCCCATTCCCCCCCCTGTAATTAACCATTTATTCAATTATTCCAGGATTGGTTGCTCTTCTTATTGCTAATTCCAGAGTGGCCCTTGAGCCATGCTATGACTTTTGGTTCACAAGCCAAACATGTGTTCCTCAAGACCAGACAGGTAAGCATTTCTCTGGTGTCCCTCATCTAACACTACCGCAACTCTTTTATTTCCCTTCTGCCAAGATCATGATTAAACCAGAACCAATGAAGTCTAAAATTCAAACGCACACTAGCTGCCCATATGCAACTTTGAGTCCCATAACCACACCTGTATGTCTTGCCATCTTTGTGCTGGTCTTCATCATCCTCATTTGATAACACAAAAGGGTCACTCATCTCTGGCAGGCCAGATTCCTGTAGCCGCTTCTTTTTCCGACCACGAGGAGCTTTGGGGGTTATACCTCCAGCGCCACCAGCTGCCCCACCCTCTGAAAGAGCTGTGGCCCCCTTCTTGGAAAGGTCAGGTATGACTTGGAGAGTTGCCTGGGAGCCAGGGGGAAGCGCTGAGACAATCATTGGTGCAGAGATGGGAAAGGTTTGCACGGAAGAGGCTGTGGTCACCAGAGACCCAGAGGGAGAAGTGATCACCAGGCCGGGACCTGCAATGAGGAAAAAGGGAAGGGTCAGATTCCAACTCCATCTTTCAAGATGTCCAAGGAAAGGAAGACTTGTACGTTTAACGGTTCTGTCACATAAGGCATTCCATATGCTGCAGTAATTAAGAGTCGGACTAGGACTTGGGTTGCTGCGAGGATAAAGGGGGGTGGGGAGAGGAAGAGCACTGAATGTTGGGTTTCAACAAATCTCACCACCACAATGACTGTGGGGCTCTTTTTTGGCAAGCATGACAAGTGGCCAGCATTTATCTTGATTACGGCTGAGTGATCTATTGATATATTACCCCAAACCTCGTCCAAAACTGGTTTCAAGTCCATATCATGATACTGATTTCATTATTTTGGAACTGGCAATATATTGTGAATCTGTGTGTGTGTGTGTGTGTGTGTGTGTGTGTGTGTGATGCAAAAAGCACAATGTGGGGGAAACCATGCAGCCAGCCAATGCCTCTACATTGCTCCATTCTTATTTCAGACACTGATATATCAGTATCTTGCGATGTTTAGCTGGTGATATATCACAATGGTGAAAACTAGATTACTGCCCAGCCCTACTCTCAATTGTGAAGCTGCAATGGTGGGTGGAGATCGTTTGCTGGTGACCTCCCAACCCTGCCCAGCTCCAAAGCTGAGGAAGGCTGTGGATTGTTGACAGCTGCATGCCAAAAGAACCCAAAGAGCCTGGGCAACCCATGGCCTAACTAGGACCTCCTTTTCCAGGCTTTTCCTGCTTCTGGGCAGTAAAACTGTATAAGGAGAACTTGACATTGCTGCCTGAGAACAGCTGGGCTGACCTTCAGAACTGAGATGCAAACTCCCCCCTCCATCCCCAGCCAAGTAGACAAGATGCATGGGAGCTGGTGAATACAACTTTGGTAGACCTCTTTGTGTATGATAATTTGTATTTCTCAGAGGAAGGGTGTAATAAAGACACAAACAATACAGTTGTACCTTGGATCCCGAATGCCTTGTGAGTCGAATGTTTTGGCTCCCAAACGCCACAAACCCGGAAGTGAGTGTTCCGGTTTGAGAACGTTCTTTGGAACCTGAACATCCAGTTTGGCTTCTGCGGCTTCCAATTGGCTGCAGGAGCTTCTTGCAGCCAATCGGAAGCCGCGCCTTGGTTTTTGAATGTTTAGGAAGTTGAAAGGACTTCTGTAATAGATTCCATTCGACTTCAGAGGTACGACTGTACAGGACTGAAACCGAGACATTCATCTAGGCAAGAAGTAGATAGGTATTTTATGGGACAGAAGCATTCAGGCCATACTGTGCCTTCGGACAGCATGCTCTTCTTTTTTTACCACCTGAGACAAGGATTAGCCTTGCTCTTTGACCAAGGACGGCCCAAACACCGTTTCTTTGAGCTGCACCCCTCCACTGCTACTGCACCCTCCCAGTCCTCTCACCTGTTGTCATGAGCCCAGCAGACTGCACAGGCACCACAGTGATGTTCTGCGTCACAGAAGCCTGACTGTGTGGAGTTAGCTGTTCTGGCTTGGTGTCAGAATCCATAGAAATGTTGGTGGGAAGGGCCACGGAGGTGGGTACAGTCAGTAGGGTGGGATAGTGGGCAGGAGCCAGACCACAGCCCTTCTCTGAGGGCAAGAGCTGCTCCTTCATCTTGTTAATGAACATACTGTTGTCAATCTACAGCGGGAAGGAGGAAAGGGGAAGAGTTTAGAATAGCTACGGGGTAAACACTGCATGAAGCATGTTGCTGCTTGTTTACTCCTTACCTGTCCTGAGACTGTGGGCACTGCTGGCCAAAAATATGGGGAGGAGTTGAAGTGAGATTCTTCCATTCTAGCTGGGGGAGATAAAAACAGAGAAGGGTTGATGTTAAACCGGGGAACCTTTCTATGTTACTACTGAGACACAGTGACTTTCTTATTTCAAGACAGCCCCAACTCTACTCCTGACACTCCATGACCTGGCTAAGCAATTTGGGGGCTGCTAATATGCTCTGATGTTCCAAATTATCCAAAATTTTCACTCTTCCTTCCAGTGCACTGCTTTGGGGGTTCTCCCAACATCTGCCTGAGACAATTTTGGAGGATGAGGATGGAGGGTGAAGCTCTCTTAAGCTAATAGGAGTTGTTAGTTGAATCCCACCCATGGGCTTCATAGAAAGATGAGAATTTTGTGCTACTCAGACCAACATGGCAGACGCAGGGGACGGGACCTTCATGTTTCTCTCGCTTTTCTCCTGAAACTTTGCCCAGATGACAAAGAAAATACAGAAAGGGAGATGTTGCACAAATGCGCATGGTTGCAATCTTACCAAAATCTTAAACAAAACGAACACCTTCCTTGGTGCGGAACTTTGGATGACAGAACTGCAGAACAATCCCTAACAACCGAGGACACAGGCAGCAGATAAAGAAGCCTGCATTTGATCATTCTGAAGTCTTTTAATGATTGCTGAATACTGGAAGTTCGAAAGAGGTCTCATTCGCTTCAGCCCATTGGGATGCAATGAGGTGGGGCCACATGGCCCAAATGTTCTGCTGACTTTGCTCAGCCAAAGGATATGTCTCTTAGCTCTGAATCCTCTGAGATCAACAGGACATAAAAAAACCTTTCCCCTCTCCCAGATGTGTCAACAGAACGCCAAAGTCCTGGGTCCGGGCTCCCTGTTTGTAGTCACTCCCATGCTGCTAGTACACAACTCTCTAAAATAGGATATGCTTGATTAATGCCATCCAATCTTAATTTTTCCTTCAGTCTTGGAGGCCTTTGAAAAAGCCTCACTGCAAGAGCTAGAGTATTAAAAGAAAATCCCAAACAGAACATGCAATGGTGATTTTTTTATAAAACACAACTGACATCCTTAGGTATGTCCTGGGTGTTCCACCTCATCATACACCCTTTACATTGTATGACAGACCTGCCAAGAAAATGTTGCTTTATTTTCATTTTTTTTAAAGCCATGTCCAGGGCCACCCACAATCATTCATGATTATACATCTGAAATACATGCCAGTAGAGTGTTGCCAAGAAGTCATGTTAGTTGAGCCTTAATTTAAGTAAGAACAACAGCTAAGGAAAGACAGTTTTACAGAATTTTCCAAAATAAACATGGAGAAAATTTGAGTTTTACACCACAGCACAACTTCCACAATGGAAAGTTTACTTAATATGATAATGCATACATATTTTCTAATACGAAACATGCAACACGGGCCTCCCAATGACCTCTAATGAACAACGGTTGCAATCCTATGCACACTTCCTTGGTGGTAACTTTAGAATGGGATTATATGGGAAAGTTATTTCTGTTGTAAAAGATAAGCCAAATAAACCTTTTTCTCACCTCCAGTCACCCATCAAGGGTTACCAGTGCAACTTTTAAGTAAAACAAACAAACTTTCCAACCAAAGTTTGTATTTACTGACAAAACAGATAATTTAAGAATAATCTGCAGAAAGACCACATTAATTACTAACATACTGTCACATATTCAAATTTCATTCATCTCCAACTTATAATTACAGAGTTCCCAAGGGTTTCCATCAAAGATTACCACTAAGGATTAAGTATGGAGCAACAAAGCTATTAAGAAACATTATTCTTGATATCACTGACTGTTCAAAGCAAACCAAACTTATTGGGCATGCCTCAGGAGGGTGTGTTTAATTTATCAACTTTCAGATTCAAAAAATGAGGGGTGCTAAAAAGCTGCAAGGACCCGGGAACTCAAAATATATTTTGGTTAAATTAATATATTTTAGTTTTGCTTGGAAAGTAGTATGTGTGCAAAATTGTATAGAAATCATTAAAAATGATTGTCAAGCACCTGCAGTTATATTACCTGACATTTTCAGAAGATAATTTTTTTAAAATGTTTTCAAAAAGTAATTTAAATGTTGTCCAATCACAAAAATAATAGATTTAAATTCTTTGCACCCAAAAACTTATTTTTAAGACTCCTCACTAAACAAATTTGCAAAAATTAAGTTTCATCTTCTAAAATGACATGCCCTAATGACTCAGGCTGGACCATAAAGTACTACGGACAATTAAACAAGATACAGAGAAGGGATAGTACCTTATACAGAAATAAGCGTACTCAAGTGCCATATTTCAGGGGCCTAGCTACTAACATCTGATACATCAATACAGATTGCAAACTAGGACCTGTGCCCCTGAAAGGCCTAGAGAGCAAGATGAGGTGCTTTTAAGGGTCAGACTCCAGCAAAGAAAAAAAGAAACAGAAAGTTGCAGATACAAACACCCTGCTTACAATTCTGATTGTGGGGGAGCAAGAACTCTTATATTGCAATGCTAAGCTATGTTTATCCAATGTTAACTATAAAAACATTAGGACCCCCCTCCTCAGAACATATAAGAAAATATAAAAACAAAGCAGCAACTTATCCAGTGGGCAAGATCCACCTACTACAAAACCTCTCCTTTCTGGAACTCTGTTTTGCCACCTGCTTCCATGTAACCCAAATGCCCTCCCCGCACAAAACCACAGCAGTTCAAGAAGTCACAGTTTAGAATTGGCGTGAGGAAGATTTTTTATCAGCATTCGGAGTGCGGCCCGCAGGAGAACTGCAATGCACTTAAAAGCTGTACACTGAAAGAAGAGGATAATTCGGTGGGGAAGCATATGCATCCCTTGGCCCTGGGGAAAAAGCGAAAGGAGGAACCCATTTAAGCCCATAAGGAAAACTCCATCAGATCAGGCTATGGGCCAAATGCCTATACAGTGGTACCTCTGGTTACATACGCTTTAGGATACATATGCTTCAGGTTACAGACTCCGCTAACCCAGAAATAGTGCTTCAGGTTAAGAACTTTGCTTCAGGATGAGAACTGAAATCGTGCTCCGATGGCGCAGCCGCAGGAGGCCCCATTAGCTAAAGTGGTACTTCAGGTTAAGAACAGCTTCAGGTTAAGTACGGACCTCCGGAACGAATTAAGTACTTAACCCGAGGTACCACTGTAGAGAGCACCACTAGCTGGGCATGAAGGCACCCCCCCTACCCACTATGCTGTCTGTGCCCAGCTTCTGGCGTTCAGCAGGATGCTGCCTCTGACCATGGAGGTTCCGCAGGGGCACCGACCACCTCACCCTCCGCAAACCTGACTGAACTTCCGCCCCCCTTTCAAGCACTCCAAACCGCGAAGCGGCTCCCTTCTCCCGGTCCCCCAGCCGTTCAGCAACCCGCCCGCCGCCTCAGAGAACCGCCAAGGCGGCGGGGAGGGGAGCCGTGGTCGCCCCCCGGCCAGCCAACCCCCGACCCCCGCCAGCCCGCCCCAGGACCCCCTTCGCTGGCACTGACCCCGCCCGCGGCCCCTCGCTCTCCGCCCTGCCCGGGCCGAGGCAGGGAACAGCGGCCGGGCCGACGCGGAGTCCAGCGGCGCACGGGCCGCGAGCTGAGGTGGGGCAGCCCCGGAGCCTCCGCCGACGATGCCGCCGCCTCCTCCTCCTCCCGCCGCCGCCGCCGCCGCCACCGACGCTCCCGCGGACAGCCAGGCGGACAGCAGGCAGCCCTTGTCTTCCGTTTCCGGGTGACCCAGCCCCGAGAGGGCGCCTTGCCGAGGGAAGCCGCTCATGCTTTCCCGCCCGCTGCCCATCGCCCGGCTCCTCCCGCCCGGCCCGGCCCCCGGAGGCAGCGCCCCGGCTCTGGCCCAAGTGGCGGCAACGGCAGCCTCCTCCTCCTCCTCCTCCTCACCGGAAAAGGGGGCCGCCAATCACTTCCGGGGCCGAGGGGGCGGGGCCTGGACGCTAAAGCTTCCGGGGCGCCCGGAGAGATTACGGCTGGACAGAGGGGCCCCTCCCGAGTCCCCCCTCTCGCGCGCCGGAAGTGACGCGGACGGTGGCCGAAAGCCGGAGTTCCAAAACGGAGGGCGGCGGGCGCGGCGGCGGCAGCGGGTCTGGCCGGGCGGCTTCCCTTCCCCTCCTCTGGGGAGGCCACTGTTCCGCTTCGTTCTTGCTTCTGTTATGTGTGTTGTTGTTGTTTTGGCTTGTTTTTTTTATGTTGTGAACCGTTCCGAGATCTACGGATAAAGGGCGGTGCAGCCCAGTGGTACCTCGGGTTAAGAACTTAATTCGTTCCGGAGGTCCGTTCTTAACCTGAAACTGTTCTTAACCTCTGAAGCACCACTTTAGCTAATGGGGGCTCCTGCTGCTGCCGCGCCGCCGGAGCACGATTTCTGTTCTCATCCTGAAGCAAAGTTCTTAATCCGAGGTACTATTTCTGGGTTAGCGGAGTCTGTAACCTGAAGGGTATGTAACCCGAGGTACCACTGTATTTCCTGCTGCAATACATGGTGTTGTATTTGGGAATTATCCAGTGTTTTTTTTCTGGGGGACGCATACCCCTAAACGTTTTGTGCATCTAAGTTTGGCCTCATTGAGAGGCAGTATTTCAGTATGAATAGGAAAAGGAGAGTACAGTGGTACCTCAGGTTACAGACTCCACTAACCCAGAAATAGTACCTCAGGTTAAGAACTTTGCTTCAGGATGAGAACAGAAATCACTCGGCGGCAGCAGCTGGAGGCCCCATTAGCTAAAGTGGTGCTTCACGTTAAGAAAGGACCTCCAAAACGAATTAAGTACTTAACCTGAGGTACCACTGTATACAGATTTAGTAAGTAAATAAATAGTAATAGCTGCCCCCGTTAAAGCTCTGGTTTTCCCAGTAGTGATGTATGGAAGTGAGAGCTGGACCATAAAGAAGGCTGATCGCCAAAGAATGGATGCTTTTGAATTATGGTGTTGGAGGAAACTCCTGAGAGTCCCATGGACTGCAAGAAGATCAAATCTCTCCATGCTCACTGGAAGGACAGATCCTGAAGCTGAGGCTCCAAGACTTTGGCCACCTCATGAGAAGAGAAAACTCCCTGGAAAAGACCCTGATGTTGGGAAAGATGGAGGGCACAAGGAGAAGGGGGTGACAGAGGACAAGATGGTTGGACAGTGTTCTCGAAGCTACCAGCATGAGTTTGACCAAACTGCAGGAGGCAGTGGAAGACAGGAGTGCCTGGCGTGCTCTGGTCCAGGGGGTCACGAAGAGTCGGACACGACTAAACTACTAAACAACAGCAATAGCTGCCCCCGAGTTAAATCAGTAAAGAGGCCTGGCTCACTCGCATTGCCTTCCAAGGGGCTCCTCAGCTGTTTTCTCCAGGCCTTTGGCCAGATAGTAGCCGCACTGGAGTGATTGATTCAGGCGGGGGACTCTCTTTTTCTCCCTCTCTGCCCCCAGTGGAATATCTCGGCTCCCTTTCCCGAGCTCTGTCTCTCGGCTGCGCGTTTAAAGCAAACGCTAACCTTTTATCTCTCTGAGGTTACTCAGAATATAAGTGGGAAAGGCATTTCTGCCTCACGGGCCAGGAAGAAGCAGTCTCTAGTCCTGCCCTGTAGGGTGTTTGTTATTACAGGGGGGCAAACATTTTGCATGGGGGTTCCGTTCCTGGCCCCTGTGTGTGTCGGAGGAGCACGTATGAGCCCCTTCCGCCCTCTTCCAGGTCCAAAAGGACTTGCGCTTTGGCAGTCACTTGTCATTTAGATGTGCGGAAAATGGTCACCACCTGAATTATTATTGCCTAATAAATACAAATGCATTGGAATGGCAGGTAAACACTGGGGTGCCTAGGTCTTGTTTATTTTCAAAATATGTTACTAATATACAGAAGCAGATTTAGGGTGCTGGGTGCTGAGTTGAGCAGAGCATCGTGCAGAAAAAAATGAGAGTTGCAGGGGAGGCACTGAATTCAGGTCTTGCACAGGGTGCTGCTGAAATTTGAAAGACTAAAGTCTGTACCTGCTAATAAGGTGTGTGTTTTTCAGCTCTTGTATTGTAAACTGCCATGTGATCTTAGGATGAAGAGCGGTGTATAAACCAAATAATAAATATATCTTAATACAGTGAAGTAAATCATTTCCCTTGTATCTAGAGTCCAACTGTTCTGCATTGGATCCAGCACCAGTTGCATATTCTTTGTCTCTCACCCTTCCCTCCATTTGTGGCTACGGGTCTGTCACAAGACGCCAAATGGTCTCACTTCAATGCAGTTGCTTCAAATAATAATAATTAAAAAATAATAATAATAAATTTTATTTATATCCCGCCCTCCCCAGCCGAAGCCGGGCTCAGGGAGGCTAACAACAATAAAACAGTACAAAAGTACAACACAAACAACACTCTAAAATCATTCATTATAAAATTAATTCAAATCAAGCCACTGGCAACCATTGGGCCAGAGCTCCGCGAAGATTGCTGAGGGAGGGAGTCAGGCTGTGCCCTGGTCAAAGGCCTGGTGGAACAGCTCTGTCTTACAGGCCCTGCGGAAAGATGTCAAGTCCCGCAGGGCCCTAGTCTCTTGTGACAGAGTGTTCCACCAGATCGGAGCCACAGCCGAAAAAGCCCTGGCTCTAGTTGAGGCCAGCCTAACCTCTCTGTGGCCTGGGACCTTCAAGATGTTTTTATTTGAAGACCGTAAGTTTTTCTGTGGGACATACCAGGAGAGGCGGTCCCGTAGGTACGAGGGTCCTAGGCCGTATAGGGATTTAAAGGTTAAAACCAGCACCTTAGGTCTTGAATCAACAGAATATTTCTGAAGCAAAGCAATGCACACTAAAAGTGCTTAATGTCTTATTTTTCTGCCTGTTGGAAAACTAATAAATTGTTATGGGGGGGAACTAAGGTGGTAATCAATAAATGAGAGTAAATATGTATTAGACAAGCATTCTGTTTTGAAAGGGGACAGTGAACTAAAAATACAAAGATGCAAAATGCCTTAGAAGCTGCTGTAGCTCTTCCAACAGCTATTTTTGAATTACCGTATTATTTATAAAAATACAGAAGATTCCCCTGCCAGATGTGCTGCCTAGGAACCAGGGCCAGGCTGCCCCATATGTTTTGCTTCCTAGGGAACAGGATATCTCCTTCCCTGGGCTGCAGGACAATTTGCAGTTCTTTCCTCCACCATTCATCCTCTACAGTAGGGATAGGGAACAAGTATAAATACACAACATGGTAAGAACAACTTCCCATCAGTTCATTTCATAACAGCATTGCAACATCACTGCAAGATGATGATTTGAAATAGGGCTTAATAGATTTGAAATGTCTCTAATTGTTGTTTCTCTGCTTTTTCAGAGTAAGGTAAACCATCTAGATTGTATCCATGTACCTGAGGAAGTGAGTTCCAGTCCATTATTTCTTACATTTTGTCCCTTCTAAGCAGGTACAGGAGGCATGCATGTTTCCTAGCGCTGTGTTGTCCCATGAAAATAGGCCATAATTAATGTGATTGCCATTGAATTCTGCTGGGCTTGCTACTAAATGGATATTAAAAATGGATGTGTGACTCCCCACACCCAGAGTCTTTATTGAGTGATTGCCAGTATTAGCCATAGTGTAGACCCATTGGTTTCAGTGGGTCTACTTTGAGTATGACTAACATTCAATATCACTCACTGGTTTAACAGTGGTGTTACATGCTACTTTGGCAATGAGGTAATGCTGGAGGCAAGAACTAGTGGAGAGGTGTATTGTTTACACAGTTGCTGGTTTTCATCTACAACGCGCTAGTGGAGAGGTGTATTGTTTACACAGTTGCTGGTTTTCATCTATAACGCGATGGAAAGTTACCCACTATAGTATATATAAATGAAAAAATAAACTACGCCCAACAGATTCTACTCCCCCATGATCTTGCTTGCCCACCCCCAGTGAGCATACCAACTCTGAAACTTGGGAGACTTGTCTAGCCCTTTTCCTGCAAACCTTTAAGAAGATGGTGAAGATGTTACTATAAAGCACCAATGCTGCAGCAAGCAAAGGCTCTAGCAGCTCAGCCAGCTGCTTGTGGCTGGAAAGCCAGACAGGATGTTTGTGACTGTTGCCATGGGAACAAAGGGGCAGTCCATTCTGTACTGAGCACCGGATGTTAGCTCAGTGTGTGTGTGTCATATGACCCGTACTGGATGTACTTGGGAGGAGTTTCGTCTTGCTGTTGTTGAGTGCAGACATGATTCTCTGTACTGATGTAAGAGGCAGAAATAAATGATGTAAATAGTTTTCTGTCTGCTTCTTTCCCTCCCTGGGGACACCAAAGGGAGAGAGGAAGAACGGTGTGTTCCTCTCATACATCTGAGAAGAATCGCTGGACCTCGCCTGCTTATCAGCAGAGTGGAGACGCGGGGAGGTCGACAGGAATATCTGCCGGTGCCTACGCTGTGGCACATTCCTCTGACCCATGCAGAATTCCAACAGTGGTAGCAGAGGATGGTTGCGATTCATCGGACATCTGCATGAGAGGCTGGTGGATTGTCCTCCACTGCTCCTAAGGAGGAATAGAAGCGTCTGAAAGAAGCCAGAGGCTCCACAGACAGCTGGTGGAAAGAAGAGGTGTTTTCCAGAGCAACAAAGTTCAAGGTATGCTGCATTTCGGGCTAAAAGTGTGAACGCAGGAAGATTAATTCCCTGGTTCACGGAGCTGCGTTTCAAAGAAAACAAAAGCTCCGAGAGGAAGAGGCCTGCAGCTTGAAGGCTGAAGCCTGCATTCCACAAATTTTTGTGGTAGATAAGGAGTCCCATTGAAATGCATTGTTGCTAGGCAACGGTCCTGGAAAGTTACTGGCAAGGGGCTGGACTCTGAGTGTAAGCCTGGGAAGCGAAACAAAACCAGAGAATGTTTTGGCTACAAGGTTTACGAGCTCTTGGAAGGGACTTTTCAATAGCAGCCTGAGTTTAGCTGCCAGGTGCAAAGAGCGTAAACAATTTGCAGTTTGCTGCGTGAGAAAAGAAACAAACAACTGTTGGATTTTACAGTTTGTTTGACATTGTGAGCTGGAGGCTTGGCTTCAAGATGGATGCCAAGAAAGGGGGGAGGTTTGCCTTGCCCACCTCCCTTAACCAATGACAATTATTCATCTTGGTCTGTAAAGATGAAGGCCCTGCTGCAGAATCAGAGGCTTTTTGATGTAATCGAAAACCCCATCCCTGCAGCACCAACCAGAGGTTGGGAGTCACAGAATGTAAGGGCCAGGACTGCTATAATTCTGTGTGTCTCAGATGATCAGTTGGTGCATGTTCAGCATTTAGAAAATGCGAAAGAGGTATGGGACACGCTGCGTACAACGCATCAGAGAGATGCTGGTTCTTCAGCGTTGCTGTATTTTGAGAAATTGACCAATCTGAGACTTGCGCCTGATGGAGATGTTCAAGCGCACCTGACAGAAATGAAGTTTCTGCGTCAACAGATGGTGGAACGCAATTTTCGTCTTCAGGAGGAAGTGTTTTGCTTCATGATGATAAACAGCCTTAGCCGCACCTACAAGGTTGTTGCCAGTCAGCTTGGTTCCCTACCGGCCGCGCAGCTGACCGCGGAGAGAGTTTGTGCTGTGGTCCTGAATGAACACGACAGACTTGCTGCACTGGAAGAAAAGACAGGGGAGGGAAGAACAGAGTTCTAATTCCCCACTGCTGATGCTACTGGAGAGCATGGTGTAGCATTGAGTGCTGTCCGATGCTACAATTGTGGACAGACTGGGCATCTACAGCGAAACTGTAAGAAGCCGCGCCAGTCAAGAGGAGCAAAGAGCAGCTCTACGAAGCCTCAGGCGTCAGGCAAAAGCCGTACCAAGTGCCAGGTGAAACCTGCAAAGGCTATGATGGCGAAAGGAACCACGCCAGATGTTGGGAACTCGTTCATAATTGACACGGGCGCAACGGTTCATATGTGCCCGCACAGAGGACTGTTTTCGACGTTGAAGAAGCAAAGCTTCACTGTGAAACAGGCCAACGGTCAGGAGCTGGAAGCAACTGGAATTGGGACTGTGTATCTTGAAAGTCTGAACTTGACTATAAGTGATGTTTACCTGGTTCCAGAACTGAGATTTAATCTGCTGAGCGTGTCGCAGATTGCAAAGAAAGGACTGAAACTGTCCTATGATGCTAAAAGCTGCAAGATCTACAAAGATGGAGAACTGTTTCTTACTGCCAAAGAGAAAGATGGACTGTATTTGTTGACTTTTGATCAAAGTGATTACATGAAATGTAATTCTTCTGTTTCTAACGAAATCTCTCTTGCAGGGCGACCATGACCAGTGTGAGCACCAGGAAGGTGACTAAGACCAAGAAGGTCGACAGAGCATTTCAGCGGGTGTATGCTGATGTGATTGGTCCTCTAGAACCATCTAGAGGCGGTGCACGATTTTACCTTGTGTGTGTGGATTGTTTCACTAGGCCTTCAATAGTGGGTTGATTTGCTCCCTCTGATTAGTCTTGTTACAGCAGGTATCTGAACCAACATGCATGTCCAGCACAGACATGTATTCACACACACAATGAGAGGTTTGAGATCTTTGGCTGGAGTTACAACGTGTGCCCATTTGTGAATATGTGTTTGTCTAAATAAAACACCTGATATCCAGTAGTTTATTCTGGACTGGTAATCCTGAAGACCTCTTAAATGCCAGACTGGTGACCCAGTAATTTTTAGAGGCAAGCAAACAGCTGTATATTGACACGTTGACTAAGAAAGCTTGTTTCAGACAGTGAAATTACAGTTTAAGATGGCAGCAAATCCTACCATACATACACACCTTGATCTAAAGAGTGGAATAATCCCTACTCGTTCTCAAAATTCCACAGAAGTGAGCACTAATTTAAGAAATGGAGGTGGAGGGAAGGAGAGTATACCTGTTTCTAAGCATATGTGTGTCCTTGTGAGCTCTGAATGAAGGTCATCGTTGGAGCTAGGAGAGCCACTGATTACAAATTTTAGGATTCCTTCCAGGCATGTCCAAAGTCCGTTTTGGGGACCTAATCCGGCCCCTGTGGCAGTTTATTTCCTGGAGTAAAATCCCCCAAAAAGCAACTTCAATCCTAAAAAAGTTCAACAACTTTGGTCGGCCCTCACGCGTGTTCACTTCATCAAATCTGGCCCTCTTTGAAAAAAAGTTTGGGCACCCCTGCTTTATACCCTTCTGGTCAAGGCATGCCAGTGGAGGGGGGGGCTTGAGATGAACAGCTGGCTTTATTGTGCTTTTGAATTTATCCCAGAATTTCTTGCCTGCTTCGCCCATCTTGCAAGTTCAGTGTTTTGAGTGAAAGTCATCCTAGTGACCTGAACTGGCTACCTTTTGCCTGTTGTCTGCCTCACCATTTGGGAGTCTGAATACAGCATACTTAGCAACTTTATTTACATGCATTGACCTTTATGCAAAGTGTGAGGAACTCAGGATATGCCTGAATGCCTTCAGGATGTGTTTGGAGTTGAGGCTGGTATCTGACTTCTACCAAGATCAAGCAAGGTTCACAATGCAGAATCTCATGTCCTATTTATGTCAAATCAATCTATATACTTCTACTATGAGCTTCAGAGATAAACCATAGACATAAGCTCCGATTTACACACCTACTCACAGTTTCACTCTTTGGCTCCGCTCGCTGAATGAACTCTCCTTTTGCTTTTTGTGCTGCTGAATGTTTTAGCACATTTCTTGCTTTTAAAATTTGTGTATTCATTTTATACTCGTCGTGCATTGCTTTAGAGCCCCTTAAAGCCAAAACACAGCTTGTACATTTTAATATGAATAAAAGTGCAAATGATGTCTGCAGGGAACCGAATTGTACCAGCCTAGAAGATGGGATACAGCAAATGTTATTAGCAGTCCCAAGTCATTTTGCTACCTGAAAGAGAATTCACATCCCACTATTTAACATGGAACACAAATCCCTGGGAAATTTTCTTGCACAAGTCTCACTGAAACGAATTTGGGCTACATAACTTGTGCATTTCAGTGAAGCCTATGCAGGAATTATGTAAACAGTAGAAATGGGATAGCATTTTAAATTCTGTTTCAGGCACCACCATGACTTGCCACAGAGGATGACATCAAATGTGCTGCCCATAAGTCACATTTGTCTTTCTCCCGTTCTTAAAAACTGGCTGTTAGCCATGACACCCAGATGGAACCTCAAAGACCAGAGTTCCCCTCTGCTCGATGGCCAGGCCAGCAACAGGACACAGGTATTGTCCAATCCTAGTGGGCTACAACCTGCAAGGGGGCGGCGGAGGCATTGAGCTGAATTCACCTGACCAGGAAGAGAGCAAGTGTCTTTTGCAAACGCAGCCTATCCAATGAACAGTGAGATGTTCTTTGAGGAGGTCTGGACACCATAATGGCTCATGAGAATTCCCTCCAACAATTGCTTGCACTTGTCACTTACCTTTTGAAGGAGCTACAGGGATCATGGCAGGCTGGTGGGAACAAATTTTATGACACAAAAGAAAAGGGTCACATGAATAAATGTTCAATTACTATTTGCTGATCTTTGATTTTGCTGCTTACTATTATATTCTAATGGATTATTGAATATTGCTTGATTTGATACGTTGTCTATTTTAAAGTTATTGTGACTTTTTTTGTATTGGATCAGGTTCTTACATGTGTGATCTTTGCTATTTTGTTGTTTCTTCAGCTTTTGAACCGCCTTGTGTATAGCAATATAGAAAGGCAGTATACAAATTAAAAGTGAAATGAAAATGAACAATTATATAAATTATATATCTATAGCTAATAAATTACAGAATAACAATTATATAAAACAATGTTCTAAACAGAACAGAGCAGCTTTTTGCTTGCTTTTGTTTTATAATCAGTCTATATGTATGGATTCACCAACATCAAAAGGGGGAAGTGGTAGAAGCAAATGCTTTTTAATAAAATCTTGTGACAAGTGAGGCAAACCCCAGATCACAAGCGAAGAAGAAAAAGATGAAGATGATGAAGATGAATGAATTTTGATCATATCAACAAATGGGGAACTGCAAAGGAAATAGCTTTCTTTTGAAGCATAAGCCAGAAAATGATGGATATTAGAAGGAACCTTCCCATGGGCTTATTTCCTTAGCTGTCATAATCAATATTTTAAAGCTGTTGCCTTTCACCATAATAAATGCAAAAGAGATGATAAAGGAAGAGGAAGAAAATGCATAAATTTTAGATTAAAAGCAAAGAGCTGATATATTTTAACTACAGAAAGTAAGCATGTAGCCCCTTTATATATTGACTATTAATACATCTAGCTATATATATATATATAAATCTGCAGTTTAATTTATTACCAGATTATTACTGCAAAACCTCTGCTCAAAAGCAGCCAGATGATTAATGTTTTGTATTTTGTTTTCAGATTTGCAGACAAATAAGTAATGACATTGACTGCCTGCAGTGTTTAACCAAGAAGGGGGGAAAGTGTGGATATTTATCAATCCCTTTGTAGCTAAGCTACATATTACATAACTGAAGCACATCATCTTGAACCTGTCACAAAAGATACTGCAGAGGTTTCTAACTCTTTTGTAAAAAAAAGTTTTGAGGCAAAAAAAAGAGAGTTTTATTTAGGACGTGGGTGGCGCAGTCATCTAAACCACTGAGCCTAGGGCTTGCCGATCAGAAGGTCAGTGGTTCAAATCCCTGCGATGGGGTGAGCTCCCGTTGTTCGGTCCCTGCTCCTGCCCACCTAGCAGTTCGAAAGCACATCAAAGTGCAAGTAGATAAATAGGTACCACACCGGCGGGAAGGTAAACGCCATTTCCGTGCGCTGCTCTGGTTCACCAGAAGCGGCTTAGTCAAGCTGGCCACATGACTTGGAAGCTGTCTGTGGACAAACGCCAGCTCCCTCGGCCTATAGAGCGAGATGAGCGCCGCAATCCCAGAGTCGTTCGTGACTGGACCTAACGGTCAGGGGTACCTTTACCTTTTTACTAGATCTGAGTGATCCTGGCTGAGGGGCAATTATTCAGTGGAAGCCTCACTCCATTCATGCCCTCGCGATTGAGGGGGGCTGTGGACATATGACATCAGCATGCCATGCATGCATGCCCCACAGAATGCACACATGATGTCAGCCTGCCATGGGCCATGCTGACATATGCTGACACCACACGACTTGCGTGCTTGATGTAAGCATGGGGGTGATCTGTTTCTGTCATTGCCAGGTATGCTCTGGGTTGTCTGGGGCAGTGATATCATTCGTATAGAATGACACTCCCTGTAGTCATGTGGCGGTGACCATAGCCGCAGCCTTGCATTCAAACAGAACTCAATCATGACACTCTCTCTCTCTGTTCCCAGCTTGCTGCTTTTCTTCTAGCTAGCGTCACTCCAAACAAATCTAACTCTCGCTCTTAACTGCCTACAAGTTGGGGGAGGGCCCCCCACCCATTTGCCATCTCACCCAGAGCCCCTTTCCTTTGTTCCCCTTAATGGCTCATCACCCGGGTGATTTCCTTACCAAGAAGCGAACCTGGCTTATATTTTAACACTTGCGAGATCCAGAGGTTAGGAGGGTCTTCAGCGTACAGCCTGCTTCCCAAACTCATAACTATTTTTTGGTTGTGTGGTCTTGTCCTCCCCTCTAGGGCTAATGATGCACTGGATAAGGCGGATGTCCTACTGGTGTAGCAGTGGCTGGCACCTCTCCATTTTGAGAGCATGCCGCGTTTTGCATTGTTCTGCCCGAAGCCCGAGCTTAACATTAACAGTAGCATCTACATAGGGCAAGCTCTACCTTCTGTTGCTCATTTCCTACATCATTGGGCCAGCTAGTGTTAATATTTAATCCCAGTGACTGTCTTTCTCGTGAAAGAATGCACTATACGCTACCAAACTCTGTTCTGTCTTCTCCCCCACCTCCTCGCCAGAAAGATCTGTAAGCGAAGATGCTGCCTCGTCACCACATCACTTTTCTGAAAAAATCCACTTGGGGGCATATCTACACTACAAATTTGTGTTGGCTTTTGTTGTAAACAAAAATTGCCCTTTTCCCTTATGGGGTATCCAAGAGCCCATATACAGTGGTGCCCCGCAAGACGAATGCCTCGCAAGACGAAAAACTCGCTAGACGAAAGAGTTTTCCGTTTTTTGAGTCGTTCCGCAAGACGAATTTCCCTATGGGCTTGCTTCGCAAGACGAAACGTCTTGCGAGTTCTTGCGAGTTTGTTTCCTTTTTCTTAAAGCCGCTAAGCCGTTAATAGCCGCTAAGCCGTTAATAGCCGCTAAACCACTAATAGCCGCTAATAGCCGTGCTTCGCAAGACGAAAAAACCGCAAGACGAAGAGACTCGCGGAACGGATTAATTTCGTCTTGCGAGGCACCACTGTAGAGTCCTTACATAGGTTCCCTATTGGTAGGAGAAGATAACAGAGGCCAACCAGAGAATATTGAGAAGCAAAGCAGCTAGTAAGCTTGATCTTTATTGATCTGTTGCAACAGGGTGCTCCCCTCACCCGCAGGAGAGAGGAGGAACCCAGAAAAATGGTGTGCAAGGCCTTATAAAGACTTTTGAAATTCCCATCCTGTAGATCAAGACCACCCCCAGAAACATCATACATACATCACAGAAGGGGTGTAACCGATGACCACCCCTCAGATACATCACACCTATATCACAGAAAAGGCGGTCTAAAACAGAAATTTGAATGTTGTTTTTCTCCTGTCCTTGTTTATCTCCTGTCTGGCAGGTTACTTGATTGGATTGCCTGGGGAGACTGGCCAATCTTTTGTAGTGATAAATACTTAGTTCCTGGGCCAGGTCACAGGCTCACACCCTATTCAAACAGAGATATAACCTTAAGACAGGATTTGTGAAGAAAACGACAATGGGGAGGCTTTTCCACTTTGACCATGCAGAGAAAACATTTGCTCAGTTTAGGAATCAAAATGGCTTCAGGTCGGTCTTCCTGTGCTGATCTATGTACGTGCGGTTATGAACATTGCCATATATCTAAGACCTCAAAATTCCTATCACACTTTACCCCACCATCACAGCTACACGCAAAAGAAACCGAGGGGTTGTTGCTTGGGGAGGCTGCTGAAGAGTTTCTGTGCCAGTTCCAGTTTCCTAGCTCCTCTGCTCTAGAACCACAGTTCTCACAGGGGAGAGAATAAACCTGACTGGCAGAATCCGAGACCAGGGAGAAGAGTCGGTGGAAGAAGATTGGAAAAAATTTAAAGTATATTTACAGAAACATTGTAAAATTAATGAATGTTAGAAGGATGCTGGAAAGAAGTTATACGACTTTAGTTGAAATGTTATAAAGAATTAAGTATGAATAGACCGACAATGGGTAAAGGTTAAACTTAAGGTTAAATTGCGTTAAGATAAATTATGGAACTAAATTTGAGAAAGAGGGAAAAGACTTGCTGGAACAATCAATTGAACTAGAATACAAAAAAAGGAGGTGTGAGGAAGTCGAGGAAATAAGCAAATGAAAGATAAGGATATGAAAATACGGGGTCTTTCTTTTTTGTTCTTTTTTCTTCTTTTTTTCCTTCTATTTTTTTTTAAAGGTGTGTGTTTTTTAAATGTTTCTGTTTTTTTTCTTTTTAATGTTTTGATGTACTGTTGATGTTTTGTATTATTGTATTTCCTTTTGTTTTTGAGGTTTTGTAATTGTTTATTGCTTGTATTCCTTTTTTTCTTTTTTTGTAATACTTAAACTCTAATAAATATCTTTTTTTTTAAAAAAAGAGAATAAACCTGCCTCAATCTGTGGTGCTGGTTTGCTCTTGGATTAGGACTTGCAAGCTGTTGTACTGGCACCAATTTTCTTGCTGTCCTTCTTAGAACCTCAAGACTCAGCTTTTGCAGGTGGCGGACTTCACTCGTGTCTCCTCCTCCTCTGACACCCCCTTTCTCTCTCACACTAGCAGTGCTACAAACCACTTCGTATCAGGAAAGTCCACAATGGCTGCCATGTTCCTCACCAATGTTATAAGAATTCTAAGGTCTCAAATATAAAATAAATGTTCATAAATGTACAAGGCAAACACATAAGTATATAAACCACGTGTCTGAAATAGTACAGGAGAACAATCCTGAAGCCATTTTGACTCTCCCAAATTGACCTCAAATATTTCTCTGCAAGGAGGAAGGAAATGGGAAAAGCTTTCCAATTGTCTTTTGACTTAAAGGGCTTACACCTCCCTTTTCAAATGCAGTCTGGCAAGTATTAAGCTGAGCACACTGTCAATATGTGTAAGAGATTCAGGAACTCAGTATTTACCATCTCCAAGGAATGGCTAGGCTACCCAGAAAATGCAATCAAGTAAAGCATTATCAGGTATCCTGGCAGACAGGAGAGAAGCAACACTCAAATTTCTGCTGCCTCTTTCCGTGATGTATGAATGTATGTATGAATGTTCTGGGGTTGTGGTCTTTCAAAAGTCTATATAGGGGCTTGCGCACCATTGTTGGGGGTTCTCCTCCCTCCTGCGTGTGGTAAGTGGGGACCC